GTGTAATCCATGGCATCTCCAAAGCATGTCTCGGGAAGGGGTTTTAGGGTCGATGAAGTGGAACCAAGCAGGCCGGATGAGCTGGGACCCGGTAGTAACTGTCAGCCCGCCACAGCTGCTACCCAGCCGTTGATCAGACCAGACGTTTAGGCGACAGACGCGCTCCCGGCTGTCCATTGGCGGGAAACTCAGTGAGAGGGCTTGACTCGGCCACGGCCTGGGCGGCGGAGATCTCTCTGGCAAGGCAGTACTACTAGCACCAAGAATCGGTGCAAGCATCAACCGGGACCGGCCCGCTCAGATAGATGGAACACAGAGCACAAGGTGAGCCGCTGAGCGGCCGGGACTGGATCTGGTCGTGCCCTCATGGTACGAATTTAGATGCTCAACGTTTCGTGGGCTTCACCGGGGGGTTGTTCACCGCCCTGCCTAGCCCTAGAGCGAGCATCACCTGGTTTCAGCCGCTGCGTGATGGTCGCCGTGACAAGGACGACACGGCCATCAGCCTCCAACGCCGTATGGCCTCACCTGGACCACGAAAACAGAGGCGCATATGACCTCACGGAGCCCATCGCCCGTTACTGGCGATATTTGTGCACCTACCAGTGACTAACCCTGCTCCCGAAGCTGTCGGCGCGTGACTTGTGTCAACTGGTGTTAGTGGTGGTGCGGCGTCGTCATCTTGAAGCCCGTTTCCTTGCGCCCCTGCCGTGCTACCAGAGACCAGCATCCCCCCTACCTTACGGACGGACAGGTTTCCAAGCGCCGTTCTATCATATTCTGCGCATTGCCAGACGATATGGTCAGAACAGCTGCACACGCCTCTCATGAATCAATGGTGCCCTTTGACGAGCGCAGCAGCATTAGCGAGCATCAGCGGTGACGAGCAAATCCGGCCGTTGACGCCCCATATTCGCTGCGCCTCTCTGTGTGGCTTGCTGGATGGGAGGTTCCGCTTCTGCAAACCCCCCCGGTCGCCGTCCATGTCCGTATCCGGTATCCGCATCGGAGACGCCGGACACGCCAAAGCAAAACGGCGACGAAACAGAACGGCGAGATGGTCGAGTCGTTTGTGACGTCTCTCGCGGGGCCCGGGGGGTGCTGGTGAGCACAGAGGATGGATGAATGACTCGAAGGCTCCAGCGCGAGGATGGATTCCAATGACGCCGTTCGTCTGTGTGAATCCTCGTCGATAGAGCCTCGCTAATCGCTGCCTTACACGAGCCAAGCACAAAGCACGCAGGACCAGTTTCCGAAGCATCACCTTCGCCGCTGAAAGTGCGGGATTCGCCAGCACTGAGCACTTGATGCTCCCCAAGTTCCGTCCGCTAGGCAAACGTTGGCCTCCGCACCATCTGGGACGCTGACAATTCCTCGCATGGCGAGTTGCAGTCCGTCGAGAAGCGACTCGACGCCGTTGCGCATTTGTAACATGACGGATTTCGATCTCCGCCGTCATAGTTTGTCAGCAGCTGCTCGCCATCCCTGCCCACCGCCAGCCTGTTCTCTTCCGGCTCTATACATACCTACATCCATATGCGTTTGCTGGCAAGTAGGTATGTACCTTGGCCCTTGCGCCTGAAGCCGCGATACGGAGTATGTATGTGCACACGCATACACACACTCATACGCACATACACACAACTCTACGTGCTCATTGCCGGCGCTCACGCCCCGGTGATCCCCTGCAGCAGCAGCAGCAGCAGACAAACGACCCGCCATCCCGCGTCACTGGATTTCCTCGATACACGCCCCTAGGCGTTTCTTCATCCCATGGCGACGCCCCTAGCAGATCCATGGCTCTTCAAGGGACGAATGAGCCTCATACTGCCACGAAAGATAGCCCCCAATCAGGCTTGGGCCCTCTTTGTTCTGTTGTCGCTCCTGTCATGCTGGCCATGTTTCCAGTCAAGGGACCAAGTGCCGCCCTTGCTACACCCACGGCTGAGCTTCCGCGGCCCAAAATCGGAACAATGATGCCTGCAACGGTGGAGCGTCGATATGTATCGAGTTCGAGATGACGGAATTTTGGGATTTTGGCTTCCGTGCTCGATCATTATCAACTGGCCTTGATCTTCCGGGCGCCTAAACTGGCCAAACAAGCAACGGCTCGTCACACACCACACCACGCCACACCCCCCCTGTCCCCCCATGTTTGCACGTTTGTTTTACGCCTTACACATGGACGGTTTGAAACACTTCTATTCTCTGCATACCTGTACATCGAGCCATCTCCACCATATCGACTGAGTCGCGAGGTCATCACCCAAGACGGCGATAACTTGACCTGACCTTTTTCAAAGCTCTCGCTTCTCGTCGCCCAAAGTGGCCTACCGCCGCGCCGTCCCTTGGGCTAGGTCGTCCATTGAAGCTTGGCTTGGTCTTACAAAATTTCCGAGATCCATCGTCTTGCATTGTGCTGCACGCACAAGTATGCAGCCCTGGCGAGAAAGGGGAAGGGGGGAGGCCTCAGATGGGGAGCGCACGCGAAGCATTGTCTAGACTCGATTCGAACTTTTCACGATGCCCTCAGCTGCAGTTCAGCTTGTTAGAAATTGCGCGCCTGACTCTGCCTTCATACATGTCTACTCGTCAACCAAGAATTAGGCACGAACCCTCCAATTACTGGGTTTCCCCACCGTCGTCATCTTCGCTAAAGCAATGCAACTTTTATAGAAGTGCCTGGCTTGCTATACACACGTTCCTTGCAATCCGATGCTACGCTGTTGCTTATCACTCCCTCCCCATGCCCAAGTGCGCGCATCACATATGACATACACCCTCTCTCCCCATAGTACTCGTTTCCTTCTCCCTGCTTTTCCCCCTTGTTTGGAAGCTGTTCTCGGCAACTCTAGGCTGTCGCATTGTATACAATCCACACGTGCAAGTTTGCCTTGCGCGGAACTGCTTCTCCCTCGTTCTAGGCTTCTTCCGAGAGGGGGGGGCCTTGGCTATAGAGCCTTGGGGACGTCTGATTGGTTCTTTCTCTCAGTTCGATGCATGTGATGTCCTCAAGCAAAATGGAAAGAGTCATACGGCGAGATTCGCGTTCAGTTGCCTGTTTGCAAGGTGACAACTTGTCCTTTTGATTTCTTTCTGCAACGAATTGCAAGTCCTGTTTGTCTAGCTTTTCCCCTTGTCTTCTCTTAATAAGATATGGGATTGGTTCATTGTGATAGGAGGGGGAAATAGGATCAGGTAAACCAAGTTGACGACTTTCTCAAATTCCTACTTCTTTTGATGAGCAAGATGTACTCGTTGCTTGGCTTTTGGCGTAGACTATGTAGCCCATCTAAATGAGCACCTTGACCAAAATCTGGACTTTTGACATGTGATTGACAGAGTGGGCATTGAGGCGAAGGGGGAGGAGCTGTTGCTTCTCTCTTTAGCTCTTCGTTTCTCTTCCAGTGGCTGTTGCCTGAATTGACAGGCATGATGCGGTAAACTGGGGGTTTGTTTCTCTTCTTACTTCTTGTCTTGTTCTTTGTCTGTTCTAGCGTTTCTGCTAAAGGTAGAAACAATCTGAAATCACATGTAGATTATCACAAGCCCCATGTTCATTGAAAGGCAACTCAAATACCAAAGCTACAACGGCACATCCAGCATAAAAAAACACACAAAAACGTCAAAGCAAGAAAGAAACAACACAACTAGGAGAAAAGAAAGAAGACAGACCCTCCAGTCAGGCATACACGCGCATGCTTCAAGGAAAGCAACATGAGAAGAAACAAACGAGCATAGAAAGAGGAAAAGAATCACGCAATAAAGTTAGAAATCGCAAACTCACAACAAAAAAAAGACTATGAAGAAGAGTCAAAAGTCATGCGGCCAGAAAATCACATAAAACACACATAAAGAAAGAATCCCTTCTACGCTCGCGGAATCACATCATACGCCCCCGTTGGAGGGGCTCTGAATTCTGTCTGTCTGTCTGTCTCTGTCTGTCTCTGTCTGTCTTTGTCGTTTCATCTTGTTATCTTAGTAAAAGAAGAGAAGAAGAGAAAAAAAGACTTTCGTCCAGGTGCAAGTGCCATGACAATGCCAACCCCTCCTTGGACATGTATTTGAAGAAACTGATAAAGGAAGAGAAGGGGGAAAACTAAAAAAAAAAAAAAAAGAAGTATCGTCAAAAAGGACAGTATTAGAAGCAGAAGGGATACCATGAAACCTTAATGAAAAGAACCCTTAGAGAACATCCCGTACAGAGAGGCTAGAGGCGGCTTCTTCAAACCACAAAGGGAGGGACAAGAGACCAAACGGGAGAATCAGAATATACATCTCGGGCACGTCTAAGAGGACGTAAAAGAGCATCGCTAGTCTAGACAAGAACATGCTTTCTCTTCTACCTTCCCATACCCTTCTTCCTCTCCGTCTTGGTGATACACTTTCCTCAACCAAGTCTCGGGGAGCCACTCAAGCCCCAATGGCCTCTTTCCCGTCTCCAGCCTGGCATCAAAAACCCCCCTCTCTCCCCTCTTCGTCATTTCGTGAAACGAGGAGAAAGCAAAAAACAAAACACAACTCCTGTCATGGGAAAGCTCCAAGACCGGCACTCGTGTGGCTCCTTTGCTTGACTGAAAGACCAGTGGAATGTGCATCTCTTCTCGTCCAACCCTAAGGCAAAGAAACAGGAAAATAGAAGATGAAAGAAAAAAGAGAAATGGTAAAGAGAAACAAAAAAACAAGCCAGCGAATAACCAATGAGTCATGGTGATCATCAAAGTAAAATGCGAATGACCCTCTTAAACTCCCAATATGTTGTTGTTGTTGTTGTTCGTACACACACGTTTTTTATGTCCCAACCTTGAGTCTCTTGAAACGCTGTCCTAAGCTCGTCGACTCATGGCCGCGGTGGCACCCGCGGCAGCGATATCCCGGGTTCCGCTCGCGATCCGGCCCGCAGCCCGCGGAAGGCTGCTGGTGCTTGATGTGCCAGCCAAGCCGGTGAACCCCTGGTGCATGGCCCCGGCACTCGTGCGCCGGTTCAAGCTTGCCGTCGTGGCGCCCGTAGCTCCAGACGCTCTACGCATGGAGCCGTGGACCGCCTTGCCGGGGCTGGCGCCCAAGCCGGGCTTGCTCGAGGTGCCAGGCGGATCGGGCAGAGGACGAGACACGGATATCGTGTTGTGACGCTTCACGGGGGATGACTCCCGCATTGGCAAGCGGGCAATAGGGGTGGGCGTCTTGACTCCCGTGATGAACTCATGCCGCACAGCATCCTCAGGTTTCAGTCGCCGGTCAGGGTCCCATCTGAGACACCGCGCGACAAAATCAAGGAACGCTTCGTCGTCGCACTTGAGCACCTGCTGGAGAGTCTTGGACGAGGGGCGTCGTCTGCGACCCTTGGACGAGACTGTCAGTCGGGGCTTGCCCATGGAGTCGAAGAAGAGCTTCTTCCGCGTGCTCTTCTCAATGAGGTGTTTCTCAGGGGGGCCGAAGACCTCCATGATGCAGGCTAGCTGCTCCTGCTCGTTTTCACCAGGGAAGATTGGGACACCAGTGTACAACTCGGCGAGGATGCAGCCCACACTCCACATGTCAATCGGCAGGCCATAAGTCATGCCCAGAATCACCTCGGGTGACCGGTAGAAGCGCGATTGGATATACGTGTAGACCTTTTCGCTCTCGAAACAGCTGGAACCAAAGTCAATGACCTTGATTTCGGCGTGAAGAGGGTGGCGCAGCAGAATGTTCTCCGGCTTAAGATCGCAGTGGATGACCTTCTTCTGCTTCAGGATGATCAGAGAGCTGAGAATCTGCTTGGTGAAGCGCCGGATAATCCGCAGAGAGAATCCTCTGAAAGAGTGAGCCTTGATGAACTCATAGAGGTTCATGTCCAAAAGTTCCGTGGAAATGCAAAGATGGCCACGGAAGTAGAAGCTCTGGGTAAAGTTGACCATGCTGTGCTTGTTATGAGGATCCTGTAACGTGTCAAGTCAGCCAAAGGTGATGTTGCGGTCTAGGCGTGGAATCAGGGCCTTCATCTACTCACCCACTCGCGCAGCTTTTGCAGAATATTAACCTCAACAAGAGCTTGCTGATGGAATCGTTTCTTGTTTCTGATGATTTTGACGGCAACGAGAACTCCTAGCTTGTGGTCGATGCAGCGAACGACCTGGCCAAAGCTTCCCTTTCCGAGGACATCGATGACTTCGTACCGATACGCAAGGTGGTCGCCAATCACAATCGAATAATCTCCGCGCTCATCGTCGTAGCCAAAGTTCGGGGCGTCCGATGACAAGTCGCCCACGACCTTGTTGGCATTCTGAGTGCCGCAGAAGTAGACATCGTTGTAGTCGATGATCTCGCCCCGTTCGTAAATGTTGAGCATGGCAATCCGGATGGCCTCGTGGGGCCCGACTCGCTCCTTGGGCGTGGCCCTCTTCTTCAGGGCATCCAGAGTCCTGGCTGCGATTTCCGTCTCCTTGCGCCGAGACCCCAACTTGCGCATTTCTTCTTCGGCAATAAGATCATCCTTGTCCATGTCGGCGACGTACGAGCTTGAACTGGGCACACTAGAGGACGTCTTCGGCCTCATGAGCTTGGCCATGACCGACGGGTGGCGAGCTGCTGGCATGGTCGCAGGGTCAGCAACAGTGGCATCCTTCTTGGCGGTCCATGGATCACTCTTGGTCCGGTCGTGGGAAACGTAAGCGCTGTTCATGTTGCCAACGGAGCTCTTCCTTCTCTTGGACTCGGAGCGTCCCTGGGGAGCAGCCGCGCTCGGGCCAGCAGGCTTCGCGGTTGGCAGAGAGTTCATCGTGGCGGATGTGGGTATGCGAGGAGCCGCGCTGCCGTCCTGATTACCCTGCGCTCTGTCTACGACATCCTGCGGGGGAACAATGGCCCCCTTCGAGTTGCCCTTCTTCCAAGACAAGCTGAGCTTCCTTCGCAAATTACTCATCGAGGAAGGCGTCTGGGGCTGATCAGCAGGCTGAGCCGGCGGGGGAGATTTGGGCACAGGCTTGTCCGTGTTGGGAGGCCGCGGCCCGGCAGGCTTTTGGTGGACCTTGTCTTCGAATAGCGATCGGTTGACGTTGGTGGTGTGCTCGGAGCCGGTCTTTGAGCGCTTCAAGTATCCTTGCGCGCCGTTGTCCTTCTTCGGGAAGGATGACGAGCCAAAGGGCGACATGCTCGGCTTGGGCACCAGATCCTTAAAGACCAGCGAAGAATCCGAGGACGAGCTCGTCGGGGCTGGCGGGCTCGGGGTTCTGCGGTGAGTCCGGTGTGCTGCAGTGCTGCTTCTCATGGGCGGCAACGGCTCCAGGGCTTCATCGAAGCGCGTCTTTGCGAAGAAGGAGCTCTTCGAGGCAGTCATGGGCGTCGTCGGTGTCTTGGGAAGCTGTCGCGAGGCGGGCGGGCTCATGGGTCGCTCAGCGGTGCCGTTCTCCTGCAGCGCGGCCACTTTGGCTGCGGTCGGTATGTTCAATGGGCCAAGATTCAGCGGCGGCAATCGCAGGGGCTCCAGACTCTTCTTGACCTGCGTGTTCTTCTTCTCCTCCGTCCTTGCCGCAGGAGGCGCATGGTTCGTAGACTTGAGGCTCGATTTACGCTGCAGCTTGACGGTTTCCACGGCAGTCGGCGGCGGCACGCTCGTGGTAGGATTGCTGTGGCTATTCAGATTGATCGTGATGCTGTCGAGAGCGCCGAGGCTGGACTTCTTCTTGGCCAACGAATACATGTCGGTCGGGGCATCCTTTGGCGACTCATATGCTTTGGGGATGGCCGGGACGGGAGGGACATCTTCTTCGTCACCCGAGGGCAATGAGCCTTGGCTAGTGGTATGTTTTGGGGCGGGTAGTCGGGAGGTAGAGGACGACTGAGGGAGGCGCGGCTGCAAGGAGCCGGTCGAGGTCCTCACAGTGTTGAAGCTAATGGTAGAGCCGACGGAAAGACCAGAGCTGTAGGATTTCCTGCTGATATCCGGCGTAGTCCGAGACGAGGATGGCGTGGCCGAGGCCTTTCTAGGGATCATCGATGGTGATCTTGACGCGGCTCGCGTCTCCGACGACACAGGAGGGCCAGATGCGACACTTGAAACCTGGTTTGAGCTCATGGATTGCGGCATCATGGACATGCGCTTCATCCGTCTGGTGTCAGTAGGGCTGATGGTTCGGGCGCCGAGCCCCGTTGCGTGAGAGGCATGCCCCGTAGGCATGGCAGATGCCCGTCGTCCAGAGGAGGAAGGCGTCAATCCCTTGCCTGCGAGCCGTGGTGATTTGGGAGCAGCCTGGAGATGCTCCGGGGTGAGAGAGGAAGTGGAGGAACCGGCCAGGACGTTTGCCTGGCTCAGCGTCGGCGTGGGCTGCACCGATTTCGCCTTGACGCTCCTGGCGGTGGTCGCAAAGGTGCGGGTGTTGTCCGAGCCGATATCGAGGGAGGTCCTGGTTACATCACTGGCCCTCTCCGAGAAGAGGCTGGGGCGTCGTTTCGAAGAGCTGCGCGTCAGCGTTTCCCCGTCAGCGACGACGCCCGGGCCAATCGATTTGCGAGGGGGTTTGGCGGAGATATTGGAATTAGAGACGGGAGGATACTGGCTCTGTCGGCGAGTGCGCAGTCCAATGGTAGCCGTAGAGGCATCGATGGAGCCGGACGTTGTCGAGATGGACGAGGCACTGTTCTGTCTCGACGCGCTTGGCCTGTGGAGGATGGATCCCGATCTCGAGGTTCGCGTGGAGGCCGGCATGCCCACGCGTGTGGCACCGCCATTGGCGGCCGTCTTGTCGGACAGCCTCCTGTCGGACATGCTTATTGAGGAATCAACGTCACTGGCTGACGCTGCTGGAGATGGATACTTGTTCCGCCGCGGCTCACTGTTGCCAGAAGCCGCGGACTCGATGCTGGTGTGGAGGTCGTCGAAGCTCACAGAGGGTAGAAAATCGTAGGAGCCGGTGGTGTTGGTTGCTTGTTCTGTATGGCTCGCCTGTCCATTTCGGCCGTAGGAAAAATGCGAGCGGTTGGCGGAGGATGTGGTGCTGAGCATTGGGGAGTTTGAGACCGAGCTGTTGCTCCTCGAGGATGCCGTCGGTACACGGCTGGATGATCTGGTGTAGGTTCTGCAGTTGCCGGGGCATCAGGTTAGCACCACTTCTTCCACTTGTCTGACTTCGTTACAGCCAGCCCTGTCGACTTCTCTCCCTCCCCGATGAGGGTGATGAGGCTGTGTGTTTTGACAGAGTTCTCCTTCTTGCGTCTCTGTCCCTGTCTCTTCTTTTCTTCTTCTTCACCACCCTTCTCGTCTCTTGGCCTTTGGTGGGAGGTCGAAATCTTACAGGCGAGGGGACGTGTTTGCTGGTCGAGGCCCAGCAGGCGCCTTGTGCTTGAGGGTCATAGAGAGCGAAGCGTCGCGAGGCGGAAGCGGACGAGATGGAGGTGCGCAGCAGCGTCGTGCGTCTGGCACGCAGTTTCGCACACGCTCACGCACACGATGGGTCGAGGGTCGAGGTCGCTGGAAGCGTCACAGCCTCAGTCCGGTCAGGGAGCTGAGAGCGTCTGAACGGCTACCTCATTCCGACCCGGCACCTGGTCTGTGGATGGGAGGGCGGCAGCTGCAAGGCAAGCGCGGGTCTGATCGAAGCGTGCGCTGGGCTGTCGAGACGCCGACGGCAGCCTGCCTCGAGGGACTGGTTTTGGATTGCCGGCGATGCGTGAGGCGAGAGGAGTTGGTTCGAGGTTTGGAAAAAACGAAAGGGGCGGCTTGAGAAGCAACAAGCGTCCAGGTCGTTGTTTTGCGAGCATCGAGGGGGGTTGCACGCTTGCGGGTTCAGGTCGTCCAGCGGGCTTTGGGGCGCTGGGGCGCTGGGGCCAGCCTGACCTGGGCCAGCTTGAGGGTGCTTGGGGGTGCTACGGCACTGGCCACAGCGCCTTCTGGCACCTAGGAACGCTCGAGCTACTGCGGCACTAGCCCCCCCAGGGCCGCTGGTTGCTGGGTGCTACAAGGTCGGTCAGGCCCATGGGGGGGGGGGCCCTGAGTCGCGGTACCTTGGGCTGGGTGGCCACTTGGCGGCTGGTGCTGGCGAGGTTGCGGTACCTGGTGGTGTGGAGCACGCGTGAGGACTCGGGCGGCGACGGGGCTGCAGGGCGAGGGGAAGAGGCGGGCGGCGAGGTACCGGTACGTGCTGGTTTACACGAGGGCGGTAATGTCGACTTTCGTTCATGTTTCAATGACCATGGGGTCAGACTTCACGTTTGCAGGTGCCATGGCGGTACCTTGGGCGCATGTACTGTGGCAAGGCGGCGCAGGCCCCAGTGGTCTGTACAGCCGCACAATGGACGAGAAGCCCATCAAAGGGTGTACATTCGCCTGCCGTACCTGCTCACGGGCTTCGTCCTTGATTCTGATCTTCAATTCTTGCTTTCGCTGAACCCGAGACTCACAAATTGGTACGAAGAGGCCGCATTGTTGATGCATGTCTCGATTAATTAGACGCTGATTTATACGGGTCATTTGCCTACCTCAGGTCCATGTCAAATGCTACATGGCCGATAAACACGAGCATCAAAAACTCCCCTCTGTAAAATGAGGAGTATGAAACATCAATTTTTGTGTCAATTTCAGATCCAAGCCCATTCAATCTGCCATATCCGTACATGCGTGGCCGATGCCTGACTAATCTGTTCCCTTGTCCCGATTGTTTTGAATGTCCAGTCGATATTACCCCGTCAATTTCTTTACCCCATGAACGAACTGGTCAATCTCATAAGGCCTGGCAGGTTCGACAAGAAGCAAATGTTAAACAAACGACCTACCTGTTCACTACCATTTGCTCCCACCAGTGCCGTCTTCCATGCTCAATCGAAATTGATATTCCGCTCTGTTCCCCTTGTTCTTCTTCAACTTCTGCCAGCCCCTTTTAGTTCCTCGAGTTCATACGACATGTCAACGAAAGCGGATACAGCCTCAATCCGGCATCCAGCCTTGCTTAAGCGCCCGCCTCACAGGCCCCAACCGCACACATGCATACATACATATAAACAAACAGAATACGGAATGGCAACAAAACATCCCGGGAACGGGCGTGATCCCCCTCCGAGGGCGTTGAAAGCCCAGACACGCAAGAGCCAAGTACATACAGAGGCAGCATGCCCGGCTTCTCCCTCCTTCGTCTTGCTCGCCATTTATCTCGCCTGTCATTTACCCATTCTCCACACTCCAGCCCCTCCATGTAAAAGCAGATTCGCATCATCAAGAATCGCCACTCAGAAACAATACAACAGCTGCTATCACAACTATCTAAATCGAAGAGATCGGAGAGGCAATGCTGACATGAGAATAGAGACAGAAAAGTCAAGGAGAAGTGAGCAATTGCTCTGTGGGCTGTACAAAGCATGTTCCTTTCTTCCCTTCTGCTCCGTTTCTGCACCTCGGCTCCGTTTGTCTGCCGTCGTCCGCATCATCATCACACGCAGGTCATGCGGTTCATCACCGTGGTCCGTTGCGTTGCCTAGTATTTGTCACGTCTTGTGCAGAATGGCGCACATTCGTCTGGCCGACTCAGGTGCGTCCACGTAATAGTATCTTTCAAGACTGGCTCCAGCGCCTACCTAGTACCTATTGCACGTTGAGCTGGCGACTGGACACTGACAGCCTTCGCTTATGTCTGTCCGTTCTTCGTACATGATGCGGATGTCACTGATGCGGTGCTTGCGACGTGCTTGCAGCAGCGCCCTGGGACGAAGCGGTACAGTATCTCGTCACCAACAGAATACCACACTCTCATGTACCTAATCTTGCTAATGTGCAGAGCGCCTCTGGGTCATTGAGTACCTTACCTTACCTACAGGTATCCCGTCCTATCAGTCTGTTTGCCGTTGCTGCAGTTGCCGCTGCACGGATCGAGCTCTGAATGTCATGTTTGTTGATGCGCCGTGCGTCCCCCCCTTCTGGAAAATGGCCTCAATCCGGGCCTCCGTTGCTCCCTCTCCGCCCTCGGGCTTCTCAATGTGCCAATGGGAACCGATCTGGTGCTTGCAGAGTGGCGCCATTGGTTGGTTGTCAATGTCAGATCTTTGCAGGGGCTCCTTCAGCACTTTGGGTCTCGGTGGTTGCAGGCAGCTGTGTTGAGGTGCTCCCGTTCCCTGTACGGAAGCTCTCGTGTTATGGCATCTCCATTGTTGGGTATTGTTTGGGCGCCGTATGGGCCGTGTTGGGTTGCGATTGTCAGCTTTTGACGGACCGCTCGTCCTGACGGAGAGGCTAATGACTGTTGGTGCTTGGCCTTATCGTGTGATGATGATGATGTTCTACCTACTTCGGTCTCGTCAAACGGTACAGGTTAAGCCCTCATGATATCATCCGTCTGATATAAACCAATTCAGCGACGCACAAAACACAGAAACACAAGAACAAAGAGGAAGAACAAGCATCTGCAACAAGCCAAAAGCGCTTGGGACATTCAGACATGACAAGGTGCGGAGCGCACAACCGACAAGAGAGGAGGAGGACGGACGGGCAGACAGACGGGCAGATCCCCAAGCTTCAATGATTGCTGCTCCATGCGCAACCCACCCAAGCCGTCACAGCGTTTCTGCACTGTTGTGTCATCGGTTCGCCACGTATGTCTGGAGATGGAGCCGCAGCAGCCGTTCGACTGGTTTATCCGCCTGGTCTAGAGCCGTCTTTGTGCATATTCTTCTCGTGCTACTGCTACTGCTGCTGCTGCTGCTGCTGCTGGACGTGAATAGTAGCCCGGCTTCCTTTGCGGTGAGGATGCGCCCCGTAGTCCGCTTTTGGGTCGCTATCTACCTGGTTACATGTACCTAAGGTGCCTTGGGTATCGGCTGGTTTAGACCAGCTCCAGATGGAGACGATGGCTTGATTTTGACTGTCAGGTGTTGATTGTGTAGCCTGATATGGATGTTGATGGACTGACTGCAATATTGCCTCTCTCGAATCGTTGAAACATAGCACCGCCAGCCAATCGATATCCGACTTACAGAGATGCGGATACATGTGAATACATAGATGAACGCTGGTGCGGCGACCCTCCAATTGAACCCTTCATTCTCTTCTTAGCTGCCGCCGGCTAGCGGCTCTCGTGCTGCCCAGAAGCAGAACGGACGAATCAGTGGATATTTCACAGCTTTGAGTGTGTCCTGAAATCCTTGGACGGGCTGCAAGCTTCGAACAGACATGAAGTGTGGCGCCGCACCCTGTACAAGCCACACAGTGAGATCATCGCCTGGCCTCGCGTCACATGCCGACATGCTTTTGGGTCCCAGCTCGACACTCCCCCAAAGTTACTACTACTAGGTACTATTAGTACTATCGCTATCCATCCAACAACCGCCGTTATCGATCCCAACCGCAGCTCCATCCCGCAAAATTATGAGATAGAATCGAATCCGCCGCGGCGCTGGCCATCTCACCACGTGCCATGGACGACTTCGCCGCAGAGTTGATGGCACCCGGCCGCGACGAGTCGCCCGAACGACCGCCCGAGCGAAAGGCGCCCTCAGAACTCGACCCGTCCACGGCATCGCCTCAGCGCATCGGCCTGCGCTCCGGCCTTGCGGCTCTCCGAGAAAAGGCAAACATACAAGATCGCCTTGTAGAAAAGTCAGTATAACCCAGATACAGGAGAAGAAGAAGAAGAAGAAGAAGAAGAAGAAGAAGAAGAAGAAGAAGAAGAAGAAGAAGAAGAAGAAGAAGAAGAAGAAGAAGAAGAAGAAGAAGAAGAAGAAGAAAAGGAAGAAAAAAGGAAGCGCCATCGCTAATCATCGGGGCATTCAACATCGCAGGCTCCTTCAACAAGTCATCCCCGCCGAAGACCGCCATGGCCCCCCAGAAATCACCATCTCGGCCGACGACGCGGCGTTCCCGCAGCGGCCGGGCTTCAACCTGACGACCATGTCCAACAACTTCCGGCGCTTCAACGCCCGCATCGGCGTCGTCTTCAAGTTCCAGGCGCGCATGACCCGCATCCTCTCCTGGCGGAGGCCCTCGCACACGCTCTCCCTCCTCGCCACGTACACCTTCGTCTGCCTCGACCCGTACCTGCTGTGCGTCCTGCCCATCGTGGGCATCCTCCTGGGCGCCTTCATCCCGGGCTTTCTCGCGCGGCACCCGGCGCCGCCCAAGGGCACCCTGTCGAGCGAGCAGAGCATGGGCTACTCCCCCCGGGGCCCCCCGCTGGCGCCGGCGGCGACGGTCCGGCCGGCCAAGGAGCTGAGCAAGGACTTCTTCCGCAACATGGGCGACCTGCAGAACTGCATGGACGACTTCACCCAGGGGCACGACATGGTGGTGGCGCTGCTCGTGCCCATTAGCAACTTCAGCAACGAGGCGCTGTCGTCGGCCGTCTTCCTCTTCCTCTTCGCCGCGGGCGTCCTCATGACCATTGCCGCGCACATGATCCCCTGGCGCCTCGTCTTCCTCATCGGCGGCTGGGCGGCCGTCGGGTCGGGCCACCCGGCCGTCGCGCGCCTGCTGGCCGCCACGCGCGAGTCGCACATCCAGCCGCGCGAGCAGGAGGCCCGGTCCTGGCTCGACGCCTGGATCGCGACCGACGTCATCCTCGACTCGGCGCCCGAGACGCGCGAGGTCGAAATCTTTGAGCTGCAGCGCCAGTCGGCCGCCGGCGAGTGGGAGCCCTGGCTCTTCTGCCCGTCGCCGTACGACCCGCTGTCGCAGCCGCGCATCGCCGGCGAGAGGCCCCGCGGGACGCGCTTCTTCGAGGACGTCATGCCGCCCGAGGGCTGGGAGTGGAGCGAGAAGAAGTGGGCGCTCGACCTTTGGAGCAGGGACTGGGTCGAGGAGCGCATCATCACGGGAGTCGAGGTCGAGACGGAAGGGGAGCGGTGGGTGTATGATATATACAATGAGCGAGAGGGCCGGACTGGCGTCGTGGACGACCATGGTGGTGACAATCAGGCTGAGAACAAGCCGAGCGGTCGGTCGGGGGGCATGCCGCACATGAGTTGGGAAGAGGGCGAGGATGGGACGGGTAAGAAGGGGGAATGGAGGAGACGGAGGTGGGTGAGGCTGGTCAAGAGGAAAGTTGCCGTGTCTGGGACACAGTAGCTTGAGTGTGGGTGAAGATGGGGGTTTCTTTTATTGACTCCTTGTTCCAGTATTACCATTGTTTCTTCATATATTAGCGTTGTTCTTGGAAGGCAATCTTTGTAATGTTCCGACAGGCCGTGATGGATAGGAATTGTGACAAATGTTTGCTGCATGCGTGATGATGCTACTGCCGATATTGGAAAAAAAGACTGATACCGTCGCTTTACTATGCCGGAATATGAAAGGCAGCTGATTGATATGCAATCCGTTGCCCTCGACTTGAAATGTAGGGCAGGGATAGGAACAAATAGAAATAGTAAGTGATGATTGAGGATGAAGGAAGGATACAAGAAAATCATTAACCATGCTGCGAAAGACCAGTCGCTTCGGCGCCAATGTGTCCCAGAAACCAATTACGTAGAATCATGAAGCCCATCCTCCTCTCCCCCAGATTTGTTTCCGTCCGAGGCCGCAGATCCCCGGCGCCTCTCATGGCGAAATCACCATCTTATCCAGAATCTTGTAAATGCCAGCGGCCCTGCCAGACCCGTCCTCGAGCTCGGCCACCATCTTGCGGGCCCTCTCGATGAGCGTGGCGACGACCTGGCGGGTGTACTCGAAGCTGCCCTTGGAGTCCATGTAGGAGACGGCGTAGCGCTTGACCTGCACGTCCGTCGTCTTCTGCTTGAGGATGTTGATGAGCTGCAGGTCGACGGGGTCGGCGCGGATGCTGTGGATGACGGGGAAGGAGAACTTGCCCTCCGTCAGGTCCTCGCACATGCCCTTGTTGTGGCTGTACTCGCTGGACGAGAGGTTCATGTAGTCGTCGCGGATCTGGAAGATGAGGCCGATGATGTCGACGAGGGGCACGCAGTCGACAGCCGAGGTGGACTCGGCCTGCATCAGCTTGATGCCGAGGCGGAACAGGCCGCCCGTCTTGTTGCCGACCATCTCGAGGTAGTCGTCCTCGGTCGGGCAGGTCAGCGTGTCGCGCCAGAAGAGGTCCATGCCCTGGCCGCGGTGCAGGTTGATGAGCTCCTCGGCGAAGAGGGCAATGACGTGCTTGTTGCCGAGCTTGACGAGCTCCTGCAGGGCGGCAAAGTAGATGTAGTTGGCCGAGTTGATGGTCTGGGCGACGCCGAAGATGTTGTGGGCGACGGGGAAGCCGCGGCGCAGCTCCGACGAGTCCTGGACGTCGTCGACGAGCAGCGACGCCTCGTGCAGCATGCCCACGACCTTTGTCACGATGGCGAGGCTCTCGGGCGGCACGTCGAGGAAGGCGTTGAAGGCGGCGATGATCTGCGAGCGGAAGTCCTTGCCCGGGTGGCTGACGACGTACTCGAACGGGCCGCGCACAATGTGCTCCTTTTCGTCGGTCCACGTGCCGCGGCGGCGGAAGTCAAAGTCCTCGTGCGCGAAGCGGTCGACGCTGGGCGGCGCCGAGGGATTGACCTGGTGCTGCATGTCGGCGAGGTCGACGTCGCCGTAGTGTATCCTCTTGCTGCTTCTCCGCGGTGGAGGTTGAGGATACTCGTACAAGGGCCGCTTCGACATGTGGTCCGGTGCTGCTGCTGCTGCTGCTGCTACTGGTCCTACCACATGTACATGTACTAGCTCTAGCCTGGAGCGCGGGGCCAGCCACTGAGCTTCGCTCTCGAGCTCGAGTAGGGGCTCGGCTTCAACGGCCGAGGTGGCGGCAGCGGGAGCTTGGAGGCGTGGCAGCGACGAGCTGGAGGCCAAGGCGCGGGTCGGGGTGACGCTGTGGCGCTGCTGAGCCGGCGGGTGAGGCTGTATTGACAGTGACAGCCGGGACTGGAGCTGAGCTTGGAGGAGGAACTGAGACTGGGAGCTGGCTCGAGAATGAAGAGGCTGCGAGTGTACATGTAATAAGGATTGACGCCTGCTCGAGGTCCGCGGAGGAATGGCAATGGTCCCCGACACGGTCAACTTGGGTTCGGAGAGCATCGTTTCCCGGGCGAAGCGAGGCGTCGTCGCCTGGTCTTATACTGCCGTTGTGGCGCCAGCGGCGATGGAGAAGCGGCGGGGTGTTGAAGAAAGAACTGGAGGTGCGGAGCACAAGCGAACACACATACAGCGTAATACGTCCAGGACAGGACATGACCTGACCTGACCTGACATGGTGGCCATGCCTACATGTACTCGTACATACATCCAGCCGGACCTTACCGCATTTTTGGGGGCTTCGTCTGGTGGTGACTGAGCTGGGCGGACTGCCAGGACACATGCCGACAGACAGAATCGGCGGGGCGTGCAGGTGACGAGGAGCGGCATCTCGTCCGCGGCCCTATCAGAGGCGCGGGCTCGCGGTGGGTTGCGCGGGCGGCAGATGCATGTTGGCTGCAGCCTCGAGAACTGCAGAAGCAGCTGCCTGTCTGGCCGTCGGCTTGCCGGGTATGTCCAGGCTGGCTGTTGGCCGAAGCTGCGCGAGGGCCGTGGAGCGTGGACGCGTCGGCGATGCTGAGAGGCCGGAGGGAGAGAGGACTGGAGCTTGTGAAGGATGGGGAGCCCGCGGCATGGCATGGGAGTCCGTAAGATGGCGGAGAGGATCGTTGGTGCAACGGACTGACTGCTGACGGGCTGTTGGAGGGGGAAGGGCGCGGTTCACGAGGGTTGCACGGATGGATGACGCTGATGAAGGCTCTCTGGCGATGTCGAAACGGACGATGGGGCCTGAAAGGGAAGATTCGGGGCGGGCGGGCGAGAGCTGTTGAGCCTGGCTGATAAGGAGTCTTTCCAAGTGGCCTTGACATCCATCCAGCCTTGTCCCAAGAAGGATCAAAGCGCACTTTGATAATGAATGAGGTTCTGCATGCAACTACCTTGTCTCGTTGCCAGTATCCGGTGGTTCAACCCCCATGCAGAGACGGAGACTATCGCCAATTGAACTTGCCGAGAGGCATCATGTGGCAACTGAGGCAGAAACCAGGCATTAGATGGCCATTGCGGACCAGGATTGCGACAACTCGATGTTACATGTCGACTGCAGCTCGAGTCCGTTTGAGCTCAAGCACCGGCCGGTGCAAGGAAGGACGTGCATGGTTTCGTCGGTTCAATTGCTTTATTCCCATTAGGCAGCTCCAGTGTTTCGAGGATACATGTTATGGATCATGTCTTGGACGTCCAGTGCCTTACATAATGCAGGTGTCGGCCCTCAACCACTGCAGTGCCGACGATACCATCGGCATGAGATGAATGCTGGAACCTCATGCAGCTCTAGGTATCCAATGTCACCCAAGTGTCATCCCGTATATTATAGTACCTATAGGTAGGTAGTAGGTACTTTAGTATATCGCACTTCAGCTTTGGACGCACGCGTGCATGAACTGCCTTTAGATAAGCGTCCAATTGAAGCTGTGCCTGTCGCTCCGCAGATATTGACATGTATTATTACCCGCGAATCAGCATCTGCATTCTTATAAGCTGAAGTACGGTATCTATGTATTGATCGCAAACGGTCTTCTGCCTAATCATCCATCCCGACACCTTGTGGCATATTGACGTCAGCAAGTAATACTAATATCAGCTCCTGTCAAATCAAGGCACAAGGTCCCCAGCATCGTCATCGTGCTCTTGCTCGTTTCCAACTCCCAGCTAGATAATAAACGAATGGCGTGCAGCCGTCGGCGCTGCAAGCACTCAGCAGGCTGCCCAGTCAGAAGCCACAGGGCAGTCTCAGTGCCTAGCCTGGTCCCCGTTCGGCCCTCCCGCCAGGCGCTATTAGTACCTAGTAGCAGCTTGTCCCGTGGTCACCGCAGTGGAGCTCAATCAACTGCCAACCCCGCCCACAGGCCGGCCCCCAAGCGACCAATTTACGGCGCGCCAGTGGCCTGTAGCCTCCCTGTAGCCTCCCCGTAGCCTCCCTGTGGCCTCCCGAGGTCCACTGTATTCCTGTCTCGTCCACCAGCTGCCGTCTCCCTCCCTTCACCTTCACACGTTCTCGAGCCCGCCGTTGCCGGGGAAATGAAGCCGCACGCACCAACTGGGACCCGAACTTGATTTGATGGGCTTTGCACCAGGCGCTCTTGTTTGCAAGTTTCCCACGCAAAACACATACACATACACACACACACACACACACACACACACTCACTTGGTTATTATTGACTTTCATTTGACGCAGTGGCTTTTTCTTCTCATCTCTCCCTGCGTATTGTTCCACTCTCTTACTCACACTCTCTCACTCTTTACATGTCTTTTCCTTTCAGCTCTCAGTCTTCATCGTGATACCCCCCAAAGCTTTTGTCTCGTCTCCTTTTTCCTCTTGTACCAACATTCTCAATCTTTGCGTCTCACTGGCACTGCATCTTCATCCAACCGCTTCCGCTCGTTATCAAACAACCACACAGACGTCATCCATACCTCCCCACCATAAACAAAGAAAACAAAGAAACAAGGAAGAGAGAAAAAAAAAAAAAGAAGAAGGCTCTCATCTCGATTCCCTCCCCTGGACCTTCTTTGACTCTTTCTTTGTTGCCTCTCCTTTCCGTCGTTTCGAGATCAAGTCTTTCAAGTTGTCTTCCTTGCCCAACAGCTTGTCCGCCGCTATCGATTACCGAGATCATCATGGAGGCTCTCCTGTCACTCGCCTTCGATAACTTGTCCTCCTATGACGGCCCCAAGATCCGCAAGGGGCTGCGCCAGGTCGAAGGCCTCCTGGCGCAAATCTGCCTGTCCAACAGCTCCTCTGGACGAACCCGGTCTTCGTCCCTCTCCTCGTCTGCGGTTGGCCATGACGACGACGACGACGATGCCTCGGGTAATGCCCCTCGCAAGGATCTCGCCCAGCTCACCCAGGACCCGGCCTTTCGGGAGTTCTTCAAGCTGCAGGAGGGCTTCGAGTGGAACGTCGCCATGCGCCTGACCAGCACGCTGGATCGACTCATGGCCAAGGGCAGCGACGGCCAGAACGACTTGCTCATCCTCAGCGCGCTGGATCTCATCCAGGGCGTCATGCTGCTGCACCCCCCGAGCAAGGCTCTTTTTGCGCGTGAGCAGAATATGAATGCAAGTCATGACCGCAGGGGACCCTCCCTCCTCCCCCCCCTGTCACGAAATGCTTCTCCACGCTAACCCGTAATACCTCAAAACCAGCTCTTACTGGATCTTCTCGAGCCCTACAACTGCCCGGCGATCCAGTCTGCGACTCTCCTGACCCTCGTCGTCGCCCTCATCGACACCCCCAACAACACGCGCACCTTTGAAGGGCTCGACGGCCTGCTGACGGTCACGTCCCTCTTCAAGTCGCGCTCCACCTCCCGCGAGGTCAAGCTCAAGCTGGTCGAGTTCCTCTACTTCTACCTCATGCCCGAGACGCCCTCGAGCCCTCGCGCCGCCGATCACCGCGAGTCTGTCTTCCAGCGCAGCCCCTCGAAGCTCTCTGGCGCATTCGGCGCGGACGGTAGAAGCGGCCGCAAGCGCGCCAACAGCAACGGGGTCATGACGCTGACCACGGCGGAGAAGCAGCAGCTCCTGAGTCGCCATCTTAGCAGTGTGGAGGACCTGGTCAAGGACTTGCGAACCTGCGCGCCCTTTGGCGGCATTGTATGCTGAGCTGGTTCTGGCATACAGAAGGATTGCGCGAGGGCAAAACAAGGAACCCCGGTAGCCTCTTCTTCTTCCTCTTTCCCTTCTCTTCTTCTTTTGTCTTCTTCACTTCTTCTTCTTCTTCTTCTTCTTCTTCTTCTTCACTTCGGTTACATTCCTTCCTCTTATTTCACCACTTCATTTGCAAGGCTTTCTTTTCTTTATACCCCTCGAGCTAGCCTCTTCATTGGGTGTCGGATTTTCTTTGGTGGCGTTGGGTCGGATTTGCAGTCAACTTACTTTTCAAAGTTGACTGAAAGCATGTTTAAGAACTAAACGCCTTAGACGTGCGTGCAAGAAATCTCCTCTGATTTTGTTTCCTGGGTTCCCCCTTTTGAAGGACTCAAAGCCCTATTTTACGGTCTGAACTTGGACGGGGATCGTGTATTACAGAGTAGGCGTTTTGACTCAATATATCGCCCAGTTCCTTCTCTTTGAGAATACATGTACATAGTATCTTACTTTTCGTCTCCTTTCGTGCTATCAAGTCAAGGCTCATTTTTGCGCAGAGTTTGGATTCTCGCCAGGCAAGGGTGGACTTGGCAACGGACTCGCCGGCCAATTCGCCTCGGAACCATGCAACTCAAACCTCCCATCCAGCGTCTCGGGCGTCCGCAGCTCCCCAAACGCCACACTGCTCACGCCCGACCTCGGCGACAGCACGCCCTCGCCCGAGACCTCGCTCAGGAGCTCCCGATCGGTGCCCAGCTCGACGGGGTCCGGGGCGGAGGACGGCGAGCGGATGGTCCCCGCGTCGGTGACGGCGGCGCCCGAGGGCGTCACGGAGGAGACCATTTCCCAGCGCTGGGCCGCCGATGCGTCGGGGGAGGAAGTCGGCGCAATGGCCATGGGGGCGTCTCCTGCTACGTTTCTGTCATTGTTGTTGTAGGGGCTCGTTTGCCGGGCCCTGCGGCGGGTGAGGTAGAGCCATGCTGCTCCGGCGACGAGCAGGCCGCCGCCTACGACTGCGCCGACGGCGATGCCCGCTTCCGCGCCGGGAGAGAGGCCGCCTGAGGAGGAGGATGAGTCTCCGTCAGAGGCATCGTCACCGCCGCCTGCTGCCGCGAGGGTGCTGGTCGGCCCGCCCGTCGCGGTGGAGCAGTAGCCCGAGCCGGCAAACGAGGTGCACGTGTGGCCATTGTCGCAGCAGCCGTTGCCGTCCGGGCACCGGAACTGGCTGGTGGTGCAGCCGTCGGCGACGGGGGTGAGGCCCGGCGGCGGGCTGGTCCTGGTCGAGACGCAGTGGCCTCCGGCCTGGCAGTCTGCGCTGTAGGGGCAGCAGTTGCCGCCGAGGGAGGGGGCGCAGAGGTAGAAGCTGGTTTGGGGACAGGCGCGGCCGCAGCAGCCTGTGAGGACGGTGGTTGTTGTGCTGGGGGATGCTCTTGTTGTTGTTGTTGTTGTTGTTGTTGTTGCTGTTGTTGCTTTTCTGAAGGATGAGGAGGTGAGGGTGATTGTTCGTGTGACGGAGCAGCGGACGGCGGTGGCCGGGCAAGGGTTGTCCGAGGTGCAGGGCTGGCCGATTGCGCAGCATTTGGGCTCGTTGGAGGAGTTGACGTAGCAGTAGCTGTTGTTGTTGCAGCAGCGGTCGCCGTGGCCAATGTCGAGGCCTGGTGGGATTGTTTGGCGCGGTGGTCAGCATTGCGGTGGTATTGATGTAGAATATGGTGGTGAGACGACAGGGAGGAAGAATAGTGGTGGAGGATGGAGGATGGAGGAGGAGGAGGAGGAGGAGGAAGCTTTTCCCGTCGACTTACAGCTGTGTGCGTCGTCGCCACACGATCCCTCGCGCTTGAACAGCGGATGCGACCTATCAATGAAGTGTCGCGGCGTCAGTCCGTCCGGGACGAGTTGCACAGCGGCGTATCTGTCCCTGGCGGCGCTGGCGGAGGCGAGGCCTGAGAGCGGGAGGACGACGAGGAAGAACCTCATCGTGAGTGAAGCGACAAGGGCATCCTTTGGCTTCTAACTGCCGCTGTTGAATTGACAAAGTCAGCGAAGACGTCTGAATTAAGACTGAGGGAAGAATCTTGGGAGACGACAAAACGAAAAGAAAGAAAGAAGAAAAAAAAGGAGGAGGAAAGAAAGCAGAATGAGGGACGCAGTGCTACCTTGATGCCGGCAAAGCCTTTCGCAGCCTCGCGCGTGGTGGCCTGTCGGGACAGGGATTTTTGCTTGGGGATGACGAGGTGTAAATACTACATGTAGGTGATGCAGCTACCTAGTAATAGTAGAGGGCTCATGATCCATGCATGCTGCGACGCCGTTTCGGGGTCTGCATCCTCATTGAGCAGTCAGACGGACAAGATGGAGCTGCAGATGGAGTCGATCCGTTTGTCCATTTCATCCTCCTTCGCGTGTGCACCTGGAGAAAAGGGCCATATAAGTCATGATGCGGCGTGATGCCAAACCCCGAAAGTGTCGTGTTTGTTGGTCCATGACAACTTGCAGTCAGTAAGGATTCAGTACATATCCATCGACTCGATGGCTTCGGACTTGTTCGGCTTCGCTGTGCCCTTTTCCTTTGAGCCAACGGATGAAGCGTGAGTGGACTCTGTCTGTGTGGATGCGACTTTATTTAGGTAGGTACATGTATCCTGCATGAACGGGCGTCTTGCCCTGCCTCACCCCCGCTCCATGGGCTTACCTTACCGTCTTTGTTGATGCGGTTGAACGATTGTCGAAAGGAGGGCCTTCTATGTCCGTTCTGGAGTCTTTTGTGAGGCATTGAGCTGCTATGTACGGAGGAATAGGATCCGTGTTAGGGCAATTTCGAAGCAAGTGCTTACACCACGCAAAGGGTCATCAGTGTTGTCCTAACTGAGGGCTTACGGGCTGCAGTCTTTTTTTAAACCACCATCTCACACAAACATGACTCAACTCATCTTCGATGACACGAGGCAAACGTACAATTTTTCAAAACTATCCAACAATACCCAAAGCAAACCATATTCGACTTGGCATCATGTCACCTCGTCCCATGTCTACTCCCTCTTCACACCTCTCTCAGCGCAAAACTTGTCCACCTCCTTGCGCAGAGTATCCCTCTGCCGCAGAGCCGCCTCCATAATGTCCTCGGCCACGCTGCCCAGGCCGTTATTGTGCTTGACGCTCGTCTGCTCATGGACGTCCACCATCTCCTTGAGCACCGCCTCCAGCTGGTTCGGCAGCCAGGTGACAATGGGGCTGCCGCCGGTGGCCGTTGGGTGCGACGTCTGCTTGAGGATGTACTCCCTGGCGAAGCACCAGTGCCGCCAGCGGAAGTCTCGCACCTCGTTGAGGATCTGTATCCATAGGCTGCGAGACTGGCGCAGGAGCTCCTCGTGCTCTTCCGACTCGGGCTCGCCCTTGTAGCCCAGGGCATACGCCTTGAGGTCCAGCTCCAGAGAGCGGCCCTTGACGTACTGCAAGAAGGTCTTGTGGTTGCTGGGCCTGTACTCGCGGAAGTCGTTGAGGATGGCCGTCAGGGGCGTGTCGGGCATGGGCAGCTGCAAGAAGTTGTCCATCAGCGGCACCATGGAGTCGTTGGCGCCAGACTCGCCCCGGAACGACATGGGCTTGTTGTCATAGAGGCCCTCGTACACGACGCCATTGGGGAACATGGACTGCGCCGTGATGCCAAAGATAAAGGTGCGGAAGCTGGTGTAGTCTCGCGGACGAGACTTCCCCCACATGGTCTCCATGACGGCGTTGATCTTCTTCATGGCAGTGACGATGTCGCTGAGCCCTTCGTTGAAGGACCTGCGCTCCTCGATGCCACCGAGGCCTGAGGCCGCCTTGGAAGCTTCTTCCAGACAGCGCACAGTGGCCGCGACGAGGGGGCCCGAATTCTTGACCATGTCGATGTGGACGAGAACGAAGCCGGCCTCGGAAGAGGTGGGATCGAGGCCGTGCTCAAAGGCACGGATGAGGCGGATGTTGTCATACTCCAAGCCCTTGGAGGGATCCTCGAGACGGTAGTTGTAGAGGGCATACGAGCCAGCGTACTCCATAAAGGGCATGAAGCCGGTGCTGTGGCAGAAGAAAAGTGTCAGCATGTTGTACCTGGGATCGTAAACCTAACCCTGAGAAGATTGAACTTACAGTTCGGCACATCGAGCAATAGGACGAGCAATGTTCTTGGGAAGAGTCTGGCGTCCCAGGCCATAGCTCTCCCCTCTGAGGAAGCGCTCATGGCAAGGCTCGAGGAGATACGCCGAGGCCAGGAATGAGTAGTCCCGGTACAGGGCGTTCATCAAGGGCAGGTTGTCCTTGTACTTCTCCATCTCATCAGTGAGATCCGGGAACTTGGTGTCGACCTCATCGCCGAGCTTGCTGTGGGCCAGGAGGCCGGGCTCGCCAGACAGAGTCTTGACGGGCATGCGCTGGAGGATGGACTCGAGCGGCTCAAACTCCTTGGGCAGGGTGGCGATGGGGTCTGCGCGGGGGAGGAAGCCTCTGGTGGTGGACACCAGGAAGGCGGGGAGGGAGTTGTCATCGGGACGGGCATCTGTGAGGACCTCGAAGGGAGGCGTGCTTGTGGGAATGGAGCCCATTGTGTAGGAGTGAGGTGAGGTGAGGGGGGATGATGTGATGTGATGTGATGTGATGTGGTGTGGTATGGGATGGGATGCGTGTAAATGGTGACGGTGTGTAAGTGATATGGCGTGCTATAGAAGCTATACAGGAGCTGACTTGAAAGATTCAGTAGCAGAGAACAGAGTAGAGACGGGTGGCAAACACTCAACCTGGCTCTGCTGAAGCTGAGAACTGTCGGACAAGTCCCGTCACCACCTCCGGGTCCGCGGCGCCGCCTAAGTACCCGGTGGCCGGAATGGATTCCGGCCACGGGTGGGGATGAGGTCACGACGCACGGCGGCGCGAAGCGGGTCGAGACCGCCCTTGTATCTCTTGTTGGCGGCTGATAGAGGAAGGTGTCGGGAGAGGGGGAAGGGCTAAGGGCGTTGCTTCACGTAACAGAAACATGGCTCGACGTCCGTTATCGTCTGTCGGGCGGTTTGGAAAGGGGGGAGCATGACCACGCCGTACCGTGTGTGGTGGCGATGGAGCATACTGTTGGTGTTTTGTTTTGTACGGCGTCGTTATCGTCGAAGCCATTCTCGTGTAACAGAGATTGCCGACGGTAGATGGATATGGCGAAGTGATGTATATCTCTCGATATCAGCATCACGAGGTGATTCCTCTCTCTCTCTCTGTGTGTGTGTGTGTGTGTTATATCCGCCCTTGCCTCCGTGATAGGAACTGATGTAAGACAACATTGAAGGCACTTTTAACTCCCCCCCCCTTTCTGTGGGGGAGGGGCCGGACGCTCCAGCAGGCGTCGCCCCACAGGCTACCGATTCTGCCCGGCCCTTTTACTGGACCATTGGCCGGAATCATTCCGGCCACAGCGACGAGATCGGACCCGGGCCCTTGCTTGGGGCTGACAAGGCCAGGTACGCGCCGTTTTGCAGCAGCTGCCACACTGAGGACAGGTACCCCTCACGAGGGTCGGCGGCTTCCGTGCAACCCCCGGTGCGCCCTCCGGCTCGTACAGGATTGAACACACTATCTAGGACGGGGCAGGAAGAGGGTTCCCTGATAAATAGAAACTGTGTGATTCGTTGGCTTGGGAGGGCTGGGGGATGAGACAAGACGGTCAATTTCGGGTGCGGGAGAGGAGCTTGGATATCCCTCGGGTGTTCACAAGATAAGCATGACAAAGAGAAACGGGGGAAACGGTCAAGAAGGCGAGGAAGAGAAAGAAGGCAGCATCTGTGTCAAGTGAAGAGATGCAGAGACAAAATCACCACTCCATACGCCTATTTTCTATGTCACTCTCCTCCCCTTGGCCGTTTGTTCCCGATCCATTTTCCATATCCAGCTGCCGTTAATCCATTTCTCATATCCGTCCTCGTCCATCCATCCGTTCATCCATCCATCCATCCTTCATTCATTCACGATACTGGTCAAGTACCCCTTCGGACGGTCATGAATCCACTCGAGGCAGCCGAGAGCGACACTCGATGATAAGTCGCCGTAGCATTGAAGCCAGGGCCAAGCGGCGTAACTTCAGGCCTCTTCTCTTCAACAATGACGTCTGTTGATAACAGCGAGCCCAAGGGCTCAACGTCAAGAGGATGACTGTCGCTCAAGGTGGTTGCCTCCGGCGGGTGTGCGCTGGCGAGCACGTTGAAGAATGGTATCAGTGCCTTTGATTTGCTTTGCTGGTATGTCTCCGCCTCGATAGTTCGGTCGACATTGGGCGTCGGACTCGCCTCTGCGAAGAATGTTGGGAACGCTGTCAGTGTGACTATGCTTGTGGGCATCATGGTGAGCGTGTGCGTGACCAGTGTCGTTAACGTGACTATCGTGGTCGACATCTCGGGTGCATCCAGATCAGCCGGATCCTCCATGAACACGCCACCGACTGTAGCTGCTACCGTGGGTTGTTTAGCCAAATGTGCGAGATGTTGATCGTCAGGAGGAGTCATGTCAGTGTATATAGACTTACTCGCCGGAGCAGCTGTTGTCTCATGAGTCGTCACGACAAGCGTTTCAGGTTTCGAAGGCGTCGAGGGCTTGGACGTTGATTCTATAGAATGGTCAGTTTTGAACAATATCATGTTGGAAATTTCTTCCTCAAGAGCCCTTATCCTCTCAAGGATGGTCTCCAAATGGTGTGGCGAGACTGGGATGGGGGTCTCATGGCTGTCATCTGCTGCACGTGCGGCGATCAACTTTGGGGTCTGGTCAAAGGGGGACATGTCGGCGGAGATTTGGGGGACGTGTTTATGATTTGGCAGAGCGGGATGGCTGTGAGACGCCCTTCCGCTGTGGTGGTGGGCAAGGCCCAGGGCGAGGCCGATGAGGGGGAGGTGCTCGAAAAGAACCATGATGAGTGATGCTGGCAAAGTAATTGCACTGTGACTGTAAAGCTGGACTGTAAAGCTGGACTGTAAAGCTGGACTGTAAAGCTGGACTGTAAAGCTGAACGGGTGGTGAAGCAGTTGGTTGCTCGGAACTGACGAGGTCGTCTCCAGACGAGAGAGACTTGGTGTCTATGATATATCAGCTGGGAGGAGTGGGCCGTTGTGAGGAGCAACACATTCCAGCTGCTGCGATGGCGACGAACCCTTGATGAGCGTTGTCGAGATTCCAGTCATTGCGAGCTCTGCATTGAATGGGATGAGACACTGTCTTGGGTAAAACATGTCCAACAAAGACTCTGAGATAAAGGAGGCGCTGGGAAAGTACATGGCTATGCTTTCAGAATCTGCACAATGAGATGTGCTTCCAACATGAAATGCAGGCAGAAAAACTGTTGCACGTATATCACATATTCAGCGATGTTGGTGTTGAGGTTGTAGAGCTCCCATCAAGGCGCCACATTATAGTGCCGCATCTCGTGCTGCTTCACCGAGGGGGGCGACATATTTCATCTCATGGCATACTCTGCGTACAGTCCATAGAGCGACTCCTGCAATTATAACCGAAGGCCACTCATTCATGTCTTTTCGACCCGAGGACAGTGGTTGGACCAGATTGGCGATCGTCCTTTGGATGGAGGATACACCCAGAAGAGGGAGGTATGGAGCTGCATCTTCGGCAGATCGAGATATTATAAGATCGTGGCCGTAGTGGCTAAGCTTTCCAGAGGCATCCATTGTTTGAGAGCTTTATCGCTCGGCCCATTGCTATAGAGGTCACATCTCCTATGCATCATTGCTGCGGTGGTGGTTTCTAGAGACGTTTGACGTTCCAAAAGCAGAGGGACAAGATTACTCATCGCATCAGATGACGTCGATGCCTCTCGTGATTCAACATTGTCCCAGTCGGGGTGAGAGAGGTATCGTCGGTAACTTCGGCTGCGCTCTAGAAGCCAGTGGAAGAGATGAAGTCATCAAGGCAAACCGGTTTGCGTGTGCGCAATGCGGTGCGCGGTAACGATGCTTCCGAAATAATCCCAGCCAGCGTCGAAAGCCACTGTATGGAGAGGCAAAACGGGTCTCTGATCGATCAATGAGGAGCATCTCACTAGTGATAAAGAATGCAGGCGATTTGGATATTGTGGCGTTGATTTAAATAAAAGAAAAAGGGAAAATGAAATGAAATAAAGCCTCATAGCGCGGCGACGGTTGATCAAACTGTTGGCGCCATGGCACTGATGATGGCTTGTCTGGTGTCACGGAAGGAAAGACAGTTGGGCAATCGTCTTCTTCAGACGGATATCTATCCTGATCGCTTTCATCGGGACTTTATCAAGCAGGATTAGCAAGCGTAAAGTAGAATTTGAAGCGTGTTGCTCTCTGGATTGTCTTGCTTGCTGCCGAAACCAAACCATCGAGTGGTGAGTGACTGAGTGATTGATTGATCGATCGAAACTGATTGATGCTTTGATTGCCAGTCCGGTGGGACGCGCCGGCTTCGGTTGACTGGCGATGGCTGCGAATAAGCCCAGCCCGGTTTTGATTCATGGCGGTTGGTGAGAATGACGGGCGAAACGGGACTGATTGGATCCAGCCCGAGGAAATAATGCCTAGAAGCTTGCAACGTCTCGCCCGAGGCTGCAGGTGTGCTTCAAGCTTGTCTTGTGCTTGTGCTTGATGAGCCTTGAGCTGCGACAACAACGAGGCCAAGTACTCTGCACCGTAATTTGACCGGGAAGCTACTTCATCCAGAGAAGCCATCCCCATGCCACAGGCTTATCTAATACTGTATGGGCTCAGATTCACCAATCAGAGCGGCTGGAGCCCAGCCTTTTCCCAGTCCGGCGCAGGGCTAGTCAGCCTGACGCGCTGCTGATTGGCTTGTCGGAGGCTGGAATAATGCGGATAAACAGAAAAAGAGAAAATGCCAATATCCTGCTCCAGACGCCGCCGAAAAATTCCAAAGAATCACTCGATCTGGTTAGAGCTTTTTAACAAGCTAGACCCATTCGGGCGCGGCCACTAAGCGCGGCACCTGAATCTTTCCACCCCTCGCTCCTTGTGTTGGAGCGTCACGGTCCTGACGAACAAGAAACCTCTGGGCTGCCCGAATTTTTGCGTTGTGCGCCGCCGCCCTTCTGGCCCGAAAAAAAAAAAAAATAACGAGGATGAGACCAAAAGCCCCCGAACCTTACGAGACAGAACCCCAGAAAATGAAAATCCCTCCGCCTCCCGCCGCTTTCCCCCCCTTCGCCTCTGTGTCCGCGGTCGCGATGCACCAGCGCCCATTCGTGACATGACACTATCACCGCCGGCCTGCTAATATAGTCCAGAGTTCCAGAGAGTCGCCTCGCCGCCGCCGCTGCTGCTCTGCTGCTGCTCCACGCAAGGCCCCCAGACCCCCTGACCACCTCGCCGGATCACCACCAGCCTTAGGTATTAGCCCATCGCCCGTTCGTCCAGAGCACCGCCCAAAAACCTGCGCCGCCCTCCCCGTCATCCTCCGTAATTTTGCTTCTGCCATCATCACCAGCCCTCTCTGCCTTCTGCCTCTCCCACTGCCACCAGCCTGCCATCAGCCAGCACGTCGCACCGTCAGCACCGCTCCACCGTGCCATTGCCCACGCAAAAATCTTTCGTTGCCGCCGGCCTTTGAAGAAAATACCACTTGTCGGGAAATCCTCCAGAACGGAAAGGCTTTGCCTCGCTCGCTCTCTAGGTACCCTCGATCGAGACAAAGGGAAAAAAACGCCACAAGGAAATCATCATCGTCTGCCAGACGCGATGGCTCCCGCCGCCAAGGCAGCCGACGCCCGACGCAAATCGGCGACCAAACACGGTCTGCTCGTCACCCTCAGCGTGCCGCCCGCCCTGCTACGCGACATCTTTCCCTCCTCAGAGTCTATCAAGGAAGGCTCCCAGTCTCCGGCGTCTAAGAGCTCCAAGGCCAACTCAGAACCTAAGGAGTCGCCCGCCAGCCCCAGCGCGCTGGCCGCGTCTGCGGCTCCCTCGAATGCCGACGCTGCCTCCGACTCAAATGCTGCCACTCCGGCCGCCGAGGGCACGCCCTCCTCAACACCAATGCCGCCCCCGACGACGAAGAAGGGAGTCAAGCGATCTGCCACTGCCGTGAACGGCACCAACAATGACGGCATACCCAAGCCCAGAGGCAAGCCGGGCCCTAAGAAGAAGCCTCGACTGTAAGTTTCCATCATATATCGCGTACGACAAAGTCTTGACATGCCAACGAGTAATACTAATTGCATTTTTTTTTATACAGCGAGGACGGCACTATTGACCACAGCGGTACGACGGGTCGCCCGTCTGCCCATAAGCTTGGTCCCAAGGCAAACCAGGGAGCCATCAACGCAGGCCTCCGTGCCCTCGACCGGTCCGGCAAGCCCTGCCGAAGATGGGCCAAGGGTGGCTTCAAGCTCAAGAGTTTCACGGGAGTCGTCTGGGAAATCCCACGCTGGACCGCTCCTCCGCGGACCGTCCCTGAGTCGAGTGCTGAGGACTCTGCTGCCCCATCCGCCGAGGGCAGCAACAAAGAGAACAAGGAGAATGGAAATGAGAACGAGAACGAGAACGAAAACGAAAACGGCAACGAAGGCAACAGCGTTTCCAAAAGCGAAAGCGGTGCAGATGTCGAGATGCAGAGCGCGCCGAGCATCCAAGCGTCGTCACCTGCACCCGTTCCTGTGGTGGCGGCCTCATGATGCTGCGCTTTTCGAACTTTCTTCCTCACTGTGGTCCTTTACAGCATCCGCTTCTGTTTCTTCACTTCTACTGTTCTTTGCCTCATCATTTTGGCTCCCAATACCGCGCTGTATGGGGCACACTTTCCTTCAAACCTAGAAAAAAAATCGGGCTCGGCTTCTGTTTCTTTGTTTCACTGGCCCCGGGGTACGGGGTCCTGGGGGGCATCCCTCTAATATTGTGCCTTTTTTTTTCTTATCAAGCGACAGTACTCGGCCGTCGCTGGCGTTGGATGGGGGAGCATCTGGCGGTCCTCGACGGACCTGCGCAGACTGGAGTATCAGGATCATTTGTCGGCGTAATTGCATGTATTCAACGGTTCGGCACAGGGTTTCAAGAGTAGATAGGGTCGGTATCCTTTAGCCGGCTGCGGCAATACAATTTTCTGCTTTCGCGGTTTATGCCATCGATGCCTTTCTGTCACAATTGGTCTGTTGAAGACACGGTGAATGCGTCTCTGTTTCGAAGCATCCACGAACCAAGAAGCGTCACGCCCTACAGCACCGCACATGTTTGCAGTGTGTTGATGTGCGATGCCTGTCTGCCCTGAGTCTGGGACGTTACAGCAAATTGTTGATGAACAGCATTGCGCGGGTTCAGCGAGGCGAATAAAGGGTTACAGGCCGGAAGCGCGCTGTTCCTTCAGCTGCCAATCTTGCCTCCTCACTCGATTTTGCCTGATTTGTCGCTCAGCTTACCTGCCTGGCAGGAATGGTGAGCCATTTTTCGGGCTGTTCAGGTCTGGACTCTCCTTGGCCCAGCCCTTTTCTCATTCAGCGGGCGTGGCGTGGCGTTGCCGTTGGCCAAGCTCAAGTGAAGGCAGCGCAAAAAGATCTCTCTTTTTTTTTTCCACTTCTAAATTGCAATTACGAGTGAAGCAAATTTTCAGTCCTTTTCTTTTACTTTGAATGGCCGCTCACATTCTCACCAACTGATTGTTGGCCTTTGTTTTGAATCTGTTTCAGGACGTCTTTTATACGTTGCAACGGCGGCTGCTCGTCTTTAATAGTTCACTTAAATGATCCTCCACTTACAGACTACTACAGTCATCACATAGCAGGCTAATGATTGAGTTTGACTGTGAGATTGCCTGATTTGAGTCTTGACCGGAAATGGACCGCTCACTCTCTGGTTTCGGGCAGAGATTTCGCCTTCGTCGTGTCATTGCTGATGGAAGTCGGGGACATTCGCGTGCTTCATGCGGCTTAGTCATTGCTGCTGAGGGACGGTGGGGACTAGGCCGCGTTTGGATGGCGGAGAAAGGTTGGCATGGGAGGCGGACGGGTTTCGGTCGGACAGACAGCTGAAACCTGGTGGCTGACTAAGGAGGCTCGGATGGGGGAGCTTGCAAGGTGGTCTACCAAGGTGCTCGTCTGGTGTTTGACGAGGTTGACACGCGAGACATGACCTCTTTGTAAGTAACAGGTAGGTATCGTCCTTTTTCATGACGGTAGGAGTGCTGCTCAGTTACTACGAGATACTAACTATGTTGATTTTGCTTTAGAATAGTGCCGCCTCTGTCACGACTGTGCAGGAGTTACCTACTGTGGGTGTGAATGTGCTCAATGGCTATGGCTATTGATAAGGAATTCTGCCGATAAAGTGAGTTGCACTCGAAATGCCGGCTCGGATACGGCCCTCTCAGCAGACTGTGATCCTTGCAGGTACAGACAGTACCTACAGTACCTACAAGCACAGGATATCGAGAAAGCAGGCAAACTGCCCTGCAGGCGCAGCATTGGCTAGAAATGGCATCATCATGCAGCCTCTAAATGGCATCTCATTCGTGTTATTTGTTCCACGTCCACATTCACCCAGCAACTGCTCGTCCCCGTGATAAACTGCCCGAGAGGCGTTGGAAGCCGCCCGGCCTTTCGCCTTAAGGTGCGCTGATGTAAACTGAACCGAACCTGGCCCAAGGATCAGCGACGCTCAGAAGGCTTAAGCGCTCAATGCCAGGCGGCTCCACCCCCTACAAGGACAGTGCTAGCAGTGCTGGCAGTGCTAGAGCGTGCATGACAGCGACCCGACTCGACTCATCATCACCTTTCGGTCCCGTCCAGCAGCTTGTAACAAACGCTGACCTCAACCGCCTGCACCTGCACCTCCATCCCGATTGATGCCCGCTTGTCGAGCCCTTCTTAGTCGGTCGTCACCCATTGCTGCCCTGTGGCCTCTCCGTCTTCCGTAGCTGCAGCGCCCAGGACCGTCGCAAGGCGGGCTGCCATCAGCTTGTCGGCCCGCTTCGCCGCTCCCCCTCCCTCGATCCGCCGTACCGCATCTTGAACCGGCTCTTCTCGCTCCAGCTCTCAATCTCCTCTCTGCTCTCCTCCCAACTTATCTTCTCTCGCCTCTTTTAATACTACTACCTTACTGCACGTCACTCGCCCGAAATCCTTCAGCTCCTCCCTTGCGTGGCCACGTCCCGTGATTGCGCATTCAACCCCCCCTCCCGCGTCATTGCATCCCTCCAGCCATTCTTCGCCATATACGGCCCTGTATACGGACGCCGGACCTGGAACGAGCGGCGCGTTTGACTGAAGCTTGTTGAAAGCTGCTTCAGTAGCTGAGCTGCTCGCTTGCCAGGCACGACTCCCCCCTCAATCCCCCAATCCCTCCCCCTTGTCTTCCAACCGGAGGGCTTTGTCCTTTCCTTCTTCATCCGCTCTTCCCTTCTTATTTTTGCCTCGTCATGTCTAGTCCGGAACCGCATGGCTCATCTGGCTTCACAGACTCGGAATCGTCTGCTGAATCCCCCGACTACCAACAGCATCAATACACGCCCGCCCACGATCCCGCCCCCCACGGCGAGAGAGGAAGCTACAACTTCTACACGCATCCCGCCCGAACGTCGGTGCTAGACGCCAACGGTGAACTACTCCTCGATCCCACGCTCCGTCTCGGGCCTGCGGCGGCCGCGAACTCGACCGACATGGAACGCCAGACGCTCCACGGGGACATGAGGAACGTGTGGAGGCCCATGGGCAGCTTGCCGTCCTTTTCTCGAGCATTCGACTTTCTGGCCTCAGACTCCAAGGAGGTGGTACCAGACGTCGAGCCGTTCTTTGTGCCGTCGTATCTCAGGGGGTCGGCATACCTGCAGAAGCTGGAAGAGGCGCACAATGCCAAGCTAGAAGCTCAGAAGGAGGGCAAGCGAAGCAAAGAGGACGGGCAGGATATGGGCTCGTCGCCCCTCGACGTATCGCCGCTACCTCCCGGCGGGCACAGAGGCATACTACACACTGTCCTGGAGAGGACACCCTTCGACGGCGAGGACAACTTAGCGCCGCTGCCGACGCGTCTGAACACGGGGGACATGTGGACGTCGCTGGAAGTGACTCCAGACATGCTGGGCGTCAAGTATGCCGGACCCAAGGGTCACCACGACCGCGATCACGAAGCTAGTGCCATTCGGGCGAACCACTACATCCCTCCCCAATGTGGGATATACTATTTCGAGGTGCACATCATGTCGGGCAGACGAGACGAGTATGTAGAATGGATCTCTGGTTCGGGACCCGGGCCGCCCATGCCGCCGCCGACGAGCAGAGCTCGCTAACCGTGACACTTTAGCACTACCGTTGCCGTTGGGTTTTCTACCAGAAATGCAGCACTATCACGGCCTGTTGGCTGGGAGCCGGAATCGTGGGGGTACCACGGCGATGATGGCCGATGTTTTACAGGTCAAAACATCGGCAGACCATTTGGTCCGGTGTTCAACACGAGTGACGTGATCGGGTGCGGAGTCAACTTCAAGGACCACACGGCCTTCTTCACCAAGAATGGGCAGATGATTGGTGCGTGATATGCGACATGTCCACGGTGACACCCGTTTCTATACTAACAGCGTGTGCTTGCAAACAAACAGGGGTCGCGTTCCACGACGTTACCAAGAGCAATTTATACCCAGCCATCAGCCTGAAGAAGCAATACGAGCAAGTGAAGGTTAACTTTGGACAGTCACCGTTTGTCTTCAACATCGATGACCTGATGAAGGTGCGTTCACCTGGGAATGTCTCCGCGACGTGTATCTGGAGAGCAACTGACGCAAGCGGCTTCAACAGGAACAACGACTACAGATCGAAAGGGCCATCTCGGGGACGGACACCTCGCAGCTCGAGCCCGGCATGTCCGAGACGGATCTCATTCAGGCGCTGGTGCTGCAGTTTCTTCAGCATGATGGCTATGTGGAGACGGCCCGCGCCTTTGCAGAGGATTTGAAGCTTCAAAAGGAGGCCCTGAACATGAACCCCGACGTGACGGTGGACGGCGTCAGCATTAAGGACGACGAGGACGCCAACAACCGACAGCGTAAGCTGCCTTGGCTCGAAGCACGCGTCGCCTATCCATGAGATGCTAACCCTCGATTGATTAGGAATCCGGCGAGCGATTCTAGACGGAGAGATAGACCTGGCGCTTAAGTACACCAACACATATTATCCGCAAGTCCTGCGCGACAACGAGCAGGTATACTTCAAGCTTCGGTGCCGCAAGTTCATCGAGATGGTGCGCAAGGCTGCCGAGCTGGCCATGAAGTACGACGGCAAAGGGGGTAACGACCTCGGCCAAGAGATGGACCTGGATGTTAACAACAGCCACGTATGGGGAGGCGGCATGGAGACGGATGGCGGCGATTCTTTGGCCGAGCTGACAAGGTTGGAAAATAAGATGCTGAGTTACGGTCAGGCTCTGCAGGCGGAGTATGCCGGTGACTCGAGGAAGGAGATTAACAAGGCGCTGAACGAGATCTGGGCGTTGGTGGCCTACAAGAATCCGCTTAAGGAGCCGCAAGTGAGCCACCTGCTGGATGGGAAGGGGAGGGTGACTGTTGCGGAGGAGTTGAATTCTGCCATTTTATGTGAGTCCTTTGCTTTTTTTTTTTTTTTTCTTCTTCTCTTCTTTATGCCAGACCTGCTGACACGCCCGCCTCTAGCATCTCTTGGAAAGTCATCACGGGCAGCATTGGAGACGCTATACGCGCAGACCAGCGTGCTGCTGGAAGAGCTGCGCAAGGATGGCGGCTCAGGAGCGTTCATCTCGTTGCGGGATGTGGTAGATAGCATTCAGCAGGGTTGACAGATGTGAAGAAACGAGGCCAGCGCTTTTGTCCGCCACCTGAGCGTTTCGTTCCTCTGCTTCCAGCCTTTTTCACTGTCCTTGCCCGTGTCTCTGGAGTTTTTGGTGATGGGTATCTCCTCTCTATACTGTGCCTCGGCCTCAGTCTTTTGTTTTCACCTTCTTGTATGGGTTTGTCTCTTCATCATTCATTCATTTCAGGCTTCTTAAGGCGTTGTGTAGTTGGGACATGGTTATTCAGTAGCAAGTGGACGTATCCGCCATTTGGAGGAATGGGCATGGTTCAATGATTACAGGCACCTACCTAGGTACCTAGGTAGTAATATTACCTGACCGCGACGTGGATACTGTTTGTATCTTGAGAAAGGTACCTTGAGAAAGGGTATAGAATGAACTCGACTTATGTTTTACTTAACCTGCATGCGAGGGATATAGCGGGATACCCAGGGTGTGTGGTTTGGGTGGCTCTGTGTAAGGTACCTAGGTAAGGTAAGGTAGGCAGAGGAGGTTGCTGGACTTGGGACATCAGCGTCCATTTATATGATATAGAGCTTTCTTGTATTTTTGTTTTCTATTTGAAAGTTGAGGCTGTTTGTGCTCATTTCGTGGTGATGACTGACTGAGTGGACCTGGCGGGGATCGTGACTTTTTTGATTATTTTCTTTTGTACTTGTCTGCTCTCTACGTTGGGTTCAATGTTGCTGTGACATGAGAAGGGGCAGAACTCCGATTTTAAGGGGGGGTATTTTACATGGACCGACTGTGCCCGTTGATTTCTTGCGTCTGATCAACATCCGTCACGATGCCATATATATATATATATATATATATATATATATATGACTGCTCTAGTGTGCTTGCCCGACTGCTTCAGGCCAACACCGCTCATACAGCCTCCTCCTATGGCTGACCAAGTTGTCGAACCCAGCCAAGCCCTCTGCAAGCGCAAAACTTTCCTCCTCCTCCTCCTCCTCCTCCTCCGCCGCCTTCGCCGCGGCGGCCCAGCCAAATTCTTCATCCAGAATGAGCCACGTGTAGGCAAACACCTCGGCGTCGAAGAGGCCCGGGTCGGGACGGCCAAAGAACCATTCGTCGCCGGCGAGCAAGGTCGAGAGGGCGCGCAGGGCGTCTGTGGCGTCGGCGAGGAGCTGCGGCGGGGAGATTGACGGGGAGCGGGTGGTCTTTAGGATCTCGGAGGCGGCGGCGTCGCGGAGGGCGTGGAGGGCGGGGAGGTGGAGGATCGGGGAGGCGGGCAGGTAGAGGGTTTTGAGGAGGGGGGTGTTTGATGGGTGGAGGTAGAGGGCGTAGAGCTGTGTTTCCATTGTACTGTTAGCTATGGGAGGTTCTGATAGAAATTTGGCTTTGGAAAAAGGAGTTTTACCCATGCGGGACGAAGACTTTGTGAGAGGAGGGCTTCGTAGGCTTCGGTGCGGGAGGGGGGCGCGTCGGGGGAGGTTGCGGTGGTTGCGTGGTCTTGAGCGTAGCGGTGGATCTTGGCGCCTGTGAGGGGGATGGTTGATGTTGTTGTTGTTGCTGTGGTCTTGCTAGCGGGAGCAGGCTTTGCTGATTCCTTTTCGGGGGAGGATGATGTTGGTGTTGTTGTTGCTGTTGTTGTGGGAGGGAGGAGGAAGGGCAGGGCGCCGGAGGGAGAGGCGTGGTTGTTGGAGGGGACGAGGTCGACGTCTACGCCGGCGATACGGAGGAATGTCTATGGAGAGGAAGCCCAAGGTGTGTCAGTTGGTTGATGTTGATGCTGTCATGATATATTTAGGGGTCCTGTTTTTGTGTGTGTGTGTGTGTGTGTGTGTTGTGTGTGCTTACCTGCCACTTGAGGCATTGGGGATTGAAGCTCGGCCGGCCATTGCTGGCGTCCTCCCACGTCCTCGCAAATACATAGAGGCGCGGCCGAGCGCGAGATGAAGACGACAAGGAGGGCTCAGGGCTACGTTCGGGGAGGGACTCGGGCGGGAGGGTGGCGAGGGGGAAGAGCTTGAAGAGCTCGCGGACGGGGGCCGGGACGGCGAACCAGCCGGGGCGGGAGGACGGAGGGCCGGCCATTGGGGAGGGCCGGAGGAGGAGGCCGGAGGAGAAGGACGGAGCGGTACGGGGGTCTGTGTGGTGCCTCCGGGGTGCCGAGGCGCGGAGGGGGGGGGGGGGGGGGGGGAAAGGTAAGGTATGGAGAGGGTGGCGTGAGAAGGGCGATTGGATGTCCTGTTGTTGCCCCCGATCTCGGAATGTTCTGTTCCGGCTAGCCTCTGATGTAATTGTCGTTTTGGCGAGGCAAGGCGGTTGAGCGAGACAAGGTAGTAGGTAAGGTAGGTAGTAAGTGGAGGAGGATTGGGGAGAAGAGGGACTTGCCTAGGTGGGCTTCTAGAAGGGCGTTTGCTCCGGGATAAATCTCGGAGCATTACTACTAGTGAAAGTGAGAAGGAAATGAAAAAAAAAAAAAAAAAAAAGGGCTTGACAAAGTGACGTGTGTGTTTGTTTGTGTGTGTGAAGCAGACTGGAGTTTGGGTTGCCGGACTGGGGAGCGGAGCGGGCGTCGAGTGGGGCCCCAGGGTCTGTTGATGTACATGTACAAGTATTCTATGGTACATACCTTACTATCATGATGAATGTGCGAAGGCATTTGGCTTGTATCACGTATGTTACAGTAGAGATCCATGATTGATGGCCTATGAAGTCGTGCAGGGCATTACTTGGCAGTCCTTGAGTGGTGGTGGTGCAAAGACGAGCTTCCCAACACGCAGCACATTGTGAATGACAGGCAAGCACGGCATCAGAATCAGCTCACTTGTCCCCTGACCACCACCAACCCACACAGCACTGCAGTCGCCCGCATCGTAACATATGTAGGTGTATGCGTTGCAACTCCAAAAGGCACGACAGTGCGGTAGAGTCGAAGGAGAAGTACTACTAGTAGTAGTATACAGAGAGAAAGTAAAAAAAAAAAAAGAGAAAGAAAAAAAGAATAAAGAAGAGAAAGAGAGAAAAAATACAGAAAGTGGTTCTTTCGGCTAGAAAATTCGATAGATAGTCGACGATCAGGAAAAGCGCACACGAGTCGTGGCTGGTTCTGGTATTCGGGCCTTATTCAAGAAAAAGACACAAAAAACCCCCCCAGCATTCAATTCTCCCGCAAATGGTCTGTGTGCTCCCGTCTGGTTGGCTCGGTGTCTTTTTTTTCTTCTTTTTCCCTCCTCGTGTTTTCGTCTCTTGCCCCCAGGCTTCTCCATATACATAGTACCTAGTACTACTAGTAATGCTCTGATGGTTTGAACGCTCGGCCTCACCGCTCCTTGGGGACGTGCGAGAGGAAAGGGCAAGGGGACGAGTTTGGGTCTGTGTTGAAGCTGTGTGAAAACTCATTGTCTCGGTGCCTGTTGCTTTGACGTGGAGGTGGTGGTAAGGTGTCAATGCCTTTTTAGTCCTATGTATTATTACAGTCTGCATGTTCGAGACGTTGGAACGCGCATGTCAACGCCAGCGCAGACCCTGGACTGACACCAAATAAAAGTCGACATGGACTGAGATGCAGGGACGAATAGACAGGAGGACCCTGAAATGAGACCCATGCCATGGCCTTGAACCCGATGCCCGACGATTTATTACTCCTAGCGGTAATCCGTGGTAATGTACAGTACATAGCTCCTGAACAGTTGCTTATCCTAAGGTACCTACAGTAGTAGCCTGGTCGTCTGTTAGAGCGTTACATGGTCGGCTTTTTTTTTTTTTTTTTTTTTTTTTTTTTTTTTTTCCCCAGCTGAAGCCAAGTCAAGACAGAGCAGCAAAAAAGCTTCTGCCTAGATCTTGGCTTGTGTCGTGTGTGTCTTGTTGACTGCCTTTTTTTTCCTCTATCGCTCCGCATTTCGGATCGGTTAATCCGACTAGTCGTACCCAAGTCTTCTGGGTCTTTTCCTCTTCATCTTGTACACAGTAGTAGGTACCTAGGTACCGCTGGCTCTTCTGTTATAAGGTAAGGTAGTAACAGCATAGGTCTCATTGCATCCTGCACGACCCCCATATAAGAAACAGACTGGGAAAATGTGGCTGCGTCTCATTCGTTTCCAAGGGATACGTGTAACGGCTGTGGTGGAAGTCTTATTATAGCACTGAATGTTGGTCGAATTGCAGATGCAGCTGTGAACAAGTGCGTCTTGTCTTGTATAAGTACTATTAATATGTGCCTAATCTACCTACCTACCTAGGTAGGAGACATTGAATCAACCCCCCACTCTGGAGCAGGTACCGCTTGATAGTAGAAATTGTTGTGACTTCCATATTCTCCATACCTAGGTATTCATCGTGATCTACCTACTTGAGTATCTATCACAGACTGGATACACATTACGATACTAGCCCGTCCATCACGTAACTGACGTACTATTCGTAGAAGAAGAAAACCAGATGCCATGTTATTGTGCTGTACATAGGTACAGTACCTCCATCTCGCACCTTTAACCAATCAACATTATCATCTTCATCCAGTAGTCAAGTACCTACTATATATGTAGGTATGTAGGTACATGTAAATGCCGAGGCAAACCCGGCCTCATCCCCCTCCCTCCCCTTCCTCCCCCAAAGTCCCTTTTCCCCGTAAACGCCAGCTGAATGTACTCCGCGTTAGTGTGTCACTGGCTCTGGCACCTGTCGTCATATGTAAGAGATGAAATAAGAGCCAGAAAAAGTCGATTCTACCCCACAGCCGGAGATCCAGAACATCAACTGACAAGCCATCTCGCTGGTACTGCCGATACTGCCAAGTACTACCTAGTAAGTAATAGTAGTAGTATACCTCTGTAATAGTTGCCTAGATAAAAAGGAGCGCGCATCCTCTTTTTTCCATTTATTTTACACTTTCTCACGCTATCATCACACATAACCAGCTCATCCACCTGACAAGCTTCTATCCACACCTTTTGTCCTTTCTTTTTTCTCCTCTTCGATACACCCTTTTTCTTCCTTCTTCTTCATCTTGTGTTTTATTCCGCTAAAAGACGAGGATCAACAGACGGAAGAAAAGATAAAAGACACTGCTCTACAATCTTTGCTTGCAGTCCATCACCGATCAAAGGGACGGGACTTCTCGTTTTCCACCAAAGACACTCTCCGGCCGAATTCGTCCAGTCGCCCGATTGGGACAAGAAAGAAAAGCGTCGCTTACCACCTCCGGAATTGTCGCCCTCCTGGTTACAGTCAAATCATCCTCTCTCAACCTGCTCAAACGCATCGACGGCATCCTCTCGTCGACACCGGCCATCGCATCAACACCATCAAACAAACTTCTCTCTCTTCTCTCTCTCTCTCTAATACTTCTCTCAAATCAACAAACTTTCTCAAACATGGACGCCTCCTCCTCATCCGCCGCCTCCTCCTCCTCCTCCTCATTCTCCTCCTCCTCAACATACTCGTCCACCACCAGACAGTCGCCCAGCACCTCCGCCGCCGTCATGGCGCCCGCCCCCGTCCAGGCAAAGGTGCCCTCGACCGAGCCCTTCCTCAAGGACTTTACCCTCGTCGCCGAGGCGGCCAAGCGCGCGCAAGCCGCCGTCATGGTGCGCGACTTTGCCGAGATGGGCCTTTGAAAGCTCACGGAGGAGTTGGTCCGTACTTGAAAGCGTTCAGCGCTCAGAAAGGCTGCTCTTTCTTTTTTTTTTCCGTCGACTATTATCCAGGGGCTGATAGACTTGACTCTATCGTTCTTGTTCAGGTTGTTTCATTCATATACATGGGGTCTGGCGTTTGGAATCACGACACAGTCGAATTCTTGGAATTTCCTTTCCTACTGTAATCAAGGGGGTTTCTTACAGATGGATAGGATGGTATCGGTCTGTTGGGAAGAAGACAGGGCATTGGATACACAGACGTCTGTCACGTTGGTTTTGGTTATTGATCTCTTGGGCTTTCTCTCTCTCTCTCTCTCTCTCTCTCTCTCTCCTCGGTTTTCTTGCATTGCACATATAGCCTGCTATACATACCCGCACCTTTTGCTAATTTACAATGGAATCGCACGAGGCTGTCATGGGCGCCTCTTTTAATCTGACCTTGAGCTCTTGCTGTCGTTTGCGTCATGTTTACAATGCAGTCTGTCCCTGAAGAGGCAAGTACATATTTGTAGATGATGATAGTGATGATGCCGCCTGATGGATGAGAAGAAAATGCTTCACAGCTTCGACACATGTGATGCACCCCCGTCCACCCTGATGAGGGCTCCATTGCAAAACGCTCTGCAATCACGTCGAAAAAAGTCAGCACCAAAAAATAAAAAGCCAGCACATCACGGTGATGAGCGCAAGAGAGAGAGAGAAAAAGAAGATAATCAAAACTCACCCAGCCCGGCTCGCGAGAAACAGACTGGCACCGGCCACGTCCTGCGGCGTCCCGATCCTGCCCCTGGGCATCTCCTCCATGAGCGCGTCGCCGGCGGCCTCGAGCGTGGCGCGCATCATCTTTGTCGCAAAGGGCCCGCACGCGAGGACGTTGCTGGTGACGTGCCGCGGCCCCAGCTCCTTGGCCAGGACCCTCGACATGTGGTGCAGGCCGGCCTTGCTGGCGGCGTAGGCGACGTTGGACACGGTCGGCACGCGCAGGCCGTCGATGCTGCCAATGTGAATCAGCCGCGCCGGATCCTCGTGCGAGCCGGCCCGCTCCAGCAGCGGCAGGCACAGCTGCGTCAGGGTGAAGACGCGGTGCAGGTTGAGCGTGAGCACCTTGTTCCACGCGTGGTCCGGGTGCGAGTCGATGTCGGCGCCCCAGGCCGCGCCCGCGTTGTTCACCAGCACGTGCAGCCCCTTGGGCTCGAGCTCCGTCAGCCGCTTGACCAGGGCCTCGCACTGCGAGAGCTCCTGGAGGTTCGCCGGCAGCGCGTGCGCGGAGCCGCCGCTTCGGCTGCCGAGCTTGGTGAGCTCCGCGGCGGCCGAATCGCAGGCCGGGGCGTCGCGGCCGGTCAGGTAGACCTTTGCGCCGTTGGCGACGAAGCCCTCGGCGATCATCCGGCCGATGCCTTTGGCGCCTGGGTTGGAACGAGTTAGATGAGTTGTTGTTTTTTTTTTTTTTTAGCCGAGAGGGGAAATTGTAACGTACCTCCGGTGACGAGGACGACTTTGCCCTGTGCCGACAAGACGCGTTTGGTGAGTGTCTGTGTGATGGAGATGTTCTCGGGGGATGGTTGGAAAACGTACCTTGACGCTGAACAGGTTGGCGATATCCATGATGAATGCGCTATGCAATGTGAACCAGCAGTACAATTGTCTTTAATCAGGTCACTCTTATGAAGCAAGAGACAAAGCAGGCCTGATACCAAGCAAAGACAGCAGTAAAAGAGGACAATGAAAGCACAAGAGATCTTGTCAGACAGCCTACCATGTCATTCAAGGCCAAACTGACCGTCCAAGCCGAGGCTCAGCGGCTGTGACACCTTTAGTGTAGTTACGTAGTTACCGTGCCCCCGAACAAACGCTTATCGCATCGCTTCCGGCAGGCGGTCAGCCGCCACTTTTGCGTATCCATGGTCCAGTCTCCACCTCCGCAAAAAGCAAAAGCCACGAGGGAGGGGGGCTTATCGATACGCAGCTCGTCTTGCCCTTTTCGGCACGTATGTACTTCGACAACCTGATTTCTGATTCTGTAGGTTGTTCGTTTCTAGATAGTATCAGACAAGTATCAGCGTACGAATACGATACAATCTTATCCACCTAGTTATCTCCTCGACTACCTCTCTGCTATGATTGTGTGTAGATTCAGCATAATTGAGCTGCTCTCATGCCGTCACTATAACTATACTTGGTGACATGGTACAGCTGAGCCGAGGCCACGGAATTCACATGGCCCGATATTCCGTCCCCGCCACTACCAATCTAGCATCTAGGCAGGTACCTAACACAGCATCATCGTCCATCCGGCAGCCTTCAATGAACTTCGTCCCCTGACCTTGATTCAGTGACGTTCCTCTCTTGATGCCGCTGTTTGAATCACGATACTCACATGACACGCTACTAGTAGTATGTCAATTCATTCAGCTTTCTCATGAGATGATAGAACTACTGAATCCTGGCAGTATCTAACACACACAACAGTCAGCCGCTCAACTCCCTCCAGCCCACCCTCATCGCAACACCACCACCTCCCATCAAGCATCATCATCATCACCAACCCCCCAAACCAACACATCCCCTCCCCTCCAAGCCCCGCTACCCACCTCACCCGCAAGAATGACCGACGGCCCAATCCGCCTCCGCGAAACCTTCGCCTCGACGCCCGTCTCCGCCCACAACGACGCCTGGGACGCCCTCTACGCAGAGTCCTTCCACCCCTGGGACCGCGCCGGACCCTCCCTCGCCCTCGCCGACCTGCTCGCCCAGCGAACGGACCTCATCCCGCCCTCCGTCGAGCGCCGCGACTCCTCCTCCTCTTCCTCCGGCACGGCCTCCATCGCCCGCCGCCTGGCCCTGGTTCCGGGCTGCGGCCTCGGCCACGACGTCCTGCTGCTGAGTGCCCTGGGCTACGACGTCGTCGGTCTGGATTACAGCGCCCGCGCGCTGGAGCTCGCGCGCGAGAACAAGGCCAAGGCGGATGCCGAGGGGCGATATGCCGAGTATGTCAGGGACGGCGTCGGCAGCGGCCGGGTGACTTGGGTTTCGGGCGACTTCTTCGGCACTGCCTGGGAAGCCGACGCGGGCGCAAGCAAGTTTGACTTGATATTCGACTACACGGTGAGCCAACAGAAAGAAAAAGAAAAAAGAGAAAGAAAAAAAAGTCATAAAAGATGATGAAGAAAGGAGACACAGCGAGGCTGGCTCTATAATTGTTGTTTTCTAGTTCGCTGACAATAACCCCTCTCCTGCCCCCCTTTCGCCCAATTCCCAGTTCCTATGCGCCCTGAAGCCCTCCGAGCGCCCCCGATGGGCCAAGCGCATGTCCCAGCTCCTCGCCCCCGGCGGCCAGCTCATCTGCCTCGAGTTCCCCTCCGGGAAGCCCCTGTCGCTGCAGGGCCCGCCCTGGGGCGTCTGGCCCGAGGTCTACGAGGCGCTCCTCGAGCATCCCGGCGAGCCGATCGAGTACGCCGACGACGGCAGCGTCAAGTCCGATTCCGTACCACGGCTGCCCCATCCCGACGGGTTGCATCGCGTGTGTCTCGTCAAGCCCCAGCGGACGCACAAGGCGGGAACGAACGAGGACGGGAGCGTCAGGGATTTTATTTCCGTGTGGACTCGGTAGCGGCGATGGTTTTGCCGGTCTCTTGTGTGAAGATTGAACTGAGAGTGTGGCATTGTGATGTGCCCAGAAATGGGGGCGTAGTTGCAGAATCGGTGTTCGAAGAGAAGCAAGATGTTGACCTTCACTCTGAGCTTTTCTCTCTTCCCAAAGTGAAACAGAGCAGATCCTCCCATTAGACGAGGTTTAAACCAAAGTTCGCGATGCTGTTCTCGAAGCCATTCGTCCAAACGCTCACTCTGCAGTCGCCGTCGTCGTCGTCGCCCTTCTCAACGAGTTGTAGTGCTCCCCCAGCCCATATCCATGCCGATAATACGCCAACCACAACGTCTTCGCTCCGTCCCCTTCTCCCTTACCCTCCTCATCACCACCAATCCTCTCCGTCCTCCCATCCTGAATCACCCGAATCTCAACCCCATACCGCCTCGCAACAGCCATCAACTCAAGCTGCCCACCCCATTCAGCAGTATCCCTCATCTTGCGCACATAATCCCCCAGATCCTCCTCCAGAAACGGCGCGAAGTCATCCGCGTGAGCCTCCATGTACCCCGTCGCCGCCCTTCGCACCGTCCTGTACGCAGGCTCCCTTTCAGCAGCAGCAGCTTCCCCGCCCTCCTCCTCGGCGCTGAGGGGGATGCCGTTCTGGGAGAGCTGGTCCGCCAGCGCGGAGAACAGGCAGTGCCCGTCTGGCTGGATCTCCTTCTCGCTCAGCCCGTGCGCCGAAAACTCCTTCTTCATGTACGCGCTCTCCTTCGCCCGGTGGTCCGTCATCGTCGAGGCTTCTTGTTCGGCGCTCAGCATCGCGGCCTCGTGCTCCGCCGCGCGTCGTGCCATGCGCTCCTTTTGTCGGTTCCGCTTCTTTCCCGGCTGCTGCTGCTGCTGCCCTTTCGTACCCTCATTCGTATCCAGTCTCAGCTTCGACGTCGCCTCTTCTAGCCCCTGTGTCGTCGTCGTCCCGTTCGTCAACCCGTCCTTTTGTTGTTGTGTATCCTCCTGCCGCTGCACTCCCTCTTCCGGCTCACCATCCTCCTCCTTTTCCTTCTCCTCAGCCTCCCCGCTCAGGGCCGCAACCTCGGCGGCCTGCTTCTCCCTCAGCTGCCGCTCCATCTCCGCGCACTCGTCGTTGACGCCTTTGCGCGTCTTCTTCGTCGCGTTCTTCTTCTTGTTCGTGATTCTGCCTTGCAGGTCTTTGAGTTCGCGCCGGTGCCGCGCCTGCATCTGGTCTAATGTCTCGGACTCCATTTTCTGTCCGTGTGCCAATGTCTCGTCTCTAGATTCTTTTTTTTTTTTTTTTTTTTTTTTTTTTTGGACCTTTCGTGCTCTTCTCGATTATTCTTTGGTCCGCTTTCCTGGGTCGAATAGCAAACAACGTAGAGCAGGAAACAGAGATAGCAGTCGCAGATTCAGAGTGTGATGTAGGTAGTGATGATGGCGGGGTCAAGTTCGCAGCTCCGTCTCCATGGATCGGTTTTTTCTTTTGGCGGGGCCGTCCTTCTGACTTCGCATCATAGAATATTACCTCGACTATCTAGTACATGCATATGGCACTCTACCTCATCTACGATAAACTATGAGCAATCCCCTCTGTGAAAAGGTAGTATATATTATGTTGTATTACGAGCGTATTTGACCCTCTTTTCTATATGATATAATTCTTTGACTAGAGAAATCTCCATGTTCCCGGAGAAAGACTGCCCAAGGTGTCTGAGGTATTCAAAAGAGGGCCTTCGTCCGGCCGCCTCATCTTCTCTCTATACTTTCTACCATGGTCAGACCAAGACGCCTTCTTACAGCGTAAGATCGTGGTGGAAATAGCACCTTCTTGCCTTGTATACGCCCTTTTGTACATATCTTCAGGGTCTCCTGAGATTCCAACATTCACCCCAGACACAGGAAACAGCTGCTAGTAATACAGACACATCCAAGAAAAGAAAAACAGCGCCGGGCACCGCAGATATGAAGAATGGTAGATACGACAAAGAAGAGAAGAAGATCCGCAAACGAAATGTAGCGGCAATGACCGTAATTCATATCAGTACAAAACGAAAAAAGACAGAGAGGGAAAGAGGGTATCCCGTCGTGGTGTTGCTTGATCCATCATATGTGGATCGTTTGGTACACAAGGTAAGAGAAATTGAACAAAGTGAAAAGGCGTGTGGTTTAGTGTTTGGTATATCTCGCGATCGGTTCGTTTCGCGCAATTTAGAAGCCCTTGAAAGGATCGTCACGGAAAAAATCCTCCTCTCCCGCGGTCTTGCTGCCGCTGAAGAATTCGTCAGATGCGCGGGTGCTCCTTGACAGCTGGGCTCGACGACGGTGTCGGCTGCTGCGCCGGCGGAACTCCTTGCTCTTCTTCCGCGCCAGTGACCGATAGTCTTCCCCTCCTTGGTACTCATTGTACTCCTGGTACGCATGGGGGCTGATGAAGGCTTCCATGCGCACAGTCCCTATCGCGTCAAAGAAGTTGCCTTGTTGGGACGATACCGTTGACAGCGGCGTCTGGGCTACTCCCCAGCTGGCAGCAGTGGATCCCTGGGACTGGTAAATGTCAGAAGAGCCAGAGGTGTCAATGCTGGCACCCGTCGTGCTGTTTGCGTATTGGTAGTCGCCTTCACCCAGCGTCGGCCCCGCGAAGCCTCGGAAAGACAGCGGCGGGGGCACACGGCCTCCGGTGTTGCTTCGTTTGCGGCTGTGGTTCGGAGCCGCGCGGCCCTTCTTGTCGCTGAAGCGTGGAATCATGGGCGGCACGGCGGCGTCTACTGAGTCTTCCCTCGAGTGCCCAGGTCCATTCACGGACTCTGCCACTCGGAACCTGGCCACGTCTCCCATCCGCACGGATGGAACGTCCGGAATGCTGGGCATAGTCGACAGGTCCGGCTTTTGCGCAACAGCCCGGCCCTTGGCTAATCGAATCGAATCTCGGATCCCTCCTCTCGTCAGCTTAGTAGGTCGAGGGGGCTCGAAGTTCGGCAGAGGCTGCTGCTTGACCGAGAGGTGCTGTTGAGCTGGGGCAGGTAGAACATCGGGGACAGCCTGGTAGGAATGGGCCAGGAACGACAGAGCCGTCAGCCAGAGGTAGTGTCTCTCTGCCGTGGGTGCCGTGAATTTGAGTGCTCGCTGCGGTGTGAGGATCAGAATGGACCGGTTGAAGATTGGCGTCGTAACACCCCTCGGTGCCGGATTGTCATCTTTGACGTCGAGGACTGATTGGATAGCCACTGTTCGACATGTTAGCTTCCATGATATTCATTCGCGTCAGAGGCATCAACTTACACTTGCGACCCGTCTTTCCTAACAAGGCGCTGCCGGAAGACGGCTGCTTGCTGCTCCAAAGGATAGCTCGCTCATACGGCGCCACCCAGACCCATCGCTTGTGCCTGTCGTTGCTGTTCTCATCCTTGTGCGCACCCTCTCCAACGCTAAATGACTTCCTTCTGCGAACATACTTGTACATCCATTCTCCGACCATGGTCTGGGCAATAGCATCCACGACTCCGGGAGTCTGCGAGCTGGCCTGAGACGCAGCTTCTGACTTCGCCGTCATCACTGTGTTGTTGGATAGCTGGTGACGATGCTTTTTATATGTGCTGCCTTCTCGGTTCCTGGGCGTGGTAATCGCATTTCGAGGCAGGGGCGGGAGGCCGGGGCTTTCGGGGGCCTCAGTCGAAGGCGACAATGGCGGTGTTCGGCTGCCTGTCCTTTGATGGCGTTCATGGCGTTGCAGTGTGTTTGCGGATCGGACACGACGAACGTTGTTGGCATGATTAGTGCGGCTGCCACTCCGACGATGGCGATGCCAGCTAGTGGTCGATGGAGTGCTTCGCCCGTCACTTGGGATGCTGCTGGCGCTGATGGATGGCTTCCGCGAGCTTGCTCGGGCTGGAATAGGGAATGGCGGTGGGTTCTTGGGCTCGACGATGGTAGGATAATTTACCATGCCAGTCTGGGCCATTGTCGCCTTTCGCATATCGCTGTTGCGGCTCGACGGTGATAGGGCAGGTGCTGGAGAAAGCTCCGTGATCCTGCTCGGTCTCTCATCCTCACCGACACTGTACAGGTCGCCGCTCCTGACCGATCGTGCAGACGTTCTACCAGAGCGCTTGGAAGGCTGCTCTGGCGAAGTCGTCACGGTGCCGAATGAACTTCGCTTGCCAGTTCGGCTCAGGTTCGAAGGAGGTCTGGGAGCCGTCAACGCCGTGCGGTACTCGGAATCGCTCAAGTCCAGATCGCCAAACTCGTCGATTTCATCCGAATCGGTGCAGAAACCAGAGAACAGGCTGCTGAAGCGGCGAGGTGGTATTATGGGAGCGCGTTGGCTCGAGAGAAGAAGATCGTCGTCGAAGTTATGCAAATCATGGTCGTCCATCGCAATACTGATGGGGGAAGAGGGAAGCTCGGTGCTATACCGGCTGCTCTCCAATCGTCGAGGGTTCCGAGGAGGCAAGCTACCAGGAAGAGGAATGTCGCCCTTGTCGGGAACAGCAATACCCGACGTATGAGGCGAGGTAGGCCGGGAAGTGATAGAAGACGGCTGAAGATGCGCTGGAAGACGAGCCAGCCTCTTATCAATTTGGATGGCCTCTGTCTGAGAGCATGAATCAACCATACCGTCTTGAACAACGATGTTGACTTGACAGCCAAAGTCTTTGAAATATTGGGGTAGCTTCGGAGAATGCGGCGATGCAGGCCGGCTGGTTGGCGGCTGAATGCTGATACTCGGAATGTCCAAGGGGGGTAACGGCACGGGAGGAACCACGGGAGCTGGAACAGGAGCCTCAGTCTGTGTAGAGGAAGTCACCATCTTTGGTCCAGACTTGGGCGCTTTCACCTCCGCTGGTGATCCACTGGGTAGGGAGTACAACGAGCTTGGTGTCTTCGGCGGCGTCAACGGAACCCCAACCGTCTGTGAGGCCGACGACACCATGCGCTGGGGCGTAGCTGGCATCTCAACAGCAGGGGGTAAGTGAATGGGCTCACTTTGTTGGGGAGATCGTGGGGGTGTATCTGCATCAAGTGCCCCAGACTCCGGTTCCTTTGCGTCCAGTACAGGTGAGGATGGTGGCGAGAACTGTATTCCTGTATCAGCATATGCTGGCTTAGGAGCAGGGGAGTCTTGAACTCCTGAATCAACATATGAAGGTGCAAAGGTGACGGAGTGTTGGGTGCCCGCATCAGCGAAAGAAGGCTCAAAATCGGAATAATATTGGATGCCCGCATCGGAATATGAGGGCCCAGGCGTGGGAATGGACTGAATGCCGGTGTCTGTGTACGGAGGCTTTGGAACCGGAGTGGGAGGCGGGGTGAGATCCGTGGCCGGGGCCGGAGGGACGACACACTGAGTACTCGCGTCGCTGTATGTATGCTCGACAACAGGAGAGCACTGAACTCCAGCGTTACTGTAGGCATGTGTGGAACAGACTTGGAGTCCCGCATCAGCATAGGATGGCTTGTTGGTAGGTGTACGAGTCAGGGCTCGAGCAGAGTCCTCGCCCTCAGTCTCTTCGTCTTCGCCTTCAAGAGCCTCAAGGAGGGATTGGTTCATCAGGATTCGACTACCGCGCGCAACACTGCCAGGACGCTTCATGCTGTCGATGCTCTGCGTCCTCCGATGAAGCTTGCTGATGATGCTCTCACGGCTATATGTTCGCCGATGTTGTCGCGGGCTTGGCTGTCGTGGGCTGGAGAAGACACTCTCGCGTCCATCAATGTCCGTTTGGTCATCGGTGTCATCAAATTTGAGCTCGTCTGCCAGAGAATAGCTGTTGAGGGAGAGGCCAGGTCCATTGGCCATGGAGTACCGAATGCTACTTGTGAGGCTCATTGTTCGGACACTGCGAGAGTCGTTGTCCCTACCGCTCTCTTCGGCATCGCTTTCATGGCCATGACCTTGGCCTTGTTGAGCTGCTCCATTTGCGTGATTGGCTTGATAGGCTGCCACCTCATCGAGCACCATTTGAAGGCGGCTCTCCGCCACGTGGATTCGCCGCTCATATTTGCGCTTTTCGTTTTCCCAGCTCTCTTTTTCCTCCGCCCATTGCTCATGAACTCGCTGAGAATCTTCCTCTTGGCTCCGAATCCTCCTCTGGGCTGCTTCTAAACGTTTCTTGGTCTCGGCAACTGATTCGACAGCTTCGTCTCTCTCTTTTGAAAGATCTCCCAGGGCTGAAGACGTTCCACCCTCCAGTAAAGACAGCTGTCGTTGTAATGAGCGATTCTCCTTGGTCGTAGCATTTACGCTCTCTTGTAGGGCGTCCAGACCCTCCCGGCTTTCTTGGAGCGCACTTTCGAGGCTTTCGATGACTTTCGTCTTCTCTTCTTGATCTCTCCTCAGCGACAAGATCTCAGAGACCAAGTTGGCATGCAAAGTGGGTGTGAAGCGTCGTGGATCGAGGATGCTGATCTGCTCGTCGGTTGTGATATCTCTCGAGGAACGCTTCGAGGCGTTTCCATTCCTCGTGGGCGAAAGCTTCTTCTTTGCCGGCGGCGTGATAGAGCGGGCCGAGCGCCTCGATTTTCTTGACTTGGTTGAAGGCGTTCTGTAGGGAACATACTCTCGAGGGGGAAGCGAGACCGCCGCCTGCGCATTCATATACTCGTCATCTGTCCAGGCACTCATGATTGTTGGATTGAATCAGACTGCAGGAGATGTCAGAAGCGAGTGAGAGCTGAAGGTTTATAATCTCAGTCATGCATGTGTCTAGGACAGAAGACCGTTGAGTGCCACGTCTTCAAGCTATAATATGCTTGACTGTGGCAGGCAGCGGCTGATGGCCAGCCCCTTTCATAGGGATATACCACTACTTGCAGAAAAGCAATGCCAAGCTGAATAAGATTTTCTCATCCGGCTTCGGATTGCACCGCGCAGAAACTGTTCACGGAACCAAACGTCAGTCTTCAACTGTGTTCAGCGGTATCGCTTTTGATGAATTTCCACGTGCGTTGCAGCGGAGGGCTGCCGACGCGAGACTTTTAAGGCAAGGGGGAAGACTTACAAGGCTCCTCAGCTCAGCGCTACGCCTTTCCCCTGTCGTTTTGCAGTGTTTTCAGTGTCCTTGTTGAGACCTGACAGACAACTTGTATCTGTAGGTAACAACTGCGAAAGCTGTGAGCCAGTACCGGGGCCTGATATAACAAAACTAGAACACGCCCAAGCCCGACTGCAAATGGCGTCAGCGCGCTGTGGGAAATCCAGGTGCGCAATGGGTGAAGAAAGGAAATGTCGTCGAGACTTGCTGGAGAGTTCCGGTACGAATCGAACGAGAGAGTGGATGTTGCCGCCGAGCGAGACGAGTGGCGACCGGTCGGATTGCTCGATGGAGGCAGATGCGAACGATGCTGAAATAGCATAAAGAGAGGTTTCGGAAGTCGACAAAGAGTCTCGCTGACGCTGTTCGTGATGAGATGCTAATAAAGGGAATAGAATAAATCTGAAGAATAAAGAGCTGAGCGAATTCGACTAGTCAGCTGGTCTTGATCAGTTGTAGGAAAGAGCATTCGTAAAGCGTTGTCCGCTCCTACTACACGCAACTCACCTTAAGGTATAAGGGAAGGAGGGAAGGAGAATGGAAGGGAAAAAGGCAAAGTCGTCAGAAAGGCCTTCGGTGAGCGAGATTCTTTTCGAAGCTGCTCAATCCATTGAAACGCATACAATAGTCGAAAGAAACCGACAAAGGGGCAAAGCGAGACCGGCTTCTGACCAAGGCAAACTCCCCTCCGCACTGCGTGGTTGTTTGACGCTGCAGAACGTCGCTCGAGGAGGCCGACTACCTAGCCAGCAGAAAAAAGATGTGGCGAAAACACAACAGAAATGACGATAACGATGAGTGCAGAACAGGAGAACGGCGAGACGAGGAGATAATGACGAGGTACGAAGCGCTCCGCCGGGGTGCCAGAGAGCAGGAGAGCAGGGTGTATTAATTGTCTACATCCACTTTGCCTGGTTGGTTGACGCGCGATCGGGGTCGAGTCTGTCCATGTGGGCCTGTGATTGAGGCGATCCCAGGACGCTGGAAGCTTGGGGACAAGGGCCAGGTCACTGGAGGGCTGTCTGGCGGACGGGTTGCTGTTGTCTGCTTCTGTTCCTGTTGCTCTGAGAGCTGAATCTGCCTGCGGAGCTCTTCTCCGGCACCACAGATAATACGGGGAGACCTATGAAGCATTTCCACACTATTACGCCAAGATGCGCTGAGAACGATGTTGACGAGGTATGTAATGCGTCCGTCCGTCTGTCTGTCTGTCTGTCAACCACGCTGTCTGACCGGTATTGGTCGCTGTACCCTGCAAGGCAGCCCCGAGACAGTGTCACCCGTCTCATATTGTTCCTGGATTCGAGGATTGCCTTATGCAATGCAGCCTCTCAACAGAAGACGCTGCATGCTTGCAGACGGTCGCATGTCGTACGCACACCACTCAGCTCCCCCCAGCTGTCTGACAGGCACGCCAAGAGCCCCTCTCAAATCTACCGCTGCGGCCATGATTGTCCCTCCTTGGAAGCCGAAGGCAAATGACTTGCTTGTTTTCTCTCTTTTCCACTCCGGCCCCTGCTAACTCGCTCCCTCTGTAGACGAAGCGCGCCGTATCATTGGCCCTTGGCCTGCGTCGGTTCTATCATCCGCGATGGCCCATGCTCCTCTCCCAGCATGCTACGGCCCAGTCTTGGCTAGCGGTCCTCTGCTAACGCCAGAAAAACGCCCATTGAGCATGCTTCGTGCGTGTGGTGTAGTAGTATGTACTTGGTGCCAGTGGCTAACACAAGTCCTCAGAACCCGGAGGCCCTGTCATGACCCCCCTCCTTCAGCTCAAGACAGCTCTGTTGGTCTGGCCAATGGCGCAGTGGCGTTTCTTTCCCGGCCGCAAAGCGCAGGATCCGGCGGAGTGGCTTGTTGTCTCGTTTCACCATTGTCCTGTGCGAGACCGAATATGATACAGCAGGCAGCGTTTGACATGCAGGAATGGCTCACAACTTGTTCGAATCGTGACAAGAACGAAGACGAAATACCGTCGCCAGCACGGCAGTTCCGGCTCTTACTTGCCTCGTCTGGACATCACGCCGGTCTCATTGTAGGGGAAAAAACAATTTGGGTGAAGCGCCAACACTCTCGGGAAGGCATAGCACAAATGATATCGAAGATTGAGAATGCTACTGTTCCTTGCCCAACTCAGGAACTATACTACTAACAACAAGGGGAGAGCCCTCGGCTACGAGTGGAAAGAAGCTTGCACCAAGTACCATTGAAAGCGGACGGCGGCACTGGAGACTTGCCCGCGTGTGGATGCATATGGAGGCTGATGGATGCACGGCAATATCACATATGCAAGGCTACCGGTGTCACCTGGCGAGATCCCTGTCAGGACCACATTCACGACATTATCCGAACTCGTCTGGACGATAGGAGAAGCATCCTGGCAAGCGTGGCTACAGCGAAGACTTCTAGACCACCTCGTGCCAATACTAACAGTAGTACTTCTTCACTAGGGGTGCTATGATCTCGAGCCCATCCAACCCCGGAGCTTGAACGAAAAGCGAGCAACAACCGCACTGCTTCTCCTGGAGATGATGGGAGGATTGTCAAGTTTTGGTCTCAATTTAGCTTCATTTTTCGGTCATCATTGAGGGCTGTCAACGTCACTACCTTGGAGGAGCTTTAGCACCCCGACGGACTGCTTGCCTACCTTATTTGCTCCCCCCCTAATAAAGAAACGGATACGTCTGGCCTAGTCGCCTACGCCACGGCCCGGTATTATGGTGAGACCCTACTGTGTCAGTTATTAATATCCTCTCAGCACCAAAACACAGGTGCTTCGGGCTGCACTGGATACTCTCGTCACTGCTTCTCATCACCCTGCGATAGAGCAAGAGTGGTGGCCAGTGCCTGGTCATTGAGCATGCCGTCGCCCAGGGGGCATATCGACACAGCTGGTATAACCGATCATACACGTACGTGCCTGGCACTTACATAGCTGGATTGCGCTGGTACGCTGTACTACAGAGCATCGCACATCATGTACATCTGGTACGATGGGGTGCAGGTTGGCTCATTTACTTTAGCTGGCCCCCCTGGCTGCTCTGGAAATTAATCGAGACCAGGGCCATCCTCTTCGATTTCACACGAGGACCAACGCTATGCTGGCCTAGGAAGCGGGCCGAACTTGGCAAAGCTAGCCCGACCCTCGTGCTCGTTTAGGGGAGCCAACCTTACTCGGTGTGGCTTATTCCCAATCAATTGGACAGACGAGGGAGTTGTCTTTTGCTGACGATTTTATTTCCTTGACCCGCCTGTTCATCAGGGTCGGCATGACCGACGTCGTGGACAGCTACGGTACATACGAGTGCAAGTGGTCGCATACCGAGTACTGTGTTACGCGGGACACTTTGGCGATGGCTTTCTATTGCCTGGAAGCCAGGCTACCCATGGCGCGGCTCGTCAGTTCACCGGGGACGCCAACGGTTATATGAGTGCGCACGGCATGTGTCTCTCCTCCACGGAGGCCTTCCAACTGGCAGATGACACCAGTGTCAAAGAAGTGGTCCATACGAGTGCACAGAGCCTCCAACGACACTGTCAAGTGACCTCTTTGTGAGCGAGATCATCAGTGGCAACGGAAGGTTGTTGCTTTTTTCCTCTCCTCCCTTATTGCCGCCGGGGCTGTCGAATGACGAGCCGCTATGTAGCTCTCCAACACTCTCCCCACAGACGGCGGGGGATGATCATCAGCTGTCTGGGCCAACGACCTTGGGGAGGCCCCTTCTGAGGACGGTTGTTGGCGAGCAGGACTCTGGCCAAATTACGCGTCCAGGTCTTCTGTCCCGTCATACAAGCTTCGTCTGATCGGTCAAGCGCCTCTCCAGCCGATTAGCTTGCTCGGCAATGCTAGCTTGGGCATCAAGAGCACAGCATGCCTTTTGCAGGAGTATAAACAGGCATCTTGACTGACTGACTTGCTCGCTGGGGAAGGCATACAAGTACCACATACGTACGGGCCTCAGCGCGGCACACTCCGCACTTTCAGCTTGCCGCTCTGTTCGTGCTAGTCCAGCTCGGTTCCTCAGGTTAGCCTGGGGCGTGATAGGTGATAGGGCGATTATCATGCTCCTGCAATTTCTCCGCTTTATACTACTACTCCACTCCAATTGCAATCCTTCTCAAGCTTCTGGCTGCTGCTCAACAGGTACCTTCGGTCATCGAAGAAGAGGAAGAAGAGGGGAGATTAAGAAATCATAGCTGCTGAGCAGCTGGAGCTGACAGCCGTGGTCAGGCTCATTCTGAGAACGATCCGCTTCGCCATTGCCCCCGATAGATTTCTGGCAATGGCATATCTGACTACTGTGCCATCGCCACAAAGTCAAGAGTGTGAGTGCTCCAATGGGAGTTGAGCGATGTACGAAGAACCGATACTACTTATCTCGTACAATTCCGGAGAGACAAGGTAATTGACGAGGATGATTCATGCATCAGACAGCCATCTTCTGAGGTACGACTACCGACAGAGAACGCCTCAGAAGGCTACCCTGGCCTGCCAAGTCCATAAGATACTGGTCCTCCAACGTTCCGGGGCTCCAGATCATCGACCCAGGGTTGAGATCGTCGTTCAATAGAGAGTTCGGCTTACGTCTGAACTTACAAGCAGTCATCGCGGTTGGCAAAGCAAAGGTCAGTAATACAGAGCTATTCGAAGCTGGAAGTAATACTTTGTACGTGTACTAAGGACTTCGTATTTCGTACCTCTTCGGAGTCTCGCTCCGTTTTCTACATGCAATACTACCTTTATTTCAAGTAGCATGCTACCACAGCCAACAATTTCCCGGGACCTCCGATGAGTTTAATAGTAGATACACAAATGTCACTCAGTCCAGGACATGGGCATCACGGACAATAAGCTAATATTGTACAGCATGCCGGCAACAGTAACCGACCCCACGGATATGGCCTTGACCATTCCATCCAACGGAACGGACCTATCGCTGCTTTCGAATTTGGCCGTAACAGCCATGAGTTGAATGGAGATTCAGGCCAGCTTAAACTTTGCCGGCCATCCACAAAGCGGCAGGTCTGCCACCAACGTTCCGAGCCGTCCATCCGTGCCCTCCTTGAGATGCCCTGTCCTTGGTGGCTGTGTTTCCCACGACGGGCCTATTGGCTGCGTTGACTAGCTAGTCGGAAATGCAATGTGCAGACGATGAGATGTCCCCAAAAGCGTCGCTAACACAGAGTACAGATACATCATCAACCTCCTATGACACGAATGCGTTCCAAGTTATTACTATGTTGCCCGGAGTCGACATGGCTGAGGGGTCATTCCAAGTTGCACGTATCAGTCTTCTATTTTTATTCTCTTTTGTTGATCGTCACTCGTCATTATGCCTCTTCCCTTTCCGCGACTGGTGAACGTCTACCGGCCGAGATACTCCATGTTTCTGTCGACTCTATGAAGCTCCACGTGCTGCATCACAGAGGGGAACCATACCCCAGTTGTCGTTATCACAGTCACACAACACTGAACGGCTGAGGGGGGTCCTTCTTGGAAGAGCAAAAGATCCGCGAATATGCTGTGACTCGGTCAATACTAGCAGCGTGGCTTTCTTTTCAGAAGCTATCACGGCAACGTGCCGGTCACACACGAGGGTCACTTTTGTGGCTTTACTGGTACTATGGAGTGTCACAGGGCAAGTAACAATCTCCTGCCGTGCCACGGCTCGCTCAACAACGGTAATATGATACTACGTGTTGGGGAGCATGCATCACGGATGAGAACCCGTGGCATTCACATGTCAATCCTTGAGCTTCGCTAATTGGACAAGCTGCTGTTCATATTATCGGGTTATACCGTTAGCGAGAGACTCAACATGGCTTTCGTCGCCCAGTCAACAGCGTCGACAGTGGTAGACGTCTCAATCACAAAGCTGGTCTTTGCGCAACGACTTCGCTCTCATCAGCATGTGCCTGCGGAGACATTTCGCAGACTTGTCGACACGTACTGTATCTGTGCTTCCCCTTTTATTTCTCTGCCCAGGACCATTCTGCCCCATCTCGACCATGGTGTCATGATTCGACAAAAGCACTTGCATATCATTTCTCGGCTCAGGGCGGTGGCTTGCCGGAACACATGGGGCACATGTGTCAGGTGGAACGGCGTGCATATTCATCACAAGTGGCTTGTTTGATGTAGATGAGTGATTGGCCCGCATATGGGGTCCAAGAAGCATCTTCTGCTGCATATGGGGGAGTTTCGGCTGGATGCCGGCTTCGACTATGACATGCCAGTGGCTATGCTAGCTGGAAGCTGTGGCATGCTGAGCTCTGTTTGGGTTCGTTGCTCTTCACCATGTGAAGGCCTGTATGAGGTTGTTCATGATGGCCTGTTGGCGCGTGTTATGCCATGCCATGTCAGCATAGGTATCTCGGGAACAGCGCAACTCTCATAGCTACAAATGATTGGGAGTCTCGAGTTGTCAAGTTCGATATCTTCATGGTCATTGTTTACAGTATTATTATTGGCCTAGTCGGATTAGATTATTGCATTTCTTGGTGTCATCTACAAGCACATGGACTAACGAGGGGGCATCAGGTTGCCTCTCCTCTGGAGTTCCCATACCCGTGCTGCTTACCCTACAAGAATAACAACTGCCACGATTATTTATTATAAGCTCTACGTCTTTTGAGGGCTTCAGTATTATCATGCGATTCAATTTCTGTAAATTGAGTTATTTGTTTATAAGGATTACCTCTACTGGGCTATGGGTTCATCTTGCCAGAGCCGATGGCGACATCAAATCATGTGATTTCGTAGAATTCCAAGTCACAATCTCAGTGCCGCTTCACCACTCGACACAATAAAACTCACCAACAAGCAAACCAAAGAAAGAAACAGACCATGCCCTCCAAAACCTCCCGCCTCACAACCGTCAAGGCCCTCCTCTTCGACGTCTTCGGCACAGTCGTCGACTGGCGCTCCTCCGTGACAGACGAGCTCTCCCTGCGCATCTTCCGCAAGCAGTCCTCCTCCTCCTCCTCCTCCCCCTCATCATCATCATCATCATCCCTCCCCCCAGCCCTAAAGTCTCGGCTTGAATCCCTCACGCAGAGCGACTGGGACCGCTTCGTGCAGGAGTGGCGGGACTCGTACATTGCCTTTACGAGGGACTTCAACGCCGCCACGGACGAGTGGAAGAGCATTGACGAGCATCACCGGGAGAGCCTCGTCGAGCTTCTCAAGAAATGGAACCTCGACGGCTTGTTCACCGAGTCGGAGATTGAAAGCCTGAGCCTCGTCTGGCACCGCCTGAGCCCGTGGCCGGATTCCGTGGACGGGCTGGAGGAGCTGCACAGGAGATACACCACCGCCACGCTCTCCAACGGAAACACCAGCCTCCTGCGCGACCTGAGCGACTTTGGGGGCTTGGCCTTTGACCGCATCTTCTCGGCCGAGACGTTCCGCGCGTACAAGCCCGATCCGGGGACGTACCTCGGCGCCGTGCGCGCGCTGGGCTTGCGGCCCGACGAGGTCGCTCTTGTGGCGGCGCACCTGAAGGATCTGCGGGCGGCGAGGGAGTGTGGGCTGGGAACCATTTATGTCGAGAGGGATCGGGAGGAGGAATGGGGGAGGGAGGAGGAGAGGTTCGTCGAGGCAAAGGGATGGGTTGATTTGTGGGTTGAGGAGGGGGAGGGCGGGTTGCTTGGTGTTGCGGAGAGGTTGCGGGCGTTGGAGTGAGTCGAAAAGGGGGGGTTAGAGGAGGATACTGATGGGATGAGGATGGGTGTAGGGGATTAGAGTAGGTAGTTTAGCTTGTGTGATTGCTGGGTTCGGCATGGCTGGAGAAGAGAAGCTTGGTGTTGTTCATTTGAACTGAAGCAGCAGCATATATATATCCAACGTAACGATCATGTTAAGTCAAACAACTAGACGCCTTGCCGTCTGGTCATACACGATATATCATTTGTGATCTCGATAGGTACGCTGAATGACGGTAACGATCTACGACAACGAGTGTATGTTGAAGATAATGAGAGAATAACAGTTGCCAATGTGTTTGCGGAATTTTACGGCAACTACTGCATCGGACCGGGGAACTGCATCGTATCAAGACCCGCATAGGTACGATGCTGCATGAAGTTGACCTTGTAAAACTATGTATGGCTTTAGCTGAAAGGACTAGCCTGCTTGTCAGCCAGATGAATGGGTATCAGGCAAGACAAGACATCAGACAGAATATGTGGGCGTGGCAGCTCACGAGGTATAGAACCCAAAGAAATAGGGCACCAATGGTGATATAGGCTCATATATCCATATAAACTTACCTTTATTGCCTTCTACATGGGCAAGTGTCTCTTTACCTCGTGAAGATGTATAGACTCCAGCTCAGTCAGCCGCATCATGACGAGGCATGATATACCACCCGCGTAAGCCACCGTCTCTTCGTGTGGAATGACGCTTCCCGTCATGCTCGCCATGTTCACCACGGCCCAAGCCCCACGAACTTTCATTGGTAGCCGTATGATCAGCAAGAGCCAATAGTCCCCTCGATCAGGGTCAATGGCGTATATTGTGATCTCCTGAGCCCTCCTAGGCGTTGCATGTTAGCGGCCCCTGATCGGGAGCTTCCGAGACCACAAGCTGCGATCTCTGTCCCTAAGGATAGAAACCGGCAGTGTCTTCCAGATGACATTGCCGACACAGCTGTGCCAAAGCAGGCGCAAGGCGATATGCACTATCAAACACTCACATGGGCGTGAGAGTTCCTGGAGGCTCATCTCATGTAGTCCTGATCCCATATCGGGCACGTAATACTTCGCACGAGACTGCCAGTCGTAGTACGCCGACGCCGTCACATCTGTTTCAGTGATGGCCCAGCTGCGACAGGACAAGCATCTGCGACACAGGTACTTTGCACAAAAGTAGCAGTACATCAAGTGACGAAGGACGGCTACAGACATAAGAGACTATGACCCCCACCGCAGAGCTTGCTCACCTTGTTGAAAAGGGCAAACAGCGTTGAAAGAACGCTGAGGACATGTCAGTTTAGCCGGGTCCTAGTAGTGGTGGTGGTGGTGGTGGTGGTGGTGGTGGTGGTGGCAGTGGTGTGAGCACCAGCAGCAGTACGGAGTAGTAATGAGCCGGTTCGGTGAACGAATATGGGGCTCGGGATCGACTCCTGTCCGCGGTAAGCATCTCCGCGAGCCGATATGCAGAAAAGGCGCGGGATGGGAGGGCGGTTGGCCCAGGATGACGCCGGATAAGCTCGGATGGCAGACCGGGAAAGGGAACCATAACCACAAACGACATGCTTCCCCGCGCTGACGCAGTGCTACAGTAATCAGAGCAACGACTGCGAGCTTCCTGTGAGTGGTAAGAAAATGGAGTATGGGTCTATTTGGTCAGAGTCAGACTACTCGTATACGCCCTCGTGGTTCTCGTGGTCTGTTCTTGTGGTAGCATGTTCCTGGGCGAGTTTCAAGCAGCCAATCGGTATGAGGCTGTTGAGCGTTGCCAACTCAAAGCGGCGAATATTGCGCTGCTCATAAGCGACAGACGCAAGGTAATCCCCGGCGGGCGTGACTCGTTCTGCTGCTGATCTGATAACGCATCATGATGTGAGGCAGTGCAGGTCCGATGAGCAGCTTGAGCACACTACTACATGTCTGCACAAGGTGAGATACTGCTGCTTGCGAAAGCTGCTGGAGCTCGTCCTTCATACCGGGACCATGGCCGATTGACGCAGGAGACGATCAGGGTCTCATCCGCCAATGCTCTGTGCCGGCCTTCAACGGGGCCGTCGACCGCCTGTTGAGCGGATGCAGTTTGTGGCCTGCCGCTGCGGGTTGCTGCTCCACGTCCTCAGCGAGGCTAGGCCAGGCTGCCGCGCACGTGGCGGGTGGTTGGGGTCATCAAGTCATGCAGATAGTAAGTGTTGAATGCCGTTGCCGCCCTCGGAGGCTAGGGATCGGATTGCCTTCCTCCTAGCTGAAGCGAGGGACCGCTGCCTGTCTTTGTCCTGGGACGTCCAGTACGGCCTGGTTGTGGCAGCTCTGTCTCAACCCAATGTGTTCGTTCTCTGCAGGAGACAGGCCGAAACAGCGGTCTGTGGCGATATGGCGGATATCGTACTTTGTACAAGTGGTACAAGCGGCTCGTCGACAGACGTGAGTTCCTTGGCCTTTGACATGAACGGGGTAATACCAGCATCCAAGATGGCCATCGACACTGCGGCTCTGTATGCGTGTAAAGAGCCAACGAATTGATAGGCGGGCATCTTCAGAACAAGGGACATGGCAGCTGTCATCTCACACGAGAGGCAGGCCACATAATACCGAGTCTGGCAGCATGAAAGAGGATACTGCATCCACAGCTTACTCGTACATACTCTTGCGGTGGGTTCGTCCTTGGTGGCCCCCCCGGTTCACGCACGGCCATATGCATAGTACATGGGCGATGCGGACGCGAGCGACTGGATGTATATTCTCCAAACGGCAAGTTGGGCACTTGGGCAGAATTGTCAGGTCTGGAGCGGGAATGGTTTCCGAAACGAGACGCCGAGTGGCAAAAAGGGCGTCTGCATTGTCCGTATGTATGCATATGCAAACGTGGTCTTGCCGCTGCCTCCACGTCTGCTGCTGATACTCCGATGTGCGAGCAGGAAGGCTTGAGACCCTTGACAAGTGATGCATAGGCGCCTCTCTCTCAAAGCTCGCCGCCTTTCGCCTGGCTTCACGAGGGTGATGCCGGCGATGGACGACACTGTCCTGCAGTACGTACATAGCGCTGCCATGGGGGCCAGCATCAAAGGATCAGACCATTGAGCTGATGGTCCTTGTCTGCACGTTGTGATAGTAGCGGCATTGCTGGGATCTCGCGAGGGCAGCCGGGCCAGTCTGGAGTGCGCGACGAGGCCGGCCGATAGCACCAGCAGAGCACCGAGCGTTGCGCTGCGTACGACTAGCACCCAATAGCAGGACTGCTGCTCGCACAAGTAGGCGCTCGGCTGTCCGTTGAGCGTCTGAAGCTGCGGTTCCGACCGCTAGCTCAGCCGGCGATGCAGATCGACGGCTTCTGAGAGGCTCGCTGCTGAAGCTGCAGCCATGCTTCCGGCTCTGCAGGCATGGGAGCACGTCGCTTCCGCCATGGCCCCGCGCTACGGCTGCAGCAGCGCTCTCGCCGGCGGCCGTAGTCGATGCGATAGACCCGCGCGACGTTGAACTTGTGCGAGGACAGTGCTGCTTTTGCACACGCCTGCTTGGTCGAGCAGGTTCCGGCGAGAGGCAGCAGCAAGAACAACAAGGGGAGGCAGCAGTATTAGCGCAGCCAGCCTGGACTGGCGCAGCTCCGTGGTGGTCGAGTGTCCCGAGTGTGTGTACTTTGAGGCATGGCGGGCCATTGGACGCTTTGGCGGCAGAGGCTCGTGGGCATCGGGTCGCCCCGGCAAAGGGCAGCGGGCGGAGGGCAGAGCGTCAGGATGCTCGCCAGACTTGCAGAAACGCAGCCAGGTTTGCGAGGGCGAGCTGAGCGAAGGCCTGGGACTGGGCAGGCTGGGGCTTCGGGCCCCGCAGGTTGGCACATGTCGTGCTCGTGTGATGGCAGCAAACGGCGGTCTTGCTGCAGCATCTTTTGCATCTCATCCCATGCCAACCCACGAGGAGCTTCCGACTGGTTCGGCTGAGTCGAGTCGGGGGGAGGGAGGCGTTCGACGGCGGCTGGCTTAAGACGGGAGGGGGGTGATGTCAATGCCGTCGGCTGGAGGATTCTGCTGGGCCAGAGCCAACCAGGCAGGGCATGTATGTAGGAGTGAGGACGAGGAAGAGTACATGTGAAGAGGAGATGTGCTGCCCAACAGCCGATGTGGCTGAACGGTTCAAGGTTCAAGGTTCAGAGGGCAGGCGAGAGAAAGGGAGACTTCAACTTGTGGCCAGTTGGTGGTGGTGATGCGCATTGTCGTAATTGCCAGATGCCTCGTAGGAGCTACATGCGGCACAGGTGATAAAGCAGAGCTCTAGCTAGACAAGGCAAGTACTGGGAACCTCGAAGCCGTAGCGAAAGGATATAAGGTAAGTAGGTAGGTAGTAGGCAGGTAGCACCCATCGATCCTGCGGCCTTGATAGAGTGCCATGCTGCGCAATAGTGCCGGCGCTCGGTGTGTTTCCGCGCTTCAAAGGATTCTGAAGCCAGCATGGGCTCTTGATAGTGCTGCAGAACCTCAATTGGGTTGGGTTTCCAGCTCCAATGGCCTTGTATGAGACATTCGATGAGATCCTGTGACGCTCAGAGCTGGCCTGTCGGGTAGCATCGCTGCTGGGAGAAGCCTCGACTCGTCTCGATTACCTTCTGCTAGCGCTGGAACCCGGACTGCACGGAGGAGGACACAAGACGGCCTCGAGGCATGCGACTTCAATGTTTCCGGCTCGGACTTTTATTTGATGCACCTGCAGGCTGTTTGACGTCGATGGTACAACGACGGAGTTTCATGGACATTCTTTCTTTACCCAGGCGCGAAGTTAAAAATGCCAGCGGCTTTGTTCATGTCCAATCCCTTGTTGTCGCATTCTGACATAATCCGAGCATTGTATGTAACAGCGACAAAGTTGTAGAGGGACTACATGTAAGGTATCATATGTCACGCACGTACAGTAGGTAGGTATACAGGCACTCCTTGCATTCGCAGTGACTCCGTATCACTCTCAAGATTCACCGGCTGCACCCCTGGCATCCTGTACGTCTGCGTGCTTGCGCAGATATCACGGTTCGACTCCATCCAATTCGCTTCCAACCCGCTCGCTCGCTCACAGCAATCCCCTCTCCCGCTCCAGCGTTCATCAGCGGCTCCTCTCCTCTCTCCTCTTTCCCCCCAGCTGCAGCTGCAGCTACTGCATGTACGAGTACAGGTATGTACTAGTACCTACCTACCTAAGGTAGGTACTGCTGGGGCGCCCTTCTTTGTTAGCGTCCGCAGCAGCCAGCCAGCCAGACAAAGAGCGACAACATGAACAACATGAAGAGAGCCCCCAAAGAGCCGCCCCAGACGCTTTGACCGCATGGCTGTCGGGGCCGGAGAAAGCTCAATCTACTAATCCATGTCCCGCCAATGCGTGCGAGAATTATAGACCTAAAGAAAAGAGGAAGTGAAGAAAAGGGTAGAGGGGAAAAAACAGAAAAGAGAAAAAAATTCTCATCGCCAACCCTGGCGCTGTGCAGAAGTATGCGATACGATACCGGCGGACGCAGGCCCTCCTTTGGCTGCCTGGGGTCTGGAGGGGGATGGATGAAAGAAAATAGGGGATCCGTGAGGCGGGCTGCGCGAGTGCCTGTACCTTGTACATACCTAGGTAGGTATTTACATGCCTGCACCTGTACCCTGCAGAAGAAAAGGACGAAAACTTCGTATCAATGCCTTGACTGTCGTTATAAGGTAGTCGTTTGATTAATACGTCAGTGTCGATTGTCGATGGCTTTGAACCTACCTACTATACCTCGTGGAGAGAGGCTTTTGCTGGTCCAGTGTCAATGGATGGATGCCTGTAGTCACAATCTACCTTACATGTAGGTACTGGTACTTGGTACCTACCTAGGTAGTACCTAGTAGGTACGTCCTTTGGGGGGAGTTGTCAGCGCGTTTGGCTGCTCTCGCTGTCCAGTGCGTTTAGCTTGGCGCTGCTTGTTGAACTCGCAAGGAAGTGCCGACCTACGAGTACAGCAAGTACCTGTACCTGTGCTCCTCAACAAGCGCAGTTCGCAGTTCAACTGCAATCCGCCCAAGTTGAGTTCGAGTTCAGATTTTAGCCTCTCCGCAAATACTTCCCTAGTACCTAGGTACCTAGTAGTAGCACTACCTAGTACTTTGCCCATGCCGACATTGAAAGCTGCATCCTCCTCTTCTGCTGCTCGCTCTGCAACTGGATGCCGCTCCGTCCATGCATCAACGGACCTCCATGCCCCCGTCTCATAGGGACTTTCTGCACACTGCATGGCATGGCATGGCATGGCATTGCCTGCTGCTACATACCTGATATTGGATATCTAGGTACCTACCTACCTTACCCTTATTAACCTCATCATATGTACAGGCTTGTCTGGCCCTTCTCCATGTCAACTCACCCTGGGCCAAACCCTGCCGCTTCCTCTCCGTCCACGTTAGCACAGCACCAAGCTGCAGCTAATAGGGTCCCGTCCAGACGTGCTATGCCTACAGCGGCCCAGCCCTTGAACGCACCGCTGCTCCGGCCCTCAAAGAGCCCCCCCCTATCAGCAATCAAACGCCCTGTGGCCAAGCTCGACGCCTGCTGTCCAATCCCAATTCCAGCGCCGGGACCCGCCACAAGCCCACACCTGCTGCTCCACTTCACCCAAAAGTCCACATGCACTGGACCAGCTCTGCTACCTGTAGGTACTACTACCTAGGTAGGTACCTGTACTAGTAGAGACGCCCACCAGACAGCACTTGATCTCCAGTCCAGTGCAGCCCGCCCAGTCGTTCTTCCTGCCGTGCTCCAACTGGAACCGGAACTAAGAAACCAGCAGCACCAGACCTGGAACTAACTAATACCTAGAGCTGCCACAAACATCCACCATCCAGTCAGTCCCCAGACAAAACCGCCATTCCGCCTGCTCCAGATTCCCCAATTGCTCCGTTTCGCGCAGCTTCCCGTCGCCGCCCATTGCTCGCACCATCTCTCGCCCTCAGCCGCTGCGCTTCTTTGGCCTCTCGCCTCCCGCCTCCCGTCCCACGCTCTCCGCCTCGCAGCGCCTCTTGCTTCTGCTTCTGCTTCTGCTTCTGCTTCTGGCTGCAGCTTCACATCATATCCTCCTCTCTCCACCCCCCCCCCTTCCCTCCTTTCGCAGCGCCGCTTGCGGGCTCTTGGATTCGCCGGCCACCGACGCCTAGGATTGCCTGTCTGAGCTCGGTCGCTCCTCAACCGCTGACTCTTTGCGCCCATCATGGCGGGCAGAATGGTGCTGTACAAGCTGGTGGTGCTGGGAGACGGTGGTGTCGGTAAGACGGCCCTGACCATCCAGCTGTGCCTGCAGCACTTCGTCGAGACGGTAAGCATTCGCTCCCTTTGGATCAGAACCGGCATTTTTGGGGGAGGACAACAAAGAGATCAACGAAGAAGACAAGAAACAAGCAGAAAGGGGACGGAGAACCGCGGGAGACGAAAACAGGGAGGAGAAATCACCGACTCTTCTTCCCCTCTCCTGACCGACTTGGGCGGACAGCCTCGGCGGCGGTAGCGCATGAGGGGCAGGGCAACATGGAGCTCCCGTCCGCCCAGCGCTGGGCGATGCATTGGACGAATGAATAGCTAACATCCGACGTCTACAGTACGACCCGACAATTGAGGACTCATACCGCAAGCAGGTCGTCATCGACGGCCAGCCCTGCATGCTCGAGGTCCTCGACACGGCCGGCCAGGAGGAGTACACAGCGCTGCGAGACCAATGGATCCGAGACGGTGAGGGCTTCGTCCTCGTCTACAGCATCGCATCCCGCTCGTCCTTCACCCGCATTAAGCGCTTCCACCACCAGATCCAGCGCGTCAAGGAGTCGGTAGCCTCCTCGCCCTCATATCCGGGCTCACCTCTGTCCGCCGCCAGCCCGCAGCTGCCCGTGCCCATCATGCTGGTCGGCAACAAGAGCGACAGGGTCACCGAGCGCGAGGTATCGACCCAGGAGGGGCACGCCCTCGCTCGCGAGCTTGGCTGCGAGTTTGTCGAGGCCTCGGCCAAGAACTGCATCAATGTTGAAAAGGCCTTCTACGACGTCGTCAGGATCCTGCGCCGGCAGCGCCAGCAGGCTTCGCGACCCCCTGCGGGCGCCAGCGGCCGAGCCCGAACCAGCAACGGCGACGCGGGCGGAGGAAGCCGAGACACGCACCGGTACCGGCGCGGCAAGGACGGCGAGAAGGGCAAGTCCAAGTGCATTGTCTTATGAGCGCTTCTCATTCGTTGCCGCTTCCTACTCGCGATAGAGATCCTCCCGAGGACTGCGTTCTGGGGCACGAGGCGCGCCTAGTCACGCATACTTCCTTTTCTTCTTTCTACCACCCTCTGTGCTTCTCCTCATCGAACGCAGCATCCTTTCCTACTGGATATCGTCCCTCTTCAAGCGGAATAGACTGGATTCTGGTATATGTCATACGTTGGCAGCAGACGAGCTGGCGCTCTGCTTCTGCCCCTCCTCCGGCTGGTCGGTGGGCTTGCCGTATTGCTACATGATGACGACGATATTCGGCAACAAGAACTACACAGAAAAAAGCATCTTTATTATGTTACAACCTCACGGCTCCTCGATTGGCGCAAGGCGTACGAACCACCTACGGGCGCACACACCCGCACAAGTCACATACACACCCGAAGGCCGGAAAAAGAGAAGAAAAGAAAAAAAAGAAAAGAAAGAGGAAGGCATCATTTCGCGGAAGTTGGATCCTTACCAGTGTTAATACTGCTACTTAGTGGCTGGATAACCTGGCGGTGCTCATTGATGATAACCTGGACGGGGACAGTGCAACCTGTTTCTTTCTGGCTTCTACCCGACGAAATCTAATATGCACCGGCCGATGCCGAATTGCTGCTGCCTTCATTCATTCGATGCCTGTAGCGCCTCTCCTTGTCACCCCCCTGCGTCGTTACCATTTCTTACTCTCTCCCTTGCGTTCGTTTATCAACCCCCCCTTACAGATATGGAATGGATGGTCGCGGGTGTTCCAGGAGTCCCTTTTGGTTCGAGCTTTGCTATTTTCCCCTTCTCTACTCGTTATCACCATCTCTTGCTGACTTTGGACCATTTCATCTCTACTTGCTCCCTGTTCTTTTTTGGGTTATAAAAAGTAAATTCACCGTACACGTCTTGGCACATGTCATGGATGGGTGTCTGATAGCGATATCTCGTTGGATCTCTTTGTCGAATCTGTTTATATCTTTATTTAACCTCCACAATGTGTGCTTGCTTTTCTATTTTTGTCGTTTTCTTTGTCTCTTGGAGAAAGCTTTGGTTTCTAGACGACATGGTGTGGGAGAAGAGGATGCTGAATGCTAGAGGCTCTTACTACCTAGCTTGTCTCCTTGTTCATTAAAAGAGGTTTCATCTCTCTTCTCCGCTCTCTCTCTCTCTCTCTCTGCTCCTTTGTCTTGTTTTCCCTTGTAAGTGAAAAAGGATGGAATATGGCCTGTGCTACCTTTGGCCTGTGCATCAGCAAATAACGTGATGAAAAAACAGCAAAGTACATAGAAGCAATGACAGAAAGCTGAGATGGTGTTGACGTTTCAGACATGGTGAAACAGTTTGAAGCTTTGGCCTTGAGCTTTCGCGTTGACAGCTCTGGCTTTGAGTGTCGATACCTAGAGAAGGCGCCCGTATCTACAATCGGGAGATGTTTTCGGAAATGGACGTAATATTACAATATTATTGGTTCTTCTCATTGAGTCTCCGTAGCCGCACCGGCTTTCTCTCGATCTAGTATCCTGTAATAGCAATAACGTTTGTGAAAGGTGATGATAATGACGGAAGACTTGTGAGTTTTGCAGTGATGTAATGATGCGGTCGGTGTGCGGGTTCCCAAAGGGCTGAAGCTCCGACGCTCGACCGTCCCCCTTCTATTCTTTGTTTCACATGACGAGAAAGGTGCAGCGGCATCACATACACATTTGCATGTGCTTTTCTACGAATATGACTCGGTGTTGTTCAGGAGAATGAGAAGTCATTTACAATACCTACCGTAGTAGTAGTACATGGTAGGGGATGGGGGGGAAAAAAGATGGAGATTTCAAACTGTGATCTGCATTTCATGTCCACGGGGTTAAACATGGCAATTTGCAATGCATGGATGTTGAACGATTGCATGAAGGCGCGTGGAATTAGTCAATGAATGAACACAGTACTCTTAGGTAGTAGGTAGTCTATCAGCCTGCTATGGAAGTTGTGATATGTCGTATTCCAGGTTTTGGGAAGAGGAGCATGAGATGAGATGAGATGGGGCTTGCCTAAGGTATCCCTGGTGGAGTAGGGATGTGCAACGGAAGGGTCTTCCGGACGGGGAATTTTTGGGTGTATGGATGAGTTTGTGGAGTTTTTTTTTTTTTTTTTTTTTTTTTTTTTTGCTTTGATGGTTATGTATATTGTGGATTGCTTTTTGATCATTTAGTTATTGTTATTGTTGTTGTTGTTGTTGTTACCTTGTGTCCTTTGAGGTTGTGAGCTCTGTTAGGAGAGAGGAGGCTCGTCTTGAACCAGTGGCTGTTGATGTTATTTTACATGTTGTAACCCTTGTAGCGTCTAAGCGGCATGCTATCGATTTTGAACAAATTGTATGTGATTTTTCACTCTCTGACAAACAATGACACGGAGACTTATATGCCTACCTAGGTAGGTAGGTATTCTCCAACAAACGGCCATACTGATTTACCTGAGGCTCGATGCCTTCCTTGTAACTACCTATTCGCCTACCATACCTTAGGTACATGTACATACCTACCTACCTCCCTCTTTACCTCACACGACTCCTCTGACACAATAAACCCCTCGTTTTCTCGACGCAGACTTTTTCTGTTCTTTCTAGATCGCTTCCCCGGTTAAAAACGGGTAAAGCGCTAGGTATTGCCAGACCCAAACACACAACTTAACGTTAGTAACCACTCATATACACTGAAACCTGCACAATGTAGACGGTCTCTCGCAACACAAAAAGTCTCCTTTGTGTCGATGGCGTGTGAGTTTTTGAGTTCGACCTGCCTGTTCTGAGAAAGAAGTGGGGGTGCACGGTTGGGGTTTATTATCTACTAGTACCTAGGTACTAGGTAGAGATACCTATATACCTTAGGTACCTATGTGAGTTGGAGAAGTTTAATGGAGTCGTTTGAAAGATTGCAAAGTATTTCAGTAGCCAAGTGACTGACAGAGGAAAGAATGGAAGCTTCATGCTGGGAACTTTTGAATGATGATTTTGAGTTTTGTTGGCGGTTTTCGTGGATGTATGTAAGCACTGGGCAAGTTTAGCTTGAGCGGTTGTCACCCAACATGTTTTGTGTTTACACGTGGATTTGAATTGAGGGGGGGGTCCGGAGGGAAGATGCATGGACTGTCAACAGCTGATCCAAAAATACCTGTTGCTCTTTTCGTGCCACGATTTTGCATGTGAAAATCTGATGACGATGGAGATGAAAGCGAGAGAAGAGGATAGTAAGATGATTTGATTCCACGCAAATTAGCCAAATCTATGTCCGTCCGTCCCCTCCCCTGTTCCATACCATTTAAACTAGCAACATCTCATCAACTCATATTACTACCTACTCCATCCAATCCCGCGTCAAAATAAGGAGCAAAGGTAAACTACTAACTTAACCTCTGTACTACCTGTTAGTACCAAAGTAATACGCGAAGAAGAAACCAGATGATTCCTAGATCCTGCACCCTTTTTCTCATTCAGATAACCGACAATGAACAAAAAAAAAAAAAAAAAAAAAAAAAAAAAAAAAAAAAAAAAAAAAAAATACAACCAAGCCGAAATTGCAAACGACTGCTGCATAGTAGTTTCAAGTTATTGGTTCTTGCAAGCTCACATAGGTAAGGAAAAAGGGGGAAGTCGAACAACCCATATCCTCGTCGAGTTTCACATGCCATGTCTCCTTCTCTCAAACCCCGGGAAAACAAAAGAGAGAGCACTGCTATAAATAAAACTCGCAAATTGCTTTTTGCAGACAGGGTAAACATACATTGCTTCTAGACGTTCTAAAATGAATGAAAAAAAAAAAAAACAAGGTGAAGAAAAAGATGATGGCATGGCCCGCACTTGGAAATAATCGTCGTCTTTAATTTCCTTTGATGATAGACAATATCTGGCTTCATCCCAAATTCTTTGAAGAAGAAACCGTTTCCTTCTATATAAATGAGGACTAACTGCCCTCCTCGGCTTTTGGCCCATAAAGCTGCTTTTGTGCTGTTGCTCATCAGAATGCTGCCTACAGTCTCTCGCTCTTCAACTAGCTTGTTTTTCATACGTCACGCAACGGAGTCAAAAGGGTTGACACGCGGCCGTTGTCTCAGCCAGTCTTCCCTACACGAGAGACAAGACTCCTTTCATACACTTTATGAGACGGCGGCTTGGATATCTCCAGCAGATCGACCTGGTAGTAGCGGCACATCGTTTGCCAAACTCCGGATCCCAGACACATCGCCAGGGGGCACACAAGCCATTTCACAAGCTCGTCGTTGTTGGGCTTGATCCTCGTGCCTCAGACTCGGCATCACAACATCAGATCAAGTGCCAGTAATCATTTCTATTCAAGATAGTTAAAACAGAGCACACAATAAATGTCCGCATTTTGCTGCTTCAAGCCGTGCCGCCATCTGTCATGTCAATCCCTGCGACATATGTCCCGATCAAAGACGCCATAACCCGTGAATGTGAAGATCTTCTCTCATCGCTCAAGAAAGCAGGGGTCTCCAAGAATATAGTACGAAAAGTAGAAATCAGATGTAGAGAAAAATGGAGTGAACAACATAAGAAAATAGGTCCCCACGTCATTCAACCCATGCGTATGAATGTGTGAATAAAAGAAAAATAGCCATTAGAAGATTGATTCCTCAGTCCTTGGTTTCATGCTCATCGCCAAAGGGGCTAGATTCACGCTTTTGAGAACCGGATCTGACATCGTCCTCTTTGGTAGACGCTCTCTCCCGTTTGGGTGAGGGAGCCTCAACGGAAATTGAGGGAGTTGGCGGAGGGTCGGAGAACGGCCCCTGGTCGCCTGTCGATGCGTCTCCTGAGCTCGCGGGAGGCGTTGGATTGCTTGATGAGCTTGGCGACTTTGAGATGGATGAGTTTCCATCCGGCTTGGAGGCAATCTCCACCATCCTCAACCCGGAGCCTCCCACCTTAACGACCTGAGCACGCGCCGGGGTGACGGTGTTGGCATTGTTGAGGAACGTCGAGCCGACGCTGAAGTTGCTTGCCGCGCTCTGGGGCCGCAGGTGCTGGGAAGAGGTGAACCTGTCCAGGTCGAGGCTGGGGACGGGAGGCGTGTTGGGCGAGCTCGAGCCCGACTTGACGCTGACCATGGTGGGCTTGGCGCGCATGCCAGTCTGGGCCGGAGTCAGGACCTGCTGCTTGCCACCACCAAAGATGGTGGACGCAATGCTAGAGCGAGGCGGAGCAAACGAGGTGCGGTCTGAGAAGGCGGAGATGCCCGAGTAGGTCGAGTCTCGCAGGTTGCCGGGAACGAAGAAATGGGGGTTGTCGGCCGACGAGTCGCGGTAGCCTTCGGTGTGGTGCATGGGAATCGGCGGAACCGGGGGGACGAGGACGTTGGGCGACGCAGGCGTGGCTCGGTTGGTGACGCCAGGAATGTATGCGATCTGGATGATGTTGGAGGCGCGCGTGAGGACGGTCGAGGCGATGGAGTGGACCGTGTGCGTAGATCCGCGGCGGGTGACTCGGTTGCCGTTCTTCTCGTCGCCCGGCATGGCGCTCTCCTCGACTCCATACACCGACTGGGAGAGCCGCCTCTTGGGCTTGATGAGGAATCTCCAGACGAGGTAGGTGATGATGGCAATGGCAGCGATGCCGCCGACGACACCGCCGGCAATGGGGCCTGCGCTGGGCCCGCTGCTGCCCTTGTCTCCGTCGCTGTTGTTGGGCGAGTCGTTGACCGCGCAAAAGGACTGCGGGCATTGCGTGCAATCGAGCGGAACGGTGAACTGGCAGCTCTCGTTGGAGCCGCAGGACGGGCATTGGAGCTTGGACGTGTCGTCGCACTTAACGCACCCGCCAGCTCGGGGGACCAGTCTCATCACTGCCATTGAACATTTCGGTTAGCGGCCACGGCGAGACACGGCGCTCATCTCTTCTCACCTTCGTGTAGTTCCGTCAGGTCCCTCGCAACGAGGAACGATGAAGTCTCCATCTTTGGCGATGGATAACTGTGGCGATATTTGGTGGGATAGTAAAGGTAGAGACAAGGGATGTTTGGCAATGGACGCTGGTAGATTCGATCCGGTCAAGACGTTTGATGCTTCGGCTCGGCGACAGAAAGTTGACCAAGAATGCGACGGACGATGGCGGATCGGTGATATCGCGGCCTTGGAATGTCACAAAGAATCGTCTTCGCTGGCCTATGTCGATCTTTTCTTCTTTTCCGCCTCGTATCTTCTCCCAGACTGATGACGGTTTGAATGGTTCGATGTGTCGGCAAAAATAAGTAATGAGCTGAAAGCCAACTTGTCTCGTCGTGCAGAGCGATTCAAAGACAAGCGGGAACTGTGAGAAAGGAGTGGACTGAGTCTAGCTCAGGGAAAATGACCAAAATAAGAAAATGCCGAAGAAGAAGAGGGAATCAGAGACAATATTGTAGAGGAAAAAAGAGCGTGGGTGGTTTGAACAACAAAGATGCTAGATCGTGGACGAATAGAAAGACATCATCGGCCTAGGCGACAGTCGAGGGTTTGGAAAAGAGAGAAAGAAAGAAACGAACGGAGGGACGGGAAGAGCTGGTTCCTGCTGTGTTTCGCTCGACACGCTTTGAATGTCGTCTCTCTCTCTCCTCTTTTCTTCGTTGGTTCTGGCTGGCTGGGTGACTGCTTGATTGTCGCTCGAACAGACCAGGAAGAGAGGAGAAAAAAAGAGGGCGAAGCAACGGGGAGGAGAGAAGCGAAAGAGCGAACTGCGCTTGTTTGGGGGGCTGCGGCAGAGCGACATGAGCCCACTGGACGCTAAGCAGGACCGCTGTAGGTAGGCATGTAAAAACTGCAGTGCAGTACATGTGCGGTACTGTCGGGTGCCTCAGTGCTACGCCGTGCTTGACAGCGCCGCCAAAGTATCGCACCCGTACATACAGTACACACTACCTGCCCCAGCCCTGGGCTGACCATGGAAGACTGTCCATTATCTTACAGGCATCAGCATGCGCCAAGCTTGGCCCTTCCATGCAGAAAACACACAACGGCCGGCGTTGGTCTGCTGCAAACAACGCAGAACGATGGAACCCCCCAGTTGACGATGGGGCCCGCGGTTCTGGCGCCAGGGGCAGCATCAGGGCACTAGAGCCGCTTGCAGCCTAGCCGCCCTCGTCTCGCACCAGGGCCGCGCACAGTGCATGTCGACGCGCGCCCCACCCGCTGTTTTGGGCTGTTTTGGGGCTGGCGGGGGGGACGCTGTCGGGGGCTGTCGGGCGTTGCGAGGCGCTGAGTGGCCGCGGCACGGGAGGCGGGCGGGGCGCTGCGCTGGTTGACAGACGGTAGGGCACTGTGACACCGCACTGTAGCCGCCTGGACCGGTCCCCTTCATTGATTGATACTACCTCAATGCCTCTAACCCTGGGTACGGCGGCCAGTAGTCGGCCATTGTCGCTTGCTGCTTGGCTCCAGCAATCCAGGCACAAGAGGGCCGCTAGAGAAGGGCGACCTGGGCCTCAATTGTTTGGTGTTTGGGAGCGTGTTGCAGCAGTGTGGATTCCGCTCTGGATCGGAATGGGCTCCAGGTCGAGATTTTCCATGCCCGGACAATGCGCCGCAAATGGCCCTGGTTCCAGGTCTGTTGCCTTTGTCTTTGCTTTTGCCGTTTCCTCTGTGACGCCTTGTCGGGAATCCCATCTGACGCTTGTTGATCCGCCGCTCCCGCGGGTGCACAGGTACAGAAGAGCATCTAAACACCTACAGCATCACCATCTGGCCTTGTCGGTAATGCACGGGAGCAGTGCGGCGGCAAGGGTTTAGGCATGTAGGAAGCACTTCCATTACTACTACAGTACAGGCAAAGCATCCGACGATGACGATAATACGAAGTGCCCGGCGTTTGGTCAAGCTCCGATCCGGTCCAGTGCTTCGTATTCAAGGGAATTATTATCCAGCACCCCAGTTTCGTTATCCAGCACCCTGGGATACTTTGCATTATATAGTCTGACTACGTAAAAGCAAAGTACCGCTCCTGCGCTAACTTAGCAAATCAGCCCTAGGTACCTATACTTAATGTTTACGACAGAGAAGCTCTTAAACTTACTGTAAGTCTGGCTAAAAGAGAAGAAAAAACCTAGACTAATTTTTATATGCATTCATATTAAAGGATTAGAAGAATGATCCCTTCGCTGGTTCTAGTGCAGGCGTGATTGACAATATGCTGCATCTGGGTAAGTAGATGCTTGTACCTCTCACCAAATTTTGGGGTGCTGGATAACGAAACTGGGGTGCTGGATAATAATTCCCGTATTCAATCACATCTCTGTACTTTTTACAGCAGATGCGCTGCCAGTCGTTCCGGGGACACGTAATGCACCTGCACTCCATTGTCTCCTCCGGCCAAGCTGACGCTTTGCACCACCACTAAGAACTTTGGGAAATCAGAAAAGACTTACAATCTTCTGAAATGAAAAAAAAAAAAAAAAAAAAAAAAAAAATAACAAGAAAATAAAAAGCGAAAGCATCACTTGGCGCTGAGGACGCGTGTCTCGCGTGTCAGTGAGTGGCCAAACGGCCCCGGTGTGCGACTTTGGGCCAAACTACTAGTACTCAAATAACTCACAACCCGCGTGGGACGGACAACGTTTCCACTGATTCAGCCCAGCCCGCTGGATCCAATAAGAAGATTTCATAACAAAACAAAGGACGGCTCTCTGCGAGAATTTCTCCAATTGCCAGCTTTCTAGACTCTGACTACCTAAGGAGCAGTGACGGCTGTGAGACCACACGCGGCAAAGGACGCACAGCAGGTGAGGGATGACGGGCATTCCCATTGGCGAACAAAGTGGCTGAATAACTGCACCCGATATCCTCTCGAATGAACCAACTTGCCACCAGCAGCAATGGAACACGGTGTGGGAAAGGAAAGGATAATATGTATGGCAGATACTAGATAGGTAACACTCCCTTGTTTGTGAATCCTGCTCATTCCATCCTCAGCCTTTCACTCGTTTTATTACTACACACGAAATAAGAGACTACGCCCACACACTCACACTCACACACACACTCACGCTTACTCGCAGCTTATCACGCTCTCGCCGTTAAATTAGCCAAATTTGCCAATGCAGCAAATCAGCCGCACTCGCCACCACCCCATCTTCGAGCATGCATGACACGGCAAACCAAATGCGCTCCCTCGAAGAAAAGCGGGTGGTGCTCAGAGACACGCGTTTCGCACGTGCAAGTAAGAATACCAGCCTCTTGTTCAATTTTCGAGCCTCGTCCATCTCTGCAATAGCAGCCTAGAGAGTCCTGCCGTGGAGCTACCTTGTTAGATGGAAGAATCTGCGGAAAGTAGCAGAGCAGAAGTGACATTTGAGAAGAGACTTTTCATTGCAATGCCACTTGTGCAGGTAGGTATCTTGCTGTATCTCCCCCCTGTGATTACCTCAATCCTGCTACGTGAGATTGAATCCCACCAACCTTTATCGACATACGAAGAATTGCGACGTTGAACTATCAACAGTCAGTATCGTGCCGATCCTTCGTTCTGGAAGATGGCTGGCCTTTCTTTCTCTCATCGGGCGGAGAATGAGCGTCTTGAGACAAGTCCCGTTACAGATATACAGAGCTTCACCGGTATCCATGTTCATCCACTCTCGACGGACACTCACACGGGACAACCAACACGACCATGAATGATATGTGCCTTGATGTTGAAATACAATCATTCGAATGCTTCTGAAACGTCGTAAATCATCGTGACAAGATGCTGCCATCATTTATCCCTAACCTTCCCGACCTTTTCACGCACAGGCTCAAGCAATTCTAGAGTACAATCCCACAAAAGATCTATGACTTCCCAATAGTAGCATGATTACTCAAACTCCCAGCATGCCTCCCGCCCCGTCCCGGCAACCCGTCGCTCATCATCATTTCCTCTCTCGTTCCTAATCCGGGCTCGGCGGCTTTACGCATTTGACGCGTCGTTGTTGCTCTGGGAGCTGGCGCTCATGACGGGCTTGTTGGTCACGGGTAGCGACATCTTGGCCTTTTCGCCCTGGCGAACCTTGCCCCAGGCATACACGAGACCGCTGACGAAGCCAATCAGGATGGCGGAGACGCTGCCAAAGGTGACGGGTGCGTCGAAGAAGATGAGGCCGCTGACGGCGATGGGCAGCTTGTTCAGGGCGCCAACCATGGAGTAGGTCGTAGAGGACGTGACACGGATGCACCAGGCAGACGAGTATGAGATGAAAATGGCACACAGACCAGAGTACACCATGCCGATGATGAGCTTGGTTCGTGTCTCCTCAGGGAAGTTTCGGGCCAGGTTCTCAGCGGACCAGTCCTCAACGAGGAGGGAGCCAACGATGAGGACCGGGATGGTCAGGAAGTTGTTGTAGAACATGGCTAAGAAAGGATGTTAGCGCCTCTAATGCATCTCGTGGCATACAAAGCAATCACTCACTGTCCCAGTCCTTGAAGCCCATCTTCTTGATGACCTTGCGCATGCCCAGGACAAAGGCAGCCTGGCAGATGACGTTCAAGGCCATCCAGGTGTATCCCACTTGAAGAGTGCTGAACTCCTGAGACGCCTTTGACGAACGGCCTGCGGCATCGGCATCCGCCCACGCAGCAACAATGGAGCTGAAAATCATCAGGCCAAAGGAGAGCAGAATGGTCGGAGTGACGCTTCCCCCGAACCAGAGCACCTCTCCATAGGCGATGACAATGATGGTCAAGTTCTTAAAGATGGTGTACACGGGCACGGAGATGTACTGAAGCGCCTTGGCGCCAGTATAAATCATGCCGACCAGGAGAACAGACACGGGGAACCCTAGACAGAATGAGCAACTCTGCTCTTCAATGAACCAGGCGGTAAGTGCTCACATTTCTTTCCCTTCTCCGGATCAAAGGGAGACAGGTTGGTGATCAGACCAGCCTGCTTGCAGGCTTGAATGGCAGCCACGCAGACAATGGACTATGTTGCACATTAATTAGCAATCATGCTTCAGGGGGAGGGGGGAGGGGGATGAATGAGAAACACAACGAGGCGTGACCTTACCTGGATAGCCAGATAGAGAAAGTTCATGTTCCATGAGGAACCAGACACGACGTACTTGTTGACGACGGTCATGCTGATGGACGACAGGCAGTAACCCAGCACCGAGGCTCCGGGGCTGTTGTCGATCTTGGACCAGTCGAAGCCGCCAGAGTGGCCGCGCGGCGACGGTGAGCGCGAGTAGGCCGTCTGCATCTTGCCATCACCGCTCTCCGGGTCCCGGCCCAGGTCTCTCAGCTGGACGCCGTAGTCGTCATTCTTCTTGTCCGACATGTTGAGCGGCTCTCACCGAGAATGGGCGCTCAGACAGTGTTTGACAAGGGGTTCAAAACAATGAAAAAAAGAGCGAGAGAGGCTGAGAGCGAGCGTGAGGTGAGTTGCGTCGCTAAGAGGCTTGCGGCTCCACGCGATAGGGAAACTCGTGGCCAACGATGGCGCGATCTGCGTTCCCAAGGGAGAAGAAAAAGGGAAGCCGGAGGGCAATCAAACGAGAGGCTCTTCTTCTGGAACAACGCGAAGAGATGAAGGCTATGCAAGAATCGCAGCGTTGTGAAGGACCGCTCTTTGCCGGAACACGTACTCCCTAATACTTACTCCTAACTCCGTACATACAGATTTCAGGAGAACAAAATCCTCCAAGGTTGGGAAATTTCATCTCGATCCCCTTTGTGGGGCGGGCTGCCGAAAGGGGCTTAGCGAGATGGGCGCACCGCCTTCGCACATTCGCACATGTGCGCCGTATCAGGTACGGGAATCACTAGTAGCAGTACTACTAAAGGTATCATCTGGTTATAGGCTTTTCACAGGAGGTGGCAATTGCCTCTATAATTTAACAAATCACTTGGGGAATTTCGGACAAGAGGCAAAGACGGGGAGGTGTGTGGGCATGTTTAGTACGAGAGAGTGTATGTAGAAGAACATGGCTGCGTGTGTGTACAAAGCGAGAGACAGTCACGTATCAGAAGAGTTGCACACAAACCGACATCGTATCTTCTGTTGAAGGAGTCAAAGCACGACGGGTTGCATAGTATTTGGCACCGCGATCCCCATCAAGCGACTTGAACTCTTTCTGCAGAATCGTTGGCGGGGCTGCAGCAAATACAGCCATTTCAACTGTCGAGATTGGTAGCAGTAAGGTATGCCTATTGTTTTTGATATTGAGTTGTAGGCAATACATACACGCTACAGGGGGGGGGGGAATGGCGGCAGCGGGAACGTGGACTCGGCTGTCCCGCGGCGCTGGCATTAATCACTGTGGCCGCTCGCCGAGCAGGACGCCTTGTGAGTGGTTCCTGTGGACAACTGCCGGGCATCGATGCCTCTGAGATGCGGCATCACTGCAGGCATCGTGGCACAGAAACCAAGTAGCCTGCCGTTGTCTCTGGTTGGCCACCACAGAGACTCAAAGATGCGGAGTACGGATGTAGCCTCGCAGATCAACGGATAATACCTAGTAGGTAGCTGCTGGTGTTCTCGACGCCTGCCAGCTGTAATATGCTGCGAAGTGATTTGCCTGACAAGTCCATGTCCCTGGGGGTCCAAGTCGGTTGTGGCCGAAAAAAAGACGAGATGCTGGGGCCAAGGCACATCGACTGCTGTGCACGGACACGTTGCACTGTAGGTAAAGACCGTGCAAAACCCCTCCGGACCAGGAACCTCTCAGGGTCCTACCAGGTAATATCTTAGCCGTCAGATCAGCAGAAAGCCTTACCACTGCGGCGTAGCTTCACGCAAGGCAGCAAACATTTCTGCGAGGAAGCATACGAGGTGCGAGGAGAGGCAGACAGAGGGCAGGATCTGCTGGCTGCAGTACTTTGGCGCATGTGAGGGTACCTGGACTGTGGCTGCACCGCCTCCACAGTGCTGCGGGCGCAGATGCCTCATTGGTGGCTGCTCCAGCTGGTGCTATTTTTGGCTCGCATCAAAAGGGCATCGGTCATGATGAGATGAGGAGGACCCTGTGGCTGCGCTGGCGGTGCTGTTTGCTTCCGGGGCATGGACTTTGCCTCTTTGGACAGAGGGATGGGCGGAGAAATAAGTAAGAAATGAAGAATATCGCTAGAGAACAAGTAATATGCAGCAGCTTCTGTTGCGAGATCCAGGTAGACAAAAGATGGTTTCCATCACCAAATAAGCAATGCACCGCTGTGGCTGGAATCAGGAGCAATCCCGTCAAGTTCTCATTTATCACAGGCACCGAGTGAGCCTAGGGACATAGGCCGGGGTGCAACACGTCCGGGTATACAGTGCCGTCAACAGTGCTTGTGTTGCTCGGTGGGACGCAGTCAGCCGCGATCTCAAGGATTGGCCGTCAGCATCTGGCGTGCAATTGCAGGGCTGGGCTCCAAAAGCGGAGACGGCCATGGCTATTTTCCTTCTTTTTTGTTTCCTTGGTGTCCACAGCCATACGAGATTTCCGACGTGCCAACATTGAAAGGGGACCACCTCCATGGTAGAGCCTGGGAGTCGGTATATGTACGTACAGTACACACAGCGATACTGTAGAGCCATACCTAAGCAATACCAGTCCATCCATTCTTTTGGACACGCCCGTGACTTGGAATGCGGGCAAAAGCCAGCCAACCAGCACCTATCAACACACTGTATGTACAAACGTCTCGAGGCAACACGGGGCTGTTGGGACCATCCTGCACAAGGGAGGGGCAGCGTGATGACGACAGGTGATGCCCGTCTGCCTCCAGCCTCTGTCCAGTCACTGGTCTTGTCCTGCAGCACCGCGACAAGAAAAACACCGTCGGCGCAGCCTTTGTTCACTCCGGACTGTCTCACCGCAGACGCTAAGTCGGGCTGATAAGGCGCCCTAATCCAAACGTTGCCCAGCGGACGTTTTAGAGGCTGCCCACACACAGTGCCGGCGAGGTGGCTCAGCGTCCCCCTCAGCGTCCCCCTCAACGCCCCCCCCCCCCCCCTTTAGCGCAGTCCCCTATTCTGGGCCACTGTCCACGGCACTGTCCGCCGCCGCGCACTGTGCCGTCCCTCCTCGTACTGTCTGGTCCTGTCCCGAAACAAGATCCCAGGAAAAGCAAGCTGCAACTTGGGGCATCTCCTGAATCGTTCTCGAGAGCCTTTTCCCTCCCCTTATTATTCTTTTGAGCCCGCTAAGCTTCGCGGTCAACCTTCACTCCTCCATCCTTTTCCCCCCCAACCTTCAGTCCTACAGTCCGAGGCTGGTGCCTCATTGCTCGCATCGTTAGGGGTCGGGTTGCTTTCCGCAAACAAAGCTGGCATTGAAGCTCAATAGATTTTTTTCCGCACTTCTCTCGGGGGTCCCCTTTTTTCCTTGTTCCTACACCACGTTGGCACCTATCGGGAACCTACCTAGGCCAGCGAGCCCCATCTAGACACGAATTACGACCACAGACGCTCTTTAGCATTACGACTTCAGCAGCCATCGTCTTGATACCATTTTAGAAACCCAAAAGCAACATCATGGCTTTCAACGGTCCCGGCGGCGGCCAAGGCGGGGGACATCCGCTACAGGATCTCCCCTCAGGCAGTAGCGTGAGTTGAACCACCATATCGATCGACCTGGGAATGGACAAGACAGGGCAGGGTCGGACGAGCTTGGCTAACGCTGCTTTTTGCTTTTCCCATCGTCTAGTATCACCTGCCCCCTCACGAGCAGGAGGAAGAGGCCGGACGATATCTTCTCAACGAGCCTGGCTCGCATGGCTACGAGCATGACCGACTCGGTGCTGGGACTCCTCCCGACCGCCCAGTCTCGGCGTACAGTCTGACCGAGTCCTATGCTCCCGGAGCCTCGCCCATCGGCACTCCTGGCCTGGGCAGCGACAGCGGATATGGCCAGTACGGGCAGGGAGCTGGATACGACTTCCCCCGCCCCGCCTCCACTGTCCACGACAACGACGATGACAGCTGGGTGCAGAGACAGCAGCAGCCCGCCGGTGGCGGTCTGAAGCGTTACAACACCCGAAAGGTCAAGCTGGTCCAGGGCTCCGTCCTGTCCATCGACTACCCCGTGCCCAGCGCCATCAAGAACGCAGTCCAGCCTCAGTACCGCGATGTCGAGGGCGGCAACGAGGAGTTCGTCAAGATGCGGTACACCGCCGCCACCTGTGACCCTAACGACTTCACCCTCAAGAACGGCTACGACTTGCGGCCGCGCATGTACAACCGTCACACCGAGCTCCTGATTGCCATTACATACTACAACGAAGACAAGGTCCTGCTTGCCAGAACTCTGCACGGTGTGATGCAGAACATCCGAGACATTGTCAACCTCAAGAAGTCGACCTTCTGGAACAAGGGAGGTCCTGCCTGGCAGAAAATTGTCGTGTGCTTCGTCTTTGACGGTATCGAAAAGGCCGACAAGAACACCCTCGACGTGCTCGCCACCATTGGCGTGTACCAGGACGGTGTCGTCAAGAAGGATGTCGATGGCAAGGAGACCGTCGCTCACATCTTCGAGTACACCAGTCAGCTCTCCGTCACGCCCAACCAGCAGCTCATCCGGCCTTCCGGTGACAGCCCGCAGAATCTGCCTCCCGTGCAGTTCATCTTCTGCTTGAAGCAGCAGAACACCAAGAAGATCAACTCTCACCGTTGGCTCTTCAACGCCTTTGGCCGAATCCTGAACCCCGAGGTCTGCATTCTCCTTGACGCCGGTACCAAGCCCAGCCCGCGCTCGCTGCTGGCTCTGTGGGAGGGCTTCTACAACGACAAGGACCTCGGCGGTGCTTGTGGTGAGATTCACGCCATGTTGGGCAAGGGCGGCAAGAAGCTGCTCAACCCCCTGGTCGCCGTGCAGAACTTTGAGTACAAGATCTCAAACATTCTCGACAAGCCCCTGGAGTCTTCGTTTGGCTACGTCAGTGTGTTGCCCGGTGCCTTCTCGGCCTACCGATTCCGAGCCATCATGGGACGTCCTCTTGAGCAGTACTTCCACGGTGATCACACCCTGTCCAAGATTCTCGGCAAGAAGGGTATCGACGGCATGAACATCTTCAAGAAGAACATGTTCTTGGCCGAAGATCGTATTCTCTGTTTCGAGCTGGTCGCCAAGGCCGGTCAGAAGTGGCATCTGACCTACATCAAGGCCGCCAAGGGCGAGACAGACGTTCCCGAAGGTGCTGCCGAATTCATCAGTCAGCGTCGTCGTTGGCTCAACGGTTCGTTCGCCGCCTCTCTGTATGCCCTGATGCACTTTGGCCGTATGTACAAGAGTGGACACAACATCATCCGCATGTTCTTCTTGCACATCCAGCTCATCTACAACTTCCTCAACGTCATCTTCTCCTGGTTCTCTCTGGCTTCCTACTACCTGACCACCACGGTCATCATGGACCTTGTCGGCACCCCGGTTATCGCTTCCTCCAACTCGTCCGAGCACCACGGCTGGCCGTTTGGAGACGAGGCGACGCCCATCATCAACACGCTGCTCAAGTATCTCTATCTCGCGTTCGTTATCCTGCAGTTTATTCTTGCTCTGGGTAACAGACCGAAGGGTTCCAAGTTCACCTACATTGCCTCCTTCATGGTCTTTGCGCTGATTCAGGGCTACATCTTGGTTCTTTCCGTCTTCCTGGTCGTTCAAGCTTTCAACACTCCCATCCAGGACCAGATCAACTTTGATTCTGGAGAAGACTTTGTCAAGAGTTTCTTCTTTGGAGCGGGTGCTGCTGGTGTCATCATCATCGCCCTGATTACCATTTACGGCCTCTACTTTATCGCTTCTTTCCTCTATCTGGATCCTTGGCACATGTTCCACTCCTTCCCCCACTACCTGTTGCTCATGTCGACCTACATCAACATTCTCATGGTCTACGCGTTCAACAACTGGCACGACGTGTCCTGGGGTACCAAGGGTTCCGACAAGGCCGAGGCTCTCCCGTCCGCCAACGTGCAGAAGGGCGAGAAGAACGAAGTCGTTGTCGAAGAAATCGAGAAGGAACAGGAGGATATCGACAGCCAGTTTGAGCAGACTGTTCGACGAGCCCTGGCTCCCTTCAAGGAGGTGGAGGAGATTGAGAAGAAGGATGTGGAAGATGGCTACAAGTCCTTCCGTACCGGTCTGGTCGTCTCCTGGTTGTTCTCCAACATCATCCTCATTATCGGTGTCACCACCGACGACTTTGCTCAGTCTGGTTTCGTGGTAAGTAGCATCTCTTGGTCGGCTTCTTTGCCCAGCTTGACGATAACTAACTGTTTGTAACAGGGAACTGCTTCCAGCCGCACTGCCAACTTCTTCAAGTTTCTTTTGTACGCTACGGCCGTGCTGTCTTTGATTCGCTTCATCGGTTTCCTCTGGTTCCTGGGCAAGACGGGTCTCATGTGCTGCTTCGCCAGAAGGTAAATTCAGAAAGCAAACGGGTGCGGTCCCGTCTTTTGGGAGAGTGGGCAAGGGTGAGAGGCAGAGGATGAGGGCGAGCGCAAGCGCTGTGGTTCCCCCAGGAATGTTACGGGCCTGCCCCAGTAGACAAATTCTTTCACATACAGATACCTTGGCTTGTAACGTTATTAAGGCATTAATGTTTTTAGCATGTTTCTTTGTTCATGGGATGGATAGGCGACTTGAGACCACCAAAAAAAAAAAGTTTTGCAGATAGCTTGGAAGAATGTTTGTGGTGTACCTACCGAGTACATGTAGAGAAGGCAGGGACTGATAGAGGGAACAAAGGGAACATATTGAGAACAATTGATGATTTGTATTTTGCTTATAGAGGCGAACATAGACTGAAGGCGCAGTAATAAGATATGTTGCTGTAGAATCCAGAGTGATGATATCAAAAGGTTCCGCCTCGTTCTGTTGCCGCCGCATAAACTCCGGCCGCAGACTCCAGTATTATAATGCGGGACTATTTCCGTACCCCAGACGCTTACCTTATCTTCCAGCTTATCGTCGTGGTGTGACAGCATCCAGGTCAACAAGCACCGAATCGCTCCCCGCGAATGACGGATCTCAGTTCCGTACCAAAACCGAAACCTCGACGACTCTGAACAAGACACAGACTCTCTCAGACACGCCCTCCTTTCTTTATTCTCGATCCAGCCCGTCTAGCCGTTGCTCCCCCCGTTGCGTCTGATTCATAATATCCTTTCTATTTTCCTTAGCTCGCCGTCTATCCGCGAAAACCCAAGGCATTTCAGGATACCGCTTCTTCCCACGTTTTGCCTCTTTCGCCGGCGAGAACCCTCGAACGACAGCCGAGATGTTGAACATATGGTCTATGGTATTTCCTCTAGACATGGTCTCTGATATCATTGCAAGAGAGAGATTCTCTAACGCGGGGTTTGTTTTTGTATACAGAAAAAGAAGCAAAAGGAGGCTGAGAATGCCGAGGGGCAGGCAGCCGGAGGCAAGCGGAAGAAGGTGACGGCGGCACAGCTGCGAGTACAAAAAGGTTGCGTCTTTCTCTCTCTCTCTCTCTCTCTCTCTCTCTCTCTTTCTCTTTCCATCTCCAACCGCCATTCCTTTCGTTGTAGCGCTACGATGGCTAACGTTTCTCTTGGACGGTTACAACAAACAATAGACTTGTCAGAGCTATCCCTCGGTTCAACGATGAAGACGGACTTCCCCGACCCGGACAACATCCTCAACTTTATCCTGTCGATCGAGCCGGACGAGGGCATGTACCGGGGGGGCCGGTTCACGTTCGACTTTGCCATCAACCAAAACTTCCCGCACGAGCCGCCCAAGGTGCTGTGCAGGGAGAAGATTTACCACCCGAACATTGACCTCGAGGGGAAGGTGTGCTTGAACATTCTGCGGGAGGACTGGAAGCCCGTGTTGAACTTGAATGCGGTCATTGTGGGGTTGCAGGTATGAAACAACAAACTTTCCCAGCAAGACGTGCCCCTGTTTTTGCTTTGCTCATGGAGTTTCTGCGGAGATTGAGGATTGGGTGGTGTATAGGGAAGGTTGACGGACGATGTGAGAGGTATGATAAAGCTAACTTCAACGATTTGATAGTTTTTGTTCTTGGAGCCCAACGCTTCGGATCCTCTCAACAAAGAGGCGGCTGACGACTTGAGGAGCAATCGGGAAGGCTTCAAGAGGAATGTCCGGACGGCGATGAGTGGAGGCTCCGTCAAGGGTACGGTATACGACCGTGTTCTCAAATAATTGGCGAGGGTCTTCAGCGAAAGTGCAAAAGGCCTGTCTACGGGTTGAGGAGCTGAGGATGGCGGGTGAGGGGAGATGGGAGCAGATGCGGCTACCGACGACGAACAGCCGACATACACATAGAGACATGTGCCTTTGCGTACATTACCCGACATCTGACATATCCTTTGTGGAAGAGACCGGTGGGACGGTGTCTCGTCAGGATCCTGGCTAGTGCTTGGACCAGAGGACGGATATGACGCCCGTTTCTTGTCCTTTGGTTGGGGCCTGGTCGTGGGGATCAACACATCTATATACAACTTAGTACCTTTCATTAAGTCGACAGTCCAGCATAGAAATACATGGCGTTCATTCCAAGACTGTAATATCAAGGCCTGTGGAACTGTACTGGAACTCCACTGCTGCTGTTGAGGGCAATGTATCCGCACTACATATCTTCACTTGTAGTCGATATCAAGTTTGATCTGATGTCCCATCATCAAATCTCCTTTCTTTTCTCTCATCACTTACCCTGGGAATGATGCCACCATAAAAAATCACAACAATGTCAGCCATGTCTAGATATTCACATGAAATACAATCCGAGTTGACCCGGTGCACACTATTCTCGTGCCAGCATATAATAACGTCCCTGCGTATTCCAGCACTTGGCTATGCCAGCGTAACATGAAACCTGAGCAATTCGATCGACACACGAGGACATGCGTCTGGCCAAGACATTTGGTCCTTGCATATCAGATTCAGGGAGAGACATGGGCGAGACGAGTACTACATGGGTCGTTGTGACGCTTTGAGGATCGATGCAGTACCCAGGCTGTGAAGGATATGGTGGTTTGGGATTACTACTAGATAGCTGCTTAGTACATGCTTTGGTGTCGAGCATGTAGGGAGGCAGGACAGCAAGCAGTGAGAAGCGTGCTGGTATAAGCCAGTGGGTAATCGGGTAAGTAAGTCAGCTAGTAGTTGCATACAAGTAATGCAATAGGAAGTTGTCAGTAGTGAGCATCCTAGCAGAGAGTTTGGTGGACTGGAGAAGTTTTCAAGCTGTCTGGTATGTACGGAGGAGACGGAAGTGAGATTTTGCGAGAGCTGGGTGAAGCTCCAATTTGACATGTTGATAAGTGTACGAAGGGTGTGAAGTCGTGTTTACATGGAGCATCTTGGGATGTTCCCAGTCCGGTACATGTTTCTACTACGACATGGGGAATCTGCAACTACAGTACTGCTACTAGTAATAGGAAACGTTCCATTGGGTCACCAACAAGCTGATGCTTGTCAAAGAAGCCAGATTGTATCACGGCAAATACGTAGTCGTGGAGTGGTGGGGGGCGCTTGAGCCCGGTGGTCCTTGTTAGTGCCGCCAGACGCAGCGAAGGCGAGGCGGATGCGTCATCTCACGGGTCTGTCTGCAGACGATGATGATGATGGTGATGGTGATTAGTGCAACATTGCATGGGCCTTGAAGCAACTTGGATGCATCAATTGGATGCTTTTATTTCCGTAGAATGGGTTTTGATACTGCTGCTCTCAGCATCTTGCTCGAATGTACATGCAATATAAGGTAGCAGGCCAAGTAATACAGTACCGTCCTGGTACAGTCAGCCGAAGCCATCACCGGCTCTGGCCACACAAACAAATCCAATGGATGCCAGACAAGGGCCCAACGCACCCCATAAAGGTCCACGTACTTGTACTTGTACGTACATGCACCCTCAAATTGCAACCTCCAACGTAAGGCAAGGTAAGGCTGGGACCAATGCCTCCCACGCCTCGTCTGTTACTCATCGCACTGACTGTATTTTTGATAAACCCGCTATTTTTACAGGCCAAGACTAAGACTCTGGATCATACCGGGCAAGGTACATACATACAGGTAGCCTTTTTTCACATGCAGTGGGAACAATGAACCAGGGGGGGCTCCAGAAAGTCGCTGGGACGGGCAAAAACAGGCACAGAGAGCTGCCACCGATCTCGGGCCCCTCGACAGCTGAGGCTTTTCCCCCACCCACACACACCACCCTTCAAAACCGACCAAGTTTCCTTGGTTGCTCATCTTTTTTTCCCCCAAAAAGGTCTCGCAACTCTTTTTTCTTTTTCCTCCTCCTCCTTCTTCTTCTCCGATAAATCATTCTTCTTCTTCTCCTTCTTCTTCTTCCTCCTCCTCCTTCTCGTCACTCTCCCCTCTTCACCACCACCCACATCATCACAGCACAATGGCCTCAAGAGCTTTCTCCAAGACCCTGCGGGCGCCCGCTGCCCGCCAGCTGATTGCGCCCCGCGTCGCCCAGCGCTCCTACATGGTCGCCCGAGGCGCCACTCGTGCCGTTGCTGCTGCTCGTCCGGCTCTGGCTGGTGTGTCCCAGCAGCAGGCTCGCGGCCTCAAGACCGTCGACTTTGCCGGTGTCAAGGAGGAGGTCCATGGTACGTGCAATTGCTGCCCCGAGTGTCACAACTAATGAGAGATCTGACTGACAATGGTTGCTCTGTAGAGCGTGCCGATTGGCCCCAGGAGAAGCTTCTGGTAAGTGGCTAGCTGCTGGCGAGTCTTCAGACAAGAGTCATCCACGGGTCCGAATCCATCAGGAAGACCCGGATCTGCTTCCAATGCATCTTGCCTTGCTTGGAACAGTGCCACGGAATGGCCAATTGGCGGTAGTATGAGTATGCGTGACTGACACAATTGCCTGCAGGAGTACTTCAAGAACGACACCCTCGCCCTCATCGGCTACGGCTCCCAGGGCCACGGCCAGGGCCTCAACCTGCGCGACAACGGCCTCAACGTCATTGTCGGTGTCCGAAAGAACGGCAAGTCATGGAACGACGCCATCCAGGACGGCTGGGTCCCCGGCAAGAACCTGTTCGAGGTTGACGATGCCATCTCCCGTGGTACCATTGTCATGAACCTCCTCAGTGATGCCGCCCAGTCCGAGACTTGGCCCTCCATCAAGCCCCAGCTGACTGAGGGCAAGGTAAGATGGCCCTTAGAGAATTGTGGCGCAATTTTGTATTTTGAAAGGTGACTAACACGGCCCTCTCGCCGCAGACCCTGTACTTCTCCCACGGCTTCTCCCCCGTCTTCAAGGACCTCACCAAGGTCGATGTCCCCAAGAACATCGACGTCATCCTTTGCGCTCCCAAGGGCTCTGGCCGAACTGTGCGCTCCCTCTTCCGCGAGGGCCGTGGCATCAACTCCTCCTTCGCCGTCTACCAGGACGTGACCGGCAAGGCCGAGGAGAAGGCCGTCGCCCTGGGCGTCGCCATCGGCTCCGGCTACCTGTACAAGACCACCTTTGAGAAGGAGGTCTACTCCGACCTGTACGGTGAGCGTGGCTGCCTGATGGGCGGCATCCACGGCATGTTCCTCGCCCAGTACGAGGTCCTCCGTGAGCGCGGCCACAGCCCCAGCGAGGCCTTCAACGAGACCGTCGAGGAGGCCACCCAGAGCCTGTACCCTCTGATTGGCGCCAACGGCATGGACTGGATGTTCGAGGCCTGCTCCACCACCGCCCGCCGCGGTGCCATTGACTGGACCCCCAAGTTCAAGGACGCCCTGAAGCCCGTCTTCAACAGCCTGTACGACAGCGTCAAGGATGGCTCCGAGACTAAGCGATCGCTCGAGTACAACAGCCAGCCCGACTACCGCCAGAAGTACGAGGCTGAGCTGGAGGAGATTCGCAACCTGGAGATCTGGAGAGCCGGCAAGGCCGTTCGGTGAGTCATACCTACTTAATCCCCAAGACACTCTTTCTACGTACATTTAGCTAACAAAGGTCACCTCTTTGCAGCTCCCTGCGACCCGAGAACCAGAAATAAGCCGATATAAGTGAAGCTGGTTGGGTGGTGTTGAGAGGGCATTCCTTCGGGATGAGACGGTTGATATCTCTTTATTTTCTTCCTGTACTTTGCATATGGATACTCGGCACAAAAAAAAAAAACAAAAGGATCATGGCGATCTGGGTTGTGTTGAGTTGTTGCTTCAAAAAAAAGTTTGGGCCTTTACGATACCGCGCATGGGGAGACAATGAATTCTCGTTTGACACACACACACACACACACACGCACATGCGCTGCTACTACCTTGACTATCATCAATTTCTGTGCTTGACATGCTTTGAAGTCTCGCCAATCCGTATACTCGACTATAAGTTGACTCTTGCCAATTGCGTACATCCGATGACACAGCTTGACACAGACCCAACTGGGCAACTGTCCGTATTCTCCCGTAACTGGACTCTGTAAACGTTCTTGACGTTGCGCCCATGAGTCGAGGCAAGGTCGGGAGCGGGTCCCCTTGGCTCTGACAGCCTCCGGCTTCGGCCCTTTGGCGATGTGTGTCTTGGTTTACGGAGACTGGAGAAGCTCTCAGAGAGACGGAGAGAGAGACTGGGGTCTGCAATTACTGTTACGAGTAGCAAATATGTACGTACTACTATTAGTATGTGTATGTGTATCCATCCGGCCCATATCCCGTGGGCCGGATATCGCCTTCCGTGCTTTTGTTTGTGCGTCCGGGCCGGTTTGGAGTAGTGCGCCAGAGACCGGAGTTTTCTGAGAGATGGGGAATGTGGGAATGCTGTGTAGGAAGAGGGTACTGTACATGTAGGAGGGGGGGTCGTAGGTTTTATAAGTGGCTATATTATTAACATGTGCATGCGGATTTGGTAGACCTACTACTCACTCACTGTAAGTCAATACTAGCACGGACAATTAGGCTCTCCAGCTTCCATAATGCTGTTGTGTATGTCTGAAATTGCATGTTGTTATTGCTTGCTGTGGGAAATTATGGCAAACTCTACCTAGTACTAAGTTATGTCTATTGGAAAGCTAGCGTTCTCTCCGTTTATTGTCGCGTTGAGGAGGCGCTTGAGTTGACTTCGACTATTACCGCAGCGCCTCTTCTGCTTCTTCTTCCTCCTCTTGCTAAAGAGTGCTTGAGAGATGGACTTGAGCTGTTGTTGAACTGAATACAGTACCGAGGAATTGGTTCTATCCGGCTTGTAGATAATTGCTGCTGTATGCATGCTGACACCTACCTACCTGCTTAAAGAGGCGCTGACAGAAAGAGCCAAAAGATTAAGATAACACATGGGTTAACGGACCCCCTTGGTTAATAGACCCCCTGGTAAATAAGTAGGTGCCCCGCTTTTTTAAGCCTATTCATTAGCTTAAAAAACAGTGTTACATGCGCTAGCCTTTCCTCTTTAATATAAGACTGGGCTTATGCGCGCCTTAGCCCTGTTTTAATACTTTCTTCTTCTTCTAACACACACATAACGCTGCAGCTAATTAAAGCTATTTAAGCTATCCAGGCTAATAAAATGCCGACTAACTAATTAGCGCTTAACTAAGCTATTAATAATATAATCAGCGGCTGCAAATTAAAGTATAAAGCAGCTAACTACTATAGGGTTCCTTATATAACCTTAATTTAATAACTTAAAGGCAGCATATCTTAAAAAGCAGGGCATAAAGCTTATTAAAGGCTATTTATTAGTTTAAAGACTTATCTTATTAATTAGGTAGTTATATAAGACATTTTAGGTCTAGCGCTATTACACTAGTAAATTAAATGCCTTATTATATAACTATTATATATATAAGGTAACTATTCCTTATTAAAAAAGGACTAAATAACCTGCTTTTTATTCTACTACCTATAAATTAAAACACTCTAAGCCTGGCCCTTAGATTTAAAGCAGGCTAATAGTGCTATAACTAAGGCTATCTAGGGTCTTTTCTAATAGCTTAGTTATTAAGCAATTGCAGATATTAACTAATCAGACCGCTATAATATAGATAAGCATAGGATCCTTAAGGGATATAGGTCTAATAGCCTTATCCTTAGCTAATTAAAAAAGCGCGTTATATTATGCTAATTCCTTAAATCACATGCCTAGATCTTAATTATTAAAGCCATCTCTGCTAATAGAAGGGCCTTAGACCTACTTATTATCTTTAAAGGCAAGAGCGTTTAAAGCTAATAGTTTAAAAGGGAGCTAGCTAAATTAGGTAATTAGCACTTTACTATATTACTTAATAGCTAGACTTTAAATAAAATTAGCCTTTATTAGCTTAAAATAATTTTTATACCCTAGATAATACCCTTAAACCTTATAAAAAAACAGCTTCTAATTATAAATAGCTACAGATCTTATAAATTAAATAACTTTATATAGGCCTGCTTTTAAGCTAGTATGCAGCTTATATTCCTGCCCCTGCATTTATCCTATATTATATAATTATTAAATATTGCTATTTTTAAACTACTTAAGTGATTTTACTGTAAAAGGCTTAGCTTTCTGCAGACTCTTAATAAGCTAACCCTAATTAAGAAGTTAAATTTCCTTAATTACTATAAGTATGCATAAGAAATAGCTTTTTTATTAGAAAATATTAATGCAGGGTAGGAGGTAATAGGCCTTTAGCTAATTAATTTATTACAGCCCCTAGGATTATAATATATTCTTAATTAAGCTAGCGCTATGCTAATTACTAGTAATAATAATACTTTATTATTATAATCTATAAGCTTTAATTAGCTTAGGACCCCTTATTAATTTAAAGACCTTAAGCTTGCAGTATATAAGCTCTTTAACATTAACCTTACTAATCTAATTAAACGGCTCCTTTTTAAAAAAGTAGGGAAGGCATTTAACTTATATAGCTTCTAATTAGCTACCCTAAAGTAAGAAAATCAGGCCCTTGCATTAAAAGTAAAGCGCCTAAAGCTAATAAAAAGAGCTTATATAAATCTAGTTAACCTAAATAGGAAATTTATAATAATTAATAACATTATTATATAATGCAATTAGGATAAAAACGCTAATGCAGCCAGGCCTAAGGCACCTGACTTTAATAAAATATGTAGTAAATTTCAGCTAGATATATACCTTTATTAGCTAATTAGAAGCCGTTTTTAGACCAGGGGTGTTACACAGAGACCCATAAATACATTGCTTATGCAACTAATCAGAGCCCCGCGCTAGCAGGGGGGTCCATTAACCAAGGGGGTCTGTTAACCCATGTGTCATCTTACATGTACCCGCATGCACGACTTGACTGACAACATGACATGGGAGGTTCAAGCACAAGTTGCAGCGACCAGCATCAGTATTCACTGTCAGTCAGTAACAAGGTCAATCCAAGCCAGGGGAGAAGGTGTCGGCAATCAAAGAGATTATTAAGAAGCGGCTGTGATGTGATGGCTGAGAATTGCATCAACTGCGGGCAACGTGTCATTAATACCTATGGTAGGTACCTTTAGGTAAGGTACTACCTTAGGTAGTAACTTATGCAACGGAAAAGAGAGTCAATAGACTGTCCGGCTGAGTCGTCAATTGAGCCCCCCAAAACGGGGTCCCGCGTTCCCAAAAAGACCCTGATGAAGGGGATCGTTTCGTAAAATGGATGCGTCGATGCCAAAGTAGAGTCTACAGATGTCCAGGGCCACCATCGTGGCCGTGCTCCAGGTACCCGATACCTGCGCAACGTCTGCAACTTCCACTGAGAACGTGCCCAGACCTTCTAAAAGCTGCGTTAGTGGCGCGGCTTCCAGCCTCTAGCGTCGCCCCCTACCTGGCGCCGGTAGCAGTACAAGCCTCGGTGGCACTTCAATGGGCGTGGCCGCGGCAAGACGAGGAGCACGGTGGGTACCTGTACCTCGATGGGAAAGATTGACGTCTCTATTCACGGCGGTCTCGACGGAGGAGCCACGACAGCAGCCGCCTGCATCGCCAGCTTTTGCCCATCTTTTTCTTCTGTTCTTGTTTTTGTTTCTTCTGCCTCTCTCTCTTGCTTGTGTCTGTCTCTGCACATTCTTAATCCTCTTGCGCTGGTCCGTTTTTTCTTTACTTTGGGCAGCCCGAGAAGAAGAAGCGAGGCAGGCATCTTGTTGCACTGGCGCGGGATCCGTCATACCTTATAATACTCTCTGGGTGAGTTTTGACGTTCCAGGCTTCTCCTGAGTGATTGGCGGCGGATGGCGCAGCCTTGCTTGGCCTTGCGTTCGGGGGCGCCGCCGCTGTGGCGAGTTGCGACGACGGCCTTCTCAACTCCTGAACCTGCAACAACCTGCAGTCGAACGCGGCAACTCGATTCTCGATCCAGTGACAGTGACATTCGCTAACAGCTGTTCTGAAGGCGGCACGTCTGATCCATCGCTTGGCTTGTAGCGGGAACCGCGACGACATCGAGCTCCATGTGCTGGTAGCTGCACTCGCTCGCCTCCAACGCACGTCCATCCCTTTCCTGCGCCGGCTATCCCCCCGTGGGCGCTCTGCTCTGTTTTCCTCTCGGTTTCTGCCTCTGCCGCCATGAAGATTTCCTCGATCCTTGGGCTCGCCGGCCTGGTGGCTCTGTCGTCGGCTGCCAGGATCGCCAGAGACTACGACAAAAACGACTACTATGTCCTGCATCTCGACCGCTCAATACAGCCTGCCGACGTCGCATCGCGCCTGGGCCTGACGCACGAGGGCCAGCTCGGAGAGCTCACCGACCACCACGTCTTCCGCGCCGAGAAGCATGAGCGAGATATCGTCAAGGACGAGGTCCGGGAGCGCAAGAGGAGGAAGAGAGACATGGGCGGCTTCGACGTTCTCGACGGCGTCCTTTTGACGACCAAGCAGAAGGCTCGCAATCATCTGCAAAAGAGAATCATCCCGCCGCGTCCGCCCAGCGACTTGCTTCCCCGCCTACCGCAGTCCCCCGACGCTTCTGCTGTCCAGTTGCAAGAGAGCGTCATGGCGGAACTGGAGATTGCCGACCCGATATTCAAGGAGCAATGGCACCTGCTCAACACGGTGCAGGTGGGCCACGACGTCAACGTGACTGGGCTCTGGCTCGAGGGCATCACGGGCAAGAACGCGACTGTCGCTATGGTCGACGACGGCTTGGACATGTACAGCCGGGATCTCAAGGACAATTACTTTGCCGAAGGCTCGTGGGACTTCAACGACAACGACCCGGAGCCCAAGCCCGAGCTGTCCGACGACAGGCACGGGACCAGATGCGCCGGCGAGATCTCTGCTGTCCGCAACGATGCGTGCGGCCTTGGCGTTGCCTACGACTCCAAGATTGCTGGCATCCGCATCCTTAGTAGTGCCATCAGCGATGCGGACGAGGCCGAGGCCATGATTTACAAGTTCCAGGACAACCAGATCTACTCGTGCTCCTGGGGGCCTCCCGACGATGGGAGGTCCATGGAAGCCCCCGACGTCCTGATTCGACGAGCCATGCTCAAGGGCGTCCAGGAGGGACGAGGAGGCCTCGGCTCCATCTACGTCTTTGCTAGTGGTAACGGTGCCGCCAGTGGCGATAACTGCAACTTTGACGGATACACCAACTCCATCTACAGCATTACCGTCGGCGCTGTTGATCGTGCCGGCCAGCACCCGTATTATTCGGAGCACTGCTCTGCCCTGCTCGTTGTCACCTACAGCAGCGGTGGCGGTGATGGAATTGTAAGTTTTTTGTGCATCCCCCCCCAAGTGCACCCCTTGTTCGAGTCGCGGTTTGTAGCTGACCATGGCAGCACACTACTGATGTTGGAGAAAACTCCTGCTACGGCATGCACGGCGGGACATCGGCTGCGGCACCCCTTGCGGCGGGAATCTTTGCCTTGGTCATGCAGGTTCGCCCGGACCTGACGTGGAGAGATCTCCAGTACCTTGCCATGGACACTGCCGTCAAGCTGGACGACCAGACAGATGCCGAATGGCAGACGACTGCTGCTGGGAGACAATTCAGCCATACCTTTGGCTATGGCAAGATCGATTCGTACTCGCTGGTCGAGAAGGCCAAGACGTGGCAGAAAGTGAAGCCACAGGCCTGGTTCTTCTCCCCTTGGCTGCACATTAAGAAGGAGATTCCCCAAGGCAACGACGGTTTGGTCGTGAGCTTTGACGTGACTGCCGACATGCTCAAGGATGCCAACCTGGCTCGTCTGGAGCACGTCACCGTCACCATGAATGTTGAGCATACACGACGTGGCGATTTGAGCGTGGATCTCATCAGCCCTGACAACGTCATCAGCCATATTGCGGTGACTCGCAAATCGGACGACCACAAGGGCGGTTACGACGACTGGACGTTCATGAGTGTAGCTCACTGGTAAGCTTTTACTTTGCCCCCCTTTTTGTTGAGAAAAAAAAGGGAAAATAGCTGGATGCTGATACTACTTTCACTAGGGGCGAGACTGGCATTGGAAGGTGGACGCTTGTGGTGCGAGACACGGAGGTGAACAAAGAAAAGGGCAAGTTCATCGACTGGCACCTCAAGCTCTGGGGCGAGAGCATCGACGCCAGCAAGGCCCAGATCCTGCCCATGCCATCAGAGGATGACGACGCCGACCACGACCTGGTCATCTCTACGGTATCGGGCGCGGCCTCGACCAAGTCTCTCTCTATCGCAAGCTCGACCAAGACTGCTGCGGCGACCGTCCCAACCGACCACCCCGTGCGCCCGACGAAGCCCGGAGCCAAGCCTACGGAGACAAAGAAGCCTCAAGAGGGCACTGCGGACGTCAAGCCAACCGACACCGAGCACGAAGCCACTCCGGGGAGCCCAACCGCGCCGGCGTCCAGCACGACTAGCGCGTCCTCGTGGGTGTCGTGGCTCCCGACGTTCGGAACCAAGGCTAAGATCTGGATCTACGGCGCCATGGGCCTCATCGCCGCCTTCTGCTGCGGCCTGGGCGTCTACCTGTGGATCGCTCGCCGGCGCCGCCTGCGCAACAACCCGCGCAACAACTACGAGTTCGAGCTCCTCGACGAGGAGGAGACGGAGGGCCTCAACAGCGCGGAGAAGGGGCCCGGCGGCGCGGGCAAGAAGTCTCGCCGGACCCGCGGCGGGGAGTTGTACGACGCGTTTGCGGGCGGGAGCGACGACGACGACGAGTTTGACGAGTACAGGGATCGGGCGGCGGATAGGCTGGCCGGGCATAATCCCGATGACGAGCAGCACCCCGGGCGTTATGTCGTTGGGGAGGAGGATGATGATGAGAGCGATGATGATGGTGATGAGGCGGAAAAGCAGAGGTTACGGCGCTGATGATGAGAAATATAGATGTATACGCTTTTTTGGCCTTTGTTTTATTCCTTCCTCTTGCTTTTGATTTTCTTTTTCTCCCTCTCTGTCCCGGCTTTGACTTGCTTGAAGAAGAGGGAGGGAGGAAGGGATGATTGATGCTTGGCATTGTTTAGACGGAGTATGTCTATGGTTTGGGCTTTTGTTTATACGTTATCATCATGGATAGGCATCATTCATTATATCAAGAAGTCTCTTCCCATGTTTGCTTCTTGTCCTTGATGCGTGTATATGTATTTCTGATGTGATCAAGTTGTCATGTCACTCACTACTGGAGTCTGTTTCAATTGGACTATATTGGTGGTTCCACGATAAATTCTCCTTGATTGCTCCAAGTGATATAAAACATCCCATGTATTTCTGATAGTCACAAGTTTCAAGTTTATAAAACAACGCCACCATAGATGGTACCCCAAACGCCCGGAAATCGCATACACCACGCTCTTTGCCATTTTTCCACCCCCTTCCCCATTCTCCAAGAGTTGCCTCTCTCATCCTTCCCCATCATTATTCATTCCTTGATCACAAAGTCAAGCCATATCATCGATGCCCATCGTCACAAAAATGCAGTCCCCCTTTTTACGCCACGGGAACAACGCCCTCCTTCTCCATCTCCATGACATACGTCTCCCACAGCTCGGCTACCTCGCCGTAAAACTTGACGTGCGCATCGGCCAGTCCGCCCAGCTGGGCCTTCATCTCGATGCGCTTGATGCGTTCAAAGTCGGCCACTTCGCGAATCACCTCGTCGTCGAACCGATCGCTCGTCAAGCGCGCGTTTTCAACCTCGGTGCTGAGCTCCTCGACCCTCAGCTCTAGCTTCCGGATGCGTTCCCGTCGGGCCTGCTCGTGGTCCACGCCCCGGACATCTTCAATCTTGGCCCGGATGAAGCCGCCTGGCCCGCTGGACGCGCCGTGGCCGGAGCGCAGAGCGTCCCTCTCGGCCGTTGATTTGTTCAGGTACTCTGTCAGCTGCTCGTAATCGAGCTGCTTCTGCTCCCGGGCCTTGAGCAGGTTCTTGAGAGCGAGAGAGTAGGCCTGCATGTCCCGCAGCGAGCCGAGATAATCCTGGTCCGTGACGTCCTTGAGCTGGTGCAGGTGGGTTGCCGTGTCCTCGATGGAGGCGGCAAAGGCGTGGACGGCGGATTCGATGCCGGGTTCGAGCGTGATGAGCTTCTGGAACTGCTCTGCCAGGTCTCGCAGGTCGGTTTCGAGATCGCCCTCTCTGCGGGCCACGCGCGCAATGACCTTTTCAATGTGGCCGAGGTCTTCGTCGAGCTTGTCGCTCTTCTCCTTGACCTCGATGAAGCGCCGGTCGGGCTGGTGGACTTTTGTAAAGGCGTTGATAAAGGTATCCGCAAAGTTGTCAAAGACGCCGCTGGAGCCGCCGGGGTCGCTCGCTATGCTGCCGCGAGCCGTGCGGCTCTTGACCGTCGCGTTCCAGTCGGGGCTCTCGAGAAAGCTGTGCAGGATGGTGCTCCGGCGCAGGACGGGATGCAGCGACAGGCGGTTGAGGAAGCGCTGCAGCGAGTGGGCGCGGCGGGCCGTGAAGTCGCCGCCGAAGCGGTCGCCGCGGACGTACTCCATGCGCTGCTTGTCCGGGATGGGCGGGACGGCGCAGGCCGGGTAGTCTCGCATCAGCTGCTTGAACAGAAAGGCGAAATCTGTGAAGCGCCGCCTTACGGTGGTGACTTCTTTCTGAAAGGACGGGAACGTAGACTAGGTAGAGAGGCCATGATGTCAGCTCAAATACGTAGTTGCTGTTTGGAGATGTTTGCGACAGCATCGAGACGAGGAGGGGCGGGGTAATGGCCAAGGGAGAATCGGGTATGTCAAACACATAAAGAGAGAGAGAGAAACAGAGAGAGGCAGAGTCGCCAGATATGCTTTTGGCTGTTGGACATGATGGAGGCAACATACGTGAGTGGTGACCAGATACGACACAAACGCATCCTTGGTGCCGTCATTCTCCTTGATGGGCGACCCAACCGTGCACTCGAGCTTCTCGCGGCCGATGCCCTGCGTCGAGCTGTTGCCGGCCTCCTCCACGGCGCGCGCGGGAGCCTCGGCGGCGGCTGCGGCGGCGGAGCGCTGCGCCTGGTCGTGGACGTGGTCGCTCCATGTGACGTTGGAGAAGTCGTCGTGGTCGTTGTCGTGATGCGTCGTCATGGCGGGAGCATCTGCGGGTTGCTTTTGAGGTAGAGGAGGTGATGGGGGGCCGTTTGTGCGACGATTGAAGTCAGGCCTCTGCTGGAAGTTGTTGTTTGGGCTTGCTCTCTCTCTAAGAGGATGCGGTCGAGATGTTGGAAGGGAAAGGAGAGGAAGAGCTGCAGGTGTTTGTCGACAAGTCCAAACGGGTGGCGCATGTGTGAGGTGAGGCTAAGTCGAGAGGCAGTTGGACAGGCAGTTTGCCTGGAGTGCCCTGGACGACAGAGCTTCCAGCTGTTGGAGACGACGGGAGGCTGTTTGGGGCACTGCGCCGAGGTACCCCGCAGGTACATGAGGTGCTGCACTTGGCCCAGCGCCTCCAGCGGAACACTCCTTCTCAGTACCTGCAAGCGACATGATGACGCAACAGCTTTTTGGCCGCATCAAGACAAAACTGGCTCGACAGCCTGCAGCGGCTTTTTTGCAGGCACCAGCAACCTTGCAATAGTACTGTAACTTGCATGTACCGCATACATGATGAGATGCAAAACATCAGTGACAGCTCATCTGCATGCAATCACTGGCAGTGTCTGGGAAGTACACGTTCGGAGATGCTGCACCAAACGAAGTACCGCACAATCTCTCATTCGATTGTTATACCAGAGCTTAGGTAGTAGTGCCTAGGTTTTCAGTAGGTAGGTAAGTAGGTGGTGGTATGTACACTGCTCAAAACACTCGATAATCGTGTTGATATGCGTCGTCTATTTGTGGTTTCCTGTGTCGAGATGTCTATATACTGCCCGTGATCCCATCATCCGCAATTGCTAACAACAACAAGACTCCCTTATCCTGCGGGTATGCGGTGCCCACTGTACATATGAAATGATAAGAATAACACGTCGTTTTGACTGCCGGCGCTTGCGTGTACGCCGTTGGTTTGCTTCCTTTATGACCTTTTTTTTCTTTAGTGGTTGTCTTTCTTGGTTCCCGCCTTTTCCATATCTATACAATTCTTCATCAGTCATCATTTCTGCTCCTTGGCAGCGGCCTTGTGCTCAGCCTCGACGGCCTTGATCTGCTCCAGCTCAGCGTCAACCATCTCGCCGGCGGGCTTCTGCTCGAGGCCGCTCTCGGCGGCTGACATCTGCCGCTCCTCCTTCTCGTCAATGTCATCGACATCGCGGGGAGTGGCAAAGCCAGTTGTTTGACTCTCCTTGTTCTGCAGCTCCTCTTCCTCAATGAGCTCCTGTTGCTCCTTGAGAACCTCGAGACGCTGCTTGTTGGTGGCGGCGCCCTCGGCATTGTGCACCTCGAGCTCAATCTCGTGGAACAGCTCCTCGGGAATGGAGGACAAGACGCCAACAAGGGCATCAATCTGGCTGGAGCTCTCGGCAGATCCTTGGCCGTACATGTAAGCGTTGCTCAGGACCAGCAGGGTAGAGGGAATGCCCTCCTTGAGACGCAGGTCGAGCCATGTCTGCAGGTCGGCCCTCATCTTGGCGGGGGACACGCTGTGGGTGCGAATACCGCGGGCGGCACATGCGAGCTGCAGTTCGGCGACGGTCAGGCTGTCCACGCCCTCAAAGGCAATGGCCTTGTCGTCGCGCTTGATCTGGCGCATGCGGTGGCGGATCTGGTATCGCAGCATCGAGTCGGTGCCAAAGGTGTTGAGGCCCATGTATCGGCACATGGACACCAGCTGAGGGCGCGACAGGTTGTCCAGGGTCATGTCGTCTCGGAAGATCTTGCACACCTTGATGACGTCCTGCTCAGTGGGCGCCTCGCCAGTCGACCTCACCTTGCGGAAGAAGTTGGCGAATTCCTCCTTCTGGGCCGTCGCCTGGCTCAGGGGAAGGCCCGTCTCCTTGAGCGTCTGCTGGATGAAGGCGCTGACCTCCTTCCTGGTAGAACGCAAGAGAGTGGCCTTGGCCTCCTTGGACTTTTGCCCCTCAAAGGTGCTGGGAAGCATGTTGGGGAAGAGCTTCAGGGCCAAGGGAAGCAGAGCCTCGCCCAGGGGGACGATGATGAAGATGGAGAAGGGGACGAGTCGGCCAAGATCCTGGACGGTGCGCCGGAGCTGCTTGCTTTCTCTGCGGGTGAGCTCGTAGCCGGCGGCCATCTTGAGGGCTAGCCTCCAGCTGATGCGGATCTCTGTAGCCAGCAGCTTGGTTCCGTCCCAGTAGTGTTGAGCCTCCTTCTTGACCTTTTGCCAGACTGTCAACTTGGTCTCCTCCTCCTTCTTTTTCGCAAGCTCCTTCTGGCTTGAGACGCCGTCCTTCTTAGCGGCGAGTTCGGTCAGCGATGCATCGTCGGCGGCCTTGTCGGACTGCGCAGCGGCCGCATTGGCCGATCCGTCTTTCGCAGCTGCGTCTGCATCCGACTTCTTTGTGGCGCTCGAGGAGTCCTTTGGCAGCGGTTTCTTAGCCTGCTCGGCGTTGAACCCAGGAGGCGGTCCAGACGGCGCATCCGGTCGATGAGGCTCGGTTCCCAGCTGGCGCAAGGGGACCAGCAGGGCCAAGGCGGGGATCTGGGTTTGTCGGGCGATATGCCTGGTCATGAGAGCCGGCGAGACACCTCTGGATAGGTTTCTGGCTGCGAGCAGGCGTCAGCGACCACGGCGATCTGTAAGGGGGGCTCTCTCCGATCAATCTCACCTTGTCCCAGCAGGGGGTTGCGAGCCACTGCCCTGCGGGCAAGGCTGGATGTAGCGCTCATTGCGAGCAGATGTGGAAATCACAATCTGAGGCAGAAAGAAGAGTAATTGGCGCCACAAAGAAGAGACACGACAAGAGCAGAACGGGAGGGGATGAAGGATGGGCAGAACTGGACTGTCGACGGTGGTGGATGGAGGGATGATGAAGGAAAGAATATCGAACGGGTCCAGGGCCTGGAAAGGAACCAGGCGGTACGTACCGGCCTCGCAATCTGGCAGGCTTGCATCTGGTGCGCCACATGTCAGAGGCGAATTGCGGCGCGCCATTGGCCAGATCAGAGTTTGAGCGGGGCCATTGGGCTGAAGCCGCCCGGCAGGCGAAATCACATGACATAATCGTCTCCTGAGCGAGTCCCTTCACTGTGACTTGCTCCGTACAGTAAGAACGAGAGGCTTCATTACATAATACCGCTTGCCGGTGCCGGTTCGATTGGATCGGGGATTGCTTTGGGCTCGGACACGTCGGACTTTGGGGGGGACGCATGCAGCGTGTATGTACGTCTTAAGGTATGCTTTGCTGGCAGCAGCAGCTGGTTCGACGGTCGAGGGGATGAGACGCAACCCGCTTGTTGTGCGACAGCTGCCTCTACATACAAACGGCAGAGGCTGGGAGGGGCGCCGCCATCCGGGGAGAGGCACGCGCGGCAATGGGTATTCATTCATCATCAGGCCGGATGAAGGCCTTGCCTTTTCCGCATGGAGGATGCAGTACATACGTGGACGAACATGAGCTACGATGCCTCGAACGACGTGAGATGAGATGAATCCGAGCGCCCAAGTTGGGATCGAGTCACCGGGCAGCAAGCAGGGAGTCGACGAGCTCAGTAATGAAACAGGAGCTTCACCAGACTCTAATGGAAGGGATGCGGCATCGACATAAGAGGAGATGCCTACATGTCCTCGTAATAAATGCTGGTTCTTCCTCGTATATGAAGGCTTGAGCAGCGTAAACAGACTCGAGTATGCTTGCTTACCTCCTGGTCAATTCGGGCCTCGCTCACTCCGGACTGAAGATGATTCGGCAATTTCTCTCCATCATTGCCCGACTCGGCGCCGGAGCCTGAAATACCTATAGACGAGCAGCCGCCTGTCGGGGGCACGAAATCCGCAGTGCCCAGGCATTGGATGAGAATCAGGTAGCCAATGAGACCTCCAGCAGAGCCCTGGAGCAGTGTCGATGTGCTGCGGCTCAAGGTAATACACGTTAGTAGGCCAGTCATGCCATCTCCCTCGACTGTTGTATTACCATGCAGCTGGAGCCTGTTGTAACTCAGCGATGGGAAGCCCCCGTGAAGAGAAAAGCACAGCCAAAGGGGGTGCATCCTCTCTTTTATATGCGGTCATGAAGCGTGAGAGAGCGCATTACAATGATGGTCCTAACACGTCAAGAGTATCGCCTTCAAACACAGATCAGCTTGTTCGCGATCGGACCGCGCGGACCGCCTTGTCCGCGACTGCAGCAGACCACAATTCTCGAATAATTACTCTTTGTAACGAAACACCGTCCCCAGACCAAAGGCGATGGACGGCCCAAAAGTTATAGAGCCGAACAGTGGCCCAAGCAGCGACGCTCTGGCATCAGGCAGACGCCGGCAATAAAGGGTTCCAGCCAACGGCTTGCCCTGTCCGTCTGATGCCGGGCGGTTTTAGCGCGCCCCCAGCAGTCGCCCCGGATCTCCAGCAGCACGTGCCGGCCGCCAGCACGCGCTCCATCCGCGCTGCTCCAGAGCCCTCTCCAGGGCTCCAGCTCTCTCTCTCCAGGGCATCAGCCCGCCGGCCTTCAGCGCTCTAGCCTGGTGCCTTCGGCGCCTTTCCAGGCGGGAACCCTGCCATGGAGGCGGGTTTGGCGGGGCGGTTTCTTCCCACTGGAGCAACTTGGCCCAAGCTCGACTCGCCTGTCTGGTCTGGTGTGTGTGTGTGTCGTTCGACCCCCCCCCTCGAACCGGAGTTTTGGAGCTAGGATGGGAAAATTGTTGGCTCCAATCTCACCAGTTTTTGCGTTCTCGTCCGAACTGCCAACCTATCCATCCCACCATCTTTTTTCCCTTCCGCAAAGTGCACGCAAAGAGTCGCAAACTGTGCAATACCATGTAATTCATGCAGCGCAGTACCGTGCGGCGCTTCATCAGCTCGCACATTCACACCCCCGCCCGTCCCGCCATGGCAGGACCGGACCATATCATCGCCTCAACATTATTAACCACCCTTTCTACTATTACATATCTACCTCTCAGCTCTTTCCCCCCCCCCCCGTCCGCCCGTTTTCTCTTGATTCTGTCTTTTACTTGATCATCCGTTTCGTCGTATTTAAATGCTGTTTCCGTGCTTTTGAATGTAGGCTGTCACGGTTTATAAAGGCCAAGTTCTCTTGCTACCCTCTCGCTTATCCGGGGCTTGGCTTTTTCCTCTTCTTACCTACTTTCTACTTACTTTTTTTCTTCCTTCGCCCGCCGCCACGTTCTTGATAAGGATCCACGATTGTCCGTCTCCGGCAGTTTGTCTTGCGCAGCACCTCAGCTTGTGTTTGATTGACCAATACCTACCTTGCTTCGACGAATTATTACAATTTTGCATCTTCCTGGATTGTGTTTCCCTTGGACTTTTACCTCTTCCAATTCCCAACTTCACACATAGGACAATGCAACTCAAGAGAGCGGCGCGAGTAATCCTAATTGGTGCGCCCGGCGTGGGCAAGGGGACGCAAAGCGAGAGGCTGCTCAGGCGCTTCCCTCAACTCAAGGCCATCAGCACCGGCGACCTCCTCCGCCACAATGTCAAGAACAGGACGCCTCTCGGTATGTCAATTCAATCATTGCCTCTACTTCACTGTAGTTGTAGCTAACACATTGTTCCAAAACAATCCAGGCATCATGGCTGAGAACACCATCAAGGCCGGAGGCCTGGTGGCCGACGACCTGATGCTCCGTCTCATCTCGTCAGAGCTCCGATCCCGAGGCTGGCTTCTCGGCGGCGGCAGAGCACCCCTCATGACGCTCTCCGCAGAAGCAACCTCCATCGAAGGCTCCTATCACCACCACCACCACCACCACCAGTCCAACTCTTCCATGGACGACGTCTTCAACTCCATGACGTTCCACGTCGACGAGCACGCCGCGCCCCAGGCCTCCGAGGACCCGTCCGCCTCCTTCATGCTCGACGGCTACCCGCGCACCGTCTCCCAGGCCGTCACCCTCGACCGCCTCGTGCCCATGAACCTCGTCGTCTCCCTCCAGACGCCCTTCTCCGTCATCCTCGAGCGCATCGCCGGCCGCTGGGTCCACGAGCCCTCGGGCCGCGTCTACAACACCTCCTTCAACCGCCCGCGCGTCCCCGGCCGCGACGACGTCACCGGCGAGCCCCTCGTCCAGCGCCCGGACGACAACGAGGAGACGTACCGCGCCCGCTTCCGCAAGTTCCAGGAGAACAGCGAGCCCATCCTCAACCACTACGCCAAAAAGGGCGTCCTGCTCGAGATTGAGGGCATGAGCAGCGATGAGATTAGCCCGAAGCTGTTTGAGGCTTTCGAGGCTCGCTTCGTGCGGTGATGTCCTTTATTCCCCCTCCTCGGTCTGGAAATGTGGACATCTTTATGCTGCAGCATTTCATGTTTCAACAACCTTATTCGATATCCTTAGTTGGTTGGTCCTCTTTCTGTTTCTATCACTCTATCCGGCGTTTTTTTTGTGTCTTGGGAGGTCAATTGTCATGTTACTCGGGAGTTATCTGTGCGGGTTGGAAAATATCACGCCCTCTTCTGTTTCCATCTCATGGCCGTTTCTACCTAGTCGAAAGCCAAGAGGATGATGAACGGCGCACTTTGTTGAGTACCTATGTCTTGTTATTTGGAGTGGCTCTCTCGCCGTCTCCCATCTTGTGTACAATCTCCGGAATTGAGTACCTGCGGGTTGACGAAAAGTCCCCGGCTTTGAATACTGAGCTAAACATGCACCCCGCGCATAGATGTGACGAACTTACAAGGTAGTATTCCGCTGAATAGGTAAGTATGGAATGACCTGACCTTCATTCACATGCTCGTCGTGCAACCATTGTCTGCTGAGTGCGACGGTGGATGCTTGCAGCTTCTCCGCATCCGGCACAGGTACCGAGACTCCACTACCATCATGCCGAGGGCTTCTCGGGCTCGCTTTTGGGTCTCGGCTACAACTTGTCAACGGCCCGCGGCTTTAAGCGTCACACAAGTAAAGATGGGTAATGCTCTTCTGATTGTCAGACTTGTGCCGCCAAGGTAATACATGTTCTACCCAGATGAAGAATCTCCTTGCCAGCATGCATCTCCCCACCACCCACACCCCCCCTGAATCTTGTAGCCAGAACCAAGCCAAACCGTAACTTGAAATCACCCAAACATACCTACCCAGCCAGTCTAGATCAGATATCAACGGTCGAATAATGGTCCTTAATCATCCCCTATCCTACGCAGTTGCGTCGTAGCATTGTCTCCTTCTGCGGAGAGATGCGATATCCAAAGAGATGTTCAGCCTGCTGCTTCAATCGTCCCATTCATCTCCGCTTCGAATGCCCGGTGGAGTAGTATTGTTATTGTGCGACTGAGAGGAGCTCTGCCCAGCACGCAGCGGTGTGTCCTCGTCATCGTCGTCGTCGTCCATAGCCTTGGCCAGCTCATCGGGGTCATGCATCCTGGCATCAGGGTCAAGCCCCTCGTGGTGGTCGTCATCGTGCCGTCCACTATCCAGGACGCCGTCGTCTGCGCTCACCGAGATGCCGCGCGCTCCCCATCTCGCCCGACCTCCACGCGAGCCGTCGCCTCCCACGCCAGCCTCTTCATCGTCGGCAGCCGGGACGCTCTTACCGAAGATGCGGTGGAGGAACCACCCACGGTGCAAATCGTCAGCATCAACAACGCCACCGCCACGGAGCTTGACTCGCTGTCGTGTGTAGTAGACCCAAGCGAAATCGATATAGAGGGCCGTTTGGATGATGCCGAAGATGACAGCGACGGTATCCGGGGGTCGGTCGTTGACATCGAGCTCCCGAACGAACCAGTTGATGCAGTAGAACGCGCGGTAGGAGCCCAGTGCCAGGAGATAGAAGGAGTCGATGACCGTGGGAACAGTCGTCTGTCTCAACAGCAACAGCTGGGGCAGAACGCATACAGATTCGAGGATTTCGGAGAAAACCCACATCCACTAAAGAAGCCCAGTCAGTGCACGAATACTCCCACGCTTGAAAGGGGGTGATTCGGGGCATACGGTAAGGAATCCCCAACGAGAGCGCGACTCGAAAATCAGCATCGCAAAGGGAGAGAGCGCAAGCGAGCCACCGAGGACAATGGCACCCAGCTTCCAGGAGATCTCGCGCTCACGAGAGCGGGGAAACAGCCATTGCATCACCGCGAGGATGTAGAACGATGTGACAATGTATGTGACTTTGAATATCGCGTTCCATGCCGACTGCTCCCGGAAGAGATCGAGGTATCGCGTGCAGAAGACGACGGCGTAGAGGCCCTGTGTGATGAGCGAAACGCCCTCGGCGCTGCGGTTTCGGTGGATGGCGAAGATGAGGATGCCCTTGGAGAGCATGTGGAGCAGGTCGCCCAGGATGCGGAATATCTGCGCGGCGGAGTGTCAGCTTGCGTTGTCCTTCTCTTGAGGCCATCTCATCTCGAAAGGGAGAGTCGAGGCTCGTCGTACGTTCCAGGCGCCCATCTTGCAGGCTCGCGGCACAGCCTCGCCGCCGCTCTAGCTGAGGAGTATCGGTTGAAGCAACAAAGGGAAGACAAGGGGATGAAGAGGAGAGGAAGATTCCGAAGAAAAAGCAAAATCGAAGAGTCTCACAAGGCCAAATGCATCGATGCTACTGGATGGACGGCCCGCAGAGACGGCGAATAGGGGAGAAATTGTCTGCAGCTTTTGTCGTCCTTGTGTGTCGAACGCGGAGCTGAAGCTGAGCTTGCGTCAGACCCCAGAAGTCCAGGACGCAGGAGGCACGACACAGCCCCACCCTTGTGACGACGCTCCGATAACTGCATATTGCAGGATAGGGGAATACGGGAATGGCTGGTACCTGAGTTGCTAGCGTCGATTTCGGGTCGCTGGCGTCCAAAGGGTCCAAAAAGTGTTTCAATCTGCGAGTCTCGATGGAAGCGGGCGACGAGAGATATGGTAATAAAATTGCAGGCAGATCCGCATAGAGTGTCACGACTGGCTTCCATTTGGAGGTACTTGCTGTCTATTTTCTTTCTTTGGATTAATACGATCGAGATGACTGGAAGACTTGGGATTGATTTCCCAAAGGTACACCTGCCTGAGATGGTCAATAGGTACCTAGTAGAGGCAACGCATTTTTGAACTCGGAATGCTTTGAATTGGCAGCGTTCACAGCACAGTTGCATCAATTCTTGGTTCAACGTGCATGCCAAAGATACCACAAAATGGAGGGATGTCTAGCGTAAAGCTCACAAGGCATCTGAAACAAGGACAATAACAGCTCCCGTTGTCAGTGCTTCCTCAACTTGGGTGTCGCGTGATGTCACCGCAGCGGATTGTGTTTGGTGTGGTTGCTATGCTGGGTGCCCCAGAATTCACCACTTTTTAGCCTACCGACAAACTTCTACAGCAAATGACAAAGACATTCGAATTTAATCACCAATACACGCAAAACTGTTCAGCAGTATACAATATAACAGCAACAGAAGCAGCAGCATGACGTCCATCTCATCGATGGCTCGCTACTACGTTCACTGAAGGCCTTCAACTTCCTGCTTCTGCGCATACTAATACAGTCATCTCCAACGTTCGGACATCTGCATCCAACATCCCCGAAAAAAAGGGTCGATACGCGCGTCAACCACCCATGCACTGCTCCCACCGCTACCGAAACAGTCGCTGCTGAATGGTCGCTTTCCTGGTCCCCCTTCACGGCATCGAATTGCCGACGCGAAAGCAGCATCAGTTCCACTTCCGGCCGCAAACTATCAATGGTGCTGCTACTAGCAGTGCTCTCTAGCATTCCAGACATCCGGCAGGGTCAAAAGGGGGACGATTCCTGAGCAGACAACAAGGCCGCCTTGTTCCAACGAGCATCATCATCATCACAATCTGCTCCGAAAATGAAGCTTTGTGCAGGCACTGCCAAGCGGTCCATCGTCGCAGCCGTCTGGGCGGCGGCGGCCTGGGGTATTAGTGCTGCTCCCTCGGCCAAGAGCAAGGCTACTGTGCCCAAATATTTCCGTGAGTGGATATGGCGTCTGGTTACGCGGCCCTTTGCCGTCCTTCTCGGCAGAGTCATGATAGTACTAGTATAACAATGCTGACATGAATTGATCTCTAGATGAGAATCGGTAGGTATCTTGTCCCAAAGCTTGCAACTGCTCATTGTCCTTGACCTCACATGGGTCTAACCTTGCTCTAGCTACGACGTGCACTATGATGACCGGTACTCTCGCATACTCCTCGAGGACCCCGAGCAGCGAGAGGCCATCAAGGTCTTGGTACAGACGTATCTAGCAACGTTCAGAGACTTGGGCGTTCAGACATGGCTCATGCATGGAACATTGCTCGGGTGGTGGTGGGGGAAGAAGGTATTGTCTATCCAGCCTCCTTGCGTTCAATTACTGTCTTTCCCTCGATCTAACCCAATGCCAAGGTCATGCCGTGGGACTATGATGCAGACGTCCAAGTAACAGAAGCAGACATGTACTTCCTGGCGGCCTACCACAACATGACTATATACTACTACAAGTATGGCGATATGGAGAAAGGCCGTTTCTTCCAGCTCGAAGTCAACCCATACTTCGTTCACCGAGAACAGGATGACAAGTCCAACGTTATCGACGCTCGATGGATCGACATGCAGAACGGGCTCTACATCGACATTACTGCGGCAAGATATGCCTTGGATCATCCGGAGGGAGAAGGCGTCTTGTATGACAAGTTCGGCCACGAATACCGTGTAAGTGAAAGCTTTTGTATCCGGACAAGGCCGTTATTGATAACTGATCTTCCGTGTAGGATACCTACGTCTTCCCCTTGCGAGACACGACATTTGAGGGAGTGCCTTGCAAGATTCCCTATCGTTACGAGGACATGCTGCAAGCAGAATACGGGAGGAGTTCGTTGACGAATACAGAATACCATGGGTACGTCTCTGTATAACTTGATTTATTGCCATATCTGCAAGTTACTGATGTCTGTCTAGCTACCGATTCGATAACGAGGCCCGTGAATGGGTTCTCCTCGAGAAGAAGCCGGAAGAAGAGCTGTAGTCTCGTCTGCCTCGTGTGAATGGCATTGGCATGTGTAAGCGTTGGTCTTCGTCATACATTCATCAGTCGTTTGGGGGGGGGGGGGGGGGGGGGGGGGGTGTTTTCATTGATGGGAAATTGGCCGGCGGGCCCGGCGCACGGCGGAGGGTCCAATAGACAGGTTTTCTACAAGCATGTATGCGGTATTCATAGCCCTCGAATGATGATTTCTATGAGATATGATTCACAATGGCACAAAGGGTTGCAATCGCCCAGTGAAAGAACATCGTGATGGTGACTTCAGGAGTTTCTAGAGTACTTGCCTGTCTGCGTACAGGTACTTCATCCCGCTGCTCGTTTGCCGTGTACTGACATGTACAGCTACCGAAGCCGCAGCCCTACCGTCAACCCCACCAAACCTGTAGCGGACCGCATTAATCAACGCGTGTCTCGAAACGGTCGCGTCCCAGCTGCTGGAATCCACTTTTAAACACCTCCAGCTCGTAAGCTCCAAGATTTGTCTTGAGCTGCCAGAGTCGCAGCCTTCAACTCTGTCTTTCCCTGTTCAGGCTCGCTACTGTTGATACTCCCTCAGAGCAGAAGACGGAGAAGAAGAAGAAGCCATCGATCGGCCGCTTTCTGGCGCCATTCCACATGTAGAGGCCATTCAGGGCTTTTGCTCCCTGCCTTTTCTTCATCTGAAATGGCCACAGGCATGTCCTTGCTGCCTTTGCGTCGCCATCTCATACCCTCACTCTAACAAGCAAACAGGACGACAAACCCGCGCAGACCGCCTCAATGAGCGTCTCCGAGGCGCGCAGTGAGTCCCCGTCCATCGACCACAGCGGCAAAGGCAACGCCGCAGTCGGCCAGCTTGCTCACTACTTAGCTTCGTAGGCGCGCCAATGTAGATGACGAGTCTTTCAACCTAGGCATCGATAGTCTCGATATCGGAAGCCTCGTCATTGCGTCGTCCGTTGCGTCAAACTCGAGTCCCGCCGTCCGCACCAAATACTCTCCCACAACATCAGCAAAGAGAAGGAAAATCGACAAAGATGTGCCGCCCCCGCCAGAGCCCAAATCCAGCTCTACCCCTCGACGACGACGGGGCAGACCCCCGCGGGCAGAGCCGCCGGTCGAATCGCCCATTCTCCCAGAGGCCGAAATGCAAGACGCGGGGGACGGGGAAGATGACGAACTCACGCCGAGACCAGGCAGGACCTTTCAAGCACCGCATACTTCGAGTTCGGTTCGAACAGCGGCTCTTCAGCCGATGGATGTAGATGCTGAGGATGAACTCGAAACATTACCTCCCCATCCCAGTGCCGTATCGGCTGCACGGCTGCGATCTCCCACTTCGGCGCGCAGTCCTGAGAAGATTATCGAAGAGGTGACGGAGTCTCCCGCGGATGCGCCAGGAAGCGGCAAGAGGCGCCGAGTGCCCATGAGCGAGACTCTCAGCTCCACAGCGAGGTTAATGGGGGTGATATCTTCAGACGACGGGATTCCTATGCCCTCTTCGCCACTCGCGAGCAAAGTGCGTCGAAGCGATGCGACTACAGTTCGGTCCGCAAGGTCAGCCGGAACAATATATGGCCAAGAGATTAGCCATATGGCAGATGAGCTGTCATCAGACAACTACCCCCAACCCGTGGACGAGAGGATCGAAAGTACCGACTTGGCGGCTATGGAAGATGAAACTCTTGCGCAGGATGATGATGGAGTGGCGGAGGAATACCGACTGGAGGAGCAAGAGTATGCCGATGAGATTGACGAGGGAAAAGTGGCAAGCATACTGGAGGAGACGGCAAGGCGACCGCGTGGACCATCTCCAGAGCTGGGGTCGCAGGATATGGAGGAGGCAGAGGACAAAGAAGAGGAGGAATTACAGCCCGAGCACGAACTCGAATCAGAAGTGGAATCTGAGGCTCAACCCGAACCGGAGTCGGAACCCGAACTCGAACCAGAGCTAGATTCCCGACTAGAGGCGGAATCTGAACCCGAAATGGAGGCTGTAACTGAAGCCGAAGAGGAAGAAGAGGAGGTAACAGTGTTGCCGACGCCTCCCAAGCGGAAGCGCGGGCGCCCAAGCAAAAGCCCGACTACTCAAAAGCAACCCGTTGCGAAACCGAAGTCCGTCAAGTCAAGGAAGCGCGTCGCGCCACGGCCGCAGCAGTACGACGACGAGAACGAAGAGAATGAGGAACCGCAAGCCAAAAAAGCCAAATCCAAGACGAAGAAGCGACATAGTGACCAGAGCGAGGGCGACGGAGGAACGATTGAAATCACCGTTCAACGATTCGTCAACCTCAAGAAGCGTGGCAATGAAGCCGACGATGAAGATCCTCTACAGAGCGAAATGGCTTTTGTCAACCACGGAGGCGAGAGCGTGATTGACGTCTTCGCCCAGGTCTGCGACGAGGTCATCTCTTCGACGCTGGAGCAGTTTCAGGAGGCGGCCAGCGGCGCAGAGGATGCGGCGAAGAAGAAGGAATATCGCATCAAGATGCGGGCCATTGAAGCGTACCGGGAGGAGCTCAAGTCTCGTTTCCTTCAGCACGTATGTCTTGGGGCAACAGCGTATCTGCATTGGGTAAAGGGGATACTAACGTGATTCACTAGGCTATTCACTTGAACCACTGGCATTCGCTGCGCAAGCGAGTTCGACATGTGCAGAAGGAGAGGATGGCTTTGCGTGACGAGATTATGCGCATCAAGGCCGAGCGAGAGCAGGTTGCCCTTCGAATGGATGCCATCAGAATTCAACACGAGGCCGATGCTCGAGAGTCAAAGGTAGGAGCCGGTTCCAAACTGTTTACTGAATCTCCGTGTAAAGCCTCATCTTTGTGCTAACCTGTGCTTGCAGTATTGTCTCGATGCTTCATCTCTTATGCACGATGTAGATCTTGCCGTGGAACAGGGCCGGGAGGCGCCAGAATTGTCGCGCGTGGCGCAAAAAGAGGCCGAGCTGGCCAATCTCGAGCTGCTGGTGTCTCGCGTATCACAGCAAGCCAGCTCGTCGAGCTTTACGGGCGGGCTCCTAAAGCAGGTCAAGGACTTTAACTCATTCTTGGAGCGGGCTGCTATGGCACTAGAATCGCGATGATACCCCCTTTACGCATTTGGTTTGGCAGGTTATTTATTGTATACATTACATTTCCCTCTCGGCGTCCTCCCTACTGGATCTTGGCCTTGCTGAAATCCATCTCGGGATGCTGCTCCTGGAACTTCTTGAGAATGTCCGCCTTCTTCTGCTCGTCCGACGTGGGCAGCCCGTTCTCCTTCTGCCGCTGGTCGTACATCATCTTCTCGACCATGCTCCTCGTCTCGCCGTCGAGGTCGGAGAGCTTGGAGTTTTCGGGCTGGATCTTGGTGACGTCGATGGTGGGCGCGCTGGTGACGACGTGCGCCCACCACTCCATCTTGTTGACCTTGTCGAGGTGGATCTCGACCGACTTTGTGCCGTCTGAGTTTGTGGACAGGGTCCATGTAGAGTCGTCGACGCGGATGGCGTGTGGGAGGTCGCCCTGTTGGTTGAGGCTTCGAGTGAGTATATGTTATATAGACTGCGTTTCGTCCTTGCATGGAAGGGAAGGAAAGCACGGGGAAACGAATGCGACAGAACTTGGCGCAGACGTGAATTCATAGTAGGTGTAACAGGGAGCAATGACATACACTTATGATGGGCTCCTGTCCCTTGACGCCCGCCGTGAGCGACTGCTTCTTGATGTCAACGACGAGGTCTCTGGACTTGAGGTTCCCGGGGACGTTGAAGGACAGGTCCAGGTCGCCGATTGTCTGCGTCCACTTGTAGGGCAGGGCGGCCTGCTCCTCGGCCTCCTTCTTGCGCGCGGCCGCGACTTCGGCGGGGGACGGATCTGCAGGTAGCCGCAAAGCTCGTCAGCAATTTTTTTGAAAAGCTGGGGGGATCACGGAAAAAAAAAAAAAGGAGTGTAGTATGAATCATGCAAGGTGCCGCGGAGGGAAAGGCCGAGCGCATGCTGTTGGAGAGCTACACAGGTTCTCGGTTGATGGGGGTTTGAGGGCATCGTACCTTTGTCGGCCATGGCAGAGCTCTGTGACAGCTTGCGGTTTCTTTGCCTTGGAGGTTAGCAGGTATTCAGCGTAGAGGTTCGTATGTATTGGGTATCAAAAAAAGAAGTTGTTGGATGACGGACGGCAATGGACGCTGATGGAAGTTCAAGTAAATACCAGTGTACGACTAAAGGCAGCTTGGCAAGCTTGCACGGCTTTGGAGGGGCAATTCCGCTAAGCCCGGTCTCTAGGTAGCGCTAGCAGCCAATCGTAGGGCCGGGATCCTGCTTATGTACTCGGTATGTCTCTGGTTGCCGCACCTGGAAGCTCTGCAGCGCGGAAAGCAATCCGCTCCTTTTATATTGAAATGGAATTGTCAGCCATCTAGAATCAGTCAATCCCATCACCATCGCTCTCCTCTTCTTTCGCGGCTTCTTCTCCTTGCTTACCTTACATGCCTCGATCTGATAACGACAGTCTTTGATACTGAATATCGAACACGGGATTGACGCATCGCCAACGTCATCAGATCAAAAGAGACACACACGACTGCAGCTTTGGGCTGCGTGCTGCAACGCGGTCTGCCGTGTCTGCGCCGCCTCGAGCGATTCGCGCCTCACAGCATCTCCAACCCCGAGCCCTTCGAAGCCTCGAGTCTCTCTCTGTCGAACCCCTCGCCTCCCACAAACCTACAACAATGTCTCGTCCGAGCGGCACCAGCACCGTCTCGGTGCGCCACGCCTCCAACTCAAACTCCAACTCCTCCTCCGCCTTCGTCTCCGCGCCTCTCCCCCCCGCCGACCAGGACGAAATCTGCCCGGTGTGCAAAACCACCCGCTACTTCAACAAGGACATGGAGTTCCGGATCAACACCGAGTGCTACCACCGCATGTGCAAGACGTGCGTCGAGCGCATCTTCAAGGACGGACCCAATCAGTGCCCCTACGCCGAGTGCCACAAGACGCTGCGGTTGAGGGGCTTCAAGACGGCCTTCTTCGGCGACCTGGGCGTCGAGCGGGAGGTGGACATCAGGAGGAGGGTGGCCGCCGTCTTCAACAAGGCCGAGGACGACTTTGAGAGCCTGGATGCGTACAACGACTACCTGTACATGGTGGAGTGCCTCACCGACGACCTCGTCAACGGCAACGACGAGGCCCGGAAAAAGGCCGAGGCCCAGCTCGCCGAGTGGGAGGCCCAGCACAAGGCCGAGATTGAGCGCAACCGCAAGCTCGCCCGCGAGTCCGACGAGACGCGGCAGAAGCGCCTCGCCGCGGAGCAGGACGCCGCCCGCCAGCGCCGCCTCCAGGAGCTGCAGGAGGATGCCGCCGAGCGGGCCAACGCCGCGCGCTTCCGGGAGGAGATGCTCAACTCGCTGCAGAACGCCGAGCTGGGCCACGCCGAGGAGGCCGTCGACCGCATCCTGCTCAAGAAGCGCGGGCAGCAGAAGCGCGACGCCACGCTGGATGCCGTCGCGACCATGGGGGGAGGCAGCGGCCTTTCCATCCGCGGCCTCAGGGACAAGCGCGCTCCGGTGCAGGACGACAAGCCGTACGATCCGTTTGGCGGCCTGGACCTTGCGCCTCAGCGCATTGATCTGTCGAGCGAGAAGCTGTCGCAGTACAAGAGCGAGTGGCTCGACATTACGCGCACCAAGGAGGACTACATCGTGGGAGGGTACAGCTCCCGGGAGTACCTCACAAGAGCGCTGTTCGAGGCCTTTTCTGGCCTGGGTGTCTTTGTTGCGGAGGACAAGGACATGAGAGAGGAGGCGACGGTGGCGGCTTCGCTAGAGGCTGTCTCGACGGGCCCAGCGGGCGGCAAGATGGACGTGGATGGTCCTTTCTGAAGAGACTTGATTCAGGGGGCCTCACTTGGAAGCCTTGTATGCCTTTGTCTGCATGTCTCAGGGCATAAACGTTGGGGTAAAGAATCATAGAGGAGGCGAAGCTTGGTGGTTTATTTTTGTTCGTTCTCGCGATAACATGGGAAGGCGTCTGGACACTGGGAATCTTGTTCTATATATCTTTGCTCTTCTTTTTTTCTTTCACCTTTTCTCTCTTTCCACTGCAAGAAACGCGATACCATGGGGAGATATACCAAGCTACCAAAAGATGGACCAAAGACAGCACGAGTTGGCATGCCAGCGTCAGGTCTGTCAAATAATCATGTCAAGATGTATATAAATGCTACTCATAAAGCACCACCGACTCAGTCTACCTGACGTTGACAACCTGCAGATAACTCACGGCTCCTACACCAAAAAGGTGGTATTCTTATTCCTTCTGCATATCGCTACGGCATTAGTACTACCCAAACCCAAGCCTCACGCACCCACCACCTCGATCTTCTCTCATTCTACCACTTTATAGCAAAGTGTTGTATAACGTGCCAACGACGCAACATGGGTAAGAGCTAAGAATGAGGTTTTGCATGCTAAAGGAAGCAATTTCCGCCCAAAATTCTGCCTAGTAATGATGATACTGATAGTGAACCCACGGCCCCTGACCTCTTTCCCTCTCTCGAGTCGGAACAAGATGAAATGCAAACAAACAAAAGAAACGCAGCCCAGAGAAAAAGCCAAGTCTAACGCCTCGCTGCTCAATGCGATGGTAAATGAGAAGCGGAAATCCCCCACAAGCAATGATGATGACCCATTGAGGAGAAGGATTAAGAGAACGACGCAATCCAGACTCCCAAATCACAAGAACGTACATACTAATTCAAGAGAAGGAGAAGAATGAAGGGCAAGTCAAACTTGAACTCATTGCTGCCAGGGCGTCTGCTGTGCTGGGCGAGGGAACACCGGCACCGTCTGGATATGGTCGAGGCCGCCACCAATCGGAGTCTGGTTGTGCTGCCAGCCCATGCCGGTGGTGTGGTTGACAAACGCGCCTTGTCGGAACGGGTTCGTGACGCCAGTCGGCTGTGGAGCAAGCGAAGAGGACGGCTGTTGACCCTGGACCTGCTGCTGCGCCGGTGCTTCGGCGGCAGCGTTACGGGCAAAGGGGTTGGTGCTCGTAGGCTGAGGCTGAATGGGTTGAGCCTGGAACGGGCTCGTGTTCTGCCCTGGTGAGTTGGTCGATCGGGCAAAAGGGTTCGTCGACTGGCGGTTGAGGGTTGGCGTGCTGGACGTCGGCGTTGACAGCTGAGACGAAGACGACGTCGGTTGCGCTACCAGCATAGACTGGCGGAAGGGGTTGGTCGTCTGCGGAGCGGCCAGTGAAGGCTGGAGTCCCGTGGGCTGAAGGCCAACAGGCTGTTGGGCCGGAGGCTGGAAGTTGGCAACGGTATTCTGCGGAATAGGGCCCAGGGGATTGTGCTGGAAGTCCTGCTGCGGCCCAAAGCCGCTGAACCCGGTAATGGTCGGCTGCAGCTGCGGCGGGGGCTGCATGAATCCATTGTCTGGCTGAGGAAACGCGTTGCCCTGGATAAAGCCTCCGGGCTGCTGGACAAAGCTGTTTGGCTGGAAGCCAAGCCCGGCTTGTTGCGCCTGGAAAGCCAAATCCGGTCCTTGCAAGGGCACTGGCATCTGGGCGCCGTTGGAGGTGACCTGCATCGGGATCTGGTTCTGCTCGATTGAGTCGAAGAAGTCGATGAGATCGGGATCCGGGCCCTTGTTGGCTTGAGGCTTCGACTCGACCTTGGCCGGCGCATTTCCGCTGCCGGGGGCCGGGAACGGATTGTTGGCTGCGGGAGAAGGCGCCTTGGGAAAGTCGACGCCGCTCTTGGTCGCCTTGGACTTGGATACCTTGTTGCCCTTCTTTGCCTCCTGCTCTGCCAAGTACTGCCGCCGGTGAATCTCGAAATCCGGGTCATTGAGATATTCCTCAAGCTGGCGGCCAAGGTTGACGGGCGCATGCTTCAGCTTGGGGACCTCGACTCTCGTGTGGTGCTGCCACTGCTTGGCGGTGCTGAGATACTGGACGACATAGTCGGTCTGCTTGGTGAAGGTCCGATAGATTTCCATAGCTCTGTCGGCATCCGGCTTGGACATTTCGAAGAAGTGGCCTGTGACAATGGTGTTAGCATAGCCGTAGCGCGCGGTTACGGGAGGATATAAGGCTGACCCAAGATGTTAATGAGGCCCTGGTTCAAAACCTGGAAGAGCGGTAGGAGATCGAGGACGAGCAATCGGAACACCGCAATCGTGATTTCCGTCTCTGGTTCCTGGTCCAGGAGCTGCGAGGCAGGTCAGCGACGAAGTCAGGGTCAGGAGGACCTCGGGGGGGGCTATGACGCACGTCGCATTTCAACAAGGCCGTGAGCTGGTGCTGGACAACTTCCGTCTCGCGCAACAGGCCCTTCTCGACAGTGAGCCTCTCCAGCCTCGACTCTGGGGCGCGCACCCAGTCGGTCTTTGTGTCGCGATACGCGCGCACTCGCTCGATGAGGTAATTCGCATAGTGGCGGATGTTTCGACCTTGGGTTTGCGCTGTTGTACAGTGTCAGTCCCCTGAATCGCTCGCAACTTGTTGGTCGCCTCGGTTGGCTAAAACGGACCGTCTGCAAAGTTGCTTATCGCCAGCATGTTCCGGTGTCGAGCAAGGTAGGCCAGCGTCGCCTCGGGAGACCCCTCACGGATCATGAGGTGAACCGTCATCAGACTCTTGAAGACGACGGTCCATGTTGAGTCGTGCAGCCGGTTCTGCAGCGCGCGGAGGACCTCGGCTACGCCAGCCTCGCCGGAGTGAGTGCCAACTAGAATGTGCTCGATGTACTTGGTCTTTGGGGGAGCATTCTGCAGACGCACATGAGCGAGAAGGAGTCAGCCATCTGGTAGGTCTGTGTTGAGGCTGCCCTGTGGCGTTGCAGCTCCAGGCTTGGTCTGGCGACTCGGAAGCCCAGGGATGGCCCAGAGATGCTCCATATGCTCCATGGAGCTCGTAGCCAGAGTCGCCATCGTCGTCGTCGCATCGCCACCGCAGCGACGAACTCGGCCGGAGCTGGACCGAGCTGGAAAGACACTCACCTTGATCTTGGTCGCCCCCTTGACGGACTTCTCAAAGGAGCTCATCGTTGCGAGGTTCGGTCTGGCGAGGGACTGGATCCGGCTTCAAGAGGGGGGCAGTGACAGTCGTCGAGTCGTCGGCGGATAAATAAGTTGGGCGACTGGACGGAGGTCAGGCCGAACCGGCAGCCGGGCGGAGCTGGGCGAGGGTTTGGGTTGGAGTCGTGGTGGTGGTGGTGTTGCTACTGCTGATGACCTACTGAGGTGCTACTAGTATTATCACTGCTGCTGGCGGCTAGGTATGGGCTTGCTATTGGGCACTAGCAGGTTGGGGAGTCGGGCTGAGGTTATGGAGATACCAGCGAGATGTCCCGAGCGCGGCAGCACGTGGGCGGCGGAAGCTGCGGAATTGCGGTGGCTGGGGTAGCGAGGAAGAAGTCACTCACTAACGGGGGACGGACGCTGGGAACAAGCCAAAGCTGCTGGCATGAGGTAATGTGCACAACTACTACCTACCCGCTGAAGGGGAATGAATATGCAAGGCTACGTACAAGTGCTGCTACTGGAGTTTCCGAGATGAAGAAACACGAGACACTGCTGATTGAGGTGACTTCGATTTCTACGTAATTTGACGCAAGGTGCCAAAGACATCATGATTCTCAAAGAGCAATCTAAACAAACGCGGTAACTCTGACATCTTTGGTATTATTGATCGTAGTACAGCATCGTGGGACACTGAAAGATATAACTGCTACGGGGTATGGAGCTGCAAGCGCAATGAAAAGATACAATGTAGCAAACAAGGGGCAGGAATGGGAACGAGAAGAAAAAATCAAAATCAGATCAAAACACAAACAAACAGTAAGAAAAAAAACTTCCATTCGTAATAAATCAGAGCTTTTTTTTCATCGCGTCCGATGCAATAACAAGGTCGGTGTGTCGAACGCCCATATCATGGAACCAGCCCTCCATCGCTCCCAGACCCTGAAGCCCCAAAGGGAGAGTCATGAAAGGTCAGGAAGGCGGCTCAGCATCATATTATGCACGCAATCTCATCATCTGTGCATTCTCAGTTAGCAATCGTGCGCGGCTTTTGTAGGAATCTTGCCAAAATTGGGGGTCGTACGTTTATTTGAATGGAAGGGATGAAGAAGAAAAAGAAAAAAGAAAAAAGTCCGGCTCGCCAAGCGTGGCAGAAATTTAAAGCTCCAGCGCCGTGGGGTCGTCGGGAATATGTCGGGTGATTGCGCGCCTTCCTCTTCAACAGCCCATCTTCAACCTTTTATCTTATCGGCTTCAGTCATGCCATGATTCTTTACACAGCTTCATTCCTTTCCCTTTTTTTTGTTTTTCTTTGAATGCCAAACTGTATATAATCTTGGGCAATGGGGCCTCTTGCCGGCTCCCGTAGCCTGACACTACGTCGTCAAGTTTGTGTGAAGACTCTTACGGCAGCAGTTCCACGGCCGGTGCTTTACAGGCACAGCCGTCTTTACTCACAGACGGCCAAAGATGGGGCAGAAGACTCGTCCAAACATGACACGATATTGAGTCTTTGGCGTCAATGTAGGTTCTTCTCAGAAAAACAAAACATTCTGATTACATCGGAGGTTGTCTCTAACATTCACAGACCAAGCCAATGACAAGTTGCCTGGTCTCGGATCCGACGACGTTTACGTGGGCTTCATTGGCAAGAGTCGCAATGTCTCAAAGCACCTCTCATTCGCAGATCTCACCACGCCGTCTGGTGAGACCATTCAGGTCTGCTCCAGCGCAGAGAGGGACAGTGAAGCACATGATGACTTTCGTAAAGTCCCAGCTTTCAGCCCCGTCCTCATTCGTGTGAAGCAGCACGAGGCAGCAGCAGATGTCGAGTCAGCAACCAGCAATGGCTCATCCAAGAAAACCGTCTATCTTGAGAGCATACGTGCCCTCAACAGCGTCCCAAAAAACCTCATAGTCACGCCTGAAGTCCAATTTCCACCGACAAAGAGGCATCTCCAGATCCGGTATCACCCAGAATTGCAAGCCAGGCTACAATTCAGATCATGGCTCAAGGGCATGCTTAACCAAAGCTTACTTCAGAAGGGCTTTACGGATATCGAGACACCGACTCTCTTCAAATCTACCCCAGAAGGTGCCAGGGAATTCTTGGTTCCAACACGGCAGAAAGGTACTGCTTATGCTCTGAGTCAGAGCCCCCAGCAGTACAAGCAGGTCCTCATGGCCAGTGGCATCATGCGGTATATGCAATGGGCCCGCTGTTACCGCGATGAAGATTCTCGAGCCGATCGACAGCCAGAGTTCTCACAGGTGAGGCGACGAATCTTGGGACACTTACCCGACCAAACACTGACAGCACTCTATCAGCTTGACATGGAATGGGCTTTCGCGGGAGCCGAAACGGTGCAGAAGGATGTCAATGATATCGTCTTGGCGGCATTGACTGCTCTTCAACCTGCACGCAGCTATAAGGAGATTCGAGGAGAGGTCGTTCCGGTTGTCGCCGAGATACCCCCTACGCCTCCGCCAGCAGACCAGCCGGTTGCTCATCAGTTCACCAACATTACGTTTGCGGATAGCATTGCGGCATATGGCTCTGACAAACCTGATTTACGCATTCCCCTCAGGGTATGCTAAGAAGGCGCCCTCACTGAACGACTAACGGCTAACGTCTTATAGATACATGCCCTGCCGGACCTTGAGCCATTCCGCAACTTTGTTGGCATGATCACTCATCTCACCAACCCTCTAATTGAGGCCTTCGCATTGCCGCTGAACGACTGCTCTCCTTCAGAGGCACGGAAGTTTGTGACCAAGTTCATGGACGAGCTCCCCCCCTCATTGGCAAATAACCCTGACGGCAAACCTCAAATCCTCATCCACGACTCAAGGCAGCCATTAAGCGGATTCTCTTCGCTGGGTTTCGAATACGAGAGTGTGTTGGATCTACTCACAGACAAGAAAGGCCTCCAAGATGGAGATCTTGTTGTCTTCCAGGCCAGGGACACGCCAGCTGGACAATACTACTCCGGTTCAACAAGGATCGGAGACGTACGCAACCTGCTGTGGAAGGCCCTTGTGGAAGAAGGCCTTGTGGAGACTCCGCGACTCGGTGAGCCAGGGTCACTTCATTTTGTGTGGGTGACGGAGTTCCCCATGTTCAAGCCGGTCGAAGAGGGCGAGCCAGGCCAGGAGGGCGCCGCGGGGATTGCGGCTTCACACCACCCCTTTACTGCGCCCCTCTCCCAGAAAGACCTGGAACTACTCTTCACCGACCCTCTGGAAGCAAAGAGCGCTGCATACGATCTGGTTCTTAACGGGATCGAGATTGGCGGAGGCAGTGTGCGTAATCACATTGCCGACGTGCAAGACTTTATCATGCGAGACGTCTTGAAGATGACGGATAAGAGGATCAAGGACTTTTCGCATCTGTTTGAGGCTCTCCGCTCTGGATGTCCCCCTCATGCTGGGTTTGCGCTTGGATTCGATCGCCTTACGGCCCTGATGACGGGCACGCCTACTGTCCGAGACGTTATCGCCTTCCCCAAGACGATGAAGGGAGAGGATCCTTTTGTGCAGTCGCCTAGCAAGCTCAGCAATGAGCAGCTGGCTCCATACGGCCTACAACTTCGCCCAAAAGCTTCATAGGGGGTACAATTCACCGATAAATCTATTTCATTGTTTCAAGAGAGGGAATTCAACTGGAGACTGGGGCAACGATTTACCTGATAAGACACGACTGCATAAGAGAAGCCTGTACGATCAACGGGGGTAACAGATGCATATAGACGACATTGTACAATAGAAGTTCCACCACGCCACCATTTCGCGACTCCGAGTATTAATTGCAATCTCATGTACTCACGCATCATGACATACTATAGATGGTCAACTTGATTCTCTTTCCCTTCTTTTTTTATTTTTTTCTGTCCATCATCTGAACAGAATCGCAAAAAGGTCGCTGTCTCAATTCACCCACCTCGGTACGTACCGGCTTAGCGCCACATTGAAGTTGTTGAAGCTTAAACGGCCGCCACCAATCATCAGCCACTTTACTGCCTTGACCGCCAAAAATTTCGGAAATTCTGCCGCTCTCCCACATCGCATCGCAAGCAACAGCTTCCCTTTCCCAGCAGCGACGTCTCAGCAACCACAACAGCAGAGACTCTCTCTCTCACACACACATTTTACCCATATCGCGTGGTGGAGAGCTTTCATTCAGCCGCACAAGATGTCGTCTCTAAGAAATTCAATCCAGCGGCGCCCCCATCGGGAGCGCGCGCAACCCCTCGAGCGCCGCCGCCTCGGCCTCCTCGAGAAGCACAAGGTACGAAGCCATTCACACACTCCCAATCTCCCCGATCAACTACAATATCAATCTTTCCATTTCTCCGATCCAATATCGTGCTGACAGTCATTGAAAAAAATATATATAGGACTACTCCCAACGCGCAAAAGACTACAACCAGAAAAAAGCCACGCTCAAGGCCCTCCGCGAAAAAGCCGCCGACCGCAACGAGGATGAATTTTACTTCGGCATGATGTCCCGCAAGGGACCCGGCGCAAAGATCACGTCCGGAAAGTCCTGGAACGGCAGGGTCGAGGGCGATCGCGGGAACAACAAGGGCATGGACATGGACACGGTGCGGCTGCTCAAGACGCAGGATCTCGGGTACGTGCGCACGATGAAGCAGGTCGCCGTCAAGGAGCTCGCGAGGCTGGAGGAGCAGGCTGTGCTTGTCAAGGGGCTGGAGGAGTTGGCTGCTGCTGAGGAGGACGATGATGACAACGACGATGAGGGCTTTGATGATGATTCGGAGGAAGAGGGTCTTTCGAGCAGGAGGAGGAGGAGGAGATCGGGCGCAAAGGGACCCCGGAAAATCGTATTCATGGACAATGAAGACGAACGAGACGAAGCCCTCCAAGCAGCCGAGGAAAGCCAAGGCCCCAAAAGAGAAGACCAGCAAGCGGCCTTTGAACGGTCAGAGAACCTCGCCGAGCTGAAGCGGAAGCTCGAGCATGCGCGCAAAAAGGTCAAGTCGCTCATGGCGGCGGAGAGCCAGCTCGAGGTCCAGCAGGCAAAGATGGCCAAGACGGCGACGTCGGGCGGGACGACGAGAAGGGGAAAGAAGATTATGGTCAGGAAGAGGAAGAGGTAGATGTGTGGTAGAATTCTGGGGGTGGTTTTGTGGATTAGAGAGGAGCTGCAGGATGCTTCGGTCATGGCCGCTGTTATTGGTCTGCTGCTGTGCAATTGCGATATGGCCATGGTTCACAGATGCATGACCATGGAGTTACCCCGACAAAGGTTACCTATTAGTTTGGCGTTACTGTTATTTACGGCTTTGTAAGGTATGAAGAGGTTGCTGTTTAGCTCATATTCCGGAATAGATGGCCTTGAGGTGGCCTTTTGCATCATATTCACTTCATGATTCTGACTGTGTTGGCTCACAAGTCACTTTAGTCGGATCCGCTGATTGCTTCTTGTTGTCATGAATCATCGCTCAATGTCGTATTAATACTTGGATCCCACGCATTTATAAATAACCTTGAAAACTCCCTTGACACATGCGAATCCGATGGTCAGTATCCATATAAAGCAGTTGAACACCCCCTTTGTCAGCTTGACAATGACTCTTAGTATAAAGGGCAGCTTGTCCTCGCTTGCTGTCTTTTTGTTGCCCTTGCCCAGGCTATCGTTTTGGCTTTCAATGTCAATTTCGAATTGTTCCATATTCGCTCGCTTCTTGTCTTTCTTGTCCTTCTTCTTCTTTTTACTGCCATCATCGTCACGGTGTCGGCTCAGGGCACTGCTGATGCTCCTTGATGGCCTCGGGGGCTCTGCTACCGGAGGTGCCTCGAATGCCTCCATCACCGTATTTGGCGAGCTCCTATCCTCCATAGCCGCAACGAGAAGCAGTGCGGTAACAGCTACATCGACAATGTAGAATGACTCGATCTTCGACGCAACTCCAGTGTCAATTTCCAGCCACCCACTGCCGGTGCCGTCCCGCGTCAGTTTGGCGAGGTGCTGCGGTGACTCGTGGTGTTCAAGTGTGTACTCAACACGAGACCAAGCAGGACAGTGTTCAACCGTGACGCAAAACGGAGTCGCCAGTGCCGGATGCACCACGTAATAACTTGAACTGTCGTCGTCCCATACTAGCCTCCCGCACTCCCTCTCTGCGGCCGCGACCGTGCCAGGATCATCCGGCCGATCCAAAGCTATCTTTGTTGCCGCGCAAGGCATGAGAAGGGCGGCAAGCCCGTCATTTGGGGAGTGTTTCCTGGATTCTTCTTCCAGCGTCGTATTCAATGCCTCTTGCCAGTACTTTCCGTCCGAAGATTGACTGCCGCCACCCATGACACTATTCAGAATGCTTGCAGGTGAATGCGATGCTTGCTTGGGGGCCTTGTAAACCTTGCTCGGATCGTACCTAGTCAGCGACACGTAGGCTGAGGCAGATGTGGGATCCAGACGGAGGTTATAGAAAGGTTGTGAAGCTGAGGACAGCGTATATACGGGGGCATCTTTCTGTTGTGTCAACTTCAGGCAGTAAACGCGTCCCTCGGAGAAGGAGGCCTTCCAGCCGTTTGTGACTTTCCAAAGATCCTGGAGCTGCTCAGTCGTGCATATGGCAGGAATGACTGGAGGATTGTGAGGGCGAGGGGGGACTCTGAAGCCTGGTTCACGGACAGGGGGATGCTCCGGTGCTGCGTCAGGGTCTTCGAAGTAACTCTGGCGGCTGACAACAGCCCGGGGCACTCCCGGCGGATGCGATCGAAGCGGGCCGTAGTTCTGTTGATCCAAAGGCAGCTCGGGATTGTACGTGGGGAACATGGATCGCAAAGGCGGCGGCTGTTCATGAGTTGGGGGAGCTTCAAAGAATAGAGGGGGTTTGGCGATGGAGTTCCTTGGCTGGTTGACGCTACTGCTGGCAAAGACCTGAGGTGGTGCAAACGCAGCTTCCGCTCGTCGAGGGACTTCAAGGGTTAATCGGGGCTGCTGAACGCGGGCTGGGCGACTAGGTCCTGCGCCAGAGCTATCGAGCTGCTCATCTTCGACAACCGCTGGCGGTATAGCATCACGATCCAAAGCCGCCTCTGATCCTTCCTGGAGCGGAGCGTTGAATTCGAGTGGTGTGTGTGACCTCGGTTGAGGTGTCTGCCGGCCGTTCGGAGAGGGAGATACTGCAGGAGCGGGAGCAGAAGCCGGCACCGGCGAGGGCGAGCCCACTGGTGTTGTGGCACGACTATTCTGGATCTGCTGCTGCGGCGTAGCCGCTCGACGTTCGTGGGATTCGGAGCGGCGGGTGCGTACCACCGGATGAGGTTTGGAAAAGTTGGGACTGGGGAAGAGCGAGAAGCTGGCGCTGCCAGATCGCTGATGTGAAGCCATGGCTCAAGCGGGAAACTGTGTATCTAGACACTCTTTTCACCAACACCAGGCAAATTGGCCCTCTTCACGGAAGCGGCCGGGGAATCGTGTTGAGGTGGAGCAAAGGAGGGCCGAGAAAGGACGGAAACAAACACAAAGGGGTATCCAATTGTAAAAGCAACGGTGATGAGATGCTACGGCTTCATTGTCTGTTGGTCGAGCGCCGCATCTTGACACCAGCAGAGCAGACACAACCCAGAACAACGGCAGAGTGAGCACCACCCAAGGGCACGAGAAAGAAGAGCGCCTCAAGCGCAGATATAGCATATAAGGACTAAACATCCTTTGACTGGAAAGGTCAGCCTTGTGAGGAGGGTGGGGAGGCCGGCGACCCGGCCAGATAGCCAGATGATGCCGCCATCGAATCAGTGCGTTAAGCGCCTTTGGGTGGTCGAGTTGGCATGAGAATCGCAGCTGGAGTGAAGGGACAAAGACGCACGGCAGGCCGAACAAAGAGAGCGAGTGGGTGGTTCTCCATCACGTCTGTGTCTCAAAATAGCACTGGGATCTTGATGGGTGGACGCCATCGATGTCCGGCAGGCCAATGAGAGGCCGCATCACACTGCATCGGCGTTGTTAAGCGCTGGATACGCAGGGGTCGGTTGAAGCTTGGAGGCACTGGACGAACGCCATAGGCCACGCAACGGCCCTAGAGCATCGCGTCTGGTCGCATCGGAGAGGCGTTGTGATAGGTCGGAGGATTGTTGGTCGCGGCAGCGAGGGCGCTTATTCTGAACTTTGTAAACGTCTTTTTTCCTGCAGTACATACAAGGGGCGGAAGGGCAACGAGGATTTCGAGAGAGATGGCGGTCGGTCATTGAAGGTCGAAAGAATTCAATGGTCAAGCCGTGAAGCAAGTGTTGTTGTCAGAATTTTAGGCTCGACCATCAGAGGGAAAGCACCCTCTCCGCGCCTTCTGTTTCTCTTCTTCTTCACTGACTTTGGTATTTGACAACGGGGTGATTCCTTCCAAAACTCTGATCTGAAACAACTAGTATTTACCTTAGGCGACACTACCCCACCCAGAATTAGATCCAAGGCAAGTGATGCTAGCAGACCTAGCAGGTATTACCCGCGTCATGCAGGCCGAGATTCGGGAATGGCCCCGCCCGCTTGTTTCGTGTCTATTCTGGCATCAATGAATCAATTAAACTCCCCACTTTCGAGATCTCACAATGATCACCCACAGAAGCCAATTCTACCTACCTATTCTTCAACCACTTTTACTAAACTAGGTAGGTCTACCTACATAACAATCATACGGCTCAGAGGCCCAACGCATGTCCGTCTAGAGGGTAAATGATGAACAAAAAGAGGAATGACGAAGCATGTCTGCTCCACAGACCTGTGGGAGATCTTTGACCACAGTATGTAAGCCATGCTTCACCCCGTTGCCTCAATAAGGCAATTGCTGCCTGTGAGATGCTCTCTACTGACGTACTACCCAGATAATACCAGGGAATGCCCAATTACTAAATCGTCACATGCATCGTCACCCACTCCATGCTGTCAGTAACTCTTTCGCACCGACGCCCCTCCACATGTGTGAGAGTCGTTGAAACAACATACGGCTGCAGTTTGTTCATCAACACGGCGAGAAAAGCCCATGTGCATCGTGACCCACGGGAGCAGTAGATTGATTCGATGCAGCTTAGCTGACACTCCGACAAAGCGCAACGACGCAATGCGCCTTTGCCATCGTACTCGTCAAACGCCGGTGAATTTCTCAGTTACTACTACCAATCACCTAGTCCACCGCTCATATTTGTGATGCGTCCCGTCAACGCCGCAGAAAGATCATTTGCTGCGCTCACTCCAGCCACCATGCACTAGCACTATTGTTCCAGAGACACAGATAGCCTTGCGCTGCTCAGGGGCGCCTCTTTGCGTGGCGCTTCGTCAAGATTTCGGAAGCATCTCAGTTCTTTGCCACAGCCACATCCTGACCCCCAACTCGAATGGCATCTTAAACTTCACGGTCAGTATAGCAAATTGCAGGTCTGAAGAGATGAAGACGTCACATGTTTCTGGTAAGCACTGAATGCCTAAATAGCACAAAGGCATCATGGCTTGTATGATCACTACCTTGATCTTGGTGTTGGGCTTTTATGAGACCGGGGCTCAAATACTATAGATATATGCCGAAAGTGAACAATCTCGTCATCCGAGTCTCTCGCCCTCTGCAGTTTCAGACAATGATAGCAGCACACCTCATCATGCTCACTTGGATGCTTGCAGCACCCACGACCAGATACGACTTTTCTGCTCGACCGAATCTCAATGAAGATGCAGAGTCTTGTCCATAGAAAGACCTGGAGACTGCCTCTTTGTCCAAATGCCTAACCATTGTCCAGATTCGATAACCCCCATAGATAAGGTAGTATCTGGGCGATCTATGGTGACCGTACTTGAAGTACTTTTTGCTCAATCTAGGATAGAAAGGAGCAAATATTGCAAGTGGGTGGCATAGGTACTCAAATTAGGCGGTTGAGTTGCTGTTACAGGGTAAGTGCGACTTCTATGGCCGCGGCAATGGCACTATTCCAGACCTTAAGGTTCGATCATTGTCCCTCTCCTGGCGTTCGGAAAGCCTCTAGATAACTGTATAAATCAACCGGGGGCACCAGACTCTGGGAAGAGATTGAATACATGATCATGCCCTGCTCAATTTCGACACTTTGGGCTGGTTACAGACACGATGCAGCACGTGGTTTGAAAATAATTCAACGTCTGTCTGGCTGACATCAAAACGACAAGACAAGCCCACCGACACCGAAACCGCAGGTCCGCCGGAATCTCCAGTGTTTGTCCAGCGCTTCTCCCATTGGCGCGGTTATTGTCACCGGTTAAATTGCCATTGGTCCTCTTATAATTGTGGGCTTCCACGGCAAATCGCTTCCCAGGCAAACCCAAAGCACTTTGAACAGCCCAGCAACCCAGCAAGCTCAGGAACCTGGACCCTCTGCCAAAGTGTTAGGCACGCAGGGTAGCACCAGGCGGGGTTCTCAAGCCTCTCGATAGAACGACGTGGGAGCTCTTTAGGCTTCTCTCCAATGAGCTATCGTGGGGCGACGGCTCGGGGTTGGGAAGAAACTCGTTTTCGCGAATGGGAAATGTCATTTGTGCCATGGCTGAAATACCCAATGCGGGGATGGAGGGTTTTTGCGTATATAATGGGATTTGCACATCTTGCCTTGGGAAGAGATTTTCCTCCAGCTCTTCTCTGTCTGCTTCCCTGTCCAATCTCTTTGCCTTCCTGACGTCGTCATTGTGATAGTAGCTGCTATTACATCACCCCGCCAAGAGCGTTTCCGTTGAACATAAGGACTCGGCGTTGAGCAACAGTTTCGCTTCGAAGATGGCGACTCAAACGATCAACAAGGATGCGATCAGCGTAAGAGGATTCCCTCAACAACGGAGAGGCGACTGGTGGCGGTGTTGAGAGAAACAGAGGTGTGAGAGAGAGACAATCGATCGAGGACTCGGAGCTGACTTGGCCCTCGGGCAAACAGAACCTCTCCTTCGTCCTCAACAAGCCCGGCGACGTGACCTTTGAGGAGCGGCCGAAGCCGACCATCACGGACCCCAACGACGTCCTCGTCGCCGTCAACTACACGGGCATCTGCGGCTCCGACGTGCACTACTGGGTGCACGGCGCCATCGGGCACTTCGTCGTCAAGGACCCGATGGTGCTGGGCCACGAGTCGGCCGGCACCGTCGTCGAGGTCGGCCCGGCCGTCAAGAGCCTCAAGCCCGGCGACCGCGTCGCCCTCGAGCCCGGCTACCCGTGCCGGCGGTGCTCCTTCTGCCGCGCCGGCAAATACAACCTGTGCCCGGACATGGTCTTCGCCGCCACGCCGCCGTACCACGGCACCCTGACGGGCCTGTGGGCGGCGCCCGCCGACTTCTGCTACAAGCTGCCGGACGGCGTGTCGCTGCAGGAGGGCGCGCTGATCGAGCCGCTGGCCGTGGCCGTCCACATTGTCAAGCAGGCCCGCGTCCAGCCGGGCCAGTCCGTCGTCGTCATGGGCGCCGGCCCCGTCGGCCTGCTGTGCGCCGCCGTGGCCAAGGCGTACGGCGCCTCCACCATTGTCAGCGTCGACATCGTGCAGTCCAAGCTCGACTTTGCGCGCGGCTTCTGCTCGACGCACACGTACGTCTCGCAGCGCATCTCGGCTGAGGACAACGCAAAGGCCATCAAGGAGCTGGCGGGCCTGCCCGGCGGCGCCGACGTCGTGATTGACGCCAGCGGCGCGGAGCCGTCGATCCAGACGAGCATTCACGTCGTCCGCATGGGCGGCACGTACGTCCAGGGCGGCATGGGCAAGAGCGACATCACGTTCCCCATCATGGCCATGTGCCTCAAGGAGGTGACGGTCCGGGGCTCGTTCCGCTACGGCGCCGGCGACTACGAGCTGGCGGTCGAGCTGGTCCGGACGGGGCGGGTGGACGTCAAGAAGCTGATTACGGGCACCGTCAGCTTCAAGCAGGCGGAGGAGGCGTTCCAAAAGGTCAAGTCTGGGGAGGCCATCAAGATTCTGATTGCCGGGCCCAACGAGAAGGTGTAAGTGAGGATGCGCCGGGCTTCATGATCACGGTTGGATACACTTATAATGTAAAATAACGAAACAAATTCAAGAAAAAGTTCAAAAGATTTAGATGGCAGCGAGGACACAACGTCAATATGAGCAAAGCTGACCCTGCTGCAAAGGGGGATTAAGCAAAAGGGGAGGGGGTGACCCGTGCAATGGCAAGCGGGTGGCGGCCAGCAGAGACCCCCAAGAATTGAGGCTCTACTGGCTGTGGATGCGCAGCTGAAGGGCCTGCCAGTCACACAGAAACACGCGCCCTGAGCTACTCCTTGATTTGAATTCTTCATTAATAATGCTAGGAGTAGAGGCAGGATATCCGTCCAGTAACACGGCCTGGACTTGTCTTAAGCGAACGGCCTGATAATAGCACACAGACGGGCCAAGGGCGCTAAAGCAGCAAGAAGAAAGTGAGGCTGAACCCGATCAAAATCTGTTGTTCAGCAGGATGAATCAGGTCACACACACACACGCATAAAGCACCTTTCCGCGGCGGATTCCCCTGTCCGACAAGCCTAAACCATTCCTCGCTCTTTTCATCTCTCCAGTGATAGGATCGTTCCCGTCCACTTTGCGTCTTGTACTGTCGGAATAGGCAAAAATCGATGAGTGCCAAAAGATGTGCTGACGAGAGAACTTGAAGCTAAGACGGCGGAACCAATCCCGCACGGACGCCGATCTGCTGCGTTTCGGGAAAGGGCCATTTTCAAGGATTATCTGGGCTTTGATCGATCTCTGTTACCTTGTGTGGATTCTCTCACGAGCTGCCAAGTCTGTAAAAGCTTGTCTGCATCTCTGATTCTGCGTTCTTATAGTAGGTATATATAGAACATGGAGATGATGGAGATTTGAGGACTTGTGCAGAGTCTCACAGCCACAGCGCCTTGCATGCAAGGGACTCCATTCAGACGCTCGTACGATCACATGGTAGCACGCGCAACATGGACACTCTTTCAGCTTAAGCTGCTGGCTCCAATGCAAGGGAGGGTCCAAAGGGTTCAGCCATGTGCATATACAAGCACAAGTGCACAGAGACCCTGGCTGGTAGCTATGCCGTCGATTTGTGCCAATTACCTTATTTTGCTTTTTTCTCTGCTTTGTTGATATCTGACAGTCGATAGTCTCATCCTTGCCACAAGCTCTTTGCTTTCCTCCAGGGAATCGACTCCGCGGATCCGCCCGTCAGAAGCGACAACATTGATGCCAGGGTTTACACACCTTGTCTGCCGCCTCTATGATACAGGTGTACATGTACATATACGTGGATATGAGGTATGCGCATATGGCGCCAATAGTAGCCGATTTGCTAGACTGTGGGCTTACAACCTCATCAAAAACCACCCAGCTCCTCATGCAAGCCACATGTGCCAACCCAGCCTGCTTCATGGGCTCTGATTGCTCTTGTACGCAGTACGCAGTAATATGCAGAGCCACTTGTATCTGCCGCTTCAAGCCCACTCACACCCTCACTCCGTGTTTGTTGCACCGACGCGAGCAAGGCCTTCGGAACCTCGTCTGCAGCTCCCCATCACCAAACCCCCCTCCCCCCTTCCCATGTTGCATCTTGGAGAACCTCAAGCATTGCGGGTCCAGAACGCCATCAACCACCTATTGGGCTGCCACAGCCGCACCGGCTAGCGAGTCGAACAAGTCCCTGATCTGCTCTGCCCAAGCCTGCTCCCCTCGAGTGACAAAACGACGCAGCAAGGCCCAAGAACACTAAAAGCAACCACACCCTGGGCTGCGGCTGAACCCGAGAGGGGGGCACCAAGGCAGCTAGTCGCGCCGCTGGCGCTGGCAGACAAGCTGCGAGGGTGTCTGATAGGCGATGCCAGACCAAGGGCGCGAAGGGCCGGCAGTCTGCCTCACCGACTGCTGGCTAGGCTGAGAGACGTGCCGGTGGCGGAGACGAGATAGTAGTACCTTTATGCTGCTACTATTAGCACACGCTTGTGTGCTTTGCTATTACAGCCCTAGCGAGCTTTGACGATGGGCGATGGGTGATGAGCGGCAGCAATAAGAATGCTGTGCCGTCCTGCTGCCGGCGCTCGACTCTGGTTCTCTCGGCTGTTTTGTATTCATACTCGCTCTTTTCCTTGCTTCAACTGGTATAAGACGGACTGGACTGTCCATTTTGTCTGTAACTCGTACCGTATCAGACGTTGAGAAGCATCCCAAGGAAGTACACACGACAACTGGCTTACACGCAGCAAACTCGCCCATCATGCAGCAGCCTGAAAGGCAGTCCGACCACATCTTGGTCTCGCCCACTTGGGTCTTTGTCGTCCGCATCTTCCAGATTCTCATCTCGCTCGTCATCCTCGCTCTGGCTGCTCGGTTGATGCACGATGCGTACCTCGACGAAGAAGGTCTCGCCCTGGCCATTGTAAGTGATGCCTCTCTGCATGTCAATCGTCCCGACAAAAGGCAACCTAACATCGAGACAGGCCATCATCACTTGGATCGTCACCATGTACGCCATCCTGAGCGAAAAAGTCCCAACGCTGCACCACATCTACCACGTCGTCGCCGTCATCGTCCTCGACGGTGTCATGATGATCCTCTGGCTCGCGACCTTTGCCGCTGTCGCCGCCAAGCGCGCCAAGTTCGTCTACAACGTCTCCGTCGACGCGTGTTTCGACGATGGCAGCCTGTTCAACAGCAAGACGTGCTTCAAGAAGCGCGACGTCATCCTCTTCAAGTCCGGCGGTGACATGCTCGCTGCCATTGCAGGCCTTGGCGCCTTGGTCTGGTAAGTTCAAACTGGTTGGGTTTATGATCTCCGGTTGCTGTGGCTGACCCGATGCATATATAGGCTTCTCTTCATCGCCAGCTTCGCCTGGACTCTGCATGGCTTCCTCATGGGCCGCAGGGACGGCCGCTTCTTGTTCGACACCGAAGCTGCCCCTACCCAGCAGACCTTCGTCATGGAGCCCAAGCAGGATCAGGCTCAGCAGCAGCAGCAAACCCTCATCCCGCCTCAGAACACGGCTCAGCCCAACACCCAGTACCCCCCGCAGGGTCAATACCCGCAGGATCAGTATCCTCCTCAGACCACCAGCCCTTACCCGCCGGCCCAGTCTCCCTACCAGCCGCAGACTGCCTACTCTCCTCCTCCTCCTCAGGACCCGCAGGCATATGGCCAGTACCCTCCTCAGCAGTACCACGAGGCCCCTTCCCACCACACAACCTCGCCTCCTCCCCAGCAGGCTCCCTATCAAGCTCCTTGAAGGATAAATCGGAGTATATTTAATCGAAACTGAGCTGGGAAAGAGGTAGTTAAAGGTGGTTCGAACGGATGTGCGGGGCGCAATGATTTTATGGATATCCCATGGGGTAATGGTTGGCTTTAAGCAATGAACTGGATGAAACCTGGTAGATAATACCTAGTATATTACGAAGCACTGGTGGCTAAAATAAAGAGCCAAGAGACAATACCCTTTTAAAACAAATTCAATGTGAATTGGGGCAGAATCGTGAAGCAAGATCTCCGTGTGTGTGAGGAGAAAGGAAGGAATTCGGAGTCTCCAAGTACATGCTCGCTGTAAGTCAAAGCAGGCAGGCGGTGAATGATTCTGCCGCTTGATCGGCCCAGCTCAAACCCATTTGACGGATTACCACCTCCAAGATCCGCTCAAGCTTCAGAATCGACCGGCCCTTCTATCGTACGAAAACCCACTGCGTCCAGATCCTCTCGCAACAGCACGAACCCGGCCATCTTGTCATCCAGCGCTCTTTCGCACTCATACTGCTGCAACAGAGAATCACGCAGCTCAATGGCCACAATGGCCGCAGAAACACCCGACGTCCCCCAACCGCGGCTCGGCGTCCCGTCGCGGAACCCGCTGCCCTTGTCGGCTTCGCAGGAGTCGCAGGTGCGAGACATTTACTATGCCCGGGTGCGGAAGCATTGCGCCGAGGAGATCAAAGGTAGGCGAATCCCCTCCCCCAACCCTTGATGTGTCTTCGTCTGGCTGGCTGAGGTGTTGGAGCCTCCCCTGTGAAAGTGGCATGATCCCCTCACTTTCTTCCCCTCTCCTCCTCGTGGGAGCTGTCACGGAATTCCTCAGCTAAGGATGAAAATGAATTGGATAGCATTTGCCAACTGCGCTCTCGGCCGAACATTCAGCGTCACATTCGCCTGCCGAGCCGAACACACCGCCATGAACGCCTGCATGAAGCGCCACGCCACACAAGAAGAACAGGACGCCGCGCGGGAGGAGTGGTTCGCGCTGCGGATGGAGCGACAGCGGCAGCGCGAGAGGAAAGCCAAGATGGCGGCGGCCCAGGAGGAGTTTATGCGCGAGTGGTGGGGGCTGCCGGAGGAGGTCAGGCTTTCGAGGGGGAGAGAAATGGCGAAGCGAGGGGAGAAGATACCTCCCATGAGACCGGAAGGCAGCGAGAAGTGAGGGTTTAACCTATGCTCGGAGAGGGGAGGCGGAAGTTCACATGCTTACATGGTTATATGGCGTTTCTTTTTGTTGGCGTAAGGAGGGCACTTTGCTTTGATTACAAAAGACCTTTGATGGGCTTTCATGTTTGAGTATCGGGTTGAGAAGAGGGGGGTCATGTACAGATATAGATACACCCAGAAGACGGGAACTTGTACGATTACGAGAAGTCGGAAAAAGGGAGAATGGGAGGCAAGGCTGCTTCCTGAATAGCGCAGCGGCCGGTTTTATAGACGACTATTAGAAACTCGCTGCTTGACAAGCTCCAGCACCTCCTCCGCAACACCCCACGAAAGCTCAAACCCCCTGCCTCCAAGACCATACGCATGCACAAGCACTCTCCCCTCGCCATCATCCAGGCCCTTGATCTCACCCGCCGGAATGTCCTCCCTCTCCAGCCGAATCCCTCCTCTGCGGGTCGGCCTCCGCCCGACAATGTCGCCCAGCGGCTTCAGGGGCCCGTCGGCTACGATGGGGGGATACGTCGCCGCAAAGGCGGATAGTAGACGGGCGCGCGTCTCGGGACTGGGCTCCGGGTCCCAGTTGTCGGGCTCCTTTGTCCCGCCGATGACGGTGCCGCCGTGGAAGTTTCGGGGGACGCAAAAGGTCCACGATCCGTCTGCGTTTTGGCGGGTGACTGTGGCATCGCAGGGGTTTGCGACGAGACAAGTTTGGCCTGCAGAGAACTATGCGTCAGCTCACAAGATGTCGAGTTTCATTGTCCAACTTGTGCTCTTTGGTGATAGATGTATAATGTCTTCGGGGGGGTACGATAGCTTACCTCGTGTGGGAAAGACGGCTGGGTCGTTGAAGCCCGCGCCGGAGCAGTTCACGACAATCTTGACGCCGGGAACGGCCCTGATGAGGAAGGCCTCGTCCAAGCTGCGCAGTTCCATCGACAAGGCTTTCCCGCCGAGCATGTGAAAGCGGCGCAACAGAAACGAGCAGTAGACCATGGGATTCACGCACCACGTCTTGTACTCACACCCCCAAGCCACCCTATCATCCGGAAAGTCATCCTTCCCCAGCAGCTTGAACCCCTCAAGCCCTAGCTGCAGCGCCTTGTCAACCGTCAAGTCCCGATGCACGGGCGGTGGATTCTCAAAGTACTCGATGCCCTTCATGAACGTGATGCCCGCTTCGGGGAAGCCCGCGGCCGTGGCCTCCATGTGGCGATACGTCACGAGCGAGAAGCCGTGCTCGCGCTGCTCGTTGGGGTTCGTGGGCAGGACCCAGCGGTTGTGCGCGCCGCCCCATTGCGAGGTGTAGTTGATGAGGGCGCGCTTGTCGGCGGCTTCGAAGGGGGTCGGGAAGTCCCTTGCGATGATGGTAACGGCGTGGCCGGCTTGTTGGAGGCGGAGGGCGGCGCTGAGGCCGATTACGCCGGCTCTGGAGAGGTTTAGGGGTGTGTGAGGTTCTCGAAGGAAAGGGTGAGAAGGGACTTACCCGATGACGATGATGTCGGACATGGTGTTGTGAGTTGAGAGATGGGGTATCAGTAGATGCTAATAACAGTCTGGTGTCGAGAGTGCTACAGTTCCAGCGCTGAGCCTTGCAATCCAGCAGATAGATCTCTCTCTACATGTATATATAGACCAAGTCCATAAGAGCCTCACCCATTTCTCTTCGACGTCGTCACACCAAATGAGCCTGTTGTCACACCCAAACCCTCTATCCAAGAATCAAAGTGTGTCGACCAGCGCACCACCACTCCCGACTCTGCCTCTTCGGAGAACCGGCCTCCGACTCTCGGCCGCTTGGAGTGCGGAGTTGAGGGCAAAACCGGGGGAGCTGAATCATCGGCGTGGGTGGGGAAGAATTTCAACGAGGAAAAAAGGGTGTCGTGAAGCTGGGCAGCTGTTCAGAAGCTGAAAAGAAAGGGACAAGACTATTGGATGTTCTTGCATGCTAGTCTTTCACGCACATGCACATGGACTTGGAGGGTCAGGAGGGAGGTTGTGGGTGAGGCTGTGGGTGAGGCTGTTTTTCAACTGGGGGAACAAAGCGCCCGTGTAAGTTGGCGCCTTGGTGGTTGTTAAGTACCCAGGTAGGCCAAGATAACGGCGCAGTTGAGTTTGAGAAACGAAACATGGAAAGAATTGAAGAGGAGAAAAGATGAATTTAGAGAGGTAGAGATAGTCAGGCGAAGAAAATGACTTGAAGGCCATATACTCGTATCCACTGCCTATGGGGGGCACTCGCAGGCTTCATCTTCATCTTTGCATTGCAGTAGCATCAAAAGTCAGATTCTTCGACTGTTCCTATTTCTTAGAGATATCTACTTTACCTATGGAATAAGCATGTACATGTTAGGTATATCAAGGCATTGCCAATGGAAGATGCTGTCAGATGAGACAAGGTGAGCACCTTAACACCTTATCCTGAGGTCCTCCTACACCTCATTAGGTAATTGGGAGCCATCTCTGACTGAACTCATGTGGAAGTCACGACTCACAACTTCTGTTACAGGGCAGCTTCCTAAGGTAGGTACTGTTCTCCTCGTCAAATCACGTGGTGGACGACAACTCTCGTCATTTCTTCCCACGATACCTATCCGTACCTCAGATCAACCTAATCTACCTTAAACAGCTTCACAGCCCGCAATGAACTTGGGCCAATTTGTCATCTCCTCTCGCCCTGATTACTGTCGACTCACTCTGGCGGACGTTTCTGTTTTGTCGAGAGTCAGCATCGGACGCGGAACTCTAGCCTACAGCTTGTCCATATCGGGTCACTACCTAGTTGACGAGCAAAACGAACTGCGTGCTCTCGCTGCCGTTGCTCTTGTGGCATGTTCGCCCCCTTGAGATCGGACATACGAACTGAGCCTGTATCGGACAATGCTGCTGGGCGAGTCCGAGGCGCAGAGACGAAACGAGGAAGCGGCGCTATATACGGTCTTACTTATGCTTACCACCAGCTTACACGCCCCCCCACCAAAGAGCTCTCGCTCGACTTCGTCTCAACAAGACTGAGTTTGTGATTACAGGTACAGGGTCATCATCGAACGTGTCCAGATCTGGCCCGTGCGATACCATCTTGTATCCTGTGACGAAAGAGGTCCAAGTCATCTGGTAACAGCGTACCGACTGCCGGACAACGCCACAGCAAACCATCCATCCTCTTCCTCTTTTACCCCGCCAAACTTGGCCATCAACCTTGATGGCTACACGCACACAAGCTTCATCCTACGTGAGCCGCCACCATCAAAAGAGCGGCGCTAGCAGCAGGAAAGCATTGGACAAGACGAGATAGCACTCGCCTGCGCCTCTGGCGGATTTCGAACCTGGTCCGCTAGCCTCGAATCAAGAGGCCTTGAACCGCATAAGCTGCCTGGAAGCTGCGAATCACGGGCGCCGGTTTTCCCCTTGCGGCCTGCATGCTGCTTGAGGGTGGAACTAGCACTGCTGTGGTTTAAAAGGACAGCAGAGTCCCAGATCAACTGCCCTCGTCGGGCTCGTTCATCTTTGGGCCTTTGCATCCTTTCCGTCCTTGCATCTTTGCGTCCGCGTATAGCCTCAAGAACTGATCAACAATTATCATCGAGCACAGCAAAATGGTCGTCCTCAGAACGCAGTCCGACTTTGGCCATGCGCCGCCTCCACAGACCCCCTATAGCATCATCAGCAACTTGCCTGGATGGGGCATGGTTCAAGGATTCCGCGATGGGGACATGTCCGCCATGGCCAAAGTCGTCCATATCTACCCACGCTTTGGTCCAACGCAGTTCGCTGCCATGGTGAGCTACGCAGCATACGGCGCCAACCACTGGCAAGTTCTCTGACCATGGACATGTATAGCTCGGCCAGGAGGTTGCGAAGCGAGTAGGCCATGAGGGCAAGGCCTGCATGGTGTATCTCAATCCCATCATGTGGCCCTTTACGGCTGGTCATGTTCAGAACAAGGCTCGAGAGGAGGCAGCCATTGATCCGGAAAAGCTCACTTACAAATGCGTTGACGTGGGTGGGCATCGCCTCTATGCTGTTCTGTTCGAACCAGCTCACATCAAGGCGCTTCTGCTGAGCTGGGGCACTCCCGGGCTTGGACTTTCCATCAGGATGGCGGAGCACTTGCTGAAGGATATTGACACCTTGGTCGAGGTCCCATTCGATGATTACAAGAACCCCCCTGAGCCAACCTATACACCTGCTGGCCCGGCTCATCAACTGCTCCGCGAACGTATCAACTACTTTGTTCACCGTGGTGCCATCGATCCAGAGCTGGTCAAGAGCAAACCTAGTGATGTTCTTCTCTTCCCTACTGGCATGGCAGCCATCTTCTATGCTACAAATGTCATCCAAGAATACCGCCCCGGAACCAATGTTGCCCTCGGTGTCGTCTTCCACAATACACACCACCATCTCTACGAAGAGAGTCTTAATGGATTCAAACACTTGGGCATGGTTGACGAGAAAGGCCTTGACGAAATGGAGACTTGGCTTGATGGGGAAGCGAGCCAAGGCAAGAAAGTAAGCTTTGTCATTGTTGAATTCCCCGGGAATCCAACGACGCAAAGCGTGGATCTGTCTCGTCTCAAGAAACTATCCGAGAAGCACGGTTTCGTTCTGATTGTTGACGACACTCTGGCGGGTTTCGCCAATGTCGATGTTTTGGCTTACTCTGATATTCTCCTCACCTCTCTCACCAAGTCCTTCAACGGCAGAGCTGATGCCCTCGGCGGCTCCATTGTCCTCAACCCCCTTTCGCCTCATTACAACGAGCTGTCTTCTCGCTTCGCCAAATCTTTCAACAATGAGTTCTTCGCTGCCGATGCAGAGGTGATACTTCTCAACTCGCATGACTATCTCGAGCGGACGCGCCGTCTGAACCGGAACGCAGAGGCCATGGCAACTTTCCTGCACCAGACAATCGGCCGCGATGATTCTCCCGTGGCCAGAGTCCAGTACCCTAGCCTGCTGCCTGACAAGTCCATCTATGATCGCTACTTGAGGCGTAGCACCACAGATCTCCCCAACCCGGGCTACGGCTGCCTTTTGAATGTTGAGTTTGAGAGCGTGGCAGCCGCTCAGGCGTTCTACGATAGATGCGGCTTCTATTCCAGCCCGCACCTGGGCGGGCACGTCACCATTATGCTGGCGTACAACATGATGATGTTTGGAAAGAAGAAGGAGGAGCGGGAAGAATTCAGGACGTATGGCGCCATTGAGGAAAGCATCAGGCTTTCTGCCGGCTTGGAAGATGCGGAAGATCTGATTGACACGCTCAAGGATGCTCTGGATGCAGCGACTGAGGCTCAGAAGAAGGCAGCCCCGAATGGAACCCAGTGAGGGCTTCTAGAGAATGAGATGTATTTGCGACGATATAATGAGACATATGCCTCAATTCTGTTGATCTTTGACTTGATGATTCATCTCAAGCAGACGAGAACGTCAAGTTCTTTAAGACTGGAGCTTGATGTGTATGCTATCAATTGCATCACTATAGATCGCCTTCTCTGCGACCAGTTATACTGAATGGGAATATCAAAAGCAGCAAGAGTTTATCTCGACATTCCTTGTCTCACACAGCATCGCCAAATCTTCATCTATCTACACAACGTGATAAAGACACGTCATGACCGACCAAGAAAGCACAAAGTCCTCTTTCATCCAACGACTAGAATACTCCGCCGGCATGTCATGAGAAGAATGAATCCCCATCTATTTCCCCTCAGTACTAATCTTCCCCCATACTACCATCGAACCCCCAGGCTCTCTCCCCATCTAAACCACATCAGGCTACTAACCGGAGACGCCCTCCAGCCCCAACTTGTAACTTTCTTTCGACTTCATTTTTTGCTTTTCTCTTTCCCCTCTTGGTAACTGACTTACAACGAGCCATTTGAGAGGTGTCATTGTCTAGCTTTTCTTTGTTTGCTGTTGTTTTGTCTAACTTCCCCTCATGTCGGTGTTGGGGGTTACATGTCATTTCTCGAGGGAGTTGCTTGGATTGGCAAGGTGGCGATGAAAGTTCTCCTTCTCTGGCGATTTCCCTAAAATGGGGGGGTGTTCATAGACGGCTTCTTCTTTCGATGATTGAGTAGGAGATGCAAAGGTATATAAATTCAAGGCCACAAGTCCTCGATTATACCAGTAGACTTTCATTATCATCGACTTGTCTGATCTCGACCTCGATCGAGCAGCTCAAACATCCTACGAAAATAATCTAGCCGTTCCCTGTGACGAAAATGACCTGCACCCAGCACTACACCGCGGCCGAGTTTCCCTCCGAAGCCGGCAAGGAAATCACCACTGTCTATGCCAATGATCCGGCTACAGATGCCGCCTTGTTAGAGTCCATCCTCGACAGGGACGGCGCCGTAATCGTCAAGAATCTGGTCCCCCAGTCTCTCTGCGCGCAGATCAAGACCGATCTCAAGCCCATCTTCGACGCGGACAAGCCGGATCCAGCTGGCTTCTTTCCCAGCACGACGAAGCGCGCTCATGGCATCCTGGCCAAGTCACCTGCGAGTGCCAAGCTCGTGGTGAACCCGCTCTTTCAGTCCGTCGCCGAGCGCATGTTGACCAGCAGGTACACCTACTGGGAGGGCCAAGAGAAGAAGACCGTGTCAGCGAAGCCGCAGATCGCAAGCATTGTGGGCTTCCGCGTCGAACCCGGGGGCAAGCAGCAGCCTCTCCACAGGGACGATTCGGATTACCACACTCGAAACTGCGACATGCCCGTCATGCTGGGCTGCGTTACGGTATGAGTTCCGACAATGGCGTCCTCCGAAGGGCAAAGCAACTCATTGGCTGACAACTGTACATTAATACCAGGCATTGTCCAAGACGACAAAGGAAAACGGCGCGACAGTCATCATTCCAAAAAGCCACTTATGGGGCCCGGATAGGTGCCCTCTCAACGAAGAGACCATTTCGGCGGAGCTCGAGGTCGGAGACGCTGCCATATTCGTCGGCAACGTATATCATGCGGGGGGCGCAAACGTCACGAGGTAATGATGCCCCAGAAACGCTATAGCGGCAATCATGCTCACAACCTCCAACCGCATAGGGACGACGCACGCGAGACACTTGGCGTCTTCATGTGCAAGGGAACACTAAGACAAGAAGAGAATCAGTATTTGGAACTGCCGCCAGAGCTAGCAAAGGATCGGGGCTTCTCACCGCAGCTGCTGCGTTTGCTCGGATATGGGCTCTGCCCACCAGCGCTGGGCTTGTATCGGTATAAGGACCCAATGGAGGAGATCTTCAACGTCTTAGACGAGGAGACAATCCGCAGATAGTGTTGAAGACCGCAATGCCCTAATAGGCATGCTCTTGACACCTTTATACTACGAGGATCCTCAGTCCGTTCGCTTGCAGTTGTTGTGCAACCGGTAGCCAGTTCGGCTCTGGACCATTCCAAAATGCGTTGAAAAAGCGCCGGATGGTTTCGTACTGCTTGAAGCCCGTCGTTCTGATCGTTTTATCGAGAATTTCTGTAACCTTGTGCTGCCTTTCCACATCCCCGTGGCACTCGGTACCTGCAATGAAGATGGGCCACGGGAGGTTCTGAATACAGAGCGACTGGTTTTCGATTTGACCCAGCTGGTCAAACAGCTTGGCGACAGAAGCCAGCCAGTCAAAGTTGTCCGGCGTCGCATAGCCCAGGCATCTGTATGCATAGACGACCGCAGCGTGATGGTATAGGTCCACCAGCCTGATGAAATCTCGACGCACGACCGGAGGGTCCATCTGCAGCTTCCCGGCGATCATCAACGTCTGTCCTCGCGCCTGTTCGAAACGTGACTGGACCTCTGATATGGTGAAGCTCTTGGGCCAAGAAGACACATCAATGGCCTCGTTGACAGCCATGGATCGTCGCGAAGCCAGCGTGATCTGGTGCAGGAAAGTAAGATACTCGGAGAATAGCACGTGATCGCCAGAGTTGGATGTGGGCAGAACGGCCTCTGCAACGTCAACCAAGTCGAAGGATGTTGCCGAGCCGAGGACGTCGTGGATCGCGAGCTGGTTCCTCAGAAACGCAAAGAGGCCCTTGTTGCACGCTTCGTTCTTCCCAAACACGTTGACGATGGTTCTTGCTGCAAGCCGATGACTCTCAGCCGCCTCGGAATTGACCTTGGCCATCTCGTAGTTGGCAATGACGAGGATGCAGGCCAGCACCCATTCCGCGTTCGCAACGTCGTCGCGGGTGTTGAGCTCGGCTCCGCTGTTGAGCCGGTTATTCATTTCTCGCAGCTGTTCCCTCACGACATCCAAGCATGCGTCGCGCGCCTCTTCGTGATATCGGGCCAGCTCTCTCGGAAACTTCATGGGCCCATGGTAGAGAGAAAAGGCGGCAATGGCAAACCGAAGGCCTGGGGCGTTGGCAGCCATGGGCAGCATCCGCCGTCGATAGTCGTTTTCTTCCGAGTCGACCCAGACCATGCGTCCGGCAAGATATTTGTCATAGTACTCGATGATCTCTGGTGAAGACGCCCACTGGGTGTAGTTCAGTAGCAAACCCTGCGCAGCAGGGGTGTCTTCCATGGACTTGATGCTGATTGAAGTCGGCCTGGACACTTGAAGAGCCCTGGAAGTATTCATACCAGGGTCAACGGCAGGGGCAGGAATGGGAGCAGCAGCAGGGACAGGCGTAGTAGTAAGGACGGGAGTAGTAGTAGTAGGGGAAGGAGGGGGAAGAATAGGAGCAGCGGCAGTACTACTACCAGTAGTGCTTGGCTTCGGTGCAGCAACAGGATCCTCGACTGTCGATAGACTCATGTCCATGGGCACTGAGCCGGCGACGGGCAGCCTCTGGCCCTTGAGTTTGCCACGGACCGCCACGCCATCAGCCCAGCGAAGATGCCGCCCGTATCCCGGGCAGACGAGGCCCTTTTTGATGCATTTTGCACAAGCCGGGCGGCCGAGGTCACATCGGATGCGTCGCCGCATACAACTCCGGCAGCCTTTTCGGACAAAGCAGATCGGATCAGATCAGATCAGCCAACACACACCCTCGTCAAGCAAAGAAAGAAGAAGACGGGACTGAAATCGACTCACCCTTTGTTGCTTCAGCCGAGCCCTTGGAGCTCATTGTAGCCAGCAGTCAGTCCGACACGGATCACGGCATTCATCAAATCCCCGGTTCAGAATGTCGTCCGATTTGTGTTGGTTGAAGTGGAAATCGGAGAGTGGGAGAGAATGTCGGAGTCGACAGGAAGAAAAAAAAGTGGACGGCATCGGAGTAATAAATCGGCTTAGTGGTAGGCAGATTTTACGTACAAAGAATGGATGGGCCTCCGGCAGCCGGCTCGCCTCATCGTCAGTGGGTTGCTTTCAGGCGGGTTTAGCCGCGGGCGGTGCTGAAGAGGACTGGAACTAAACTCCATTGAACTCGCTGCGTAGCCGCATCTGGGTGCGTGTGTATAGCCTCATCTTGAGCTGAGAAAGGAGAGTTGGCAGAAGGGACACCGAATTCTGAGCGTCAGGGTCACCACCAGTGTAAATAAGCCACAATGAGTCTATTCCAACCTTGTCATACGCCACGAGCCAGATATAAGAGGTCTGGTACCTGGCATATGAGAGTACCAAAGCCACCCCAAGGATAATATCACGCTCAGCATTGCACCTTGTTCCACTTGTATCTCTCGCACAAGTATATGCCAACTCAATGTCTCCATTCAAACATGCCCAATAGATAATAAATACAAACATTCTGTATATGTGATACAGGTATTACGGCAACAACAACAATAAACGCCTCCCTCCCGCCGTGATTCACACCTCTATCCAAAACAAGCCACCCCTCAAAAGACAAAGAGTAGAAGCGCAAAGAAGAAATCTCAAGAGCGGCAGTGAATTCAATGAATCTCTCAGCTGCACCAAATTCACACACAAATAGACTGTTAAAACATGTGCGCACTCCGAAACACCCACAGCGCATCAGCCATGCCTCTTCGATCCTCTCCTTCCCCCCCCCCAAAAAAACCAAAGCTTCCCATCTCTCACCTTTCCAACCTCTATTCACCACAAATCTTTCCATCCCAACTCATCTCCAACACTTCCAAGTCTCGCTTCCCGGGGGGTGAAGGACATCTTATACTATTATATCGCCTATCTCGAAGATAGTACTAATAGCCCAACCCACTCAACCATGCCAAAGGACTTCATCAGCGTGGTACAGGACCTCGAGGACCTCCTGTGCCACCACATCACCGCCTCCATCGCCGAGGACTTTGTCGACGAACTCGTCGGCATCCTCAAGGCCGTCCTCAACATCGATCGCAACACCCACTGGAGCATCCAGTCCTTCCTATACGATCTCCGAGACGAATACTATCGCCTACGTACGCCTGCCCCCCCTTTCCCCCTTGCTCCCTCCCATCCTCCCATCCTCCTTACAGTTTCATTGCTTCAAAAACCCCCACGAATATTTCAGAGCTTCTAATCAAGGACGAAACGAAAATACAGACCTCACATCCGAACAGCCACAGCGTTCCCGCCCCCCAGACGACATCTGGCCCCGCCTCAACCGCTCCGTCGTCGAGCCCCTGAGCACCATGCCCATGACCCACGACATCGGCCCCGACATGCCCTCCTTCGCCATCCGATACGCAGACCAGGTCTACAACGTCCTCCGCCTCCAGGCAAAGATGCCCTACAAGCCCTTCATCGAGGTCCTCACCGAAAATGGCTTCGTAAAAGGCCCGTCCTCTTCCTCTTCCTCAGCCACTACAAACGCCCGCAAAGCTCAAGACGAGCCAGACGACGCCGTCATGCACGACTGCGCACCCGTCGACGCCGGCAGCGGCAGCACCGTCGGCGAGCACGCGCAAGAGTACGACGCGGGTCTCCTTTCGAGACTCGCCTTTCTGGAAGACCGCGTTGTCATCCTCGAGAGGAGGGAGGAGCTGCTCGAGGGCCAGCTCGACCGTGCTACACAAGCCATGGGGGCTCTGCGTTCTACCAACCTCGACTTGGCCAGGAAGGTGTCCGAGGTGCAGCAGCGAAACCACGACCTGCGCAGGACTTATGCCGTGTAACCCAGGAATGGGACATGGACTGGTCGGTTGATTGGTTGGTAGGCAAGGTACGCAAGCCAAAGCAGAACAGAGCAAGTAATTCGAGATATTGTTCATTCGGGTCTAGTCAATACTGCGCTTGGCGCACAGCCACACATAGGCACCTACTGTAACATAACAATGGGCAAACTCCTCTGACATGGTCAGATGGAAATGAACGAGAAGATCCCCCGTGCAAATAGAGCAACAACTAATAGACAGTTGATGATAGTCAACATTGAAAACAGAATTCGGGACGGCTTCGCAGTTATTATACGTTCATGGTAGACATCTTTTTGAGTTTGTACATCGTCATCATCGTAATCATCATAAGTAGGTAAGAAGAGAAAAGAAAGAAATCAGGGGAAATGAGGGAGAAAGAAATTGAGGAATTCAGCAAACGGCTCCCTCCAAGTATGGCTCATTATTTTGAAGATATGGTTGGCTGTAGAAGCTCAATCTGGGCGTGAAAAAAAAAAAAAGAGAGAGAGAGAGAGAAAATCGTGACCTCGTAAATGGTATGATATGAACACAAACAGGACAAGGAAAAGACACGAAAAACATGGGGTCGGGTCACTAATGGAGCCTCTCCTTGACGTAAACCATGGCGGCATAGCCAGCGCAGCACTTGGTGCTCATCTCGTGGGAGCACCACGGGCACTTCACCGTCATGGATAATGCGCCAGTGAATCCCACATTGCCCCTTGGCCGAATGACGGCCTCCGGGTTGGCCATGGCTTCGTAGATGTTGCTGGGCATGTCGTGGTAGTACTTGCATCCGCAGCACTCCACAAACATCTTGGCAATTGGCTCGCCGCCAACGGGCGAACCCGCTGTGTGCCGTGGCCCCTTTGTTGGTGTCAGGTCCGTGGTGGGCGAAGGCTGGCTGCGAATCGATGCCGGCGGCGTTCCCTTAGGCACGAGGCGAGGCGATCCTAGCACCTGAGGAGGCGGAGCCAGGGGGGCTGCTTTCCGAGCCTCTTCAAGATAGGAGGCGGGCCACGGTGCGACGACGAGCTGAGTCTTGCTACTTGCTCTTTCGTCTCCGGGAAGCAAGGACTCCGCAGAGGGCACATGCTGCTTCGGTATCAATGCGTTTTCCACAGCCTTCAGGGGTTGATGCTTCAGCTTCGGCAGGAAGTCAGCTCGGGGGGCAGAGTCCACGGCTGATTGCGCCCGCTGGTGAGCAGCTTGTGGCCTGTCCGCAGTGGTGGTCTTGGTGGTTGCAACCTTGGGCGGGCTGCTTGAACCCGAGAAGCCCCCAATCTGGAGCAGCAGCGGTTGCTTGACTGGGCTTTGCGAGAGGTTCCTCGCTCGGTGCTGCTCTGTGCCTGCTCGGTTACCCTCAACATCTTGAGACAACGGAGGGACCCCCTTTTCGGATTGAGGCCGGGAGGTGTCGGGCGTACCAGGTGTTGACACCGAGTGGAAGTCATCCGAAGAATCATCGTCAGCCGATGTGTTTGGGACTGAATCGTCTGTGAGGCGGCGAACAGTAAAATCACTATCATCTCGAAGGGAGCTGTGAGATTTGCGAATCGGAGACAGCGAGACCTTCGTGTCAATGACTTGCATGACAGACGATTGGATGTCCTCCCATGTCGGAACCTCGATCGGGTCTGGCTTCTGATTTCTGGTGATGCGACCGGTCTCCCGAGAGGCAGGGCTTTGGAGAGGAGCGCCGCCGCTCTGTATTTCTGTTCCGCCTGACGTGTCATCTGCGGTCCTCTTCGGCTTGCCTGTTATCCGTTCGCCAATGCTAGTGGTAGAGTCTGAGCTGCTGGGTCGATGTGCTGGCGAACGTGAGCGAGACACAGATGATACTGAGCCATCTAAGCTGAGGAGGGAGTTTCGCTTCGAGCTTCGACGGGGTGGCGCGGGCGGCAGAGAACCGGACTCAGGGGTTGAGCTGTTGACATGACTTTTGTCTGCAGGGCTATTGCTCTTGATAGGACCATTACCTTCATGCTGCTGCAGCTGGGCAAGGTTGGCTTGAGACAGCTTCTCTCTAGGTGGCTTCAGTGCGGCAGTGGAACTGCTCGGTTGGTCATCGCCGGTTGAGATGCTGAGCTTAGGCTTGGCGGCCTGATTACTGCCGCCGACAGGTGTGCCCAACGGAGAGGGAGCAGTGGCCGTCAATGGTCGAATATCCAAAGTCGCCCCAATGCTCGCATTGTTGGCCCGTGGTGATGGCACTGCGGGTGACGATCTGCCTGCCTCGGCAGGAGCCGCAGGCTTGTTGGAACCCTCCTGCTGGGGGGCGGTCTTGGTTGGCTCAGCCGGGTCTTTCGGTTTCAGACCAACAAAGGCCCTCCACTTCTCCATTGTGCCAGTGTCCTGAGCCTCCATCTCGGCGCTTGATATCAGAGACCTTGTCTTCGCCGCTGTCGCCGGATGCCGAGTGATGGGAGGATAAGCTCGGCGCTGGGGTTCCGGGCTTGGGCGAGCAGCAGGTGCAGACCACTTCTGATTGTGAGCGTTGTTCGTCCGAAGGGCCGGGTGGATCTTGGACTCGTCCATGTTCTGAGGCTCCTCCGCGGCCTTTTGGTTGGCGGCATATCGTTGTATCTCCAGCTTAATGCCGCCGATGAAGCCCGTTTCAATTGGGCGAGCCGTATCGGAGGAAGCCCGCCGAGACTCGAAGGGTGCCCTAATCAGGGAGGTGAAGGAGCCGGATCGCCTGTGGTGCGGGCGAACGGGCGTGTCGTTGTTGCCGGGAGGCGCAAACTCCAGGGCACTCGACGGCCTCTGCCTGCCTCTGGATGATGATGCTGCCGCCTCGACGGTTATGCGATTCGCCTGCTCAATGGCCTGTGACGACGCAGGAGGAGGTTGCTTGCTCAAGCGCTTCTTCTTAATCAACGCATTCTTAAACGTGGATTCCTCCTTTTCGCGCTTCGACGCCTTTGCCTGCTGCTCTTTCTTTCGTAACTCCTTCTCGGCCTGCTCCTTCTTGAGCTGTTCCTTCTTCTGCTCCTCCTTTCTCTGCTGTTCTCTTTTAAGCTGTTCCTTCTTCAGCTCCTCCTTCTTCTGTTGCTCCTTTTTCAACTGCTCCTTTTTCAGCTGTTCTCTGCGCTCCTGCTCCTTTCTCTCTTCTTCCCTCTTCAATTGTTCCTTCTTGAGCTGCTCTTTCTTCTGCTCCTTTTTGGACTCCTTCTTCTCGCTCTTCTTGCGACGGCCATATGCCTCCCAGCTCGGAGACTGGCAAATGGATCGCCGCTCCTCTTCATCGATGCTGAGCGGAACGTCGAAAGAGACAGCCTTGAGGGCGGGCTTGTCCACCGCTGGCGATTGATGCACCACCACGGCACCCCTCTGGGCGCCATTGTTGGAATCGGGCGCGGTATCCAGTTTGAGCATGGGCGAGCTGATGTTGATGGTCAGCGGCACGATATGGGTGTCTGGCCTTGTCTCCCGAGCTTTAGAGCCGGTGGCGCCCACGGCAGCATCCTTCAGGGGGGGTGGCTCGAGACGGTGAGCTTGAACTGCAGGGCGATTGGCCGATGACAATGGTGGCTTGGAGACAACGGCAGTTAGGGAGCCCGAGTTGGCCGACAATGCATTCGCTTGCGAGGCCGAGGCCTGGAGTCGCTCAAGCTGGATTCGGGCGAAGAAAGGAGGCGCGTTAGCTTTCTCGAGGGCATATAAGTTCGCCGGCTAGCCCAGAGGTGCTTACCATGTAGCGGCGCTCGAGCTCCAGCATGCGCTGCAAGCTGTTTGAGCGAGCGGGTCGAGTCCTGTGGTTGGACATGATTGCGAGGCCTGCGAGTTGGGCGTGATGGCCAGATACCGGCTGCCCGACGGACCAGCGATCGAGCGGACGGGATGCGCTGTAGAAATAGACGGGCAGCAACAGCGAGGAGAGCTGGCAAGGAAGCACAAGGGGGAGAGGCGTCGTCAGTGGCTACGATGTGGCTGGTAAGACGATGAGCCGGCGCACGGCTGCGAACATGCGCCTCTTGCTGAGGTTCGAAGAAGCGCGGCCAGCTCTCATGAGCACACGGTGTAATATCAGGAGCGGAATTGCGACGGCGTGGGACGATTTCGGCCTCGAGCTCGGAGCTCACCCAGCTTTGGTTTGAAACGAGCGACGACGGAAGGCCGGGAGAAGAATGAGGAAGAAGAGAGAGAAAAAAAAAATCACCCAACGAGGGCCAAGTGCACGAGCAGCAGCACGGCAGAAGAGCGAGCGGCTGGGCGTTGGCCGTTGCACGACCTTGTCTGCACGTGGGGGGGCGGGCAAAAGCAGCGACAACTGGAGGTTTCTTGGGTGCCTTGAACAAAGCGAGGCGATGAATGACAATTGCTGGGCACCAAGCACCAAGCACCAAGCACTGGGCAAGGCCATGCAATGACAGTTCGAGTCGACGCGGGTCGGGAGCAAGCGGATGGATGGACGGCGGCGCCAGAGGAACGAGGCCGAGGATTTTAGTGTCCGCAATACGAGCTGGGGAAGCAAGGTTTGGCGCAAGTTGGTGGTGTGCAACCGCCGAGACAGAATGGCGACGAGGTGGTCCAATGAGCCGCGCCGGCGGGCCCCTGGAGCGCACCAGCTGAACAGGAGAAGGGGACGGACCCAGTATCTACTGTACATATTATCGACTCGATTTGAGAGACTGACTGAGGCGAAGAGTCGAAGAAGCCGTACCGGCGGTAGTTAGGTACAGTAATATCTGCCAGGTTACTACGAGTTGTGACTGGTATTACACATCGATACGATACGATGCGGCGGTCTTACGACAATGCTCCTCCGCCGTGCACCAGTGGACGAGAGATGCCCGCAGCTGGTCCCTGGCCCTCGCTCACCGTCGACGGTGCGACCTTGCAGGCTGTGCTAACGGAGTCTGGCGTAGGCAGGACGCTGAACCCACATGCAACGGCGATTGATGTTGATGGATGATTCCAGCTTTCTGGGGAACAGGCGGACAGACGGAGCCGGAAGCATCCAAATGTGAGGTTTTAAGGGCACGCAGCCAGCCGAAGCGACGAGTTGTCGTCGGGCCGCAGGAGACGCGATAATATCCGAGCAGCCATATCACCGGTCGAGTCTGGTTGATTGCCTGATTGATGATTGATGGCTTCGTGATGGAACAGCCATCTCAGATCGATCTCAATGGGGACGTGCATGTACATACATACAGACAGTACCTACGATGCGGTGGAAGATGGAGGCCAACCTGAACCTGGCACCCAGCACGCTCTTTGACCAAGACCTTCTACGAGTAGCGCGCCTGTCGCCGTCATGGCTCAAGCTTGATGCTCTCCTCCAAAAGCTGCTGCTGACCCTCTTCCAGCTCCCCATCCTCATCCGCTCCGAACAAGTCAACAATGGACCCTCAGCCCTCCACTCGACCCGTTGTCTGAATACGAACCCGCTAAGACAACGCCCACAAGCCACCATCAATCACCCCCCCTGCTAGCCTTGCCTTTTGGCGGCTTTTTCCCTTTCTTCCAGCACCAAAAAGAGCATCTCGCTGCTGGGGTCCGATCGCCGACATGGATCGCGCCTTTTTGGCCCGCCGGCCGCTGTCTACTAGGTATATACCTACTAGCTGCCACTAGTAGCTGCGCCAACAAACACGTTACATAGGAGGTGGTCGTTCCACCGTGCTCGCTTTTGCCCTGACCACTGCCACGTTATTCACACCAAAGAGCCGGTGCTTTGGACTGTGAATAAAAATAGGAACAAAATCTGGGGCCACCTTTGACGCCAATTTGCCTCCAGCTCTTGATTCTTTGACTTCATTCCATTGACCCCGTCCTTGAACGAGTCTGATGCAGGGTAGGTCAACCTGATTTTCAAGATGCAGCCAACATGCATATGAACTCGAGCTACCTGATCTCTACTTTCCATTTCCTATAGCTCATGAAACATGGTTATTATGTCTTGATGAAGAGAGGCTTGGGGAGACATGAATTGGGAACGTGTGAGAAAGGGGCGATATCATCTCATACAGTATAAGTCATACGAGGAAAGGCTGACAGCTACTACCATAGTGGCAATGTTCAGCTGCCGCAGATCCGTCTGTTTGCTGCAGATAACTTTACTTTTAGCTTCAATCTTTCGACGTGTGGCTGTCCATCGAAGCTAAGGTAATGTAGCTGATGCAAGAAGCCGTGCGGACAATCGAAGCCACCACCGGCTTTGATGGTGGGATAGAAGCCAGTATCAAGTCCTGCTGATGGTGACACCTTAACATGAACTTGAAGCTCACAGTGAACAACTAGTACCGATATCCGCCACCTCGGTGCTGTTTTCCATTGATGCGAACGGATCTGACCTTCTTTACTGCCTAGCAAGAGAACTAAGAATAGCAAAGGGAAAGCCATTTGGACATTTACTTCTGTCGCCATTTCAATGGTCTGGTTATATATAGTCTTGCTCGCGTGACATCTGGGACTCCGATACGAGCCATATTGCGCTGCATAAGCGTAAGCATAAGATGAAGATCAAGCCATATTCGACGACAGCTTCATCGTCGAGGTGGAGAAACCCAGCCTTCTGGATTCGCATGTCATTTCTGACATCGCTGGTCCATCGCAGATCCCGGGACGGCTGCCCGACGAAAGTTGGACGTCGCCGAGTACCGACAGGCGCTTTTGGGCCGGGGTCGAACATGGGGAAGATGCGAACGCTGAGGCCGAGATGATGTGCACTGAACACCTGCTTCACATGACTAGTAGTTTTGCCTTGGGGTTGTGCTGCTCGACTTGAGCTGCTATCCATGCGTAGCAACCTTGGTAGTCTGTTGACGTTGGCTTGCACGTAGATGAAGTAAATGGGCCATCCTGTGTTCTGCCAAGGAATTCCAAAGGACTGCGCGGAAAGATGTCGAAGCCAGCTTGGATGATCTTATGCATCTCTAAGAGGGTGATCTGAATGCGATCATAGACATAGTACCCTAGGTCGGTCACTGAAAGTGATCAACGACGACAGACTTCTCTTGCACTTCTCCGTACCTTATGCAGGGAGGCTTGACTAGCCCGCCGGAAGGGCCCTTACAGCCAACCACACACTGCCATGTATTGAAACAGTGCACACTTATCACCGCACAGCTTATGTGTGTCTCGGGGATTGCGACTTCACTTTGCTGAAGTTGTGACACAGAGGGGCAACTGAGGGGTTCCTTGCCGTGGTAGAGTCGACGAAGGTAGGGGAATACCTCACCAACTGGGACGTCTGGACAGGCCAGGCAGCACTACGAAAGGTCGTTGCTGACTTTTAGTCGATTGGTTTGTTGAACATCTTGTAGCTCTGTCATAGCTCTCGGGGCCCTCATCGAATTCTTGAACTGTATTATGGCTGATCCTCTACGCATAAGTACTATTGGGACGGTGAAGCCGTTCTTCTGATATGTTCTGAATCGCCCTCGAAGAACCATTGGATGAAATCATCGCGCGTCATTCATATGTAGATATATGCCTCTATCTTGATATCCAAAAAACCGTCCCACTCTTGGCTTGCGGCATACTTGTAAGGCTATGATAAAAAGTTAATAATACAGACGTTAATCATTAGTCGTAATGTACACTCGTCGTAGTCGTACAGGGTCTATCACCATGCTCTTGTCTGCTTCAGCGAACCAGCAGGTCTGAAAGAACGCCGACTTCATCGAACCTGTTTCATGTGCGCCTCGACTGCCTCATGCGTAGGACATATGTGAGTCCAGATCTCCTCCTGCTCCCCAAAGTCGTACAACCCATGAGTCAGCTCGACGGCTTCGCGGCCAGCGCAGATGATAAGCCGCCAAGTCCGGCGAAGCCAAGCTTTGAACCTGACCGAGAGCTCGTTGGGTATCTTGAGGCGCACGGCGACCCATTTGGGATCGGGTGCGTGGTCTGTTCGGAGGACTTCTGTGGGGTCGGACGGTGGCTCTGCGGATTTGAGGAGCTGCTCGTCTGCCCACATGTTGTACTTTGTCTGTTCTGGAGGCAATATGATCTTGAGAAACTCCAATGACGCCGTGACTGTCAGGGAAATTGCGCGTGTCGGGTTGACCATGGACTTCATGAAGATTGACATCCATTGAGGATAGAGAATGGCGAGATCAGTCATGGCCAGGTGAGTTGACCCGACTATGGTGAGCATCCAGCATAATGCGCCGGATTCACGGGCTTCATTGCTAAATTCGACGACTTTATCAAAGTTGTCCTTCCAGTGCATGAACGCTTCAGACGAGATCGAGATAAGGGGCTTGGTGACCCTCTCTTTTCTCGTCTCTCCTGCAGGTGGCGTTGCTTGGCCCCAGGCATCGAGTATGACACCCTGGCCCAGCCATTCTAGCGAATCATCTCGGCAGGTTTGGACCGTGGTTGCACCTCCAAAAGAGTGTCCCATCATGGTGACATTGTTGAGAAACATGCTGTCTTTCCAATCGTCCCAATTGATGCCTCTGAGGCCTATCGAGCTGGATCCCACGTTGCCCTTTTTTCGGAGGTTCATTGCGGCGACGTCGTCTCCATGGCCCGAGTTGATCAGATCGAGAATGTAATAGGCTTCTTTGATCTCTCCCTGCCGTAGTACAATTTGTGCTGACCGTAATGTGTGGTCAACGCCTCTGCTGTTGTGAGGGCGGGTGTCCTGCGCATTGTCTTTGGGAAGGATGTAGTCGACGACATAATATGGGTTCAGTCCATCTTGCCTTCGACGTTGCACCTTTTTATCCTTGCCGTCTTTCTCATCGCCATCGTTATTTGTGTGTATCTCGGCGGTTGATAATTCAATGGCCGCGGCCTCAACGTTGCCCGGAAGACTGACATAGGTCCTCGCGCCGCTGCCATCGCGATGCTCTATCGCCACCACGACGAATCCGAAGCTTGCGAGCTCGCCACAGATGGAGCTGTAGCAGAGCCGTGAGCCGCCAAGTCCGTGGCTGAAGATGATGACGGGGAATTTCGGCCGGCTCGTAGGATCTTGCTCCTCTTCTCTCGCCTTTTGCCCGGTTGGACCGGAGTCTTTGCACATTTCCTCCGGCCAGTGGGCAGCCAATTTGGCGTTTCTGAAGGCAGGCAGCTTTGTGAAGAGGGAGGTGCAGGCAAGATATGCGGTGACGGGAAGTGCTGGAATGTTGAGGTATTTGGCGTAGCCTTTAGCAGTTGCTACTCGTGGCCGCGGCATCCAGTCGACGCGATGTGCACCGGGGGAGGCCTGCAGGTCACAGGGATAGTATATTCCCATCAGGATGGTGTCTAGTCGAAGCACCGGCTTTCCGCATCTTCGAAGGTTGGAGACTGGCCGGGGCTCGCGAACTGGCACTTCTATATCCATGTATCCGACATTGTAGGGTCCATTGTAGTGCGGCAGGCGATGCAGGAAGAGCTCTCGAAATGTCTTTCGTGGTTTGACGGCTGCCCTGCGGAGAGGCTTTGTGTTTGCTTCTGAAGATGGGGATGGAGAGGGAGATGTCGCCATTGTGTGGGATGTATGAGCATGATGGCACCTGAGGTGGTGTCTGGCGACGGTCAATAATAATGCTAGAATGCTAGTATATAAGTAAACAAAGCTCCCAGGACCAGTACAGAGTTTGAATGCCGTCCAAGTGACTTTTTGTTTCAATTACTTGAGTTGTGACGTCAAGACCACCCCAAGATTGAAGCAGGCTTCCTTGCGGGTCTAGGTAGATGTGTTGCACATCGTCACTGCAATCACATGCGTAAGACGAGCGGACGTGGGTGCTGGCAACGGATATGGCAAGATACTGGAACAATCGCCCGATTATAGTACAATTTACTGGGCTTAATCTACTATTCGGCATTTTACTATGTACTTTGGCAAACTGGAGCTTTTCCATACCTACGCAGCTTAAAATCAGGAGATGTTCTTCGAAAAGTCTCTTTTTACTTTGTCAGGTTCTTTGTCAGTCACGAACCTTAAGGTACATACAGTCTCTTGGCGAACCTTCTCAAGGGCCCGTGCATCCCAAGATATGAGCACCTACCATTGCAACTACATCGTCACCAGAATCGCACCTCGGCGTTCACATAAGGCAAGTATAGAAATGCAACATCTCAAGGGTTCAAGAGTGAATGACATTCTTGAAACTTCCACTTTACACGAACGGAAACTATGACGACATATCATCGAGAGCCAGATCGAATCGAACGTGGTACCGTTGAGCCGGAAGTGGAACCCAGCAATAAGCCAATCAGATGTCTCAAATGGATATGCCGGGAAATATGGGCTCCGCTGACTCACTCGCCGCAAACCAGCAGAGGCAAACTCGGAGCCTAGGATTATCCGGCAGGGCAGTCCCCGCTCACGTGACGGATTCCTCTTGCCCACAATCATTTGGCGAAATCCCCCAAAAATCTCACCGCGCCACTGCAGATTCAGCGTCCACACATCATCGCCAAATCAATCTATCACCATGGGTAAAGTTCACGGATCTCTTGCCCGTGCCGGTACGTCCAAGCCATCATCAAATGTTTCGCTCTCATCTGCGGATATACTGACTTTTATGTTTGACAGGCAAGGTCAAGTCTCAGACCCCCAAAGTACGCCGAACCGAACTCGCTTTCCTCCCCCCTCCGCTGCCGATTCCAGAATATTGACCATTTTCAACTTTACAGGTCGAGCCCCAGGAGAAGCCCAAGACCCCCAAGGGTCGTGCTCTCAAGCGTCACAAGTACATCCGACGATTCGTTAACGTCACCCTGACCGGTGGCAAGCGGAAGGTGAGAACATTCGGAACAGGCTGCGCGCTCTGGGCTCCGGTTGCTGACGACGGCGATAGATGAACCCCAACCCCGGCTCATAAGCGATCTCGATGACGGCTAGGGAGAGGAGGATTTAAGGGTTGACAACGGGGCCGTTCTCCGATGGTTGCTTAATTTCAGCAGTAGGGAAATGGAATGAGTCGGGTCGATTGGCAGGCTGAGCATCATCCACAATTTGAGAGATGCGAAGAAGCGCGACGACTCTGCTCGGCGTCTGGTGTCGTTTGTCAATATAACGAAGATTCGTCCGCGAGTTCAAGTTCCGTTGAATGGTGTCTGTGATATTTCGATGGGATCAAAGTCACGATTGTTTCGGAGTCAAAGGAATCAACTTTGCGTCTACTCTGGGTCTGTTTGTGGGCTGCTTCTCGGCTTCGTCGGTCTCATCAAGTCGACGGCGCTGCTCCTGTCCATTTTCCCATCCGAGTGCCTACCATTTCAATCCAGCACGAGGGAGGGTATTCCTCTGCCCATACATACCAACCACATTGAATACATCGAACATGTCTCTGAGAGCCACTCTGTAAAGAACAAAAGTAGTTCAAACCATGATAGTTGAATACTAGTCTAACAGGTCGATAAAATGCACGACAGTTCAACGACCATGCTGCCGGCGCGCTGATCTTGGAAGAAACCTTTCGTAGAAATCTCATAGTCACGTGACCAGCATGGACAACAACCAAGTCGTAACTTCTCTGCCCCGCGATACGGTGCAGTGCTACAAAGCTTCAGCCTCAGCATCGTTCCAGCAGATTCGAACCCTCGCAAACACCACCCATTGCCCAAGATGGCCGACGTAGATATGGAAGTCGACGACGTCGCGCCGTCATCGACGCGAAACGAGTCCGAGATGCTCACACATACCAAGGCGACAGCCGTCCGGTCAATCGAGGGGTGGATCATCATCGTCACGAACGTCCACGAGGAAGCCGATGAGGAAGCCTTGCAGGACAAGTTCGGCGACTACGGAGAGATCAAGAACCTTCACCTGAACCTCGATAGACGCAGCGGTTACGTCAAGGTATGAAGCTGTGCCGGAAATACTTGAGCATGCAAACACAGCGCTTATTTCTTCCTGTCTAGGGATACGCCTTGATCGAGTACGCGACATTAGAAGAGGCGCGCGCCGCGATCGATGGAGCACACAACACAAAACTGCTAGATCAGACGATTCAAGTCGACTTCGCCTTTGTCAGACCTCCCCCGGGCAAGGGCAGGCAAGGAGGAGGCCGAGCTGGCGGTCGGAGGGGACGCAGCCGAAGCAGAAGTCCCGATGCCAAGGGCGACGAGGCATGAAGCGTCTCAGAAGCATCACGGGTATAGCAAGTGTGTGCGGCCGATGTGATGGCCCGCGGCCATGGCACGTCGGCATGTGTAATTTAAAACAGCGAGGTAGGATTCTCTCAGAAGGCGAAAATATCGGCTTGTCTGTGGCTGACTGGTGTTCTTAGGATCCCGGAATCAAGCGAGAGAGGAGTTGGATCTCATTGTCATCATCAATAAACAACGAGAACTTTTCAGTGTCCGCTAGACAAGGCTGATAAGGGCCTTGCCGGGTTGTGACTATAGCCTGTTCGGAGATTATGAAAACGCACAATCATATGGAGCGCCGCTGGCGTTCGCGATTGGAGTTGGAACAGCAGCTGTATGGTATGGCTCTCGAATAGTCGACATCAAGAGCCCATTTTCCTAGCATTGGATGGCTTTCTGAAGGGATAGAGTTTGCTACAATTGGCATTGGGTTTACTCGATGGCAATTCTGGATGCCTCAAAAAGTGGCATCAACTGGCCAGTACATATTTTCATCTTGAGCTTCATACGGTAGCAATGGATACCTTGTCGCGATGTGGCAATTTACTACCTGAATCTCCAAGGCGGGAAAATGTGACCTTGTACTGATCCGAAGCTGCTTGAACTGAGCCGGGAATCTGATGCTCTCCTGTATTTCCAGCTTAGGTACCTATCTATCTTGAATTGGTGGTCAAAGTTGTGTCGCGTACCTTGGGTACATTTGCAGTGAAAATCCCCCACTTGGAACCAGAAGCTCGGTGCGATTTCCCCACTACATCGCTCACCACCGACATCAGGCTACTGCAGAGGTACAAGTACCCAACTAAGGTACCCTTGAGCAGCACAAGCTGTACCTAGGAGGTAGCGTCGGGTCTTCTCTGACTTCATGTTCAGGCATGATCACGACAAGCCAGAGCAATCCATGCTTCACCACGGCGCATCCACACCCTGCGCGCCGCATCGCCACACGCAACTGAAGCCTTGAATAGCTCAGCACCCCCGCGATGCGCCATTGAGCCGAAAGGGCATGTCACGCTAGGCGCATTTCGACTCGAGGACCATGCGCAAGCTTCTCGGCAAGGCTGCGCCAGATGCCAGCAGCGGCGACCTGGCCAGCAACCAGGGAGCCATCCCGACCGTCTTCCGGCCCTCCAAATCGCAGAATGCCGTATATCCTGTCGGCAGCCCGATTTCCTGCCTCGACGTGACGCCCGACCATCGAGCCGCGGTGCTGGGCGGCCCTCACATCCTCAAGACGGTCGTGTCGGACACGGCTGGCGACTCGAGCTTCAGCTTCAAGTTTACCGACGGCGTCGACGTCAGGGCGGCCATTACGGCGCAGAAGCCGTCCGGCACGGGAGGCAGCCTTGTTGCCGACCAGCTCAACATCCGTGATGTCAAGTGGCAAGGCGCGTCGACCATCTTCACGGCCTGTGCGGCCGGGCGCATCTTCGCCTACGACGTTGCCAGGCTGGGGTCTGGCGGCGCATCGGAGCCCCTCGAGTACATACAGATGCAGGAGGACTCCCGACAGGTCAACAGTCTGGATGTCAATCCTCACCTCAAGAGCTGGGTGCTGTCTGGCAGCCAGGATGGAGTCGTCCGGGTCTTTGACGTCTCTGCGCCACTGCAGACCAGGGCCGGCTTCCTGACCTTTAGGCAGCGGTTCTCGCAGCTGAAGACCAACGACTCAGTCAGGCAGGTCAAGTGGTCGCCGAGGGTCGGACACGAGATGGCCTGCTGCACGGATTCGGGCGTGATTATGAAATGGGACGTCAGGCAGGCGGCTCGGCCTTTGCTACGGATCAATGCACACGAAAAGTCGTGCTCTGCCATTGCCTGGCATGCGGATGGCGTCCACCTGATGAGCGCTGGCTGGGATGCCAAGCTGCACGTATGGGACTTTGGGGCGACGGCAGACAAGCGGCAGAAGCCCAAATGGAGCATCACCACGCCGGCCCCCGTGACCACGATTGCCTGGCGCCCGGGCCTGTGGTCCGCAACTGCCCAGACCCGTCGTCTTGCCCAGGTCGCAGTGAATTACGACGAGACGAGCAATCGAAGATACGGCAGCTCCGTCGTCCATATCTGGGACTTGGCAAGGCCGGCGATGCCGTACAAGGAGATTGAGCGCTTCGACAGCTCGCCATCGGCGCTCTACTGGCTAGACCAAGACATGCTCTGGACCGTGGGGCGGGACGGCATGTTCAACCAGTGTGACGTTGCCTATGCGCCGAAAGTCATTGACCGGATGTCCACCTCTGCCATGGCCTTTTCATCCCGGGGAGACGTTGTCATGTTCCTCGATGAGAGGCCGCAACCTCCTCGACCACACGCATCTGTCAGCCACGAGACCGAGGTGATTCCCCGGACTCCCTTCAGCACAAGCCCCAATACCCCGATGCTCAGCGTCAGCCGAAGCGATTCAGAAGAAGACGTTCTGGGCAGCTTCCTCGGACCGCGAAGGCGAACGGTCCGCAAAAGGAGGTTCAGCACCAGATCAGGCTTGCCGATGAGCACCACTCCGCCGTCCTTGCCCAACCTGTCGGATGATGGGAAGCAGGTTCTCGGTCTTGAGCAGTCGATCAACGTCACCGGCATCTTCAAGACGCAGCAGGGCATGGCGTCCGGCCATGTGCCATCCGCGAAGTCGGTCAGCGTGTACAAGTATCTTTCAAGCATATACCTAGAAACCCTTAAACGTGAGTTACCTCAACATGAAGACGACAAAAGGACTCTCGTCCAGCGTGTGGCGGACATCATGGAACAATATGCCGTGGCGGCTGAGAATGCCCGATTGTACCGGCTATCACAAACATGGCGCATCCTCGCTTATGCGATGTCACTGCTGCTGGAGAGGCGTGCCGAGTATCACCTGCAGCTCAGAACAGCTCGGTTCCGCAAGAGGAGTCTCGACGAGGGGAAGGTGACCATCAAGAAGACGCCCAGCCATATCCACGTCAACCGTCTCGCCAATGGTGAAGACACACCACGCCGAGCCTCCGGCCAAGCTGGCAGTGTTGACGGCCGCTTCAACATGGCGAGGTCGCTGCTGTCAGAAGAGATCGAAAGCACTTCCAACGTGCCAACTCCCCTTGCCAGGCCCGTAGGCGAGGGCGATACTGTAGAGTGGGACGAGCGACACTATCTCCACGGAAAGAAACTGACACCCATTATCGAACCTGAAAGCCTCAACCTGGGGCCGTCCGCTCACGGATCCTACCGTCCAAGCCCACGCCAGCGTCATGACTCTGCCCCCATCTCGGAGGTAAGCCAGGACAGCGAAACGTCCAAGGTTTCTGTCACGGAGGGATATGACTTCTACGACATGGAGGCCTTGTCACGGGCTATTGATGTGCCAATGTCCAAGAACTCATACAATGATGCGCAGCCGCCTCATCGAGTAAAGGCAACCAGGCACGATTCCACCGATAGCTTTGCTCAAGTGTTTTCTTCCGATAGTGATATCACTTCGCCAAGGAGGAGCTCGTCCAACGCCCCGAGCTCTTTGAGACCAGAGTCACTGCGAATCTCGGCAATCGGCAACAAGATTGGTGCCGAGTTTGCGAGTCTAGCTCACGAGGATGGCGAGCCGCAGTCGCCGACACAAACGAAGAAGGATTCAACTGGATCCGAGCCGCAGGCCCGGGCAGAGTCTCCGGAAGAAGTCTTTATGATCTCTCAAACGACCGCAGCCACGGACGAGACGTACCCATCTCAGGTATCTTTTGCCTCGCAGACGGATTCCGATGTCCATCAGGGATTCGCCGGCCACCACTCGACTCCGTCCAATGACCTGCTGCTGGCTCGGCTGCCAAGCCCAGCTCCCGTGGCGACGGCTCCCGAATACGACGCCAGCCCCCATATCGTCTTGACCGACTACTTTCCCTGGACAGGCGACGGCCCTTACCCCTTCCCTACCGAGGTATCAGACTCGAAATCCTTCAAAACCCCCAGTATACCCGCATGCCCGCTTAATCCATACTCTCTCTTGACGCGTGCGCTGGAATTCGAATCGCGGACTTCGGCACTCAATGCCGCGGCGATGGTGCTCCTGCTCAAGCCGCTGGTCCCTGAATATGTCATCGACACCTACCAAGCAACTGCTGTTCTGCGACAGCACCACTCACGTCTCATGGGGATGAGCCTCTTCGTCGAGGCCGCCCTCCTACGCAACCTAGCCGTTAAAGGCTGGCCCGCTGGGCTGCCCAACTGGGGCGAAAACTACACCTCTCTGTTCACACCAGCTCAGCAGGGCGTTAAAGCAGGCTTCATGTGCTCCAACTGCCGTAAACCTCGGGAAATAGACCGTAGCCGCGGCGACACTGCCCTCTGGACTTGCGAAAGGTGTCGCCAGGCCGTGAGTCCCTGTGCAGTTTGCGGACATCGAGACGCTGCCATTGCCAGCTCGCTGCCTACCGAGGTTGTCGACATCCCGAGCATAGACACGTGGATGACGGGATGGTGGTACTGCCCCAGCTGCTGCCACGGCGGCCACGCCTCGTGCATGCAGACCTGGCACGCCGCGCTCAGTCCCTCCGAGGCGACGTCGTCGTCGACCGTCTACAGCGACGGCTGCTGTCCCGTCGACGGCTGCGGCCACGCCTGCCTCCCGGGGAAGTACAGGGGCGAGACGGCAGCCGCCAGGGCGGAGGAGCTCGGCCGGGCCGCCGCCGTGGACAGCGGGCGGATTCGGGACGAGCTCTCGCGGACGAGCACCAGCAGGAGGTCCAGCCCGGGGCGCGGTGGCGGGCCGAGCAGCAGCGGCGGCGGCATGGGGGTCGATCGCAGCATCAAGAGCGATGCGAACGACGTGCCGCAGAGCAAAGCCGTTGGCGTGGCGAGGGAGGCGCTGAACAAGAGCGGCGGCGGGGGGATCCTCAGCTCGAGCCCTGGACGGGCGACGATGACGGGGGAGAGGGAGAGGAGGAAGAGCGTCAAGTTTGCGAGGACGTAAAGGGGGTGGGGGACTCGGAGTCCAGGGCCATGTTTACGCACGGATGGTGTTTTTTGTCACGGAGTATCTTTCATTATGTCGTTGGTCGTTTTCCTTTTGCCTGTCCGTTTTAAGCAAGGTGTTTTGGGGGTGTGATACTGGGATGATGATGATTGGGGTTTCCTGTTACAGTGTGGAAAGGCTGTGTCTGTCTGTGTGTGTTAAGAACGAGAGTTCAGGGGCTGGTGGCCTGTCTGTTACACGAGTGTACCGCAAAGCCGAGAACCGACCGTTCCATTGGATTTTCAACTACGATATACGAATGGGACCTGCCGATCCCATGAAAATGAGTCGATGGAAGCATTGGGCTGGAAAATATCAACTTTTCACTGATGACACTTGGATGAGTACACCTCCTCCTCACGAAGCTATCGACTGTGCCCCCCCTCCACTACCCACCCCTAACCAAGATCAACACCCTCATTCCTTCATCAGATCTCCTTTCCAACTCATAGTCTACACTCTCCTCTGCAGACTCTCTACACCAAGCTCATGAAGCGATTGGGCTCGCCACACCAAGCACATACGACCATAGGTAGTGGAGAATTCGGGGTCTCGTCTGCTCCCCCAGAGACAAGCCACTAACCGGCAGATTAGTAGCCAGGTGGGTGACCACTGGCGAACACCGGCTGTTGTATGTTTTGTTCCTTTTTTGCTCTTTCTAATTTATTAACTGCCGAATGGTATCTCTCATCTTGCCAAGTGCCACTTCGCCTCGTAGCATTGTGAGGTGGTGACAAGGGAAAAAAAAAAAAAAAAAACCACCGCTGTCACCTCCGAGGATTCATCTCCCAACGCCGCCTGTCCCCCCTCCCCCTTTCGTGTCCATCAGATAATGATAGACTGTATGCCCGAGATGAAGAAACTCGACTCCTTTATTACCATCTTCACCCAGCAATATTCTCCCTGAGGCCCTTTGTCCTCAGCGTAAACTTTGCATCGCCAACACCAAACGGCAAGCCCAAGTCTCCGTCCGGACTCCAAGCCCCATCAGCCGCCGCCGCCACCACCCCCCCTGAGCCATGACTGACATCCCCATTGCCGTTGCCGTTGAGGCTGCCATGCGCAGTGCTGTTATTCTGGGCAAGGGCATTCCTCAGCACATCAGCGTGTTGGCCGGCCAGCTCACTATCCGCGCTCCCACGCCTGCTGACCGCAGCGCTGCTGCTCTCGCCATCCACCAGCGACGGCACGCCCGAGGTCCTTCCTTTCAGCCTGCTGGCCCACAGGCCCCTGACGCCGCCCCTTTTCCGCGCCGGAACCTCTTCCGTGCCGGCGCTGCAGACGTAGAGGAGATACTTGAGGTTCGGGAGCGTATGTCGAATGTCGACGACCTTGAGGCCCTGGGAGGCGCAGAGGGATTCAATGTCCTTGTTGAGGAGGAACCAGGCGTATTCGAAGCGCCACTGTAGGGCGGTGGATCCCCCCCTGGGCAGATACAGGGGAAACTCTCGGCGCGAACCGCCCTTGTCCGAGAGCAGCGAGATTTCGTCTTTTGCATAGGAGCGAGAGCCAAAGTGATATAGGGGATAAGGCAGCGCATGTGACAGATAGAACTGCAGGTGGCGCGTGAGTAGCGCGACGAGCCCCAGCCCGGCTGAGAGGACGTCTTCGTTGATGGTCTTGGCGGTGGCGGCGTCGTACGTCGAGTTTGGAAGCGGCACGTTGCAGATCTGGAAGGAAAGCGGCGGCGCATTGGGTATGGGCGTGATGGGGAAGATGTCGGCCAGCTCGGAGCAGATGCGGCGCCGCTGACCGCGGATCTGCTGCTGCGTCTGCTCCAGCAGCTGCTTGGAGGCTGCGAGCGTTTCGCGGTTGTTCCTGATGTCTTCGTCCACCTTGTCCTGGAGCTCTCTGCCCCTGGCAATGGCAGCACTGCGCTCGCGCAGCGACTCCTGCAGTTGGTCCCTCCTCGCCTGTGCAAGCCGGTTTGTGCGCTGCTGCATGGCAACGTACTTCTGGGCTAAAGCAGCCTCCTGCTCGGCCAGGTCCGGCGCATCGGTTGTACGGCTGGCAAGAATGTCGTTGATCTGCTCCGTGATCCGGTGCTGCGTCTGGATGGCGTCCTCAATGGAGCTCTCGAGGTTGGCCAGCTTCATGAGCGCATTGTAGGAGGACGTCGCAACGGGAGCGGCGTTTCGCGGCGCGGACTCTCGTGTCGGAAAGTCGAAAGAGTAGACGCCATCCTCGAGGTGGAAGATGAGCGCATTCGGGGGGTATCGGCGGTCCAGCAGCGTGCCGATGAACCTGAGCTCCCTGAGATCAACCAGCTCCTCCAGCAGAAAGGTCCATGTGGCCTGCTTCAGCTGCCTGGCCCACACTCGAATGACGATGCGGCACGCTCGAGAGACGGAGCTCCCCCGGGCCGCGAGGTCGAAGAATTGGAAGTTGAAGTTCTAAAGGGACACGCATGAGAGAGAAAAAGCAAGTCAGCGTCGGAGACTTTGCGAGCTGTCAAGGAAGATTCGAAGAAGAAGAAGAAGAAGCAGAAAATCCAGGTTTGGCTCATACCGCCGATCTCTCGCGCACTTCGCTGACGTAGACGGGCTCGTCGATGCCGGCGACGTGGAGGGAGAAGAAGACGTCTCCCAGGGTCTCGTCCAGGAGCTGCTTGAGGCGCCGCTGCCGCTGCGCCGGGCTGGTGCTGAGGGTGCTGAGGCTGGTCCTGCGCGGCATCTGCGATCTGGCGCTGTCGGCGGCGTCCTGGCGCAGGTTGTCCGAGGATCGCGAGCCGTGGAGCTGCCCGGACTGCCTCAGCGCGCCCAGCTTGCCGGGGCTGCTGCGGGCGAGGCTGAGGGCGGCATCGTCGGCCGTCCGCAGCTGCATGGGCGCGAACGAGAGGTTGCGCAGCGAGAGGCCCTTGAGGTGACGCAGCTTGCGGTTCTGCGGCAACAGACGCGGCCGCCGAGGCTCGGAAAGCGAGGACATTGGGGTTCTGAGAGGCTGCGAGGCTGCGGCTCCTGGAGCATTGTCGTCAAACAATCATTGAGCAAGCTGGAGGCGGCTCTCGCGAACCTGGAGGATTCCGGCGTTGTGTTTTGCGCACAGTGGATGAAAGTTGAAACCTATTGGCGCATGTTCAAGCTTGATTTGCTGTCAGAGCTTGGAGTTCGTCATTGGGTTACGCTTATGAGGTCAGGTCCAAGGTGCTACGAAAGCAGGTGGGTGAAGCTCCGGGACTCGGCCATAAGCATAAAGTGACAATACAAGCCGTACGGTTATTTGCATAATGGACGACGAAGCTCATCGTGATGAAGCAAATACTAGAGAGAAATATCGGCGAGGTGGAGAAGAGAAATAAGAGCAAGAAAAAATTGTAGGTCAAGGTGCTCAAGATCATTTAATAAACAATGAGCCTTGCTAGCAAATGGCCCTGCATCGTGCCATGCGAGGGAGTGGCGTCGAATCGACAGCGTGCATGCTGATGCATACAGACATAACGACTAATAATACAGCCTCACTCGTTGGTGGCAGTTCTCACACCAGTCTCATACACACACACTTCACCCAACAGCAACAACAATCCTCAAAAAAGGCCACACAACAAGCACACCAAAGCCGAGACATGGCGTTATAGAGACATCTTGACATTCATTTACCGTCATTAACTACCTTGCTTTACCCGTACCATGTCCAAAACCAGAATAAAGAAGCCGCCCTTTTCATCCATGCCAAATCCCCATGAATTATCCCACCTACCCTGGAGGAACAATTGCAATTGTTGACCGTTCTGCGTGGGCGCTGTCTACGCTTCAAGCTCAGCTACCTGGCGCGCATCAGGGAAATACAGCCACCTGAAATGGACCTATAAGTTTCACAAAGAAACAGTATCGTCAATATCATGGCCGTCGTGATCGCAATTCACAGTTCAAGATGAAGGACAAGATACTCAGGTAGGTAGGTAGCTATCAGGATCGAGGAATCATACGTACTTCTCCCTTGCTCGGAAGCAGGTCGTGGATGTTGCGCGTCTGCTTGACCAGGTTCTCTATAGGCAGGAACAGTCTCTCGGCCGAGGCCCCTGATGCCGCTGCGTCGTAAATCTTCATCACGTCCTCCCACGACTTCCAGAACCAACCCTCACACTTGTGCGGCTCCATGAGCTGTATGATAGAGACAAGACAAGGGTATGTTAGTCAAGGCTTGTCCCAGATGAACGGTCTCCCGCCGCCGCCCAGCCAACAGCCGGAAGAGCAAGAGAGGGAAAAGAGAAAAAAAAAGGAGTCAAATCCCGTGTCCTTTACACAAAAACCCCCCTCCTTGGATCCAGAGAAAGACTCACCACTGGCACAGCGTTTGGATCCTTGAGGGCGCACAGGGAGAAGAGCGTAATGTAGTGCTTCTTCTCCTCGACAAAGACATCGTTGGTGATGGCAAAGATGCCCTTGAACTCGACATCGAGATCCGTCTCCTCCTTCATCTCTCGCACGGCGCACTCGGCTATGCCCTCGCCATGGTCAATGTGGCCTCCAGGGAACTGCCAGGTGTCTGTCAAACCAGAGATTTCCCCCCCCTTTCGTTAGCCCTCGATCCAATCCATCAAACGGCTAGCAAATACGCGCCCTCCTCCCCCCCCCCCGTTCCAATGCCAAAGCAAAAATCTGAGTCACTCTCCCAGAATTCCATCCCAGGCCCATGAAACACAAAGGAGGAATACTCAGCAAAAGGGAAACAACAACAAAAGGAACAACTCACTCGCGCCATGGCTGCCAATCCGCTTTCCAACGAGGACTTCGCCCTTGTCGTTCATGAGGACGGTGGAGACTCCGACCCTGACGGGGGGCATTTCCTCCTCCTCCTTCTTCGCCGTCGGCATTGCAGCTGCGGATTCGATGCACATTTTCTGTTGTTGAGAAATCCGGCGAGGCAACAGTTTCAGTTATTGAAATTCTTTCGGTTAATGAATCTCGATACGGCACTTTCCTGATATCCTCTCTCCAGAAACAAAAACCTGGCCTCCAGATGAAGGGCTTTTATAAAGTTGAGTGAATCTCATATAAGCTTATGTAAGGCAAGGCAGTCCCCATGGCTTATTTGCCCTCCAGAGGCAACAGCATCAATCAAAATCATTCATCATCCTGTCCGACATGACACAAAACCCCGTACCAACACCAGACCTCACGGGCTATGCTAGGAAAAACCCATAGTATCAATGCGTGTACCTCTCCAGAACAGCAAACAAAAGGGCAGCAAAAGGACGAACAAAGGAGATTAAAGATACAAAATTCCTGAGCAAACGAACTGCCTGCCTAAATCATTAAAGGTGGATTAGCGCCCTTGATCCCTCTTTAGGTAGTAGCCCAAAGTACATAAAAAAAAAAAAGAGACAAACTCTCCGCGAAATTCAAATGCCCAGCCTCCCGCAATCATTCCACATCAGAAGGGCGAAAAAAAGAAACAAATGGGAGGGCTGTGCTTTTCTGTGTTCGTGCAACCCCTCTGATTTGCTTCCGCTCAACCCTTTTCATACTTGGGAGTGATTTGCACAGCCCGATTAGGAAGAAACAGAAGGTTCCCTGCAGACGTAGCGCTTCTTTCCTACGGCGACTTCCTGATTGGTGTTATTTGCGTTGCTTTGAGGAGGAATATCAAGGTTGACCAGAGTCTCGTGATGGCGTATTCTGACCGCTTTCCAACCTTATGATGAAAGAATATCGAAATAGAGCGACAGCAAACAGGAGGCCTACTGGTACTCCCAACAAGGCTTCTCACCTTAGGTAGGTTGGTGATCACCTGGACCCCTAAACAACGAAAGCATCAATGCAAACACACAATCACTCGCGACCTCGTTTGCTGCAACCAACTTCCTCCCACCAGACCGAGGGCAGGTAAAAGGGCTCAGCAGACAGTTCCGCCTCCCTTACCTTCATCACTACCTACCTAGGTAATACAAAGTACTAGTAGGCCAATACCACAATCATCCCGAGGAGGGAATAAGCTGTCTCGGCCAATAGCATGTGAGACAACAAAAACGGCCCTGCCAAAGGATGGAATTCCTGCTGTCTCAGAGCTCCTCGACGAGAAGCAAAGGGCTTCTGGCATTCTCGCTCTCTCACCGTCTTTCCATGTGTTTATGGGTATGGGGTAGTATTGAAATGTTACAGAAGGGAAACTCTGCGCGGAGCACATCTTCCTTGTCTGAGCATCTGGAAATGGCTTCAACACACTTTGCGAAGCCGTCTTTGCCACTTGTTACGCTGATTTACCATCGCTGCGTCTGAGATAGATCACGAGGCATGTAGAAACCGGCTTCAGTGACTTGATCACACTACCTTACCTTTGAGCATAGACTGAACAGCTCATACAAGTGAAAGCATCTACTGTTGCATTGATCAAAATCTCACCTGATTCCATGTCCTCAGTATAGGGTATGTCGGATAAGTTGGATTCACACGAAAGCAGAGGCAGATTATGATCGCCTGTTCTGATTCACGCCGCGAGCGTACTCGAACGCTTTCTCTCTTCCTCAACGCCAACCCCGCGTTCCATCAAACACGAACAACGATACCAATCACTACCCCGTAAACACGCCCGCGAATGCTACCAACGCAGCAGAATGAGACAACATCCCCAATCAGGAAGTGCATTTCATATCGATACCAGAGCCGTCGTGGGAAAGGGATTGGTGTCCCTGGTACCTTAGACACCAGCCTCTTTTGGGACCATTGCTGGTCATCGCAGGGCACCGAGAGCCCGAGACATCCAGGGGAATGCAGTAAGAGGGCACTCTTGCGTCCACCGACAGGAAGAAAAGGAATCGAGTGGATGCCCTACGGCTGTCGATCAATGTCAATAGGCGGAGGGAATTCTTTGTGTGCTGTTAGTATGCCGAGAAATCAGAGAGCCAGATTCGCATCTGGATGCGGATATACAGACTGCAGTCTTGCACGTCCTAGATAGTCACACGCCAATTGTCACGAGATTTCTCTAAAGCATCAGGGAAAATACGATAGACTGAACTTGTCAAACTTGCCGCACAATGCCATGCCGTGTTGTAGACTTGACATGAATGGGTTTCCAAGGCCAGGGCACAGGGGGCAAGTAGACAAGGGACAAGGGAGAGGGAAGCAACCGAGGGAACTAGAAGAAGGCTACCAGTACCAGCGGGCAATGAATTGCAGAGACAAAGAGGGATTTCCCAGAGAGCTGAAGCAGTAGTACTGTACTGGCAAATGCTTACAATCCAGCTCGCCAGCACATATGCGGAGAGTCCCCAGGGCAGAGATCCAATACGCACCAATAAAAGGGTAGAGTCTGAAACCCCAACCCTACCATCATAAGTGTCTCAACATCCTTCGGATATGGCAGCCCTGGAGTGGAGGAAGCGATAGAAATGCTTCATTTAAAGTTGGAATGTTCCGCCATTCGTGTTGATGTTTGCAGCTCAGATCATCAGCATCACTGGCTCATTGCTTCTATCCCTGAGCGATCACGGAGGCTTCTGCTTGTGCTTAAATACACAGGCTTTTCTCCAGTTCTCGGCTCGTCGGTCAGATCGTGCTCTAACCTCACAACACTCCTTCACATTCTTTCGTTTCACTTTGGTTGCTTTGTCCTTCTTTCGTTCGTTCACACCAACATGTCGCGGTCTCTTCGCCGCGGCCTCCTAACGGCGGCAGCCGTTTGGGCGGTATCGGCGGCGGCCGGCAACGAGTGGGATCGTAATCACGACGATGACCGCAAGTGGCTGGCCTCGACCGTTGTCGTCACCAGCACTGTCTTGGTCGACTTGAAGGACGTCGACCTGAAGTGCCAGCGGGGAGAGATCGTCTGCGGTCCCACCCCTCCGCCTTTCCCCGACCCGAAGCCCTGCCACGAGTGCGAGGACAAGTGGCACACCCAAGACGGCAGCAAGGAAGGGTATAACAACCAAGGCTGGGGCGCGGACGCCGGAAACAAGGATCCCGCAAGCCAGGGCCAAGGAAACAATGAGGCGTGGCAAGAGGATCCGTACCACGGCCAGTGGCAGGGTTGCTCCCACGACAACCATTGCCCGCAAAACTGCAACTGCAGCCCCAAGGCCATCTGCGAGAACACCTCGGGAGGCCACCAGTGCAAGAGCAGCACTGACTGCGAGGATGGCAACATGTGCAACTCCTACGGCTGGTGTCAGCCCATTCCCGGCCCCCGATGCCACGAGAAGGCTTGTGAGATCAAGGCCGGATCCAACTGCAACGACAACAAGGACTGCTCCCATGGCGAAATCTGCAACCACCACGGCTTCTGCCAGAAGGTTGTCTTCCCCGACTGCGAGAACAACTGGGACTGCGAGCGCGGCCAGATTTGCACCCACAGGGGCATCTGCAAGACTATCGACCAGGACCAATGCACGTGCGATACCGACTGCGGTGACGGCCAGATCTGCAACTCCCAGAGAATCTGCGAGGACGTCGTCTGCCCCAAGTGCCAGCTGGAGAACGAGTGTGAGCATGAGGAATCATGCCACGAGGGATTCTGCAAGCCCAAGGAGAACAAATGCGAGGACAAGCACGACTGCAACGACGGCGAGATCTGTGACTGGGAGGGCAAGTGTCGCCGAGGCGATCACCTCAAGTGCAAGGTCGACTCTGAATGCAAGTCTGGACAGACCTGTGATATCCACGGCAGATGCCAGCACCGCGCCAAGGGCGAGGGCTGCGGATCTGACGAAGACTGCGACTCCAAGGAATTCTGCAATGCTTATGGATACTGCGAAAAGGACCACAAGGGCTGGGGCGACTATGAGGGCCATGGAGACAAGGACCATGGCGAGAAGGGTCATGGCGAGAAGGGTCATGGCGAGAAGGGTCATGGTGAGAAGGGTCACGGTGAGAAGGGTCATGGAAACAAGGGCCATGGAGACAAAGGCCACGGCGACCACGAGGGCCATGGAGACCACGAGAACAACGGAAACCCTTGGGACCCCCAGGACCCCGAAGACCCTGAGCAGCAGTGGTGCGGCGGTGATGACCAGTGCCTCCCCGGCGAGTTCTGCTCTGATAACAGGTGTGTTGGTCGCCTTGATTGCCGCAGGGACAGGGATTGCCGCGACGGAGAAGTCTGCGAGCAGAGCCTCTGTGTCAACCGAAGATTCTGCACGTCCGATGGGCAGTGCAACACTGGCGAGCAATGCAGACAGGGCGAGTGCCGCCGCAGGAACACCGACTGCCGCTTCGACTTTGAGTGCTCTGGAGATGAGCGCTGCTCATCCGCTGGCATTTGCGAGGCGACGAGGACTTGCTTGATCGGCACTGAGTGCGAGACCAATGAGCTCTGCATCCTCGGCGAATGCTTGACCACGTGTGTTGCGCAGACTGATTGCGAACTCGGCGAAACTTGCGACAGCGGCCTCTGCCTCAGGAGGAGATTCTGCACCGGCACCGGTATTGGCCAATGCCAGGTTGGAGAAATCTGCCTCGGCGGTTATTGCGAGTCGTTGACGCCTGATGGAAGCTGCTTATTCGACTTCGAGTGTGGAACTGGCTCGGTCTGCAACAACAACGTGTGCGTTGCACAGAGGACTTGCCTGCTCAGCACCGACTGCCTGGGAACTGAGACTTGCAGCGGAGGCCTGTGCTTGACCACGTGCCTTGCAGAGACGGACTGCCTCCTCAACGAAGACTGCGAGGGCGGCGTCTGCCTCAGGAGACGATTCTGCTTGGGCACAGGCGCGGGTTTCTGCGGACTCGGAGAGGTCTGCTTCAACAACTTCTGCCAGGCACCAACGAACCCGACTTGCACGTTTGATGTCGAATGTGGAACCGGCCAGATCTGCGAGGGCAACGTGTGCGTTGCACAGAGGACTTGCTTGCTCAACACCGACTGCCTGACTGGTGAGCTTTGTAGCACCGGCGTTTGCTTGACGGCGTGCGACGACCAATTGGACTGCGATGGCAACGAGACCTGCAACGGCAGCGTCTGCCTCAGGAAGAGATACTGCACAGGCACGGGTCAATGTGGAATCGGCCAACTTTGCCAGGACAACTTCTGCGAGCCGCTGTGTGGCGTTGACGTTTGTGACGCAAACACCGAGATCTGCGTAGCCAACACCTGCCAGCCGCGATGTGGCCTCACTGTCTGCCAGACCGGCGAGATTTGCACCGCCGGCCAGTGTCTGGCCCAGTGCGGAGCTGTTGTCTGCCAGCCCGATCAGAGCTGCGTGAACAATGTGTGCACTCAGAACCCCCTGTGCGGAACCGCCCCTTGTCTTAGCACCGAGGTTTGCGTCGACAACACGTGTGTCCCCCGGTGTGGCAATACCGTCTGCGATGTCGACCAGACCTGTGTCCTCGGCGTGTGCCAGGAAACATGCGGCCTTACCAGCTGTACCCCTGATCAGACCTGCGTCGCCGGCCAATGCCTTCAGACATGTGGCCTCACCACCTGTACCGCTGACCAGACCTGCGTTGATGGCGCGTGTCTCGAGACGTGCGGCCTCGGCACCTGTACAGCCGACCAGACCTGTGTCGCCGGCCAGTGCCTTGAGACCTGCGGTCTTACTGCCTGTACTGCCGATCAGACCTGCGTCGATGGTGCTTGTCTCGAGACGTGCGGCCTCACCACCTGCGCAGTTAACGAAATCTGTATCGCCGGCGAGTGCCTGACCCAGTGCGGCGCCGACATCTGCTCCGCTGATGAGACTTGTGTCCTCGGAGTGTGCCAGGAGAACTGTGGCGCTACAACGTGTACCCCCGACCAGTCTTGCGTCGCCGGTGTGTGTGAGACGTTGTGCGGCGGCCTCGTTTGCGGAGGCAACGAGGGTTGCGATGCCGGCGTGTGCAGGGTGATCTGCGATGGCCCGGCCGACTGCACTGGTGGCCTTGTCTGCTTGAACAACTTCTGCAACGCTTGCACGGACTCCATCCAGTGCACCCTCGGCGACGTCTGTGTTGCCGGCGTGTGTCAAGCCCCCGGAAACACCTGCGCCGACGGATTCGCGTGGGCGCACTACAAGCTTGCCCGATCAGCCGATGACAGCACCACGACCCCGGGCACGATCCCCATCCATCCTGCTGATGTCGTTTCGGCGGAGACGTGGCCTGTCCTGCAGTTCGCGCCCAACGTTGCCCTTTCGGGCCAGACTCCCGATTTCACTGGCACGACGGCGTTTACTGGCCTCCTCCAGTCTTGCCCCCCTGAGCTCGGCAATGTCTACGGCACCGAGACGCCAGCCGTCGACTACACCATCGTCCAGCAGATTGGTTGGTTTGTCCCCGCGATAGCCGGTACTTATACATTCACGGCCCCCGCCGCGACCCTCGACCAGTCCGTCTACGTCTGGCTCGGTGCCAATGCTGTTGCGGGCTACACCAACACCAACGCGGACCTCGTTGCCGACGCAAACTGGCTTTCCGGATCCAACCTCGACTTGGAGGTGGTGTCCGCGGCTCAGGTCGGCACGTACATCCCGATCCGTATCCTGTGGGTCAACGCCCAGGACTGTGGTCAGTTCGATCTCACCATCACGGACCCTAACGGAGCCGTCCTTGTCTCGCGGGGCCAGGCGACAACCGATGGGGAGTTCGTCACCGGCTGTACGCCTTCGGCCGACATCCCGGCCATCAACTTCTAAGCCGGTGAGCCTGACTGGCAACGTTATAAGGCGGCGAGGGCGATGCTGGCCAAGACCTCGGCGGCATCGCCTCGGGCGGTAGAGTGAACACTTCCGTCGTCTTCGAAAAAAAAAAGAAATGAAAAAGCTTGGGGTTGTTAGCTTTGTATTATTAGTTTAGGATAGGTCTTGATACTTTTCTTTCTCAAATTGATTGTGTTGCAAACTCTTGTGAGCTCGTCAGTGACCTTTCACCTCGTGCCGTAGCCTGAGCCTGGAATCTCGGGAGCATTGGTCATCTTGTGAATGAGAGGGCCTCCTGTTTGCGTTGACGTTCAGAAGTTGTTATTGTGCGGCTGTAGACGGCGATAAGAAAGACAGGCAAGAAAATTTTCTTCCAAACAAGATTGGCATCTTTTGTTTTGTCCTGCTTTGGCTGTTGTTGGAGTTGCTCAAATGTTTCCGATGAGGTTCCAAGTTCAAGGTTGTAGGACCAAGCAAGCGCGCGTCAAGCGCGGAAAGCAACACCGGCCCTACCGCAGCACTTTCCTCAAGACGGATAGCCGCATAGCTTCAATTGTCCCTGTGACTATGACGTCACATGCCATTTACTGCCCTTTAGCAATCGGGCAACTCTGAGTCGACATCTCGACATGGTGATTTCAGTTGTGATTTCAGTACTGTTCCCTTTTGCTTCCTTTGCTCATACTTCACTCAGGCATGACGTACGAGCACGTCGCCCCGGCATCAACCGTAATGGTTGTTCCCGTAATCCATCTCGCCTCATCGCTGGCCAGAAACCTGACGGCTGCCGCACAGTCCCACGCATTGCCCTCTGTATTCAAAAGGCCTTGCCTGCGACGGAGATCACGCACGTCGTCTGACATGCCACTTCCGGCAACCATTGGCGTGTACAAAAATCCTACAAAAGCTGGTCACCTTGGGTAAAAGGAGGTTGCAGGAAAGGAGCGGTTACCTGGGCACACACAGTTGACTCGGATGCCGTCACGGCCGTGGTTGTACGCCATCGCACGCGACATGTTGACGACGGCACCTTTGCTCGTCGGATAGAACAGATGCGGCGTGCCCCCCTGCAAGCCGGCGATGGACCCTATGTTGACGATGCTGCCCCTGATGCCGCCGTCGCCAGGCTGATTCTTGCGCATGAGCGGGATCGCATACTTGGCCATGAGCATCATCGCCGTTACGTTGATGGCCAAGCCGGTGGCCCATTCTTCAGCACTCGCTTCTACGGCCGTTCCCCTGGCGCCCATGATGCCCACGTTGTTGACCAGGATGTCCAGTCTCCCAAAGAAGCCTTCCGCCGTCCGCACCAGCCTCTCGCAGTCCTCTTCGGAGCTCACGTCGGCGCATAGCGAAGACGCCGTGCCGCCTTCTTGGACAATCATCTCCACTGTGCGCTTGGCCGAAGGCAAGTCCCGGTCTGCGCAGAGCACCGTGGCGCCGTCGCTGGCGAGAAGGAGAGATATGGCGCGGCCGTTGCCGAGGCCGTCGCCGAGACTGCCCGCGCCGGTGACGATGGCGACTCTTCCATCGAGACGCCGAGATGGTCGTGGTGGGAGTGTGGTGGACGGAGTCATGTCGTGATTTGCGGTAGACACAGTGACTGGGAAACTCTCGAGGTGAGGCGTAATGATGGTGTGAAATCCTCTTTTAGTATTCAACAACACCGTAAGGCTTTGTAGACTGCCAGATGCTGTTTGAATCAAATGGTAGGACTCCCCAAATGATGCCAATATCATACCTTATGTAGACAATGTAATTGCCATGACCCCTCACGTTGATGCAGTCAGCTATTTTACATGCACCAGCTACCTACAGCAGGCTTGCAGTCGCAGCGTCGCATCTGCATCCAATTCGACCCGATCCAATGAACTGCAAGTCTCTGTTCCAGCAATAGACCCTCTTTCCCCCCTACTGCTGCAGTCATTGATAGAGGAATAGAGAGATTAGGCACTTCAATTGAGTGCCCAAACCACGACATCTGGGAAGGTGCGACACACAACGTGGAGGGGCACGTACCTGCCTCCCAAATCCGCCCTCTCAACGTCCATCCACTTACACGCATCTTCACCACCTCTTCCCGCCTCTCATCCCCCTCTCCAGCTTCATATCTGCAAACAACATCTCCTCTAACATCAAAAAAGGCACTTTAGCCGAGCGGTCTAAGGCGAAGTGTTCAGGAATAGCTCGCACTGTGAGCGATCCCCTCTTCGCGGTCTAGAAATAGGCGAGGGTTCGAATCCCTCAGGTGTCATCTTTTGCCACGTCCAACACTGGATGGCAAATTCTTTTTTATATGGACTGTCAAGTTTTTTTGGTTTTTGAAATGCGACATTTTGAAGGGATTGTATTGCTTGTCACTAACATCTGCGTTGTATAGTGTAAAGAAAATTCTTGCCAGTGAATAGACCGATACTCAACTCGCTCATCATGTTGTAACCAATGCCTCATCCTCTACACAGAAAGGGGTCAAGAAAACAAGAAGAAATATCCACATTGTGCCCTGCCCAAACGCCGAAAAAAAAAAAAAAATTCTGCCCATCAAACTTCATATATATATACAGCATGTACAAGGAATGTACTTGTTGCGGCAAGCTCACAACTCGTCTCTATTCAAGTTGGGCAGTCTGAACGCGTACCGTCTGGGTCGCGCAGGCAGACCGACCCAAGCGCGATACAATCTCGACGTCTCTTCCGAGACAATTTGCCAACTAGAATTGTGTTAGTCCATCTCAATGAAGAGCTTTGTGCCACTCGAAGAAGGGGAAAAAAAAGAGAGAAGAGACTTACATCATCTTGGGCGTTCGGATCCAACTCTTGAGCACAATCTTGACGGCCATCATGACGCGGGCAAATTCGTTTCCGACCTGCTCGCCCAGCGTATCTCCGTGGCTCCCACGATTTTGCATCCTGATAAACTCGTCCATGTCCTCGTCCGCCTCGTCGATGAGCGTGTAGAGATCCTCGGGCTTGAAGTCGGGCTTGGACGCCATCTTGTCGCGCATGTCAATCATGGCCCTGAATCGCCCAACGGCCGCCACCGACGAGCTGAGTCTGGCATACGTGTTGAAGAGGGCCACCAGCTCGGTCCTCTTGAGGGGCGGCGGCTTCTGGCCCTCGTTGAACTCAAACAGAATCTTCAAAGCCGTGCCGTAGCCGCTGGTCTGGATCTTGCCCCAGAGACGGCACTTGTCGCAGCCGACGCAGTCCATGACCCGGCTGATGTTGCGGAAGCGATTGCGGAAATCTTCCTTGAGCGAGGGGCCTTCGCCGTTGACAAACATGACGCCCTCGTCAAAGATCTGCGGGACGCTAGCCGCGTGCTTCGTGACGGCCGCAATCTTGTCTCGCGTCTCCTGGTCTTGCAACGGGTCCCCTGTGCAAAAGGTGTACTGCGGTGACAGTACATACGGGCCCAGCTTCGCAATGGCGCGAGTCACGAGAGCGTAGTTGAAGTAGAGGTTGCTGATGCGGTCTGGAAACTTGTGCAGGCGGCTCTCGTAGCAGTCCAAGTTGGGCTGCCATTGCCCCGTGCTCTGGTTCAGGAAGTCCCAGCACAGGTGGACGCTGATGCTGGCGTGCATTCCCGACACCACCCGGTAGAACACGCGCTTCTCCAGACACTCATCGTCCACCTCGTAGCCAGTGTTGGCAACAAAGGGAATGTTTGGGTTGCTCTGCCGCTGCTGTTCCAGTTGAGCCTGGCGGCCAGCGGTGTCCAGGACCTGCTTGAAGTCCAGAGCAGCCGCCTCGGTTGGGCGGTGCGAGACGCCTAGATCGGCCGACTTGGGAAACGAGCTCTTCTTGAAGCAGTTCTCCGAGTAGATGGCGTCCCACACCTGCTTTGCACTTTGACCGCCATAGCCGGTGAAGCGCTCGGGGTTGCGCAACAAGCTGATGTAGTCCCCCTTGGACGTTGCGCCTTCGTCGTCCCAGACGCAGTAGTCTCTGTCGTCACACTCGTCGTCGTATTCAACCACGCAGCTCTCCCCTACATCCTCCCCCAGCTCTCCCTGCAGCGGTCGCTCAGGGTTCTGCCTCTGCTCTTGCTTGCCGGGATGCTTCGCTCGAGGGCCTTCCAGCTTGCTAAGCTCGTGAGCCCTCCATATCTCGGGAATATCTTCTTCGTTGTCCAGCGTCTCGACGGCGCAGGCAATGTTACCGCACATGCCATCTTCGTCGTTCCAGAAGGGGCATTTTTTGTTGAAGAGGTTCAAGCGATAGTGCGAAAAGAAGTCGGTCGTCTGAACGAGTTCGTCTATAGCAGGCTTCACCTTGACATTGAGTCTATCGAGAGTCGCATACGAAACGCATCCATCGTCAATGATGGCGTTTGGGGAGAACTAGATCAACAAAATCTGTCAGCGCAAAGCATTCTTCCAAAGGGGAAACGAGGCCAAGGTTGGGTTGACGTACAGTGCATGTACTTGACGAGCTTGAGCATGCGCCCGGCGTCGCCCATAGGGAAAACACGGAGAGAAAGAACAATTTGCTCGCCGACTTCATCTTGGACCCGGTGGTAGAGAGTCGTTGTGATATAGGTGTTGGGTTGGTTGGGTTAATGCTTGGCCACAAGGGTCGTCATCGCTTGATGGAGCGACGATCCGAGGTGGCAGGATGCGAGTTACGCTCTTGCGAATTGCCGGAGGCTCTGACAGCTGACGCGATGCAAACTGATGAACAAGTATCCAACAATGCGATACAGGTAAGGTATCGTAGCAAGGAACAAGCAAGAAAGAGTGAGAGGCAAAGTCTGAAGAAAGCGCTGGCGCTGCTGGTCGGTTGATAGCGAAAGTGACAAAGAGGCTATCGACAAGCCACGACAAGTGAAGGCAGATGCAACTCGGAGCCACAACTGCCGAGCTCAAAAGTCTTGCGGCAAGCAGTGGGGATAACCCAAATCTTTATATAGAAACAGATCCGATATAATCAGAAGAAAAAGGGCAAAGAAAGAAAAGACAAGCAAAAAAAGCCAAATGGCAACAGACGACTTTGCAAGAGCAAGTTCAAGTTCCTGTTGCTGACATATCATGAGATGTTTCCTCAATGCGGAAAGATGCCACGCTGGCGATCCGGAACATCTGCTTATGTACCACGGAGGTTTAAAAATGGGGAGTTGTCTCGCAGCCCTGGCAAAAACAAAAATAGGCGTCTGGTCTTGTTTTGCGCTTGCACGGAGCATGGACCGTACCAGGTACCGGCGCCAAACAGGCTCTTTTCTAGCGGGTGGCGGCGGGGGAGAATAGAGTGGAAGAACTGGGAGAACAAGGACCGTGCCTTAGGGGTGTTTTGTTCACTGTGGAAATAGAGACGCAGCGGCCAATAATGGGCTTCTGATTCAGCGCATTTCTCGTGGTGGTTCGACGCCACCAACGCGAAGGTGGACAGTTGGACTGGTTCAGGGACAGCTGAAATGTGTCCGTTAAGGGCGAAAGGGCAAAAAGTGAGAGCATTTCTATACGAGAACTGCCTCTGGTTGTCGTACATCAACTATAATTAAACAACACAAGCATTGCTGCCATTGGAACAGCAGAGAGACAAGTCTCATAGTGAGGCCATGCATCATCATAGAATCAGCCCACCAGACCAGCCCGAGATGCCACCTACTTGTCTAGACGGCCTTCCGCTTTGAGAGACACCACCTACCTTGCTGGTGATGGTTCGTATTTCGTATCAAGTATGCTTTCTACAATTGCGGCTGGCTACCTACATTGCCTGGGTTGTGTTGCAACTGGGCTGACAAGTACCTACCTATTCGGCATAAAGGGGGGGCTTCTACGGAAGGCTAATCTGGTGTTTCTTAAACATGGAGTAATACGAAGTAATGAGTGAATCACCTCTCCATGCGTCAAGACGGGATTGACGTGGTTCATGGTGTGACAATACCTTAACAGGCTGCGTTTGATATCCAAACTTGAGATGACTAGAAGCAAGACCAGGTACCTACCAAGCCTCTTTGACGGCGTCTTTCTACTACGACCTACCTAGTAGTCACTGTCGCATCATCCTCCATAACAGATCCAACATGCTCTCTCAAACGGCCATCACTGATGCAACAGGGCGCGGCTTGAGTATTTGCTGATTCGGTAAGCTATGCATTGTATAGAAGGCGGTAATCGACATCTCTCCAGACGAGCCATCAATAACAATGCTATTTCCGTGTATATACGTGCCTAGACCATGATTCGATTCTTCCCTCAACTACACATACACAAGGCTAACCAATCGCCTGATGCGTCCTTCTTGTAGCGCCCAGCCATCCTCCAAAGTGCCAACTCTGGAACTCACAGAGATGCGCGCCAGCTCATGGGACAGCTGCTTGCATTCTTGACAGATGCACCGAGGCGTTGCCGCCACTCCTCGGATTCAAAGCCTACTGTATCCCATGCACGGCCAGCCATTAGCCATTCGAGGCCGAACGATGGCGCATGAGGTAGGGTCGCAAGGCAGCGCCCGTTCGTCTCGCAGACGTCTTAACCCAACATCATTCTAGTATGCAGATCGTGAAAATCGTAATAGGACGCTAAACAAAGAGGCTCTTCATGCAGCATGAGAGTGGGCGCGGCAAGAAGACGGTCGCGACATCGTACACAACTGAGCGCAGGAGCTCGTGGGACGGGGCGCTCACTGAGGCGGCTGGTAGTTGAGAGGTCGCCTGTTTCGACTTGTTAGAGGATGCCTGTGCTTCGGTCAACATGGGATGGCAAGACTCACTTGAAAAGGAGGATATGTGGCTCCGGCTCATGGACCTCGTAGTGCTCCCAGCCAAGACTCTAAAAACAAGAAGATCTGGTGTCAGCAATGTCGCATGTTCCCTTCTCCCTTGCCATGAACAGCGGGGGATCTGCGTTGGAAGAAGAAGAATCAAGGGCTGCCCCTCACCTGTGTCATGCCCATGGCCCTCCACTCGTCCTCCCACAGAAGCTTCAGGGTGCCCTTGGCGGAATCGTGGTATTCTTTCGGAATCGCTTTGAGCATCATCTTAGGTAACTGGACATGGCGGTATTCGAATTCGTCGTCGCTGTATCTGTTGGCCGGTCGGTTAGCGATCCAGCTCCCAATAGCATGCTTTCCCAATGCGCCCGTGTTTGGCTATCCGTCCCCCTCTCTCCCTTTGCCACTTGCAGCCGTAGCCCAATGGTCGCTTTCATCAGATCAACAAGAGATGCAGAATCTAGGACTCACCTCTCCGAGTATCGGATGGCGTCCACAAATTCTTCCAGCCGGGCTCGTTCCGCTTCGGTCAGGGGACGCGGAGTCTTGTTCCGCCGGCTCATGTCGATATCCATTTTACTGGCTGAGTGACGGTATCTAGAGTTCTCTTGGCTTGCCTAGCACGAGTCGTCCACCGCGTAGCGCGATCGTAATGGTAAACAACCGGGGGATTCTTTGCAAGAAAGGCTGCTCTAGATTCGTCCAATCGCTGTCGACTTCGTTTGCGGCTTCGAGCTGATGAAATGTTTCGAATCCAAGATCTGCCTGGGATTGTATGAAAATGAGGACAAGAGCTGTTTGGCGGTGAAGGTCGAGAGGTCGCTGCAAGAAAGAGGTACAGCGAGGGTTCGATCAAGGCACGCGAGAAGCTTCTGGCGGATCGAATCGAAACGGCGGAATCGCGTGGTGCGTGAGTCACGAGCGACGATGGCGACGGAAGGTGCGATAGTCGAGAAGGCGCGAGACTGGATCAAAGCTGAAGCAGGCAAGCAGGCAGGCAGATAATAGACAGGTAAAGACCGGCACGAGACCTTGAGGTTTTGGCGGGCGGGTTTGCAGGAGGAAGAATCGGGGTGCGGTGGGATCAATAAATACTAGGTAGGTTAGAGGTACGGATAGACGATCGTCGAATCAACAAGCCCCGAAAATCAACCCCTGGTCGGCGCCACTAAAGGTGCCAGCCAGCTCCGTGGCCGGTGCAGGGGGGGGGCAAGTCAACTGACGGGATACTACCTCATATCGAAATCTGACCGCCGCTTCACGTCTCTTTTCATTCTTTTCCATGCTTTTCCACACAAGAGCATATCGTATGGTAACGTGTGCTTGGGGCCAGATGAAGATGAAAAGGGTCCAATATAATAGTATTGTAATTGGTAATTGTAGTGATTCAAGGTTCGCCATGGTTGTAATGGCCCACCGCAGCAGGTGCCCTGAGGTACCTCTCCACATTGCACAGGTGTCGAGATACCACAGAGAATGCAGAGCGACCGGACCAAACTCCCGAGGTCCTTGGCCAATGTGAAGCTGGAAAGTGAATCAGAACATTGTCTATTTATTAATCGTATTCTTGGACAGTTTCAGTGCAGGAAGCTCTGATGGAGACGCACGACCTCGTCTTGCCGTTGTCGATTTTCTGCGTGTTCCTGCAGACGCCTACCTAGATCCTTGCTCCGGTTCTTCAGCCGGGATATCCCCTGATGCTGTCTTGAACCCTTGATGCATGTGTCTATACCAACGTCATCAGTCTACAACCTTCGGTAGTGTCTCAATACAATACCTGGAATTGATGAGGATCCTTGGATCGCAATATGATTTGGGCCTGCATTTGGGCCTTAGAGTTGCTTCGAATTCCTTCCGTCTAGCTAACCAAGATATGTGGCACATTCGATGCATGCCTTACCCTTGCTTGCTCCTGTCCTAAGCAAAGATGCAGATATCTGCCGCCTTACCAACAATTCTTAAATGCTAAAACAAACACGCTGCTATAACCCAAAAAGTGACCTTGATTGACGCCTCGAAGCAGTCGAAACAGCTCCTGAGGAGAGCGGCACGTGGCTTACGACATTGCCTATCTTTACCTTGACGCCGGGCACTGGAATCTTCCACGTCTCGACAGACTCAAACTCTCCATCTCGAAACACTTCCAGAGCTTTGTTGGACTCTTCATCCACTGGGAGGTCAAGCGCCCATCCAATAGAGATGTGAAATGCCTCATCAGCCGAGCCCTCTTCGCCTCCCTTGCTCTGATACAGAATGGGCTGGTCAAACCTCTGAGCCACGGCATTGCATGCGTTCAGCAGCCTCATGAGCTCCGGATTCGACAGCGTCCCACCGCTTTTCAACATTGACGAGCTCGCTACCTGGAGGATAAGAAACGTGCGGTTCGAGTCAGGCGAGTTATACCACAACAGCCTCCTGGGACTAACGGAGAACTGGGATACGCCGCTGGCATGCAGCTCAGACGAGATCTGGTCGAGAAACCGGTCTTTGTTAGAGGTGCTTAGCGAAAGGGGCCGTGACAAACTGATGTGGAGAGGCAGCGGCGCCCCCAAGTCACTCGTCAGGAAGCTGTGCAGCTTAGCTCGGCTGCCAATGGCCTCGTTGACGCTGCATACCAGTCGAGCCAGCTTCTCGTGCTGGTCAGCCAGCGGATGCCCTAGATAGCAGCAAAGGGCAGCGTTAGCCTTGCGTCATCCGGGCTCCGAGCAAAAAGCACTCGTCTTGGGCGACTCATTCAACTCACACTCCACATAAACATGGCTGGGCCAGTTGCCCACGACATGAGGAGTCAGTCTCTTGCGCCCGTGGTGCAGCGCGGGATCGTCCACGACGCTGTGGCGGACGGTGGACGCATACAGGTCGTGGAATGCTGGGGGGAGAGGTGGCAGGTCGGACTCGCGGCCTGACGGAGGGCTCGGGGCCTTTGGCCGGGCTCCGGAGCCGTGCGGCGAGGCTTTGCGCCGTTTGGCCGGCGGCGCTGATGGCGCGCTGTCGTCTTCACTGTCGGAATGCGATGATGCTGATGATGAGGAGGAGGAGTAGTCGACAAGAGCCATTGAAGTGAGGAGACTTGTCTTTTGAACGGATATATCACTGTTCCTTAATTGCAATGCGAATGAAAAGCAACAAATAGCGGAAGAAATGGAATAAGAAGCCTTGCAATCACGCTTTGCTCTTTCACCTCCCTATGGTGGGATTATTCCCAGATGCAGTCATTGATCGGATCGTCTCAAACGCGATCCTTGTGCGGATTATTGCATTACATAAGCAACTTGCTCCCCCTCCCCCCTATTCGCGTCTGCCATGCTTGACACTTGCTCATAAAGCTGTTATGTGAGGCAAACTCCCTGGCGCAGTATAGATGCATCGTATCAATTGCTCCTCTTGATGAACTAGTAGGGTTCAGTTTGTCATTGTGATGGGGGCTACACGGGTCTACTGCCAGCTCGACTGTGACAGAACGCCATGGCACAGGAATAGCGCATACCTCGCCTTACCTACCGTATCTCCGGTGGCTTGAAAGGTTATCTTACCTTCTTTCTGAAGAGCCCGGCCAAAGGGTCCAAGCCAAATAAAAGCTTCTGCGAATGGAGGCGTCCGTTACGGGTCGGGTTAAGTCAGCCGGTCAAGCCATCAAGCCATTACACCATTATGATTGAAGCATACGGTTCTTTGGCTGTTGCACAGAAGGCTGCAAAGCACAACCAAAACTTGATAGAATCTTATAGAACCTAGGGAGCCTTGCATAAAGTCTACATAGAAGACAAGAAAAAGTGACAACATGACTTTGCCATGGGGTCTTTGCGTTGAGGGAGGCACAAGAAAGCTCATTGCTGAAATGAACCTCGTAAACCATCCACTCAAACCCAGAGGAGAAATTCAAGGCTGTCGACAGCTTTGACATGCCAAGCCACCACTCACAGCAACAAGGCGTTGCTGTTTTGCCCAAATCTGACCCCTTGAGCTAGGTGGGATGCCTCTGCCTCTCCTTCTCTGGAATAACCTACCACAAGCCCACCCCAGAGGGCTGTAAAGACGGAGACGTTTGAAGCCACATTCTTCCTGATCCTGCTCCTCGCCCTGAACCTTCGATGCATAGAGTTTCTCTCTTTCGCACGGTACTATTACATACTATTCATGCCCGTACAGCATATCAAACATACAGTGCCGGATGGACAGCCGGGTCTCCTATCCACGGTCCATTGCGGCTAAGGGGGTTCTTATTAACCTTCAACCACCCATTTGGTTCACTTTCACACTCAACTTCACCTTCATCTCTTCTGGCGAGATCCCACAAAGATTTAGGCTTACACAGCGGAGGCTACTCATTATCTAGAGTTTGATGCTGAAACGCCATAGCCGACAATCTGCATTATCCTACAGTTGATACACTTCCACTTACAACGAAGCCTCAGACTAATCCTCCTCAATAAGAGGCTCCGACCCTTGAAGCACAAGTATAAAGAGACGAGTTTCCCCCCAGTCCTTTACATTACCTCTCCCCATTATCAACATAAAAGCATTCTCGTCGTCCCAGCCAAGTTCCTGCAGTCCACGCAAACAACCATTTGCACGGACTTGCCAGCTGCTCTGCTCCCTTCGCCCACGACGACAGCAACGAGAGAAGACGAGGACCGTCGTGACAAGTGGTAAGTTGTGCATGTCCATTTCCGATCAAGTTGTGTGTTTCTTTTTCTACCTATATCAAGTCAACTGGTATTCGTACCGCTCGCGACTTCTTCATCTGCATGCCTCGTCCTTTCCAATTTTATAGATAAACTTAGATACCTATTCGTCTCATCTATCTTTCTGCTATCGTAACCTCATCTTTGCTTCTTCTTCATCTTCTTCTTCATCATCACCATCATCTTAATCTCTGCTAGCATCGTTTCACCCATCAGCTTCCGGATTCCACTAACATTGGGCCTCTCAGAAACGTCACCGGCCTCCTCCATACTTCTTGGCCATCTTCGCCAAGACACACGGCACTCTCTCCCCTGCCCACCTGTGCTCACGGCCCCTCCCAGGCCATACAGACCCCGTCTCGCCGTCTCCGTGGCTTCACTCGGAGACACCATGCCTTACTTCCCGGTGGTCATCATGGCCGACGACGCCGCCTCCTTCGCCCCTGACGGGCGCCGCCTCGGGTACTCGAGCAACCTCGATACCATCGACCGCCTGGACACGAGCGGCCCCAACGGCATGCCCATGTTCCACCACGGCGGGCCCTTTGACGCCGTCCTGCCCAGCCGCAACTTTGACCCGCGGACCTCGCCCATGTTCGCGCTGTCGGGCTCCCTCGCTGAGGCCCTGCGGGCGACTCCCCAGGAGTACATCCAGGACTGCCTCGAGCAGGGCATCCCCCTCCAGGGCACCGCCACCATCCCTTCCGGCCAGCTGGACTATGAGGGCAACCGGATGGAATACGAGGAGGGCTCCAACCTCGTGCGGGACTCGGACTCCATCGCCGTCTCGTACCAGCAGCAGCATCACCAGCAGCAGCAGCAGTACAGGCAGTGGGACTGCGGCTCCGTCGTAATAACCCGCCCCTACACGCCGCTGTGTGTGCGCATCAAGAATCGCTTACGCCGGTACAGAAACAACGTCGGCGCGATGCTCAAGCTCAAGAGCCGCTCCACTACTACCCTGTCGAGCAGCGCGACGTGAAGGGCAAAGGGCGGGCGACGGAGGACTATGAGGAGATTGAGATGCAGTCGATGCTGCCAAACCGCAGAGGCGCTCGCAAGCGGCCAAGATTTCCTCCCAATGCCCGCGCTTCGCGACATGCGAGCTCCTCCTCGGGCGGCCGTGCTTTCACGTACGATGATGCCTCTTGGAATTCTCAGCACCGAGGCCCGAACTCGCGGCAATCTGGATGAAAACTTGTTCCGAGGGCAAAAAGTGGATGCTGTCTTGTTATTGCCTGAATATTGGTTTCTTTGGTTTTGATTATTGAGTAGCAAATACCGACCGGCGCACGGTTAGAATGGAATGGATTAATGGGAGATACCCCGGGTGGTAATGATTGGAGTTTATGGATGGGCTGCTTGAGATATTTGATTCTGAGATAGTCGGTTATTCTTCATTACAATAACTGCAATACGAAAGATTGTTGCGAATAATTGTCAGAGACTGCCTGTGAACATTTGCGACATGTCGTACCCATGAGTGAGTGATATGGTTCCATCCTGCCAACTACCAACAGATTTGCCGAACAGCAATATCATGCCTATGTATGTAGTATATGCAAATATATCTCCTGACTTGGGGTTGCCCATTTTAGAAATACGAAAGCCCGCCCCATCCCAGCACCGCTTCCAGATCCTCCCTCATCTCCGTCACGCCATCATACCCGCCCCTCGTCGCAACCTCAGCCCTCTTTGCGGCGCCGAGCTCGTTCCACCGCGTCAGGACGGTACCGTCGACAATTGCCCTTCCCGTGGCGGCCGTTTCGACGCCCACGGTGCGGGACATGCCGCCTCCGCCCTCGGGCGTGCGGTGCGCCCTCGCGTGGAGGCCGCCGTGGGGCACGAGGGCCGGGAGGAGCTGGTTCGTGACGGAGAGGAGGCGGCGGTAGGCGGATTCGGGGAGGGGCGTGAGGGCGGCTATTGAGCCTGAGGGGGATGCGAGGAGGAGGATATGTGGCTGTGTGGAGGAGGAGGAGGAGGAGTCTTGGGATGATTGGGATGCGGGAAGGGTGCGCGGGAGGAGGAGGGTTGAGGTTGGGGGGTTGGGGGTCACGCTGAAGGTTGTCCTGTGGAGGAGGAGGTGGCCTTGGAGAGATTTGGGGTCTGGGATGGAATTGAGTCAGTATTACTAGTTGTTCACCCCGTAGCCGATGTGGAAAGAATGAAAACGGGATAGCCCAGAAGAGGAGAAGGACTTACGCTCGGGATTGAATTCGAGAACATGCATATCGCCGTCCGCGTCCACAGCCACCATTGACAAGTCCTCGCCGTCTGGCAGAAAGTCGGCGACCAGCAGCGGCAGCGATCCGCTGCTCTTTCCGAGCACCTTGAACGTGTACGGCTCCTCCGTGTACCCGGCGAACCACAAGCCCTTGAAAGCGTCCGCAATCAGACACAGGCCCGTGCCTGGCAGTTCCCGCACAGACGATACGTGGCAGCTCATGTCGAGGAAGGCCACGGGCAGCAGCGAGCCGTCTTCCTTCAGGCCTCGCACCATGCACTTCTGGCCTTGCGCCACCAGCATCAGCCCCTGAGTGCCAATCTCGGACAGGGCCGTCACGCCGCCCCGGGGGATGTCCTCCTTGGCCAGCAGCTTGAGCCGCTTGTTCGTCTCCGGCTTGCCCGGCTCGGGGATGACGGTCACGATGTCGTATACTTGCACGCGGCCTCGCGTGGGGAGGTCTTCGCCTCTGGACAAGGCGGTGCCCACTGCCAGGAGCATTCTCCGCTCCTTTGTCTCCTCCGACACTTCGAGATGCAGCGTTTTCATGCACTCGATGGACTCGCCGGCTTCCATGTCGATCGAGTGAATCACCGTCCATGTGATGGGGTTGATGAGCTTCAAAGCGCCCCTGACCGCCGTAGGCGGGAGAGGAACAGACTCGCGGGCCCATTCTTTGTGGTAGTCGTCGTCCTTTGGCAGCTCAAAGTTCTCAGTGACCGCACAGCCCGCGATATATGTCTCAGTGGGGTGGTGGTAAGCAACGTGGCGGACATCGAAGCCCAGTGGAACCTTCTTGACCGAGATGCCCAGCTCTGTGAAGTTAGTCTTGCTCGGCAGCTGTGTGACTCTGGCTATGCCTTCAGAGTCCGCGTAGATGAACCCCCTGTCGCACCCTTCGGTGTGGAACGTGCTCATGCCCCGAACGCCATGGCCTTGCAGGCCAACCACCCTCGGGACGCTTCTGCTGCTCTTGATGACGAAAGCTGGTGAAGGGCCAGGAAGGAATACAGAGCTGTAGCCGCCCACGTTCGCGCAGATCCTCAGAGGGACATAACGCGGCGGCTGCGCGGTGTCGTCCGACGGATCCTCCACAGCGCTCTTGGCCAGCACAGCATTCGGCGACTTCTTGAAGAACAGTGTGTCGGAGAGCGTGTGAGCGGTTTCGTTGGCTGGCAGGCGGATGGGCTCATAAATGGTAAGGTCATTGGTGGAGTGTCGCAACTGAGAGAGGTTTTGCTGTTAGCTGGCAGTCAACAATCAGCTGGCGAGCAAAGTGATCCTTACTATCAGGTATGGCGACGCGTGAACGGCATCTCCAAGGTCTGCCACGACAATCTCAGTCAGCGTTTCGCGGGTAGCACCTCTTCTGGCCGCATAGCCAGCTGAGAGATGGGGAGGAATGGATGAGAGTCCCTCGGCGACATAGACAGCCTTTGAGAGGTCCGGAAGCGCGAATATCTGTCGTTGTTAGCCCCTTATACCATCAATTCGTTGGTCCAGCCATTTGAGAGACGACGCTGCTTACATGCAAGGCTCCTGTTGAGTTGAGCAAGAACATCATGACTGCCTCGCTTGTCTGCTTAGTTGAGTCGCTGTAGCTTGACTGGAAGATGCCCTTGGTGTCCTTGTACAAGCATCCCGCAACCCATTTAGTTGACGTAAGACTGCTGTCCGTTTTCTCCATCTCTTCAATCTCGTTATTGCTGTCGATCTGTGCGAGAAAAACGCTACCGTCGTCGCGGACGATGAACAGATACGGGTCAACGATGCTTGCACTCACAGCCCGGGGCTCAGCCCCCGTCTCCTCATCCAGCATGGGTAGAATCTGGATCAAGTTAAGATCTGGCAATCAATCAGCGTCTGGTTCTCTCACAGCAGGCCGCAGCAAAACTGACCTCCGTTGTAACACCGCACTTCCGACTTGAGCACTTGGATAACCACCATCTGCTTTCCCATTGTGCCAGCTTCCACGGTAAAGCCAGCGGCCGGCTCAAACTCTGTCTCTTTCAACGTCTCAAATCCTGCTGCCGTGAGGGCATACACGTCAGAGGTTTCGTAGCCATCTAGATCAACCTTGGCGACAATCATGAACTTGTCATGCTGAATCGGTGTATCATAGTCGCCGGCCACCCCGGCGTTCGCGCCGAGAGACTTGGGAACTGGCTTCTTGACGCACATTGTCCAGAATCCTCTGGCCTCTGGAAACTCGAACCGACCAATGACTCGGGGCTGAATCTCCCGGTTGATGATCGCGAGAGAGCCGGCCTCTCCCCGTCCGACTGCACAAGCAAGCTGCAGATCAGCTCTGACGCCCCTGTTCAGAGTAGCCTCCTCGCTGTCAGGCGGAAAGGCGGCTTGTCCGCACGTAACGTCTTGTATCGGCGCAATGCTGAGTAGTACGTCGTGTATCCGAAAGGTCAAATCTCCAGACTTGGCCGGACCCCCGTTCGGCAATTGTTGAGGCTTGGTTGCGACAGAATCATCTCCGTAAAGGTCGTCGTCTTCCTCGTCATCTTCGAGGTCGAGCTCATCCACTTCCAGAGCCAGATCCGGGTCTATGAGCCGGGACTTCTTGCGCTTCTCCTGAGTTTGCCTTCTCGACCATCCTAACACGACGGAATCGCTGGTTTCGCTCCCGACGAACAATGTGTTCTTACCCAGCCTGGAGACACATGTAGCTCTGCTCTTGAGTACATTGCCACCGCAGTCTGCGCCCACGAGCCTGACGCTGAGGCCCGATACCGTTCGTCCATCAATCTTGAAGGATATTATGCCCAGCCGGCCGTCATTCAGGATCAAGAGCAGCTCGCCATTTTCGATGGCAAGTACCTCAATGGCACAGTTCTCAAGGCGCAGTTTCAGGTCGGATTGATCCGTCAGGCTAAAGGATGTGGCCAGCTTGGCCATGGGATTGACGGCCACGCCATTTGACTTTCCAGATTGGTCAACATGGATCAACTCGTTCTGTCCGACTAGCAAGGCGCCGCCGACGGGAGCGGGCAGGGCAATGACCCTGTAAAGATCATGTGGCAGGCCAGTCACCGATAGGATGGTCGTTGACGCTCTCTGCTGCAGGTCCAGAGTGAAGACCTTGTACGATAGGTGATCCCTGGCGCCCAGAGAGGCAGCGGGCGCCTGGCTGGATGACAAGACACCAAACGTGGGCTCGCGATACTCATGCAGAAAGGTGAGGTGCACGGGGTGAAGCAGGCTCGGGTCTAGGAGGGGCAGACGCAAGACAAATGACGGGGTATATGCTGCTTCTACATTGTCGCTATCTCCGTTGACCGCTGCCGCCTGCTCCTTGACCGGCCGAGGCCCGTCCAGGTCCTCGTCCCAGTCCTCCATCTCCAGGTCTTCTTCGGAGCGCCTGAAGGGCAGGATGGCGAGGTTTCGGGTGCCGAACTTCAAGGCGGCGCATCTACTGCCGGGGTCGGCCTCGAGGTGGTTCACATACTCCCCAAACACCTCCTCCCACGGCGCACCCTGGAGCTCTTCCTTTTCGTAGTAGTGAATGGAGATGGTCTCGAGCTCGTTCTTCCTCGGGTCCCATTCGGCCATACACAGCTTGGCTGCCTTGTACGCAATCAGCAGAACCTCGCCTCCTGACGCAGTCCTGCTGGTTCTCAGCCTCGCCAGCCCGATGACCGTTCCCGCGAGCGGGATCTCCGTGATCAGCACGAGCTTGGTGTTGTTTGTCCGCTCGGTTCGCACAAGCATGGTCTCGCCGCCGAGAAAGGAGGACTCGAGGCCATCGTCGTCGTTAACCTGACGGTCAAAGCGCGTCTCGGACTCTGACGGCTGGCCGGGCTGGAATTCGGGATCGAGGTCGGCAGAGACGGTCTTGACGGTGAAGATCTGGAGCAGCGAGCCCTTTGCGACGACGACATTGTTGGCGGTTGCAGAGGTCAGCGGCAGGCTCAGGCATTGGGTGACGGCCGTGGGAGCCGCGAGCTCAGTGTAGACCTGCATAGCTGCAAGGGCATCTCCTCCGCCGTCTCACGAGCGCAATTGGGCTGTTGCGGCTGTCGATGGAGAAGATCGAGGGTTGAGGCGTCGCGCAACAAATTCGTCTGAGAGGTGGGCTGAATTGAATGTTTTGGCTGGAGAAGCTGCAGAAGAGGTCGGCAGTGGGTTTAGCGGCCTTGATAGCGGATCAACGCGCTGCCGTGTGCCGGGACCTTAGCACAGCTGAGAAGCTCTCCAGGTACCATCAATCAGACCAAGACCTCAGGCACCTCGGAACATTTGAATCCCCAAGATGAGATTGCATCTCGCTTCTCGTCTCGAGTACCTGATCAAAGGCACAGCTCAGGAAGACTGCCCATGTCTCTGATATACGGGTTTTCTTAGACCGCCGTCTGCAGTTGCTCGTGCAGGAAACAAGGGAGGTCCCCCAAAGCCCAGAATTCAGGCACCGACTCAAAGCGAGTCAAGTTGTACCCGACTGAAGCTCCAGCGCAGGGAATGTACCCTGAACGCTGAGGTGAGACAGCTGGTGATGCCGCCATTGCGTCACAATCCAGACAAAGAACAACAAATCGCCACGCGTTTCACACGAGACAAGGCCAGCTTGGACTTGTCACAAACAGCCGAGTGGCTTCAGAAGAACAGCAATCGCTCACCCAGATCACTTGTGTCCAGCTAGAGGGGAAACATACAGCGTAAACACCGACAAATATCACAGTCATGGCCTCGGGCTACCTCCAAGCCGGCCTCATCTGGCTGGCTTACGCAGTCGCCGTCCTGCTGTGTCTCGGCGCTGCAATAGTCACCACCTTCACATGGCAGACGCCCATCGACCGCTCGGCCATGGTGAGCATCGTCGCCATCGTCAGCCTAACGTCTCTGCTCGCGACCGTCTTGCTTCTGCCGGTCGACATCGCCCTCGTCTCGTCCACTGCGTCCTCGGCTCTAGGCGCCAAAAAGGACTGGGCCACGCCCAAGCGAGTCGCGGATATTCTCTTCACGCTCAAGGTCGTCTACTACTCGCTCTACAGCTGGGATGCCCTGCTTTGCCTCATTGTCATCCCCTTTGCGTACTTTTGGTATGAGGAGTACGACGAGGTCGCCTTCGAGGAGGAGGGTCGCACGTGGAAGAACCGCTTCTGGGCCGCCACCAAGTACACGCTCTTCTTCGTTGCTCTCACCATTGTGCTCTTCCTCTTGGGATTCTTCGTCCCTGCAGCCGGCGGCAGCAAGGGCCACTGGGACCTGGACTACTACAAGTCATTACTGTCCCAGAACCATGGCGAGAAGGCGCTTACCTTCGCCGTGGGTCTCTTGATGACTCTCGGGACGTTTCTCTACGTGCTCTACACCAGTGCCGGGCTTGCTCTCATGCCCATCTCTTTGATCAAATCGGCCCCCCCTATTTCGGCTCCTCAGCTGTCGGCAACGACAGCTTCTCAGCTCGAACAAAACCGGGAGCGTCAACGCCAGCTAGAGCTGCGCAATGCCGGCCGTGAAGAGGGCATGTCCCGGAAGGACAGGAGAGAGCTGGATGCTCTCATCAGAGAGGAGCAAACGCTGGTTCGGCGCGAACGCCTTGCTGCCGAGGCGCAGGGTGAGGGTAGGAGCCGAGTATATCAAGTTTGGCTCAAGATATGCGCACTCGTCAGACCAGTCAAGATGCTGGGCGGGATCCTGCTGGTGCTCTTTGCCATCATCATCTGGGTGTCCATGTTCATCACCGGCATCGACAAGGCCAAGCACTCGGTCTGCAAGCAGCGTTGCGGATACATCCTCGGCCAGGTCCATGTTTTCCAGCCGATGAACTGGATCTTTGTCAAGGCTGCCAAAGCCTTCCCCGTCGACTACATCCTGATGGCTTTCCTGGTCCTTGTTCTGTTCAGCAGCTCCATCTCCGGTATTGCCGCAGTTGGCATCCGCTTCCTCTGGATCCGAATCTTCCAGATCCGCAGAGGCAGGACAGCTCCGCAGGCTCTTCTCATCGCGACAGTCATGCTGTTGCTCATCACACTGGCCATTAACTACGCAGTCGCCATGTTCGTGGCTCCGCAGTACTCCTTCTACGGTACCCAGACTTTCTGCACAAACGAGCCTGCGTATCCCGGCGCCCAGCCCGACTGCAGAAATCACCCCGAGTTGATCCTCCCTTGCTCCGACGCCCTCAAGTACAAACACGCCAAGGACGTGTGTACGCCATCCATGATGTCCACTCTGCTCAACCGTATCACCATCACGTGGCCGCTGTTTGGAGTGATTGATTTCTGGGCGCAGTACGTGTTCATGGGTATCTTCCTTGTTGTCTTTGTTACCGCGCTGGTGCGAACCCCCAAGGTCGACCTCGCCGAGATGGATGAGTTTGCCGAGGCGGATGAGGAAGAAAGCCTTTTGGCCTCGACCAGTCGCCGCATGGGGGCCACCTGGCAAGACGTGAGGGGACAGCCTGGCAGGGATTCGAGGAATGGAAATGGACCTCGGTTGGTTCGAGGCTCACGATCGCAAGGTAACTAGCTTTTACCGCACAGCTAGTAGCTTTCTTTATCATTTTCTTTTGTTGAGGGAAAAGAGTTGGTAAATGGCTTGACAATACTTCAGATTGTTCTTTGGAAGGGTAGGAAGGGAATCGAGCTTCGGGTGATGGCATGACATGGCATGGATTGGGAGTCTGGAGTCATTATTGGAGCGTGCGTTATATCAAATCCACTCGAAATAGGTAATAAGAGCGGCCGACTCACAGCGCTGGATTTATGATGCACAACTGGAATCGTTGGGAGTACACACTTCGGTAGTTTACTCTTGTTTTTCTGCTTTCCTTTCTGCCTTTCTGTCTTTCGTTACCCCGGGTATATCAAGCACCTATCGCAACCTTCTGTTGTTTGTCCTTCTTCCTCGCCCTCGTGAACTGCACAGCCTTGTGACTCCTATCGTCAAACGCAGCCGCCGGTCCTACATGCATCTCCCTCCAGCACCTTGTGCAATAAGGATCGTCATCGCAACCCAGACACTGCAGCGTAGCATCGTCGAGACAGACGGTGCACCAGCCGTCAATGTCGTCATCCGTGTAATCCGTTTTGCTGGTGAGTCTCCTGACGGGCTTGTCCCCGGCAGAGGGCCTGCTGCTGGGGACAGAAGGGAGCGAGAAAGAAGCGTCCTCTTCCTCGGCGGCTGCGGGGGCGCGTAGAGCAGCTATACGAGCGGTGATGTCGTCTATGGCATCGGCTTTGGCGGCGGTGGTGGTGCTTGGGCGGCGGGGTGAGAAGGACGAGAGGTCATCGAGGTTTGGGGGCAGCGAGGGGAGGGCGAGATCCACGTCTCCGTCTTCTTGCGTGTCTTGATCTGGCTCCTGATCTCTGTTCTTCTGCGCAGAAGCAGTTTCATTGTCGTCGTCGTCTTTCGAACTCTGTCGGGCTGCGTCGATGGCCGCTTCATCTTGAAACTGCGCGATGACGTCGCTTACCTGGGCCTGCATCTGCTCGCCATCTGAATCGTCCGAATCCCCAGCCCTATCGTCTTCCTGATTTCCTCCGGCATTATCGTCGTCCTTTGGCACGGCTCGCGAGAGTTCCTCTAGGAGCGCCCTGACCTGCTCGTCGCTTGGCTCCTCCTGCGCGGGGGTCGTCTCATCGGGGTTGACATCGCCTAGGAGCTCCTCCAGCGTCTGGTCGTCTGTCGAGAATATCCGATCAACGTCTTCATCATTCTCCAGCTTTTCTGATTCTTCTGCATACGCCACATCTTTTGCCTCAGCTGTATTCGAGCGTGACGGTGATGGTGACGATGCTTGGGGAGCTGTCGTCGTCGCAGTGGGAGCTTTCTTTCGCCTGTCTGGTGAGGCTGCGCTTCCATCGTCTGCAGCCCGCAGCGACTTTAGCCGAGCAGCCAGGGCATCTTCCCTCGTAGCTGGCTTTGTCCTCTCAATCACATCTACACTGAGCCTGTAATCCGCCGTTTTAGACTTTTGAAATCGGACATCTCAGGGATGATACGCCCAGCCATCCGTTGAACGTACTGTATCGGAGCTGCGGCTCGACCCGGCGATGCGCCTGAGCTCGAGCCCCGCAAGGCCTGCAGCCGTTCCAGCAGCGACTTGTCTATGTCTTCGGGCATTGCTCGAATGGGCAGCTAGTGTGATAGTAATATCTTATGTTGTGTTTCTTTGGAACAGGAAATCGCCGAGTTTCCCTCGTCAAACTTCACAACAGAAACGTTTTGCGAGCGAATTCATGTGAGGGTCATCGTTCTTGGTGGGAAAAGCACATGCATGTTGCTCGTCAAAAGTCACGCGCGCCAAACGGCGCAACAGCTTTACTTAAGCAAAGCCTTTCATATGCCTTATCCATCTCATAAACATCTCCCAGCGATCAAGAACTCGAATGCCATTCTCATCACCATCGTCGACCTCGAGTAGGTATTTCTTCTTCCCATTTCTATCTAACCTTTTTGACGAATTTCAGAAAGCTCAGCTATAGGAAGTCCCGAGTCATATTAGGAGAACCAAATCTCGCTTGATACGCACCAAAAGCGTATCCAAGCGGAAAAAGGGCCCAATCAGGCGCGTATCGGTCAGGTAGCTGAAAAAACGCCTATCAGAAAGCCTGCCACACACACACGATGCTTCGGACAGCAGACATGACCCCAATAAGCGTCACTGTCGCATATTACTCCATCCTACCAAAGGATCACTAATGCAATGTGATCAGACGTATGTACGAGCAAACCAACAAATCCCCATCGCCCGAATCAGCCGGCTTTAAGCTTATTGGCATGAAATCCGGTTAAAGGTGGCGGCCGTCACTCCAGTCCGATGATATCATCTCGCCACCTTCTGTATCTGTGCCCGAGACTGCATCACCACCGTTCTAGAACACCTTCTCCAATGCATAGCCTCGTCTAGCCGCAGGGATACTTTGTTCACCGTCTCGCAGAAACTGTACTTGTACGCCCTGATGGCGAGCAAAGAGCACTGCCACTGTTGAATGTAGCCACATTACGATTAAACTATCCGCACGAGCCGCCATTGATCACACCCGAAGCCGTGCAGCTTTCCCGCGTGATCCAAGAGAGCCCTGTAAGAAGCTCGAGAGACGAGATAGCCCAAGTCCAAGTATCACTGCCCAACCGACCAAAACTTCAACCCATACGTCTCTATTATAGCCCATGTATCGTATAATTTGACAAAAGAAAGAAAAGCAACAAACGCCAATCCCATATCGTCCGCCCCCTTTTGTAGCATCAAAACAGTATGGTATCAATCATACAAGCGCAAAAGCATAAATCCATACAGACGTAGCCATGCATGGTAAAAGAAGTAATGAAAAGTTCCCCAATCTCACTGAAGCAACGTAGCGATGGAAAGAAGAAAAGTCGCCAAAAGCAAACTTTCAGCAACTTATGCGAGAAAGACGGCGACGAGTACGGCAGCAACGGCAGGCCAGAAACCCATCAGCTGAACAATGTTCCTCAGGCCAGCAGCGCTCGAATCTTGCCCGTCGGCGGTCGTGCCATTGGGAAGACTACCGTTGATGAGGATGGTCCTGGTTCCGTTGACGTCGGCAACGTTGACAATGCTCTTGTTGAGCGCGTCGTAGCTGCCGTTTCCAATGAGGCTGTCGTAGTACGCAGTGTTGTTGTTATCGTCGCAACCGCAGACATCATACGTGCCGCATCCGCAGAGAACGTCTCGCGTCTCATTGCGACGGCTGGACTCGTTGTAGTAGTGGTATGGATGGTGGTAGGGGTACATGTACGCGCCGTACAGCCAGACGCCGGGCCAGAACGCGAGGGCGGCACCTCCGAGGATGGCAAATGGCAGGATGCCCGAGGGGCTCCGGCCGCCGGCGCGGTAGGGAGTCGCCGCACCACCAGCATAATATCGGCCACCGCCGAAAGATGGCTTCGGGCCGCTGCCTCCAACTGATGTGCCGCCGGCGTTGGAGTTGGGGGCTCGGTTTCCACTGTGGGCACGGTTAGACTTCTGGCGCAAAGGGCATGATGGAGATGGTTGGGTAGGACGCAGAAGGTATGAAGAGCCCATCCCAGGAATGCACATACGAGCTTCCACCTCTGCTGCCGCTGCTGCCACCGCTGCTGCCACCTCTGCTCCCTCCACTTCCTCCACTGCTGCCGCCAGAGCTGCCGCCAGAGCTGCCTCCAGAGCTGCCTCCTCTGCTGCCGCCGCCTCCGCCGCCTCCTCTTCCTCCTCCACCTCCGCCGCCCTTGCGCTTGAACAGATCGTGCTCCTCGGACTGCGCGACGCCTTCAACCCTCACCACATGTCGAGGGCCATCGATGGCGCTGGCGGACGCAGTGGTCATCAAAGTGACCAGAAGAAGGGCGAAGTCGATTCTCATGGTGATTGATGATGGTGATGCTGGTCTAGAGTGCCAAAAAGCTCAATTATGAGATGTTGGAAAGCTGAAGAGATGAAGCAAGTGGCCAAGATTTGCCTCCAGAGAGAATCGCGACTTTTATAAGCACCGACCGAGATGGCACAAGACTAGAAAAGAGAGCAGGCGCGATATACATACTTATACGCCCCTGCCAACCTTGGTACTTGCTGTAATACAGGCCAAAGAGCCCTTCTTTCCCTGTTTGGGTCCTTTCTGGAAGAAGAATGGGTCAGCTGTTAGTGCGAAGCGGCTGGATGGCGGTACCCCATACTACTTGTATGTACACCGATTTGTTTGCTCCACGGCAGGTCGCACCAAGTACAAGGGCATTTAAGATCTTCCCTTATGCCTGGAGCGGATCCCTAAGGTACGTGCGCCAAGGTCGAATTACAGCCACAACTGGCGTTCCCATAGTCCCTTATTATTCCAAATGAAGATGGAGGTGATTGAATGACTTGATTTGGGATTACTATCAGCCTAGCTTTGCTCTGCCTTACGTCTTGTCTGCTTCGGTTTCGCCTCCCAGGTCGCCAACGGGTCCAGTAAGCGGAACAAACCAAGCGTGTATTACCCGACTGCGAGATAGGTATGGGGGCAAGGGGGTCTCCGCGGGTCACGCCGCCACGTTGCGAGCCATTGCCATCGATACCGGGCTGCGGGATAACAACACAGTGAGTCGAATTCCTAGTACTGTTGCTTAGGGCAGCCAGCATTGTCTTGGTTTGCTGACACTGAATGGCTTTCATCTTTGAATTACAGTACCGAGATCCTGTACTCCCTGGCTTCAGGACACCTGTGAGAAGCGGCCACGCCTCCAAGGCAATGCCGCGATCAGCACTCTTGCCGCTGATGCCATTGAATTCCATAGCTGATACCTAACTTACCTACCTACCGAGCCTCTACCCCAGTGAGCGACGTGCAAGAGGCGGTCAAGTGGCGCTGACCGTCTCGACTGACAAGCGGCTTTGCGCCTGAGGAGCGGCGTAAAACAGCACGGTTTCCTAAAGCAGAGCGCTGCTTTCTTTGTATTTGTGGGAGAGTAAAAACGGGCCCGTGCGCACTTACATTAGCTTCACAGCACCCTGCGTCATGGCATGCTGTGTATTAGTATGTGGTTATTTTGTCTCGACTGTTAACCTTGTTGATCCTTCTTCTTGTTCAGCTCCTTGTTCTTTATATCAGATTGTCTCATCGACTCTCTTGTTATAATATCTACATACTAGTAGGTTTTATAAGTTATTGGCGTCGCCGCGCATCACTGACAACCCGGAATGCCAAGTCCACACCGGATGGTGAATTTAAGGTTAAATCTAGACGAGTGGTTGAGTGGGTTCGCGAGATCGAGATGAGTCGCATGCCAGGGTCCAGGGAAAGCTTTTACTTGGCAGAAGACGCGAGAGAATGGCAAAAAATTCGGACTACCCTTCTCAAGGTTCTGTTTCCAGTGTTTCGCTTGACTTGACTCAACCATGCCCACCTCGCTCTACGTCTGATATGCCCTGTTTACGCCAACTGCCCACCTGGTGCATACGAATACTAAAGTCTTGCACGTCATATATCACACTCATTCTCGACTCCAGTACCATCTATCCGACAAGCGAGTAATTCAAGGGTTAGGCACAACCAATAGCAAAGTTTTCTATACGCCATTATCATCGCGTTTGTGTTTTTTTCTCAGCTGCTTCGTGAGATGCCTCCAGCTCTGCGCAACATACAGCGACAAGATGGCTGCTGGATATGTAGCGCAGGCTACAAAGAACGTAAGAGCCATTGCATATGAGCATCAGCGAGATCCCATACGTAACAGGAACTGTATGGCAAAATGCATTGGTTCGGCCTAAGGGCAAGACAGCCAACAAACGGTACTTCGGGCAGTCCTGTGGCTCGATATGCAGACGGCGCATCTACTCGATTTGGGGCGCTTATACGCGGCGGCTGATGTCCAATAAACACAAGAATTCATGAGGACCAAATGTTGTCAATTCAAGCCTCAATTGGCATCTCTATGGTTTCAGGTATACAACTGAGAGGCTGGGCTCTAGGCTCTTTGGAATCGCGGCGACATGTACACGCCGAGGCGTGGATGCTTTCTTTGTGCACACCAGGCAAATATCCTCACATCGTAGGCCATTATTCACCAGCTGCTGTAGCCATTTCCGGTAACAAGTTCCCGTGGCCATTGTATCATGAAGAATCAAGTCCACTCCTGCCATCCACAGGAGCATCGCGAGATCAGGTAGGTAGGCTTCGATTATCTGAGAGGACCCAGATGACGTTATCCAAAGTCGCACGGCCACATATCAGTATCTCGTTCACCAGGGTGAATCCACGCAAACCACTTCAATGAGCTGATACAATCGACAATACTAGAGCTGGTTGCCATTATCGATAACATGTGGTGAAATCTCACATTTGGCTGAGATTCCGCGATAAATTCAGAAGAATCGCGCTAAAAGCTAGCTGCATGAGCTCAGTGCAGCTTTTGGGTGGAAACACGTGCACGCAGTGAACAGTGAACGCCACTAGCAGGACCAGTAGGATAGCGGCCATTGGATGAGTCAGCAACTTCTTGCCGCCTGGCTGAATCATCGAACCTTCTCCCAACTTTCTCACATCTCTATTGCGATTCACCAGGTGCTCACCTTCGTTCTCGAGGGAAACCTCTCACCGTCATCACTCTGTCACGATTCGAATTTCGGCCGCTCTCTTTCAGCGTATAATATCTTTTTCAAAGCATGATACAGCTCCTCTGAAACTCTCACACCTCTCGGAGGACGCTTTGAGGGGAGGCAGCGCGTTACGACCATGGCCGACGACGAGATCGAGTTTTCGTCCTTTGACGACAAGGATTGGGAAGCCCAAGATGCCGCCGACGACCGTGAGATTGCGCGACTCTTGGAGCAGAGCCAGGACGGCGCCGGCGGAGGACTCAAGCTCGACGACACCCCCTTTGACCAGACCAACAAAGCCGACGACGCAGAAGATTTCGAAGACATTAGCGACGACGACCTCCCTGAAGAAGAAGAGCCGAGCGCGGGCACGTCGCTCGAACTGCCTGGACTAACAGACGATGGCAACACTAGTAATGATGCAGACGACCTGTTTGGAGAAGGCCCATCCTCACCCATCGACCCCGTCGACGGCCCAACCTCACCCGCGCCTCACGTTCGCGATGCCGAGGCAGCCGACGATTCGCAAGCGGTGGACGCAGGCATCAGCTTTGGCTCCATCAACTTCGACCCTGATCCACACGTCAACGGCGCCCTTAACCAGGATCCCGACATTCCTGCGCCCGCCGAATCGATCGGAGACTTGCTAAAAGCCACTTGGCCAGCATACAAGAAAGGCCACATTCTGACTTGGAGCGAACTTTTGCCGCCAAAGAAGGCGACCTGGAAGGAGAAGAAGCCACTTAAGAAGCCCAAGTACCTAGTCACGAGCAAGCTGAGCCTTGACGTGGCACCCGACGATGAGAAACTCTTCCGGATTCCTGGACCTGCGAGTTCATCTACCAAAGCGAATTCCAACGAACCAACAGCCAGTGGCTTGATACATTGCAGTCCTGCCATCGATGGCCAGGAGGAAGACATTGCACAGTTCGATCTCGACCATGATTCTGATGCAGAAACCGTCATGGGCTTCACGCTGCGCGATATCGAATTGGCGTGCGAAGATTGGAGCGACCATATCGAGAGCGTTGAGGCTAGCTTTGCGGCCCAGCAGTTGGCTGTGGAGGAGGCCGCATCGTCGCAGAAGCGCCAGATCGAGGAGGTTGATCAAGATGACGAATGGGATGCCGAGTTTTTGATGGACATCGCCGACGAACCTCAGCCTCGCCAGAAGAAGCGCAAGACTATCCCGCATGGCCTGCCAGAAATTCCTCGGTACACTGCGCCCTCATTCGATAACTTTGAAGAAGCTACCCGGCGAGGTGCGAAGCGCGTTCATCTGGACATCAGTGACCCATATCTGTTGCTGGAAACGGAATCATACAGCACCAACAAGAGGCCTCGGCAGGAGGCGCAGATGAAGCGCATGGCCAACGGAAACCTGGGCCGAGATATTTCACAACGCTTCAACCTCTCCAACGATGAGGCATACGAACTTCTGAAAGAAAACCATCAGAGCAAAGTCAGAGCTACTCTCGGAAACATCTCGGTGGAGCATGGCATGCCTGCCCTCAAACTTTCATGGCCATACTACAAAGTCAAGCTCAGCGGCACAACGGATGAGTACCATCGTCCTCGCTTCCGCTATAAGAAAATGGTTGGACACACTATCAGGTTCGACAAGCCGCTGCATTTCAAGCGAAAACAAATGAAGGGCAAGGCGCATGAGATCTTCCAAAAGTCGAAAGATGTGAGCCTCTGCGATAACTCGACTGCCGTGCTCTTCGAATACTGCGAGCCGAGGCCAAGAGTCCTCAACGGCTTCGCCATGGGCAATCGACTTATCAACTACTATCGTCGAAAGGACAACAGCAATGAGGAGGAGCAGCTCGCCAAGTTGGACCTCGGCGAGTACCGTACTCTGCTTCCCGAGGATCGGTCACCGTTTTCCCTCTTTGGCACTGTCGACCCTGGTGAAATCGTGCCAACGCTGCACAACGAGATGTACAGAGCGCCGGTCTTCAAGCATACGCCCCGAAGCACAGACTTTCTTGTCGTCCGCAGCACCACGGGAATTGGCGGCGCAAAGTGGTACCTACATAAGATTGATCATCTGCACGTCGTCGGCCAGGCCTTCCCATCGGTGGACGTTCCTGGTCCGCACAGCAGGCGTGTTACCAACGCGTCAAAAAGCCGAATGAAAATGCTGGCGTTCAGGATGATCAGGCACAGCCGGAGCGATAACTGTCAGCTGTCCGACATCACTAAGCATATTGCGGACTCGACAGATACCCAGAACCGACAGAAGCTGAAGGAGTTCCTGCAGTACGACAGGGATAGCAAGGAGAAGGGCATGTGGCGCTTGAAACCTGGAGAAGTCCTTCCGGACGAGAACGCTATCCGCGCAATGATCAAGCCCGAGGAAGTGTGCCTTCTGGATGCCATGCAGCTTGGTATCAAGGAGCTTGAGGATGCCGGCTACGATCCTCGTAACGCAACCATTGACGATGATGCACAGGGACTCGACGCCGACGAGGAGGAAGACGACGATGGCGAAGGGAGCAAAATCGTCAAGGGGCCCAAGAAGGTGGTCGAGAAGCAGGAGGAAACGCTTGCGGACAAAATGGCGCCCTGGAAAACGACAAAGGCATTCATCGACGCTTGTGCGCAAAAGGCCATGCTTCAGCTGCATGGCGAAGGCGACCCTACCGGCCACGGACTTGGGTTCAGTTTCATCAGAACCTCCATGAAGGGCGGCTACATAGAAGCAGTCCAGGGGCCCCTGGCTACGTCAGCGGATGCGATGGAACGTGAGAAACGGGCAAACGGCGGCCACGCATATAACGTGAAGAAGCAGCAGGCAATGTACGAAGAAGGCATTCGCGAGATTTGGGAGAAGCAGAAGGCAACCCTCTCGGACACAAAAGAGCATGATGTCAACGATATCGCGGCGACGGAGGACGAAGATGATAGGTTCAACGTTCAATCAGCAGCCACGCCGGCCATATTCGACGACGGAACCAGTCAGATTAGCGGTTTTACCTCGTCCAGTCGACACCCGAAACGAGCGATTCGCATCTCTCGAGAGGTGGAGCTTCCCGACGGCACGACGCAGACGAGAATCGAGGTTGTCCATGACCCAGTAGTCATTTCACAGTATATCAAGCGGCGAACAGAAGCCGACTTGGAAATGCGAGAGTACGTGAAAGCCATTGTCCGCTTCCAGACACTGTCCCGGAAGCCTCCCCTTCTGTGGACGCAGCTGCCCACCTCGGTCAAGGCGCTTCACCGTTGGTCGAGGCTTGCCAAGAGCTACAACCAGAGGCGGGCTCCGTCCTATGGAGTGGGATCGCCCGGCTCCGTGGCAGATGTTGTTGGCTTGGAGTTTAGAGCACCAGCTTACATATATTTGTCTACAGCATCTACAGCGCACGGCCTACGGGCAATGCCGACCATGACCGTCTTGCGAACCTTAGGTAAGA